TTATTATCGACAAATTATTAACATTGTTGCAACACTAAATGAACGCTTTGTTTGAATACTTAGTAGGAAGTTTGGATATACATACTTAGTAGTAGGTGCTGTACAGCAGGTAAGTGTCATATGTACTTACATGTACATATCGTTGCGGCCAGGTGAGCACTGAGCACTTTATCAACATTATCAACGTTGGGCATTATTTGTGTCAACTGCAAAAGTTGTCGCTGAAAATGGCCAAACAACTTTAATAAGTATCACGGTACGAGTACCAACTATGCACCAGAACAAAACAGCGTTAATTTATAAAACAAATATTATACTTCCTCTATGATATCGGGATTGTACCCATTACAAATCGCATTTCCCCGTTGTATTTGCATAGACCTTCGCTGTTTAAAAAACTCTTTCGCCCGCTTTTGGCCAGTCCTTTTCTGGCTAATCATATTAGAAACTTTGAAGCAGGGCCGTAGGAAAGGTTAAGAGCTGCAAATTTTCGCATGTGTACATTCATGTTCCGAAAGTACCGTAGTACTCAGAATAATTATTGATAATCGATGAACAGCGCCTGCCCACAGCCTTCGTCGCAAAACCACCACTGAAGTTTGGTTCAAATAATCCGGTTTTTTTTCAATAATTTGCTGTTATCTACTGTTAAACGCTCTTACACTACAACTGAGTTTTCATAGTAAGCATTTTTTGAGATACGGCTTACATTTGATGCAGTAAGTCAGTTCGTCGCAATAATAGACGCAGATACTCGTACATAGAGTGCATTCAAGTTAAGGTATGCACGACCTGTCAGGCAGTGCCGCAACATGAGTCAAATATTATTGTCTGTGTGTGCAGCACTTCGGCATTTTACATTCCGTTCAAAACACTTCATTTAAGAGTCCTAGCATGTAAGCAATTCCAAGGAGGGCTGTTGCAAATGCAAAGTTTGCTTTGTCAAAAATAACTGCTATTATATAAACAGCATAATAGGATATTAACGACAATTAAAATTATGACATTTAAAATTTAAGATTGTTTATTGCTGCATTAAATAAAAGCCGCTGTACGATAGTTTAACTAAATCTGCGAGCCAACGGGAAGTTTTTCCGGCTTTTAGATTTTCAATCACTAGGGTCCGTTCCTCGGGCGGGAATAGTTGCATCGGCTTTGTTCTTCCATACTAGCGGAAAGAATGAAGGCGGAGGGATGAAACTTAAAACAAACTCCTCCTGGAGGCTGAGGTTTAGGCTCATCAAAGTCTTAGGCTCATAACGACTGTTATCACCCCAACGGTCATACCATTGAGATTCTGAGCACAAGTCTCGGTCAGCCGAACACCGGTGCAAAAGTGTGTTCGCGGCTGGCCCGTCCAGGTTATTAAGGACGGTATTATATTTCTCAAGCCGTGTATTGATGGTTGCAATCTGGCTATCTATGGCTTGTGAGAGAACATTGCGATATTTCTCTGCATCGTTTTTATCGATATGAATGAAACGGTCGCCTTTTTCATACTCACGAAGGTCTCTACAGTTGAAAAACTGCATTAATGCTCGATCAAACTGTATACTACCCTCCGACTCATGTGACATTTGTACTTTGACTTCAGCGTAAAAGTTGCAAACTGTTGCAGGTCGCAACCCAAGCTGTAGCGCAAATGCTTCGGATTTCAAAACGTCCCGCCCTCTCCCGCTAAATATAAAGTCACCGAATCTGTTGTCGGTCAAGCAGCGAATGTTGTGCTGATCCCAATTTGCATTAACATTATTCCGTGACAAGAGAATATCCAATGACGTATGTTGACAAGTTGCCCACGAGGAAGGTTCCATGCTGTTAACAAAAATTTTGTTTTCCTGAGTTCCTTCGAACTTGATGATCAAATAAGGAAGCGGAAGTATAAAGTGTGTATCTCCTGGTTCCTTATTGATCTTATTGACTTCCTTCATATCCAAGCCTTCGAGGACGACATCGAATCCCTTTTCAAAGTAACGAACAATGCGCTGCATCTTGATCAGTGAATCATAGTGTTGGTGTTTGATGACAAAGTGACTGTTTCGTAAGCCGTCCAAACCGCGCGCGGACGTGATTATTTCGTCGCAATAGTAGGCAATTTCAGTGCAGGTAATGTCGGTAGCGTTAAACCGCGCCGGTAAGTTAGCGCAGAATGCAAATTGTACAGGATACGGCAAACAAGATTCCGGTGCCAGAATCGTGTAGACCTCTCGACAGCGTGTAACCGAAATGCCCCCTGGATCCGTTGACTGCATAAGCTCGGCAACAAAAGTCCGGACGCGGTCAGCCAGGAGTTCGTGTATTTCCGTGGGCTTCAACTCGCCTTTAGGTTTTTCTAGTACGAAAAACAGATTAATATCTTTTGGTTCTCGTCCCAGCAGCACATCCACCACAAAACCTCCCACGATTGCGATCTGTCGCAGACTGATTTGCTTGAATGCGGGAACCAATTCGAAGAGCTTATTACGGAACCCAAGCATATCTTTAATGTCAAAGACTTTTTTCTCCGCAGCATGTGTCAGCGTAGGCTTAGGTCCAGCCGTCACATCGCTGAGCGTAGAGAGGCGATTTCGCGCAAGCCAGTTTTTAAACATTCTGCTCCTGCGCTTGCGATCGGAATCTTGATCACCACTTGGGAGTTTATCAAGCAGTGATGCCTACAGTAGAAAATAAAATTTCAGAAACACTACCACCAGATCAAGTTGTATCACAGAGTTTGATTTAAGGGAAGTGCCTGGTACCATATTCGTGTATATGCAATAAATTTCGCTTTCGCACATTTCCAATCATTCTCTGAATTACTTGGTGCAGACCGAGCAGTTCTACAGCGAAGTGATTTTTATTCCTTGGCGTGAAACGGTATGTGCGCACGAAATGCGGTTTGAATGATCTGGCTGTTAGAAAATTTCAAAACGGTATAAACGCATTCAGGTGCACCAAAAGTCACATTATGGACCGATCTTCCATCGGTTTTTATTTAAATTTAGCACATACCGTAAATGCACGCAAGTGTGAAGATCGTTTTGCCAATGAACTAGGCTTGCACCTGTTCTTTCAAATTTTAAGTTTTAAGATTCAAAACCATGTTAGAACTGTTGTTCGGTGCAATACTATATACATATTGTGCACTCACGTGCAAAGTTTATTTAACCCGTTTATCGGCGCCATAATAAGACTTCTGGTGCAGCCAAATGCATTTCATCTTTTTTGAATTTTTTTATAACCATATTAACGATAAAACTATATTTACGATATAACCATATTTTTTAACCATATTAACTCTAACCTGCTGCTGCGCGCACAAAGGGTTTGCACGCAAATGTACGTATACAAAATTACGTAAAAGAACGTCGTAAACAATGAAAAAAGGTGGTTGGGAGAGAGCATAGTAATACTATGCTCTCGTTGGGACTGCGCGAAAATAAATGTTTTCGCGCGTAAACACTAATTTGGTACCACAAATTACAAATAATAATAGTAGCCGTAGTCAGCAGTGATCACTTCCCATTAAGGAATAATTCCACATGCTGCTTGCTGTTCAACGTACTTAATGTGCACGGTGCCGAATGCATCGACCGAACCTGACAGTGATTGCAACATGATCGGGTGGCTACAGCAGTACTTTATATTGCTCGCTACTGATAACCGGTACTGCATACCTGCAAACGCACAACGAAAAATAAAAGCAAACGAATACCTCGTTGTGATAATCATTTCTGTTTCTTTGTTCATTCACGTCGTAAGGATCAAGCTCCATTGCCGCTTTCAGTGTGTAAAATTTGACTGCGTGCAAGCCGCTCAGGAGGGCTCGCGCTTGCAGTTGCTTATCCTCGGTAACCAACCACACATCGGCGTCAGGAAAACGCCGTAGCAAATCCAAGCAATACACAAGTATCAGGCCATCTCTGTGTAACTGTGTTCATTCAGTTTATTTATCCTCTTCGGATAATACTCCTTTTGCAGACGATCTTCCGAACTATCCGTTTGCAGAACTATCTGAATGTTCTCGATAGGATTCGTGTACCAATCGGTGAGTAGATCCGCTAGTCGGTCCAGGGCGCTCTTGGCCTTTCCTCTACTGTTGTTACTGTTGCTGTTTCCTAATATCTGGATTTCCTGGAGCACCGCCTTTGGGATGATAATCAGAATAGGATTTTTTAGTTTCCCGCATTTTCCATGACGAGCCATTTCCTCAAGCAGTGACATGCATTCCAGCTGTTAATGAGTTTATTCAAAGAACCATAAGAATTTATGATTTATGGAAAAGGAAAATACACTTATTGCAGTTTATTTATGCAAGCTTTCTTTAAGGACTGTTTACCTGGGCAGGCTGGTCATCTTCCTCCGTTTTCTTTTTCTCGTAAATAATGACGTTAGTGTCAAATATCAGCACAAGTTCAGGATCCGTTAATGCGGACATTATTATTAATTTATGAAATGATGGCTAAAGGCAATTCGAATACCAGAGGAAGATCAATTCCGTACGTACTTTCTTAGCTGCAAAGGCTGCTTTAGCGCTGCTACCGTCTCGAGTGCAGAAAATCTGTTTGTTAGACAGGGGAACGAGTCATAACAAACTCAAAAATCAAAAATCAAAATGTATATGTAAAATGAAGAAAACTTGCCTAAATTTTATAATGTCAACTTACATCAACACGTCATGCAGTATTAGCCTAATACGGTGCGATATCACTCAGCACCCTTGGCACAAAATTAATACGCAAGTATATCTGTACTTTAAGCATACGAAGTGACAATGTCATAACTGCAATCCGGTGCCCGAACAAGTGAGACTGCATGACTGTTTTGTTGAGGAATGTCGGAGTTTAAGGTACTTTCGGAAATGATTCAATCTTTCAAGCGTTACTCACTAGCTCACAACTAGAGGCAATGCCTACAGAAATGGAGGTGCAGGCATAATATCATAATTATCTAATTTAGCATCGGGAAGCACACCCGAGGCAGCGCAGCAGCGTGTTCAGGAATCTTTGTTAAACGTTTCAATTTCTGCTATGTTGATTGTCACGTCTTTAAGTACGTGAAATTTAATAAGACACGGTACAAGCCCGAATGTAGAATGACACGAAAATATAGAGATAATAAAATAACACAAATCCCCGTTGGCGGTTACTACGACAGAAATACAACAACAAATACAAAGATCATTCAGTACATTACACCTTCACCACGTATGAAAGAGAATCTGGACATACGTAGAAATAATTATTAGCAGGCAGCAATGGAAAATATTAAGTACTTATGATATTGCAAGCAAGGTTACAATCCATTCATTCATTCGTTCAGTCATGTATCAGGAGCAGACAACCCGTTTAACAGGACTTCAATGTCTGGTCGGTAAAAAATGCATTAAAAATTACCGAAGAGATTATTTAGACAGATCAACAGTTTTCAGAGCGAAATTGAAAAGGCTAACACCGCTAACACTGAGTATCTGTGAATTAACTTTTTGAATCCGCTCAAAAACGTTCTTAACCGCATGGCCAGCGTGCTTTCTCCGATTTTCTGTTCGCTCTGGCTAGGATTCTGTAATGGAGTCATACTATGTCTTAGCAACGGCAACGGTATCTGCGAATACCAGCTGCAGATGGTCAGTCGAGTTGTGTACGAGCAGCAATAAACAACAGCGTATTTGGCAATACGTGACAAACTGACGTGTAGGCTGAGATATTTCGAACTTTGCTTTGATAATCCACTTGCGTACGGATGGCGCCTCCGAGCGGAACGACAAGCGCTACGGAGAGTAAGGGGAAGGAGGACAGCGTGGGTTTGCTGAAGTTCGACCCGCTGGTGATGACCTGGAGATCCTGGCAGTTCCGTTACAGAAACTACGTAAAGCTCCGAAAGGTCACCGATAGCGATGAACAGAAGGCCTTGCTCCTAGATTCCCTGGGCATCGACGCATTGGAGATGCTACACGCAATGTGCTTGCCGAAAGATCCCGATGACTATACGACGGCCCAGATAGTCGATAAACTGGAGCACGCGTATACGAAGAAGACGCTAAAGGACACGGAGTGGGCGAATTACTTCTCGCTCAAGCAGGAGTCTGGAGAATCGCTGCTAGAATTCTCCAACAGACTCCGGAAGAAGGCCTTCAATTGCGCATTTCCCGCGGATGTTCTCGAAGGGAACATGAAGGCGACCTTCCTCAATGGCTTGGAGAACGACGCCACACGGATGCACCTGTCCTCAAAGGAGTACTCGACCCTGGAGAAGGCTTTGGAATTTGCGGAGCAGTACGAGATTTCCCGCAGCAGCCGCCGGAACCATAACGCCGCAGATGTGGTCGCCAAGGTCAATGGGGGAGAAGGGCGTGGCCGTCCCAGCACACAGAACCACAGGCGCGGTGAAGCATCATGGCGCAGCGGCCGGAGTAGGGAAAGAGGTGGACAGGAGGGCGTTTCAGACGCGCGCGATAGTGGTGGCACACGGAGGAAGTCTGCCGATGGTGGGCGTGGCTGTTACGGCTGCGGTGACCAGGACCATATGCGTGCGGACTGTTGGGCTAAAGATGTCAAGTGTCGCAACTGCGGTAAACGCGGACACATCGCGAAAGTGTGTCGCGCTGAACCCAGGGAACGGCAGGAGGCAGGAAGAAAAACTCTGTTGGTTGAAGACGAATTCGACGTCATGGGCATACAGGTGGCCGAAGAATATGACGTGCTGCCGACGTTCTCACCCAGGCGTACAGCAAAGCACTGGAGGCAGGAGCGACAGAGAAGCCAGTTAGCCAGAAATGACCTGGCCTGCCTTCGCGATATGTACCGGACACTGCAAGATGTCCAGTGCCAGTTACTTGAGCTGGCCGACGTGGTTACGGACCTGAAATGTCCTAAAGAGATTCCCGATACGGTGACGCCAGCTGCCGCGCCGGATGAACGAGGAGAATCTGATGAGCTGACATCGCATGAGAAATCAGCGAACTCACATGAAGCTGGATCACAAGATAGCGAGGCAGACGACACAGCGACAGTGTGTTTGGCCGAAGACAACAAAGTAGTGGACGGTGCTGAGGAAGCAACCGAGCGTTTATGCACGACCGGAAATGCGGAACCGGAAACGTGTTTTACCAGTGATGGCGTATCACGGGTAAGTGTTCGGAAGAAGAAGAAAAAGCGCAAGCGCAGCAAGCTGAATGGAAATGTTGAGGATATCGAACGCATTATGCTGAATTGATATTACCTACTATAATGGAATTGGAATTCTTACTTAAATAATTGGTTTGATAATTTCTTTAGTGAGTGATGAATGGTTTCACCACTGGGGAAGGTGTAATGGAGTCATACTGTGTCTTAGCAACGGCAACGGTATCTGCGAATACCAGCTGCAGATGGTCAGTCGAGTTGTGTACGAGCAGCAATAAACAACAGCGTATTTGGCAATACGTGACAGATTCGTTTCGGCTTCCGGAGATTGTAATGCGGTGACAGATCCTTGAAGTCCATCAGTTCGACCCGGTAGGGCGGAAGTGTGTACACTTCATGGTTGTACTCGTAGATCTAAGACAACCAAACGGCGTCCAACGGTCAAATACCGGCAGGAAGCGCAATCGCTGATGACAGCTCGGCGGTTACCCGCTCCTTGTAGTCAGTAATGGCCGGCAGTGCTTTCCGTTGGGCTCTGGTCAGCTTGTGGCGTCGCAATCACAAATTGACGACCACGGCCGAACGAATGGCCGGCCACGGCTGTTTTATAGCGATAATATCGCACTAGTTCAAGGAGCGAAAAAGCGTAAAATTGCTGAAAACAATCGAGTACGCACTACGTGGCAGCAAACGGGCACAGTGAAACCACGGTGTTGCGTACAGTCTTACCAGGGCCCGGTCACCGGCTCCCGGCTCAGAAAAATTTCATTTTTTGCTGGAAGACAAAGTAACCTTTGCGTACACTTGAAAAAATATTTCCATCGGCCATGGTTGACTGGGCGTGGCCAAACTTGAATTCCAGTGGTAATACATGCAGTGGTATGACATCGTACAAAATATTAAAGGAATTGACGATTCTCGCCAGGATGGCGCCCAGTGGCGGTTGGAGCCGTACGCCTAAGCTACGCCGGGAAGTCATCGTAGGCCCATAACAACAAGTGCTTATCCCGGCACTTTTCAAACAGCGCGCGTTCGCGAGCTATGCTGTTTGTTAATTCGGCAGATGCATGAAAATTTACAGGAAACTATCCTCTGCAAACGAGGTGACAAATGTTTTATAAAAATATTTACAGTTTCCTTAAATTAAGTGGCGGTGCTATGGCCACGGTATTACACCACCGCCCGTATTACCGCACACGACCAGAAACAGAGCGAATGCATAGTTCTCCTGTTGGCGCACCGTAAAATCCCTGTTGTTAGTGACGTCAAAATGGCACACTGCCACTCTGCTGTCCGGGCGAGAATCACGAATACCGTAGCAATGTGCCTTTAATACAATGTCAGAGGTTATCACAAATACGTGTAATCGGTAGTCAGATCATTTCTACACTTCGTCTAAAAATTCCTGCTGTTAGATAAACCGCCGAGAAAAATTACAGATAGTACGAGAGTAGTATGTATGTACTGTATTGGGAAATCGGAATACGTCCCGCGGTAGAGTATCATACACACGTTGGCACAAATACAATACGCGTTCTAACTTCTCATTAATCACTAGTTTCACAATTCTTTTAACTCTTCTCGATTATTAATAGCACTAGTTTTTAGAACGATTAGCGAGGATCGGTCTACTGAAATTACTTATACCAATCTCTAACATACTCTTACGCTACATTAATACGGTATCCCCAATACATAGTGCTGTATGCATTAATGCCAAAGGAATTTGGTTTAGCCACGCCCACTTTACCATGGCCGATCATAATATTTTTTTAAGTACATCCAAGGGTTACTCTGTCTTCCTGCAGAAACTGAAATTTTTCGGAGCCGGGAGCCGGTGACCGGGCTCTGGTCAGGCACGCACACCCACAGAATTAAAGTACACCACACTGCATACCAAAATTATTACACACGTGAAAAAAATCCTCCAAATTCCGTATATCTAGAAATACGTACGAATGTTTCTGAATGGAGGGTGCGTAAAACAAAGGTCGTATCACTGAAGCCTGCGACTGGGACTGGGTGTCACTGTTGATGGGTCGGTACCGTAACATCTCTACTACATACGTACACCCTCCGTTCCCAGCTTTGTGAATGTTGTAGAGAGGTGTATGTTACAGCTCTACCCCCGGGGCTGCCATGTATTGGTTGATAGTAACTAAGCAAGGTGCCGCTGACGTTTTGTTTATTCATATCATGTTATTCCTCCAAAAAAACAGGCTTTGCAGCTTCTGCTTTGCATACAGCACCTTTTCAAAAAGCTACCGTATTACTGGCAGTTTATTCTTCAGAAGGAACCGGTGTTCTTTAATTTTTCATCCCTTTTTGCTGGTTTTTTTTCGGTCGGATCTGGTACCGTATAGGTTTGAAACAGAAACCGGAACTTTCTTTCAAACTTTTCTGCGCTTATTCAGACAGCTGTATGTAATGCAGTGTTGTAATCCACCGAACAGACCGGTTCTCAACCGCACGTATATAATAAAAGGCACCGCGACATTTCGCCGCGGACAACTAGTCGATGGACTTTTGGACCGGACATCGCGTCGTAAGGAAATCTCGCCGTGCGACGTTTCGTTGCAGAACATTTCGTCGGCAGGACTTTACGCCGCGAGACTTTCCGTTCCATGGCCGTTTCGATGCAAGGAAATTTCGCCGCAAGGATATCTCGATGAAGCGACATTTCGCAAACCTAAGAAACCCAAGAAACCTAAAAAACCTAAGAAACCTAAGAAAGTTAAGAAAGCCTAAGAAACTTAAGAAACTTAAGAAACTTAAGAAACCTAAGAAACCTGAGAAACGTGAGAAACGTGAGAAACCTAAGAAACCTAAGAAACCTAAGAAACCTAAGAAACCTAAGAAACCTAAGAAACCTAAGAAACCTAAGAAACCTAAGAAACCTAAGAAACCTAAGAAACCTAAGAAACCTAAGAAACCTAAGAAACCTAAGAAACCTAAGAAACCTAAGAAACCTAAGAAACCGAAGAAAGAAACCTAAGAAACCGAAGAAACCGAAGAAAGAAACCTAAGAAACCTAAGAAACTTCAAAAAACCGAAGAAAAACTAAGAACAAACCTAAAAAAACGAAAAACTGGAAGACTCCGCGGCGGTGGAGAATTATTTTGCGGCGACTTGTCGCATCCTGTGAAAAGTCCCATGGCGAATTGTCCGCGACCAGACGTCCTGCGTCGAAATGTCGAAAGGTAAAATGACTCAAAGCATAATCCCCCTAACCGAAGTATCCCAGCGTGGGAATGTCCGGTGGCGAAATGTCTTCGCGGCGAAAAGTCGCGCGTCGAGTTTGAGTGCGGTGAAATGTCACACTCCCAGTTGTCCGGGTGCGATAATAAAGAGGTGAATGTTGTATAAAGGTGTATGTAACGGGGATTTTACTGTAAATACGTATCGAAAAAACAATGGGTTGAATTGTTGGAGTGGTACTAGTCGTCCACATATCACTGCGTTCGCAAACGGCGGCCACCTGCTTAGCGGTCTTGCCGTTCTGTAGCAGATATTATTTTGAAGGTCGTATAAATACTCGTACATGCGTCTGTCTCCAGCAGAACCTCCCGGATAGCTCGAACGTCCTGTCGTGCGTATACAGCTTTACTTATGCCGGCAAAACTATCCGCCATTTCAGAAGACTGCTGGCTAAAACTTTTCCCTCTAACGGTTATTCATTCTTATGTTCTTCTGTGTTACGAGTATTAAGTGCTTTCGATACTGCCAGTTTCACTTTCACCCGGATAATTTGCCGGCGTGTGAATTCGAACCAAACAATTTTATCGAAGCGTCTTGGCATAACTGGACGGTTAATTGAGTATAGACGAGTTGCTACAGAGCTTGTGATGTCCCGAACCGGAAAACAAGCCGAACCGTGGCAAAACCGACAGCGACTTTACCCGAAGCGCCAGCAGAAATACGTAATCAATTGCAGCAAATATAGACATTTTCAACCGGAAATGCGATGCGCGGCAGCACGGGCTACTATGAAAATGGCTTATAGCCATAACTTAGCTGATGCAAAAAATCAAATTCATACGTTCTCCTTATGCAAATTACCCCTGCATGTTATTTATTTTGGCACAATCTGTTTGTCCGAACTCGACTTTACTTGCGAGTAACAAAGATGCAACATACGTCCCTTAGCGTGGCAGTTTACGGGCGAAATCACTTCCTCTCCTTCTATTTTTCATGTGACCGGCGATCTCATGTGGCAACTCGTTCATACGGTGCGCCAGTGAAAACGTTTCCCGTAAACCTTTGCCGTGCACTCTCTGACAGGCTGACACCACGGCCTAAACAGCTATTCTTTGACCGGATCGAGTAGCAGATGAAACTACCATGCAAAAGTAACTTTAGATTGATCTGTGACCTTTTCAAAAGTGCAGCGAGCGTTACTGGTGCCTCTAATGCTTATTGTGCTGCAAAAATTTTAAGATGGTGTGCTTGCGAAAACGCCGAAAAGCACTTCCGTTCCAGAAAAAACGTACCGGGCCGAAAGAGGTGTGGTACTCGTTTTTCCGGAATCAAGCGGCGGTTTTGCGGCATACAGTTCACCAACTGACCCTTATAACATCTACTCTTACTCTGGAAACTTAAAGTTATTCTGGATATAAAAATGATTAAAATTGGCATCAGGAGGAATCTAGGTTTATCATATAACCCTGATACATCATGCTGCGCCCGCAAAAGCGAATGCACTTCTTTAGTTATCAGAAATATACGAAACCTTCCTAGTTTCTGCTAATGGTTAAAGGGTTGTTTTGATACTGATTAGCACCTAGCATGTACGAAAACGAATTTCGCAAACAGGTAAACCGTAATTTTGAATGGGGAACTCCAAAGATGACAATTCTAATAATTCGGTAAGCGCACTAATATGCAATAGACTAACCTAAGAAAACGACAACAAACACCATTGAAAAAATGCACAATGGTGGCCATTTCATTTTCTACTGCCAGCTCGCGATACCTCCTTACAAATCTTGACATATAAACACGTTGCAAGCAAAACTATCCTTTCTGGTTGTCCGGGGTGCCGTGCGGCTTGTGGTTGGTAGAGCCAGTGGGTGGATGGCTACCGGCTGGCCCGTGACCATGCGCGTGACCGCCGCTGCGTTTTACGATAACACGGGCAGAGTGCGCAGAGGTATTATTAAATTGGCTGACAGTTTCGTTGGATGCAACTGCTCCGTCGCGGTGAGTGCGATCGATCGGAAGGTCCGCAGCTCGCTGTGTTGTCTCTTCATCCCCGGCATGCTCAGCCACGGCTGCATAAGCCACCTAATAGTATACAAATGTTAGCATTTTTGTGAATTTCAAAAATTAATTTCAAGTCACTCACCAGCGACAGTACAGCGACAATTAGGAAGATACCGGTATTTGTGACTTTCATGGTTGTGAAGCCCGGAAGGCTTCTGTTGAATCACAAAGTGCTTAATGATCAAACTTTTCGACAACCAAATATTGCGAAAGAAATGATTTTCTGTGCTGAACAACAGGCTTTGAGAACAAACTTTGTTTTATCGCCTTACCAATATGTCTACTTGATCCTGTTTGTCAGTTTCGGAGCAGAGAAAGCCTTGATGAACGATTTGGATGAAAATTGTACCAATTTGCGAGTATAGGATGGGTAGTCGTGCTGAAAAGGCCAAGAAAGGCCTACATGATAATACTGAAAGTTCTCCGCTTTTGATATAACAGTAGTATGTGCCCAGAAAACCGCAACGAATAATTTTAAACGTTATACAGGCAGCGACCATAACTCATGCATGATTAAAATTTTTGATCGCAATGTCGCTATTTGAAAAACGTGCAACGCGGCATGGCACTGCGGTACGTTTGTGTTGTACGAGTACATTCTCGTACATTCCGTACTACCGAGTAATCTTGGAGATGGTTGATCAGTATCAGAATGCCCTTTAACCCTAGGACAGTGCACGGCAGAAACTTGTTTGCATGGGTAAACAAAAAACTCTTTCAGGTTTCGATTTGTTGTTCACCTGTTTTCGTGAAAGCGTATTAGGGATGATCAAGATACGCGATTATTGTTAATTGACATTTGTGTGAACCAATGGAACAATAATGTTTCTGTACTCTGTAGTGTCTTTGTGGTCGATATAGCACGCGATTGTACATCATGACTGGCTTCGAAACCGCCGGTTTACAGCCCTTTATTTTTCATTACCTTAACGTCCGAATATTATGCAGAGGCACATCACGCAGTGCAAAATTAGAAATCGACAGTAGCAGGCAGTATAAAAACAGAGTACAGTTGATCCAGATTAGTTCCCGGTCAAGTTGTTTTCCCTTAACGGAAGCGGGTAGCTCCCGGTCCAGAAGGTCCAATGGTTATAAATGCCGGAGGCTGAATAGACAGAATTGGAAGTCCTGCGGGATATTCGGACAATTAATCACCTTATTCGGCTTGGCCTGTGCCGCCGCCGCCACTTGAGCTCGCACGGATGTTGCTGCGATATGGGATAAGGTCCTGTCCCCACGCATGTAGCCGGTTTACTTAGACTGGGAATAGCATAATATTACGTTAATTATCTAGCTAAAAAATACCTTTAAAAATTTCAGTTTCAGCAAAATTATCTGCTCTGCTGCAGAGCAAATAATTTGGCTGAAAGCCTGAAACTGAAATCAACAGTAACTGGTGTTACAGCCAAGAGGCGAAGCAAGTTACTTAAACTGTTGGACAACCGTATTTTAATGTAAAAACCCATATTCCAGTCTAAATCGGGCATCTGATGTCACTGCGTGCGTGTCCACACACGAAGTGTGAGATCAGATGACCGAAATAGTGGTGGTTTTGCGACTTATCCTCTTAGAGACAAATGCGATGCTGCTTGCCGCCATTAAAACCAATTTTTTGACGCTGTAGACGGTCGGAGAGTGACGTGAAGACTTCCCACCGCTTGAGCTTCCAGAGCATACTGAATCCACCATATCTCTTCGTACGCGTCGTAGAACTGTATGCCCAGATTCCCCGGAAGGGTCAAACTTTATGATTACATAAAAAGTAAGAAAGCGCTCGTACGTATAGTGCGTGAGAAAAAGAGTTTCAGGTTCCAGAAAGCAGAATCGTGAATTTGTTTGCGTTACAATGGAGGCCTAAATGTGGCTTTTCGACTGATTTGTAAGCCTGATCGCCAACGTGACTGCCCACTTGAGTTAGGTGATTTTCGAGCACAGCAGTATTTTATGAAGTACAAGTTAAGAGGGAATGCCAGTGTGTGGTGCCGACATTTGCGCTGAGAATGCAAGACCTGTCCATAACCGTTCGGCTGGTAAAACTGTATTTGCAGCGCTTTCTACGTGGTTCGGTGAAACCGTGATCACGCGATGGGCAATTTTTAGAAACTTTGTCGAGTATTTCACCAGCCATTCATGCTGTCATGTTCGCTGTACAGGGTACAGTGGGTGTACACACTACAGTCAGTACAATGGCTGGCAAAACCGTTATTCTTTGTGGATTGCTGACCTGGATACGCGTGTGATGCTTAAAAATTAATATGTGCATTTTTACCGGTAAAATTAATATGTGCATTTTTACCGGTAAATAGGTAGCGTACCGTTGCCGCCCCAATCTTGAGGAAACACTCGAGACTTTCTTCGGAGAAAGCGCTGCGGCAAATACGTTGACAGTCGTTGTTGTCATTTCGATGCCCTGCTTGGAAAATTTAAAAATGGAAATTTGCATATTTTGTTCCTCAAGCATACCTGTTCAATGTTCGTTCAATGGTGTATTATTTGTGTGGTGTCCTTCAGTTTGCGATGAAATTCACTGTACAGGCTAGTTGATTATTATTACTTTGTAAATTCAGTGATTACGACTGACATTAAAAACCGCCGTTACACAGTGCGGTATGGTGTATTCAAACTGTAAGAATAACATCCAAGCTAAAAAATCTTCTGCGATTGTATGAAATATATTTTTTAAACCAGATAAATTATTTGCGCAAACTTTAGTTAGTGGGTCTGTAGCCAAGAGACAAAGCAAACTACATGTAAATTAGATAGGAAATCATATTATGCTAACCAGAAAGAAAATCACGACCGATATGGCAGCTGGGAAACCTGAAAGTCCACTTATCCTGCATTGCCCCACGCGACTCCTGTTTGTCTGCCGTCATTAAAACCATTGGATCCCTTCTTATCGGACGAATGTCCTTGCACAGCTTTCGCACCAGCTGGTTTCGCGTTCTGATGCCCACCAGTTCCCTGAGAGCCCCTACCGCTGCCTCCGCTAGCTTTTCCGCCACCTCTTGCCCCACCTCCTCCGCCACCTCCTGCCCCATGCCTTCGCACACGTGATACAACAGGCTCCGATTTTGCACCGTTGCCATCAGATTGATCGTTGGCGTCCGAAGCAACCGCTCCGTTATCCGGAATCGAAAGGTCACCTGCTGCTTTCGCTGGCTTCTCGTTGCTGGTGTCATTGCCCATGGCGGCATAGGTCATCTAACAAAGGTCAACAGATTCATTTCTACAGTTACCAGGAACCATTGTAGGAGCACTTACTAGCGACAGGACAGCAACAGCCACAATGATGGCAGTAGGAGTGAACTTCATGGTTGCAGAAATAACTGGAAATCGTTCTTTTGGTACGTTAGTGAAAGGGTTTTTTGACTTTAGAAAATTGAATTGTGAGTTTCTTTGCGATACGATGCAGGCTTAAATACGGATTGTCTGTCGGTCTGTTTAGTCTGATGGCGGACCTGAGCTAGACGATTTCCACGCACAGGAATTCTTGTTGAAGTAGTTAAAAGAAAAAACCTGTATGTGGTGCCGACATTCTTGCTGATTCTGCTGACTTGTCTGAAGTGCCCGGCTGGTAAAATTGTGGCTGTTGCGTTTTTAATGTAGTTCGGGAAAACTGCGATCATGCAATGGATAATTTTTGGAAGTTTTGCAGCCAAATACTGTTTAACGTAATATCTATATTGCGATGCAGCACAAATAAACACTTTTATAATTAGCTGTTATGCTTATAATAAATCCTGCAAAACCTTGACATTCAGAAGTCGCTCACTCTTTAATGATTCTATCCGTGTTTTCGCTTTGCGGTCCTGAAGAGGAGCTTTCAAGTTAACCCATGTGCGACCGAATGGTGGATGCTAATGTTTCTCCTTATATTACAATTATACAGAAGCTAAGGATCCTGCTGCTTAATTTCCTTGCAGGCTATCTAAAACAAACGTTTCTTAGTTAACACTCTAAAACGTGCTAATGCGACACTTTGCCAGCCAAAGATATCGTATATTCCCCAAAACACTTATTGTCGACATTTCAAAAATGCTTCCCGAGAAGAGATGCATGTATGCGTTTATGTAGATGCATACCAGGAAAAAAGCTAACACAAAACAGGACGAAAACTAACAATACAAATAAGTTATTTGTATTGTTCGATTAATCTATAGTTATTAATCTATTGGAATAACTATAGTTTAATCGAAAGCGTTCGCGAAACAAATTCACTGCACAACCGAAGACAGCACTATCGTCATTTGAAACGCTAGTCAAACGATACTTTCATAATAAAATTACTGCAAATGGCGAGTGTATTGCACCTGCTTGAAAATAAAATGAAATTTCTAAGATTCACTTGACGGACTCCCTGAAGGCAACGACAAAGTCCCATGTACAGTGTAATATTGATAAAACCGTGTCCGGTTAAAACTGTGTAAATTTTGTAATAATTTGTCAATAATAACAATGTTTTATCGCTTCGGCAATGCGTTTCGGCGTTTCGGCATCACACATGGCTTAATATGTAGGAACTACACTTTGAGAGGAGAAACCTCAACAGAATTTCCAAAGCTCAAGGAATTCACGCGTCCCTAGATTTTTGCAGCATTTATTAGGAGCAGTATTAGGAGACCGGCACTACGATAAACAATTTTCGGCTTTATTCGCGAAGTTCCAGAAACTATGCATCGCATGCTCGCAGTTTTCCAGAACCACATTAAAAGCGCAAGCAGTACAAATTTACCAGCCGAGCACTTACAGACAAACCAGCATTATCAGCGTAAATGCCGGCACTACATACTGATATTTCTCAAAATTCCTCTTAAACTGCTTCATCAAGAATTCCTGTGCTAGGAAATCATCCAACTCAAGTGGGCGATCAGACTAAAAGACCTAAGCAAAATCCCTATTTAAGCCGGCGTGGTATCACTGTCAAATTCACAATTCAGTTTTCCAAAGTCAAAAGTACAGTACTTTCCCACCTATTAACGAACGTTTTCTTAACTATCTCCACAGCCATGAAGTTCGCTTCTACCGCCATGATTGTGACCGCCGCTGTTCTGTCCCTGGTAAGTGTTCTCACATTCATTGCCGGTAGTTGTATAAACATGTCTGTTGACCTTTATCAGATGGCTTACGCCGCCATGGGCACTGACGCTGGTAAGGAGAGGCGAGAAGAAGTAGCAGGTGACCTTTCGGCTCAGGACCACGGGGCAGCCACTTTGGACGATGCAGTCGGACCATCTGGTGGACACAGTGCGCAGTCTGGATCGCCTGCTCTATCTCGCGTGCGAAGACGGAATTCTAGTCCTGGTGGTGGCAGCAAGCCACGCCCGAATCCAGGCAGTGGGGCCGCTGGAAGACCGGGCCGCGGTCCAGCAGGTCCCAGACATCCGGGTGATGGTTTCAGTGGCAACAGAAATCCTAACATTCCGACTAAGTAGGAGCAAAAGTCGTAAGTCCACCATCAACCTGGCAACCGAAGGCACTGTTCATGTGTTCCTTTCGATAAGCCTTCGTTTTTCATCTAACTATAAGAGTTGTTTGCTTCATCCATTGGTCATAGAATCTGTTAACTACAGTTTAGCAAAGTCAGCTTTGCTTAAATGAATACTCGAAGTATATACTGTTACATTCGCCGAAGACTGCAGACTGATGAGTCAGCCAAATGTTATTTTTTCCTCATGTAAGTCATGTATGTATATCGGCAGGTTATTAAGCCAGTCATGTTTATCGCATCCACAAAATAAATCTTCTGTACCGTTGAATGGTGCCCAAAGGTTCAAGCGCCTGTTAAGCTATTTCACCTCTGAATCACAAAAACCAAGAGCAAATACCGTAATAACAACTGTATAGTTCGATCATCCCTAATTCTCTATGGTACTAAATTTGGGTCAAACTGTATTTGCAAAACAGAATTTGACACTCGTTTTGTGCGGCATTTTTACATTTTCGTTTATGCACACATGGCATATCTGTATTACGTCATACATGCACGACGTCGCAACCACGAACTGTATTTCTACCAAATATTAAACTTGCTTATGAAGCGTCTTGACCTCTTCGCGATCAACCAATGCTCTTTTGGTAGTGAATATCCCATAAGTCGCTATTCCATTGACTTTAATACAGTATACTAGTCACTATATTCAACTGTTGTACGTACATATATGAAACAAAACTGACAGTTTCAGACCATGGATAAACGAAGATTTCCTGATTATTGTACAGCAAATACTCCATTATTATTTAATTTTGAATTTAATCATAACATGACTCAACAACTGCCGCTGCAGATCCTGCTGAAACGAATACTGTCACTTCGAATCATATGACACTCTAACAACTTTTACTGTAACGTGAAACTTATTGTTGCATACAGCTTGATACATTTGTTCCGGGCCATCGCGCTGTAAAGAAGAAAAATAATGTAAGCTTGTGCTAGACACGAAATACGCCATTTTGAATAACTGACGTACATTACACAAAATATCACAGAGCCGTTCGACACGTACCTTGTATTCCCGCTGACGCTGAAAATTATCCCATGTTGCAGTTTCATTGCCGCTTTTGGTGGTAACTTCCCAAGCGTAGGGATCATGCCCGAAGTGGCCATTCAGAGCGGAAATGAACTCCCCGAATATCCAGTTCAGCGGGCCCAACATGTTGTACTTCCATCCGTCCCTGCGCATACCCGGACTGTTGACAAACGTCGTGTACGCCGAGCAGCCTTTATCAATGGCAGCGTTGACCGTGTTAAAAACGCTTTGGTCCATGCGATTTCGGCCTTTGTTATTGACGACCAGTGCCGAATGTGCGGTGAATAGGCACATCGTTAACAGTAAAAATGCTAATGGAGCACGCATGTTTTTGTGAAAATATGCCGGTAACTGCAAAAAGCTGTTCTTTTAAAATGCGTAAAGCGTAATACCTAGATCAGAAGTACATAGCTTTTAGAAAGCCTCGTTTAAAAAAGTGATTTTTTAAAGCTACGCGGGATCGTGAGTAGTGAATCACATTTCGTAACGTTTGGATTGACGGTAAAGTAATGCTATGGCGGATACGAATCATACGATACAATCGTTCGCGGTATTGTACAGTCAGTTCGCTTGCTTGGACCTGATCACTTACTGGAACATATTGCTAGTGCAGATTGCACAGCGTCGGTTCGAAGAAATTACTGTCTTGTGTTTTCCACACAAATGAAACTGCAGAGCACAACATCATGGTCTGATTTAGCGATTGGCCGAAGGCACATGTTGTTATTTAATTAAAAAAAATCTTAGGTTTAGACAACATGTGTACGGTACGCAAGCTTGCTCACTTAAACAATAACGCTAACCGCAAAAAGATTTAATTGTTACCGAATGCTGATTAAATAGACGTGCTTAATTATCCGATGTTGTCATTGATTGTTGTGACATTTTGCCGATATGTTTTACGGTTGTCGGTTGTTGTTGTCATTTGTTTGCGCGTTTTATGCGCCAGAGGCAAAAAGCAGTCTTAAGAATGAATTCGAACAATGTTGTTGAAAAAGCGCAATACGCCGTCTGTTGTTGCGCCGAGATCGTCAATTTGTGAAAAATACATATAGACACAGCTGCGTTCATAACAACAAGGTCTTCAACTATGTATAAATACCGCGCGACTCAGGCGACATACTGCAATATCTGCAGAAACCTTGCAACCGTATTTAGTAACAAAATTAACTGCTTCACAGTAATTTTTCTGACACAAAAATGTACACGTTTTTAGTTTTATCGGCTGTTGTTTTGGCGGTGACCAATGCCGCACTGGTGCTAAACGAGAAAGCCAGTAGTAAGATGGAGAAAGCCATCTTTACGAAGGTCAACGCCGCTGCGCAGAGAGCATGCTCGGATTTTACCGCTACCAAGCCCAAAGTGCAACCACTGAATGCCTTAGTCGATGCCATCAACAGTAATCTGACACCGAAGCTGAATCTTTCAAATTTCGCATTTATCGCCACTGTCAGGGATGATAAAGGAAAACAAGAAATCCGGGACAACTCGCAACGTCAGCGCAGTTTCAAGGTATTTGCGAATTAAAAACTACGTAGAAACTTTACGTAAAAGATTTCATAAAGCAGAACTGAGGCATCCATGATATGCCTTATGGCACTGTACTAACTTACTCGAACTCGTTATTAACGTGATGTTATGGTTTTCGTAGCAAATTGGACCGGCACAAGTATACGAAGCCGACTGCAATGGATTTGGAAAGACTAAGATCACAATAAAGGTCCTCAAGATCAAACAAGAGTGAAGGAAGAAAATTGATGATGTATTAAGGAGAGAAACCCGGTTTATCAGTTATTGTTTGTTGTGTTGTGTTGACATATTTGTGATACATTTTGTGAAGCGCCGATGTTAGCACAACCATTACCAGGAATGCTGGAATAATTTAAAAAGTAGGAAATACCCTTAAAAAACGTGGGAAACGCTTTTGATTATAGTAAAACGGTCGGGAACCGTATTACGATTTTTATAGTACAGATTTTGTCGCTACATTTCCAAACAAGATGCGGTAAAATTCCAGTTAATCTGTTATAACCTGTTGTTTTGGGAATCGTTTCCATTTTACATGTAATTATTGGGCGACGCTTGCATTCGCGATGGTTAATTTACGGTTAGTTACTAAATAAACACGCAGTGCGGCAGTGTATTTTACAAATTGTGCACTTTAAAGCACTGTCAAAAAATATATCGCACAAAATAAGAGTACTAAAGAAGTTCGGGTACTTCATCCGCCAATCATTACAAAAAGGTTCTATGTATGCGACGCGAGGCAGCCAGATGCCGTGTTGTGACGCGACACTTCGGCCACGGCAGTAGTATTTGTGCGGTACGTTACCGGGGTGCGGGAACGCTGTTAGTAGGCTCTTATAATCGTACGCTGTAGCAATATTTACATGTACAATCTGTAACTGTAAATAATAATTATTACGAGCACTGTTGGTTCACTCGTGTGCGTCCTCTGATTGTCTCGTTAACGGTGACTTTTTATTTAGTATGCAGGGGTAATTAATACCGAGGCGTCGGGTTACCGTTTAAAACCTAATACCGATACTGTACAAAAGCGAAAGGCTTTTCTTTTCAAGACCCATGTATCGTCTTCTGTAAGCTCAGTTTATCGCTCTCATCTAGGCGATCTGCAGCAAGATAAAACAGTTTTGCGAATTTTCCCATACGTGCCAGTTAGTTGCGCTACTGTAAATTAAAATATACATGCACTTATGTACCGTGTACTGGTGTACTGGGTTCCCGGAAAAGCAAAAGTACACTCGCTTTCACTTTGTACTGAACTGACAATTTTACAGTTAATTTGTCAGTAGCGTATTTGGTTTATTTCCACAACCTTTCCTGCAAGCATGTATTCCATTCTGTTTCTGACCGTATTCTTTGCAGTTCCCGGCATCCATGCCGCATTTACCGTTAACCAGGACACCAGCGGCAAGATGAGCCCCGACGTCTTCGACAAAGTCAACAGCGCCAGCGAATCAGCGTGCACTAACCACGCCACCTCCGAATCCAGTCTGTCCTTGATGAGCGAACAGATTGACAGCGATCTGAAGATCAGTTTGACAGAAAACAAGTACACCTGGGAGATCACGGCTGAAACAAGTACATCTGGCAACATTCACATGGTGGATAACTCTTTGCGGTTCAATCGACGGGTGAGCAATGAGCATCATAAATACTTAAGAAGACTACGGTTAAGAAGATTGTTTAGTAGAGAAGTCGAAATACTGTACGTATTAACCGCAAGTGTTAAAAACATGATGCAGGCTGCTGGTCCCGAACAGCTTTATGAGGCTGACTGCAGTGGACAGAAGATCAGCGTCAAGGTGACAAAACTGGAATAACCTGGTTCACAGCCGGCTCGGAAACGAATGCAGAAAAGAAAAATAATTTTATTTATATACATCTGGTGAAATCCATGTCGTTAACCGTTACAGTTGATATTCGTACAATACAAATACCGCCTTATGGTTTGTCATTAAGTGAATTTGTATAATGTGTACAAATTACCATTGTGCATCGACGCTTGCTGGCGACTCGGCCAGCGTTAGTAACGTATCTCGGTCCAGTTTGATCGTTGGTGTATTCTTACTTGTAATTTTTGGCACAGTAAAGTTCCAGTTAGTCTGTTATAATTCGTCGTATGGGGATATTTTACGGTTTACAAGTATTTATTGGGCGATGCTTGCATTCTCGATAGTTGACTTAAGCTAGTTACATAAATGCGCAGTGCGGCAGTGGTATATTAAATTGTACAAAATCTGCATCTTAAAGCAGAACCAGGAAGGCTAAAAATGCTCGAGAAATTCGAATAGCGCGACGCCGGTCATTTCAAAAGAAAATGGCAGCGCCGCGAGCCAGCCAGGCGGTGTTTCGATACGACCGCTTCAGCCACGGCAGTACTTATTGTGCGGTGCTTTAGGGGGGTGTGGGTGGTAACCAGTATCGGACCGTACAACTCGGCTGTTACCAGACTTAATCGCTCCATGCTGCGAGGCGACGGCACCGTTGGGGACAGAGGAGTTTAAGGGGGAATTTTCGCTAATAACGGCGTGGCTTTCACTGGAATCGTGCGCCTTATCACCCGCTACCGAATGGATCTCCTAAAAGAAACCACATGACATTATGATAATCTGATGGTATCTTTTTATTGGGTTATTCAAATTAACAATAATTGTCAAACAGAAAATCACGCGTTACATCATTTTAACACATAATACACTTCATCAAGCCTCTTACCGATACAAAACGTTTCCTGAACACAAGCAGCATTACCCCGCATCAGAGCAACACTGATTCTCTGCTTCAGGATTAGTCTGACACTTAAAATACGGGAATTACTCACCAATGATAGCACAGTGACTGCGAGAGCCATGGCGATAAAAAACGTGACCTTCATGACTGTTTTAGGAAGACGTTGTGAGTTTCACTTAAAATCAGGTTTATGGAGATTGGAAAATTGCTTGATGAGGTCTATTCTAAGCAGCCGCGGCTTAAATACTGGAAGTTTCGCTGGATTGTACAGCTGGCTTGTGTTGACGCAGGCTAACGCAAAAGCCATTCGAGCACTAAGCAGTAAGTACTCATCAGTTTTTTTCCCGGGAAACTTCTTAAAATGTTGACACGGAAAAATTTACCGAAGTATTTCGACGAGGCATCATGCCGTAGCGGCTCGTTTTCCGGAGCAACGTGGCTGGTAAAAATCTCGAACCGGCAAAACTTTGAAGTGCCAGGAAGGAAATTATTGTTTTTGCCGGCAACGCTACCACGTTTTTACCGGTAAGGCCACCACCACGTACTGGAGGAAGCGCACAGTTAAGCTGACTCAGATTCTGGCAACCAGAACTGGAGTACAGAGTATGTGGCCCAAATTATACTGGTTACGAATCATACTTACGATTACTGGAATCAGCACTTACACGGAAAGCTAAAAAATATAACAATTTATTTTCAGAGAGCGTAACCTAAATATAGAGTGGAGAGCATAAAATACTGTATTTACACAAGTTTAAGAGCCACCAAAATGGCGGAAGCCGTAAAAAGTAGCACGCGGCTTCTTTGAAGTTCAAAAAAGCCGTCGAATATTCTGCGCGCACCCGGACATTTTTGTGGCTCTTATTGTAAATACAGCAGGTGTTGTGTAAATACAGTAAGTATTTTACTGCCATGTACAGTTAGTTATGTCAAATAAACATTTCAAACAGAACCCACACGGCATCAACAAACAGCGAAAACAGGCGGCCGAATTACTCGTACATGGAACATCTAAATCGGCCGAAGGTTCCCAAGACGGATGCCGCGTTTCCCCGTGAACTTCGATGCTGCCCGCTCTGAGAGCGATAATAAGATTACTGTATTTGTATTAAATTTTTGTTGATAAAATATGTACGTACTGGTACATTAATCGTAAACCGGAAGTCAAGACATCGCTTGCATATTGGGAGGAAGGCGTCTTCAAAAATGTTCTCAGTGATTTCTGTTATGCTCTTATAAAAAGGTCAGGCAGACGAATCACTCTTTCCTTCGACGGGGAGACGGTCAGTACACACTATGAGGCTGCTGTAGCAATGATTAAAGAAATATTAAGCAGAAACTGCAGGATGTACTCCTGCGATTTGTATTTTAAATGGGAAAAAAACAGGGAATATTAATTTTTAAGATGAACGTGGATGAGCTACTTGCTAACAAAATCAAAGACACGTGTATATGTATTTTCAGCATGTTCTGTAGTATATTTCCATTATCAAGTAAACAACATTGGTTATATCATTTTCTAAAATTTACAAGAAAAAATTACAGGAAGGTTTTCCCGAACTACATAAAAATGCTATCAACTACAATTTTACCAGCCTGCCACTTCATGAAAAATCAGCGTTATCAGCGTGAATGTCGCACCATTTACTCGTATTCCTCTTGAATTATGACTAGACCATGAATTCCTGCGCTCGGAAATCTTGGAATTAAAGCTCAAGTGTGTGAAATGCGATGATGCAAGCAGACTAAGGGAAAGTTTTACCTACTTAAGGCCGTGTTGCTTCACAGGAAAACTCACAATTCGGTTATCGCAAGGTTTCGTAATTAAACACTTTTGTCCTTTAACGCACGTTTTTCAGTTTCCGGCACCATGAAGTCCTCACGTATCGGCCTCATCGTCGTTTTTGCTGCACTGGCGTTGGTAAGCGTTCTTTTTTGTTAACGATATCAGCCAAAATTTCAACCTTTACGTATATCATATATGTAATTAATAGGTGGTTTACGCCGAGGATGCCGTTGATGACAAGGACTTTAAACCATTTGATACTCCGATCGATCCCACTACCGGCAGCGAAACAGCCGCTTCGAGCGGTCAACCTGAAGTCACCGCCACACAGACTGCGCCTGTTACTACAAAACGGACAGTTCAAGGTGGCCCTCATCCACCCCTTTATCAAATCAATCGCTGGCGTCCAGGCGGCCCAGGATAGGTTTCCCCCCAGTCTCCTATGTCTTCGTTAATCATAACCCGATAACCGGACACGATTAACATCTGTAAAAGGAAATAAGTCCAGCTAACATAGTTACCAATTCGCATCGTGGCAATATTTTTCGCTGTTTTGTATCTGTACTGTACTAGTACGTTCTCTGTGCTGCGCTACGATAAATATCCCTAGAGTTTGCCTATGCGTAATTTCAGTCAGTTTTAAATAAAAATGACCGCTTATGGAATTCCAACCTGACAAAGGAGGCCAACAAGAAAACTGCTACTCACAAAAGAAAAAAGAATTCGGGAGTCGCTGCGCGACATTGACAATACGTTCTCCCATACGATTAACAAACACTATTTACAGAATGATAGAACCATAATGCTTTTACTGGTTGTGACCAAACTATTAATATCGAAAACGGCCCCAAAACCCAGCTACGCCAGGCGGGTAGTGTGATGACGTAATCTTACGCCTTGCGCAAACGTATCTTAAACAGGAAGGCGGAGCGTGCAGCTTACAGGGTCTGCGTGCGTGTGAACTACAAGGAGCGTGCAAGTTACGCTTGGATTACTCTATTAGCAATCCGAGTAGCTCAGTACAGCCAATCCGCATTGCCAAAGACTGCCATTGGTGGACACACGATTTACGAATTGTTCCAACCCACGCAGATAACCTGCCGTACGCTGAGCACTTGGTTTCTCCTTAATCTGTAGCTTTCAGAAGGAAATAAAAAGGTGCAAATGAAATATCAGTTTCAAAACAAATACTAGTAACAATCAAATTACAACAAAATGAACTTTCACGAGAAGATCGCCAAATCTGAAATTACGCATTTGGCATGTCAGATCGTTCAGCTCCAATCGCAGTTCGCACTGCATGGCAGAGATAACTTCTGCGATTAGCTATGGTCAAATTAACGAGAAAATTAAACTGCACCGCAAGTTAGATACTTTTTACAGTCTAGAGCACGACAAATAATACTAAAAATTAATATTACTTTTAATAGAATCATTTCAACAGTTTTTTTTCTAATTCCTGTTGTTTGTACACGGAATTCCAGTTTGCTGGGTTCTGAGATCGGCAGCTTAAGAGAGGTACAGAGAACCCCTGCACACAGCTAAGTTGTGGTTTCGATTTTTTTCGGTTTGCATGCGTTTTACGCTCGGCAAGGGGTACAGGGACACTCAAAATCTGCAGTTTCGGGCCTTGGGCCGTGTTTTAAAGCGCCTAACAATACAACTTTGGTCACAACTAAGTAAAAGCATTATGATAGAACCACAAAGTTCGCTTTGCGGTTTCGGCATAATTATTGCTATGCTACTGTCAGCATTTTGTCGTATGTAGCGTTCTCTCAAACACTGTATTACGTATTACAAACACGGTAAGCTTTATTATTTCTTTTACACCATTTTCGCCAATGTTAATGAGAAACCCAAAGCCCGTTATAAGGGGCCGTGACCTTCCCGCTCAGAACATCGAAGCAGTCTATTCAAACCCAACAACCGATCAATCAGGTCTCAATAGTATAGTACTCTCGATAGACAGTTGAGACCTCCGGAGCGAAGAAGACATGTTACCATCCGAGTGCTAAGTGGGAGGCCTCATAAACAACAGCGTCCAAGCCAACTCCAACGTCCAACAACAGCGATTAACACAGCAGCTACTGTATATACTATGCAATCGCTTGCTTTGGAATTTGGTATTTCTCAGCGTGATCAAAGCCAGCGAATTGCAGTACCTGGCACTTGCAGCAGTACTTGGCACTGCAATTTACCACTGCAGTTAAGCAAATCAGCCGGACAACTGCATTTCTGGTGTACCCGTACGGAGAGGAACTCGCACATCTAGAATTGCCAAGTTGGCGAGAGGATCAGTGCTTTTCTCACATGCACAGCTGTACGAGCACGTTTTTACATTCGTAAATGCTCTAGTGACCTTTCAATAATACAAAGTAGCAGGTAGTAAGTAGTAAAGTAAAGTAGTAGTAATAATGTACGTAAAGCAGTAGTAATAATATTTTGGCATTATTAGAATACGTAACTGATTATTGTACTTGTGGATAACCAGTTGGCGTGTAAGGAGTGGTATTTGAACTTCAAATAACTGCTCATTTTTGAGCCTGAAGCAGGTGTTTCATCTCAGTTTCTGCATTATTTGTCACTGACTCATTGTTAACCCGTTCCACACGCGTACGTAGGAAGTGTGCCGCTACATGAATTTTAAACGTTATTTTAAATTTTGGAAAAAATAGGGGAAATCTGATTTAGCACAAAAACGATCTTCATGCTAATGTCCGTTTTTGTAAAAAATTTAAAGAAGGTCATTGATAATGAGACTTTTCGAACACCTCAGTGCGTTTAAGCTTCTGGAATTTGGAATTTATGAACCCCCACCGGATGTTGCGCCCACAAACGGTTTCCAAGCCAATGTACTGTATGTATACAGTTTTGTATTTTCTACTGTATACTGTGCAGAAAATGCCGGCAAAGTGTGTGGTGAGGAGTACTATGGCCGTCCTGGCTGTCTTTTCGCTCATAAATGCTACGTTGATCATTAAAGAAAACACCGGCAACCAGCTGCCGACTTACGATTTCGACAGTGTCAATAAAACCGTCATCGGTGTCTGCTCCGATTACGAGAACCTTGTCAATTATGCCAAAAGCTACCCAATGAAGCAGATGTCCCGCTCGCCGAAAAAGTAGATAGGGGACTGAATAATGGTTTGAGCGCTACTGAATATTTTTGGGAGGAGCATATCAGCAAAGCACATGAGTCAGGGCGATATCCGAAGCAAATATTGTCCGCTTTTTTCCATACGAAAGCAAAAGGCTGATGAAAAATTAAAATTTTTCGCTAATGCTTAACTATTAAGGCTAAAGGTGATTCGTTGGTTGTTCTAGACAACGGGAGTGGAAGCCACGTTTGAAGCGGAGTGCGAGGGACGTTTTAGTATAACCCTGACGATCACCAGGATACACGCACCCAGAGAGTACATCACGCCTGACATGCTAGGATACGGTTGCGATTCTTGTGAACCTTGATATAATATATTATGGTGTTATTGAAGTAGTTATCGACTGCGTTCAAATAAAGTACGCGTCAAAAACATTAATATTTTGCGAAAACGATAGTCATCTAGATTGTTTATTTCTAATTCGCTGTATAAAATAACACTCGAAACCGTGCTGAAATCATGGAAATGATTTTTTCCTGAATATCAGTTAGATTTACTGAGACCCGCTTATTGTGAGATTTACAAATACCGCTAGTGTGAAGGCCGATAGCTCCGCCTTCACGATTGGCCATTCGCCGTTGTGTTTCGCTGTTTCTGGGGATTTCCATCCCACACATTTCTGTGGTGTTTGACGGACCTACAGCACAGCTGCGCTGGCTGTAGGATCCGATCTCATTAGTCGGTGTTTGCTGCGCCACGGTGCGCACCTTAGATTTCGGCATTAAAGCCTCAATCCGGGTTCTCCGCTGTTTCGCCGTCGAAGGTACGTGGGCGCCCATAAGGCCCCACGTTACATGGTAGCAGAGCTGGCTGACAGTCCCAGCTACGCGCGCTCCCGCGCACATTGGCAGCGATCCGGTCCACAACCCAGAAGTGCTGCGTGCGGGCGGTAGCGCTACCACCGCGATGGGCCTTATAAACCTCGACGCGAAATAACTTCGAAAAATCAGGCACCTGTGCTGTTCGAATACAGATCGGATCCAGAAACAGCGAAACACAACGGCGAATAATCGTGAAGGCGGAGCTCTTAATCGGAAAATGTACATTTGATATGTTCTAAACAAATACTTAATTTACTTTAAAAAAAGCTATATGCCTCATCTGTCGGTAACAACACTTTTATAAGTGATTTGATAATGTTATGGCTATCGAAACATTTAGAAGATCAATATACCGCTGTGAAGCCTAAATGAAAAATAGGAATATGAACTAGAGTACTTCTTATGCCAAATATATAGACCACTTACTATGTACATAGTAAACCGGTTTACCAGTAATCAACAAACTAAATATCTATATAGCTCATATCACATGTACATGTACTTGTACATGTGAACGAATAAAATCTGGATGATGTTCTTATCCAGATAGATTGTAACTTCCGGTAGGTACACTCACTTATGTTTTCTCTACTAGCAGAAGACACCGAGAGCGCTCATGACGTAATCTACAACCAAAAATTGCAATTCACAACGAAATTCCAGTCAAGACTAATTTCTCTAACCAGTACGGATGACCACTATTTCGTTCTTACATGGGCGAATTAGCAAACACAAAACAGCGTCGACGTCATTAAACGGCGTATAGGCAACAACCAACTGGTAAACTTCAAACGTAAAAATCCATGTATTCGCACTAAAGTAGTACACCCAAGGACCCAAGCCGTACATCAATATGGGATGGTTACGTGAATGTTTCAGACAACTGGATCTGAAGAAATAGACAAAGCTGCATACCAGCCTGGTTTCAATGCAACCGTAAAAGTCGCCAAAGTTCACGCGTTTTTACAACGCAAGTGAGTGAAAAATGTGCCGGAGCGTCGAAACCGAATGCATATTACTGTTGCGCTTATCGACAGTCCTCCATCCGTTTTCGTTTTATATCCGGTGAAAACCAAAAAGGACTAAATTTTGTGACATTGGCTCTCACAGACCACATCTTTGTAAAGCGGTTAGACTGCAACTAGAACTGGAAGATGTTACAAAAATGAGGACTGAGTGATTCTATTTGGAAAATACTTGGAATTATAGAATACTATACACATGAGTAAATACTATACACATGAGAAAATGAGGCAAAAATGTACGAACCGAACTTCCGTTCGGTTCGTACATTTTTGCCTCATTTTCTTAAGGCTTGCGCGATTATCGCACAGAGAGTGGGAATATACAAGCCGACTATAACGTCATGCATTTTAATTCTTTACAAACGTATACTGGATTACTGGAATAATGGGTGATTCCGCTAAAAATTTACTATGAATGCCGAATTGACGATCTTTGGCCAGGAAATTGTTTTCGTTTTTATTACATGTCTTGACTGTGGCGCGCTTTGGTACATTGACCATTCTAACTTTGATCAGAGCAAAAGATTTCATGTTATTATTATTATTTAGCCGGCAACGGCAGTTTCCGTATGTAGAGAACAGGCTATCATAACGCGGATAACAAAATACGATGTACCCGTCATACGTTTAACTAACATCTGGTATTTAATAGTGCAGAGCTGTTTTACAGCAATTTTCTTTCTTGAATTACAGCAATTTCCTTGTACCATATATCGGTACCATTCTTTTGCGCGACGCTGAACATTCGAACATTTTTAATTTGCTGTCTTCTGATAACATTCATATTGCGGTTTAGCGTTTGCATGCTTGTATTGTTGAATCATATCGGTATTTTGAATAATGTCGAATTTTAACAAAATGGGTTTGGGGATCATTGTCGCGGCGTTTACAGTGCTTTTTACTGTTCAGGCCCGACAGCTGATCGTCAAACCACAGACCGGTCAGCAGATGTCTGCGGATGTCTTCCGTATGGTTAACGGCTCCGTCGCCGAAGCCTGCTCCGATTTCGACCAAACAGTCAACGCTTCCAAGCGCATGGAAGCCAAAGGCTTTATGTCCTTCAGCCCGGCGTCTATGGTCAGCAATGACGTGGATAAGGATCTAATGCGGCGTCTAGGCGTGTCGGAACACATCTGGGAAGGGAGCTTCGTCAGTGCACGGGCAGAGTCTGGGCTGGATAACACGGCACGCTGGTTTCGCTATGATGTAAGCTATCGGATAAAACTTGACACAGTGTTTGTTCGTTAGGGGTTTGTTATAATGTAAGCTGTAAGATTAAGGCGAACAAAATATTTACTCGTATGGGATCAAAACGGGCTTAAATTATATTGCAGAAAGTTGGAACTGAACAAATTTACCAAGCTGAATGCCAGCCCGGTTTCGACGTTACCTTAAAGGTCACGAAAGTCAAGGCGCTTGCAGATTGATGGTGATTGCAAGTTGTAATCAATGTCTGTAATGCCGCTAATGTACAGCACCTTTTTGCGTTCTTGTACGTTCAATGCCGTAATTTTGGCCTTTTGGGCGTGTTTTTGTTTACTGTAGCCTTTCTCCGAACTATGAATTTATATTGGCATTTAGGGAAACTGACGCCGACCACTGTTTTTCATAACGATTATGTGATACACTTACGTAATAGCGAAGAACAGCTGTCTGATTTATTTTTTATCGACAAAAGAAAACTAGACTGAGAACTGATAACTGTGGCTCCGGTTTTGAATATAGATTGTATTAAAAATTTACAAGCTCTCGTTGTAAGAAAGGAAGAGCTATTCCGCAGCCGTAAATCCTTCGGGAAATCAAAAAAGCACAACAATCGACCAGACTGTGTTTGTTGATGAAAACTGTAACGGAAATGACGGCTCGAAAAAGGCACACGTGTTGAATAAAATTGGCGACGTCAGCAGTATCGACGCGTGATTGAAGAAGTTGTATATATTCTCGTAAATACAACAACGTACGTTCGTACGGTTTAGTAGCCTCTGCTCAATAGTACTTCATACGTGATTTGCATTTTAAAGTTCGTAGAACTCCGTCTTTGCATTTCTTTGGAAAATAAGTACATACACACATGAAAAGCAACTGCAGCTATTTTACCAGCTCCACATTTCAACAAAGATGCGCGATCATCAAAAATTTTTAACTATAATTTCGAGGGGCTGCCGGTACCGGTTTCAAAAGCTCGCAATCAGTTAATCGGAACAACGATCTTACCAGCTCCAAGTAGAGAAGTAAACCAAACAAATCATTGTACAAATCTCGAAGTAAATGCGCAATAAAAGTCCCAACTATTCGTGACTTTATTGGTCAGATCAATGCCAACTATTCCCATACAGTTCTCAAACTGCATATAAACTGAACGCTAACATTTCGGACGCTCCAACCTTTGACGATGCATTCCACATCTTTCGTTCTCATTCTTGCCATCGTAGCGTTCCCATCGGTGAGTGAAAATGATGCTGTTGTGTTTTTTTATTATTTTATTATTTTCAATATGCATGAAATGTGTTCTTCTTTTCAAGGTGGCTTACGGTGGGCTAAGTGAAAGAATCCAAGAAGCCATCGCACATGCAAGCCAAACAATGGAGGTATGCACACTTCTTTCGGTACATTCCGCCTTAATTTTTGTCTGCTGCATAAAACAGATTTTTACAGAAATCCATTCGCTTTATGGCTGAAACTAAAGAAAGAATGATGGAGTTGTTGCAATCACATGTCGCCGCACGGACAAGTTTCCTGTCCAGCGAGAACGAGACTCTTCCACAAACCGGCCGAAAAACTTCCCGGGAATGGGAGGAAATCGTTATCACGGTGGATTCACCCGTCCAGTCAAAAGCGTCAATAAGCCGAAGCTGTATTTCTTATAGGAGCTTTCTCTTAATACCGTTGTCGTTGATGAAGTTATTCTATTGACTATGCAAATACTTTTAATTCGGCAATGGCCAGTTCACATAAAAATAAGCTTGCGCTGGTAGAAACTAACTAAAATGATTGAAAATTTAAACAGTAAAAATAGACTGCTGACCCTCCTTGGGGGCAAACATCCACTCACGCACCCCAATGTTAGGGGGCCAGTTTTCTGGGGCAAACATCTTATCCGATTCGTGAGCAAATGAACCAACACGCGCAAAAAGATTCTTGTATGTAGACTATGCAAATTGTATGTAGAATGTATGGCTGCATTAATATTAAAAATAATTATTACATAACCGGATTTAATAAAACATGTACTGTACAGATGCGATGCAATACAGACATTCGAAGGGATTTGCAACGCTTATTGTTTTACGATGCTACTGTGTACTCTGGTGCAGTCTTTTTCCTCTGCTCGTGCTTTTCGATTAATAAATCGTTATCCGTAACCACACCATGTCCGTTTACGAAAACCACGTTAAAATAAAAACAAATAAAAAAATCTGTGCTGACAAAATCTTGTTCACGCTAATCAAAGCCACCACAATCATGTATGTTAATCTAAAAAACTCAAACATTCTTTCTGTATCCAGTGTCATGAACTGTAGAATTTACTGTAACACGCCGTACAATAGGCCAGTATGTTATACAGGAATGATATAAATTTAATATGCGATGTAAAGCCACTTAAGCAACTTAATCGCAGTATCTCCATTAACGACAACCAGACTTGAATATTCGAAGTAGTCCGTGGAAATGCAGCAGCTGTTTTGGGTTCACTTAACGCACGTCCTAAGATCATGCGTGACACTAACGATTTTGGATGTTTTTTTAATGTTTAAAAATTTGATGCTTTTAATTAGTGTAAACCTGCGCAGGCGATTTATTATGTATGCTGGCCGAAGCCGAATAAAAACGTACATTCGAAGAGGCTTACTAACTGTATTACTGTATATAAATACAGAGTACAGACTCGTTCCAGCAACCTCCAGCACCATTGTCTTCAATTCCGTGTAGTGAATTTCCAGACAATTTCAGAATACACTCCACAAATGCAGCGTTTCAGTTTTACCATGCTCCTTACTTTTAGGAGAAAATGCAGATATTCTGTAATCGGCATGAATGTCGAACCATCCGCTGATGATTTTGAAGTGGTTGTCGAACAGTTCGCCTAAACATGGTAGAATAATTTCTCGGACTGCAAACTCGAGAGCTTGATTAAAGCGGCAAACTGACTATTTAAGCCCGAATGGTTAAGAAATAAATTACACTATACATTCCCAACCATTATTTGCAGCCGAATCCTGGAGTTAACTCTTTTTTCTTCACCGCAGTTATGACCAGTTTGTCTGCAACCATTTCCTTTGCTGCCGCGGTACATTCACTGGTAAGTGGTAAAGCTAAATATTGCTTTATCCTATTACAAGAGTCATCTTCGGCTTCGCCTCAGATGCTCTTGTGGTCTGCATTCAATTCCTTGAAAAATAATCCTTGTTCATTTATTTCTGAAGCCTGGTTTGTGTGTATATTTTTACATTTTGTATGATTAGGCGCTGTTCGTAGCTTCAGTTACCTTGCTTTAATCAGGAAACAGCATTATATAGCTGAGCGGTTCGTTTTATGTGAAACAAAATAGTTAGATAGCACGACTAATAATCGGAGAGCGGTCAGCGGTGCTAAGTTTCTAATAATTCTGCTTCGCTACTTTTTAATAACTGCGGGAACAACCTCCAAACCCCCAAGAGTAGAAAAACACAACACAAACAGGTGGGTAAGTCGATTATGATCCAGATATTCCGATGGCGAGGCAAGTTGGAGCAACCAAAAAATCAGGAACCTTGCGCGTGGTTACGGCGGAAATCCACAAGACATTGACGTACTGCCACACAGTGAAAACTGTGTCAAGGCGGATTACAAATAGACAGAAACCGAAAGGTCACACTTAAATTTCGTTAAGACTTAAAAGTGTGGATCACTTTATCGCCAATGAACTTAATGAAAGCCTTATAAGACATTATAGAAAAATAATTAAAGTAGCGCCAAGCAGAAAATGTATTACAGCGAAATTTTAATTAAGGATATGCGCGGCAGCTAATATAGTTTATGCGTATTTTCCGAAGCCGGTGGTAAATAAGGCATTATGCCAAACTGCGACAATGTAGAACACTGCTTTTAGTCGGCTTGAGAAATAATGACTCCAGTAAATGAATAATGCAAAAGATATTGATATCACTTGTTTGGTAAATCTGGCGGGTTATTATTCTGCACATATAAAGAGGTCTTTCTCCGCAAAGGTTAGCAGGAGCTGTCCCACTTTCCCAAAGAGAAGCCTGTGAAAACAGGGTTTGCCTCACATGTCAAAACGCACAACAAAAGCAAAAATGCTTCTAACCCACATTCAGAATAAACGATAAGACACAATGCGTCGCCGAAGCAATGCAATAATGCGTCGCCGAAGCAATGCAATAATTAAAATTCCAAGAACACCAGATAATCAAATGGGGACACACTGCAAATTACAATATGCGCTACTAGCGCGCAATTACACGATGACCCAGTAATAAAAATTCCTAGTCAGACCACAATACAGAGCCAAATAAAAAGGGCGACGCAGACCCGTTGAGTCTGCACTGCCAAAGTAATTAAGACAAGCTAAATTAATTATCAGTGTCAGTAGGGCTCGCAGCTCCTGAGTCTCGGTGGCCATGATAGCCATGCCCGCGTTTCCCGCATTCACCACAGACGTGCGAATAATAGCAGGAAGCAGATGACCGAGAGCAGTTGCCTTCTTGAAAGGCAAAGCAGCATGCAAACTTATAGCGGGACATTTTGGCGCCACTGCGACCGCGAAAAGGCTGACCTTTGTCGCTTTGATCGGCGCCATGCTCTGTTCGGCGATTAATCGCATGAAAATGCTTGGAACTGACAGTATTTCGTGCTTGGTAATCATTTAACGAAAACCCTTCGTTCTCAGCAGAATGTCGAAAGTCGGTGTCAAATTCAAGAACAGCCTCATCCGTAAAATTACAACGCATAGAAGCCAAGTATTCGTTATATTCGAGATGCTCCAGGAGCGTCTCTGCATACTGTCCAGACAGAGTTTTGCACAATTTAACCGCTGTTCGCCAGCTGTGAACGGAAAACTCATCCAGTGAAAGATCAAGAGGAGAAACATGCTTGCTTTTCGACCCTGGTTTAGGGCACGCCAGCTCATGCGGCCTCTGCAGTTTACGTGCTTCCGTTGGGAAGCAGTTAAAACTTTTGGCCATAAACTCAGACTTATCACTCTCAATTGAAATGACTAAAACAGAGCGGTGCAAGCATGCCGGCTTCAGATTATCATACTCACCCGCGGTAGCACTGCTGCGGGGAAGATTGACCTCTTTGCGGTCGGCGTGACCTTTGACTGCACGCTGGCCAGGACTGCCGTGCGGTGGGCTGGCTTCGCGGAAATAGGGAATTGGCTTGGGTGGCTTTTCCCGACCGCGGCCGCTGTTCTCGGCACGGATGAATCGCTCCAGGATGCAACGAACTCCTTCACGGCTTACAATATCCAGGTTACTGGGGAACTTGGAAGATTCTCCAAGGCACAACAGGGCAGACTTGCTGGATATCCCTTCGGCTTCCAGTTCACTCTGGCATTTCCTGTCCAACTTCAGTTCCACAACCACTTTGGCAATAGAATTGGTGTCATCCACAGGGAACATCCGAGGCTCTAGAAGCTGCAAAAGTGCGTTCTTGCCGTCGGTATCCCCATGAGAAATATCTAATTCAACACACAGTTCCCTCAACTTCTGAACGCTAAGCTTACGCAAAGCGGACTTTGACGCTGGCACTACCATGGCGTAAACAGATATGGGATTAACCAAAATTAGAAAAAAATCTAAACTTCATCATTGCCGGACGCAGTGCCAAGTGTGGGTGCATACACTGCGAACAGCTATATATAGTACACGCTGACCATTGACCATCAAACCACTGAACAGACAGGACAGACCACAGCGCTCCACCCACCATCACCAGGTCCAATAATATGCAGATTATTGGCATAATCTTTCCCGTCATCTTCGGCTTCGCCTCAGATGCTCTTGTGGTCTGCATTCAATTCCTTGAAAAATAATCCTTGTTCATTTATTTCTGAAGCCTGGTTTGTGTGTATATTTTTACATTTTGTATGATTAGGCGCTGTTCGTAGCTTCAGTTACCTTGCTTTAATCAGGAAACAGCATTATATAGCTGAGCGGTTCGTTTTATGTGAAACAAAATAGTTAGATAGCACGACTAATAATCGGAGAGCGGTCAGCGGTGCTAAGTTTCTAATAATTCTGCTTCGCTACTTTTAATAACTGGTACGTGGAAACCAATTTTGATCGAGGACAATAATATCCTTTGTTCAGTAATCAGTAGGTTTGGTCGGTAGATACAGTACTCGTTCTCTAGTAGTGTGATTTTTTGATTTTTTGATAATTTTTTTATTCTTGATTCAGTCGGCAGCAAGAAGTATGTAGTGATAACGAGCAACAGAGATTACGTTGTCCTACTCACTGAACATTAGTAACAGCAATAGAGGGTCCTGTAATTTCCGTTTACGCAGCAGCCCTAATTAGTGATACCTAAGCACTGATATATATGGCCTTTGGGTTGGCTCTTTCTCAATTTCGATTGTTTCCGGATAACTGTTCCCAAAAAAATTTTTTGACAGAGATTTTAAGCATCTAATGGCGATTGCATTTACACGGGATGTCGTTCTACCCGGTACTAGGTAGTTAACATTTTTTGTGTATTGGCAATAGCCACCAACAAATAAAACCAGCCCTCGCGGTCACACTGTTTGTGGTAAGGGGAGGTAAGGCCGGTGGTAAATTGAGGATCTCGGACAATGGCGACCGTTCCTTTATTTAGACATGGCAGCTTCTGCACAGTTCTGTCCGTTTGACAGCTGGTGCATTAGCGTTGTGCTGAACACTGATAACGGTTCTGCTCTTATCTGGTCTACGCCACTAACACTAAGATAATATCCCTTCCCTAAAACTTTAGCTTCCGTTCACTCTACAGGCCTGATCGACGGTCAGTATATTTCCTGTAACTCAGTAGGTCTGGTTAGTGGATAGTGTAACCCTTGTGCGGTTCTGTTCATTCGAAAGCTGAAGAACTTTGTTCTCATATGCCGGTCCGGTCAGTGAGTTTTTCACTGCATAGGAAAACTCACGGTCAGTAAACTTTCGCTTTCTAAGTTTAGAAAGCGAAAGTTTTCGCAAACTTTAGTCTAAAACTTAACTCGCAAATTTTAGTTTTCGCAAACTATGGTTAGACATTGCCTGTTTTCTACCACCGAGTGGACGAAGTGCGATTTCGCTTTCTATACCTAATATGTAAAGGAACTATGCAGGTAAGTATAAGCAATACGTTCGCAAACTTTCGCTCTCGCACCCTCAAACGCTTTTTTAGTTTCATAGCTTTCATAATTTCACCCTCTAGCCAAAGGATTTGTACTTTATATGAAAATTCTTTATGAGATATAAGGAGAATAAAATTTTAAAATGTTTAAAATAAATGCATCAGGTGGCATTCAAAAGTCTTATTATGATTCGATATCTTATCCCAAATTTGCATATAGACGCGTGAGCATACCGTAATATGAGTACTAAGATCGTTTTACACCGAACCCGACAACTTCTTTGGTTTTTAAGTTAATTTTTAAGTGTTTTGTAATGCACACATTGCACAGAGAACAATGTATAAGAACGCGAAAAAGCTAAACAGTTCCAGTGCAAAAGCGCTTTCCCGTTCGCTTTAGAGCATTTTGTTGAAGCGTGACAAAGCTGAAAAATTTTTCGGAGTGTATTCGGAAAAATTACAGTTTTTTTTTATTACACTACATGCTCTGCATTTGAATGTTAGCTGCTCCACGCAAGTGTTTTATGTAAAATGTCTTTCAAGGTCACCTTGAACTGATGCCTGTACCGGTACCGGCATCCGAGCGACGGTCCAGAGCAGATATTTTTGAAAACAAAATGCATGTGGGACCCTTTTGGGACATGCTGAGTTTAATGGTGAAATCGGTTTTTTAATTTGCTTGGCGGTTTTTTCTAGCCAAGTTCCACGGGGCGGCCGATCATAATATAGATCTATTTCCTTGATATTGATCGATAACGAAAACCTGGTGACCTTTTCAGATGGTTTACGCTGTAATGGGCCGAATTATCAATGAAGCAAGGGAAAACGAAGGTAAGCGAGTCACCTATCAGTAGGTATGACAACGGGCTACACCGATAGGTATCTCGGTACATGGAAGCCGTTGTAGCGGTTGTAGTTTTTTTTCAGTTTTGGTAGCCGCTTGCTAGAAGAGGTCGTGATGGAACTTTTAAAGAATAGTTATCCGTGAAAACGCTAGAGCACACATAATCCTTGCTAGATTACGCGTCGTATAATATTGCGTTTCTCTTTCTACAATGACAGATAAGAGAAAGCTTTCTCTGATTTTTCTCATTTACGCCTTCTGCGCGCAATTTACGAGTAACTCATGCATGCAAGGATGGTACTGTACAACTGCACTGCGTTCCGGTCTACTAATCCGCAGTTCGGTACATTTTCCTACCCGTAGTATTTACATGATATCTACGGTACTACGCTGACAGTTGATGTTGGCAATAACGCTTTCGGTTTATTTCTACAATTTTTCCAATAAAAGTGCATTCCATTCGAAAATAGGCGTTGTATCTTACAGTTCCTAGCATTGAAAAATTTACGGTTAACCGGGATGCCAGCGGCAAGATGAACCCCGTCGTCTTCGAAAAAGTCAACAGCGCCAGCGAATCAGCGTGCTCCAACCACGCCACATCCGAATCTAGTCTGTCCCTGATCAGCGAACAGATTGACCGGGATTTGAAGAGCAGTTTGACGGAAGACAAGTACATCTGGCGAATCGTTGTTGGCTGGGAACCGCATCGTATACACATGGTGGATAATACCGAGCGACGCAACCATCGGGTCAGCATTATAAATGTTCTGATTCCAGTTACAGTAAAAGTGATCAATTAATGTTGAAAGAAGCTGCAATACTGTACTTTACTAAGCACCACTGACAAACTGTTACGTTTTCAATTTTCTTGACTATTACAGGCTGGCGGCGACGCACAAATGTACGAGGCTGACTGCGGTGGCCAAAAGATCGGCATCAAGGTGACCCAGCTGGAATCATCCGATTCCTATGCGGCTGGTTCCGAAACAAGAGCCGAAAATCAGTTTTAACTTATGCATGTCCTGCAAATCCATATTGTCAACCGTTACGGTAGATAACTCGTATGATACAGATATTTGTTGTATTAACCTTTACTGGGGACTCGGAGAGCGTTGATTATTTAGGTTGGGCCAATCCAGTTTTATCATTGTTGTTGTTTATGATTGTTTGTACAATAGTTCGTTTGTTACTGGCGAATGGAAACCTAATAACTAATTAAATTGCTTGCGATGTGGCATGCGATCGTTCTTGCATGTTAGCAGTAAATATTTTAACTTCCAAACATTAAAAATTTACAAAGATTATGCGAAACTGCGACGTTCTGCTAAAATATCTTATGTTAAATTTGGTAGATGCTCTACACTCGCTAGGTGCCGCCTGAAATTGCAGGCGACTGACATTCTACTAGAAAAGATGCACATTTACTGTTAAGAAAAGTGTGCCGGTAATCGGCGCAAATTTCGTGAGTGTGTACGAGAACTTTCACGCATTTCCGAACACCTTTTTGCACTGCTTTCTAGCATAAATAAATTACTGGTCAGACTACTGACGTGGCTACGTCAGTAGCCTTCACTATTGTAGAGCGGCGCTGGTCTGACAAGAGAAAAAGAAAAAAAAATGTGGCATCGTACAGTTATAAAATAATAATGGTCTTTGAAAATCCGCAATCGTTGCATGACTCACAGTGCTCTTTTCGGGTATACGAGTACGTACATTCTGTCACAGTTGTACTCGCATGACTATGCTTTTGTATAGGTACTTCATCTTTTCATCAGAATTGTAATTTACATTATTGGCACTTATTGAGCTGACCGGTTTATTAGTTTTGTTTGGATAAAAAAAAAGAGTGCTGAGCCCTTCGCTCCGAATCTGTAAATTGTAGCAAAATTCAAAAACGCCCAGAATTGAAGAGTTATTTAGTAGGGTGACACTACAGCCACCCCTTACGCCCCTGTTTTTTACAGCCAGTCAGCCACCCATTTTTTCCGCACCCCGTTTATTATAGACACCCTTTTCGGATTTAACTGAACTGTTTTTAGACACCCTGGTTAAAACAGGCCTCCATGTTGTAATTAAAAAATATATTTTCTATCGTAATGTATTGCTGCGCTAAATTTTTAAGAGAAATGTTTTAACCACGTGCTGAATGAACTATATTTGAGTTATGGATCCGAATGTATTTCTTGATATCACGATTTCCGCCGCTGGAAAAATCACGACTATAATAATCTAATTACGCCAGAAATGCAACAAAGAACCCAGAAGGTTTAAAAGGTCGGAAAAGACTGGGTAAAATTTATTCAATAATGATACATTAATCATAGGTAAAATGTTTTTAGCATTAGAGGTGAAATGGTAAAACTGTATTAAAATTAATTTTCTTTGTGCACGATTTGCATTTGAAAGTGAATCACATACATGTCTCAAAAGCGGCTGCAGCTATTTTACAACCTCTATCTTTCGATAAAGAAGTGCGATCAGTAAAGAAATTTAACTGCGATTTCAAAGTGGTGCCGGTTTTCTGAAACCAGTACCACGGCTTGCCGGTTTCCCTTCCGTTAGCTGTTACATTCAAATCTTTATGTCACTGAACGGACAGGTTTCCTGCTCGACGTGATCGAAACTCTACCATCGACTGGACAAAAAATCTTCAAGCATTCAGAGGAAATCATTGTTGCGGTAGATCTTCCCGTCTATGTACTGATCACAAAAATAAAGCTTGGTACTTTCATTAATGATTAACCCATAAAGAAATCCCAATCAAACCTTTTTGTGCCATGGACTGCAGAATTCGCTTAACTAGCGGTAAACCAACAACTTAAACATGAATGGGCAATATACAGCCACCCAAATAACGGAAATACAGTATGTATCCGGCGCGGTCGCACTATGTAAATAAAAATTTGAAAAATTAAAAAAAGCATCCACATGTTTTCTCTGTCTGGTTGTCGTTAGTGGGGGCGCTGTGTTTGTACTTATTATTCTACCGTCTGATATAGTAAGCAAAACAAACGCAGCGTTTCCGTTAACGACTGCCAGGCTTGAATACTTGGTAGAAGCTTGCAGTACTTACAAACCAATTCCAGCACCATTGTTTTCCGTGTAGTGAATTTCGAGACAGATTTCGGAATGCACTTAATAAATGCAGTGTTAACAGTTTTACCATGCTCCTCGCATTAAGGATAAACTGCATAAATTACTGTAATCGGCTTGAATGTCGAACCAACCGCTGATGATTCTGAAGTGGTTGCACTTGCCGAACGGTTTCGCCTAAACATGGTAGAATAATTTCTCGGATTGCAAACCAATATCAACTTGAGTGCCGGAGTAGGGCGTTAAATTGACTATTTAAGCTTCTGTTGGCTCAAAAATAAATCACACTACCTCCCCAACTTTTAATTTCAACTGAATTCCACAGTTCCTTCTTTTTAATTCTCCGCAACTATGGCTAATTTGTCCGCAGCTATTTTCCTCGCTTCCGCGGTACAGTCACTGGTAAGTGGGAATATTTAAAATCCGTTTATCCGAATGTATCGATCGATGATAAAGACTTGCTTCTGACCTTTTCAGGTGGTTTACGCTGTGATGGGTCGAGCCATCGATGATGAACATACCAATGGACACGAAAATGAAAGTAAGCAAGTGACCTATCGATAGCGTGTATACTCTGTACGGTTAAGTATCGGTAGCTCTGATAAACGGAAGCCGTTATTGTGGTTGTATTGCTTGTTTGTGCATTGTGATAGCCGATTGCTAGAAGTAGGTCGTGACGGAACGTTTCAGGAGTAAGTTATCGATAAAAAAAGCTATAGCATCTGTATAATTCCGGCTAGATAAGGTGTCGTATAACGGAACAAAATTCTTTATTTCTGCAGAAAAAATCTTTAATCTGCAAAAAGTTTTTAGAATCGGAATATTAAATGAGGAGAGCATAGATATTTTGTTGGCCAGCTCTTATATTTTAAAATGCCGAAAATAACTAACGAAGAATTGTGATTTGCTTTTATAACTATACGGTGTAGGCTATTAGTTATATGTACATGTACGTAATTACTTAATATTTTCGGTCCACTCATATGTATTCGAACTGCCTTCGTTTACGGCGTCTTTTGATATATACCTACATGTAATTAATACCGAGAGGAGACTGTATAACGGCAAATGGCTCAGAATGGTTTCCAATCAAGGCTCATAGCGTCTGCACTCTGCAGTACGTTCGATTAACCACTGAGATCCGTAGCAAGATAAAGCGAATTTTCCCATACGGAATAGTTCCGCTACCGTAAATGTACACGCGCTGGTTCACTGTGCGGCGTGTTCCGAAGGTTTGTTTGTATAATTTTTCTCGCAAACATGATTTCCGTTCTGTTATTGACGGTACTGCTTACAGTTTCCGGTATCCATGCCGTATTTACCGTTAACCAGGACGCCAGCGGCAAGATGAACCCCGGCGTCTTCGACAAAGTCAACAGCGCCAGCGAAGCAGCGTGCTCCAACCACGCTACATCCGAATCCAGTCTGTCCCTGATCAGCGAACAGATTGACCGAGATCTGAAGAACAGTTTGACGGAAGAAAAGTACATCTGGGAGATCACGGCCGGCAGTGGACCACGAAGTATTCATATGGTGGATAACACTATGCGAGTCAATCATCGGGTGAGCAACATAAAATTGTTACTTTGACTGCAATTAAGTGTACAGGACATGTATAAGTGCTCTATTACATAGCCAAATTGAGCAGTTGATATTGATAAAATTAGTATGGGTGGGTTGCTAATCGCCGCTTTTATTCTTAAGTTCTCTGCTGTTACAGGCTGGCGGCGCCGAACAGCAGTATGAGGCTGACTGCACTGGACAGAAAATCCGCGTCAAAGTGACCAAACTGGAATAACCTGGCTCATAGCCGGCTCGATCCGAACGAATACAGGAAATGAAAATAATTTTATTTATATACGTCTTGCATAATCCATATCGTTAACCGTTACCGCAGACACATGTACAATACAGATATTGTTTTATAATTTATAGATATTCATTAAGTGAATGTGTATAATGTGTACAAATTTTCAATGTGCATCGGCGCTTACTGGCGACTTTGTCAGCATCGATGGTGTATATTGCTTGGTCCAGTTTTATCGTTGTTGTTTTTCTGGTTGTTGGGACATTACTTTGCTTGATACCGGCGAATAAATGCAGCTGCCTGTCTGACGGAAAAAGTGCAAATTTACCGTTAATTTTATAGCACCACCTTTGTAAAGGCGTATCCATTCCACATTGTTTCATCTGTTTCATGCGTTTCGTGTGTTTTAGTTGTTTCATGTGTTTCATGCGTTTCATGTGTTTCATATTTTTCACGTGTTTCATGTGTTTTTTTTGCGTTTCATGCGTTTCATGCGTTTCCTGTGTTTCATGTATTTCGTTTGTTTCACGCGTTTCGTGTGTTTCGTGTTTCATTGTTTTGTTTCTTAGGATGTTTACGCTCTTTAAGTTTTCTGAGGTTTAAGGTTTCACCTTCGTGCTTAATTTGTCAAGCTCAGCCACCTGTTAATCGTTGTAGCCACATGATTGTAATCAGCGATCTTAATCCATTTGATAATGACCGAAGTCCAGAAGCTTTATTTTGACGATGCTATGCTTAGTATTTCTTACACGGTAAACTAGCTTAAACACGGTAAAGCAAAGATAAACAGATTCTTATACCGCATTGTTGTTCCATTTACCACACTGGACGGATCCTAGCCGTTACTGTGAATAATTAAAGCGATTACCACCGTGATGGCTCAATTTTACCTTGTAATAATTTGCCTGGCCGTCGTTTCAATAAATAACGTAAACAATAACTGAAAGAAATTTGGCGCTCAAATCTACATACATCAAACGTTTGAAATACTCGTATCCGAAGTGAGTTGGTACTGGTTAACCGGGTAACGTTAAAAACTTTTAAAATATATTATGAAACGTTTAAAATATACGAAACTTGAAAGTATAATTATAATTGTAACGAAAATTCTGAATTTTCAATACGGAACCACCATTCACCATGCGTGTTAGCATTTAGCAGCCACCCCTGGTGAAGGGTACTTTGGTTACAGCGATTGCAGTTTGCATTCTGCAGCATGCGGCGGTTGACCTTGCTACCGGCGACGTTGTGTTAGTTTATACACTGTTATGCAGTACTAGTTAGTACATGGTGCTGTAATTTGTAATTACTGCCTATCTGCCACACGTGAGTCTGTTTTTGTTATTCTGGACTTTTATTCTTGCTTGTTTATTTTTCATTTAGTGCAGTTGACAAGGGTCAAGTACTTACTATAGTGTGACTATAGTGTTACTATAGCTATAGTAAGTTCCTGCAAGGGTTGAAACTTTGAAAAAATGATAAAGTTTTCTTATTGTGGGTACTTCTATACGAAAATTGGTTATATCGTGTTGTTTACGGCTCGGAACGATGAGCACATTATTGTATCCCATGGTCCGAGCAATTTTCAAAAATTCAGCGGTTTAGGCAATCGTAAAAAGTATTTAACTGCACTCAGTCTGGGATCGTACCTCCATATAGTGGCTTTAAGAATGATAACAAAATGGCAGTCTCTCATAATTATAGAGCTTGTTTTGTTTATTTACATTGTAGTGGCTCGAAGGCGTTCACGGCGCGAAAGACTAATCCGGCCAGAAATCTTCTGCACTGATTTCATTGGAATGTAAGTGTTGCTTGTAACCGATGCGGTAGCTGCCGCCGCTGATATCGACTGACCAGTCATAAAACTGATCATCCAGTCCTTCCAGCCACCTCCACTGCGGCTGATGTATTCGTTCGACCGCGCTCGCAGGGGATCAACAATCAGCTTAATAAACCGCTCCCGATACAGTCGGTGCATGGAGATGTAGATGAAAAAGGTCAACGAGTAGCCCAAATACATAATGACGTAGATAATCGGCGCGACAAAGTACTCCACCGTTTGATCGGATTCGAACTGCTGCGCCAGACGGAATATGCAGAGGAAGACAATGTGGGGGAATCTCGTGATCAGGTACAATGCAGCGCTGCTTAGTAGAATGACATTAATTCCGACATGGTGTCGCATTGTTTTCGGATGAATGCAGAATTCGCCGGTGTCCAGAGCGGCACGCGGTACCGCTGGTTTGACCTTTGATCGATTTATGGCGGCGCTGCGGCGTCGGCGAATGAAAATTATTAAGACGATGCTAGGGAGCAAAACGAGGAAGAAGGTCAGCAGCTGCACAAATACCTGCAACACATACTGCATATGTATGTATTGACTATCCTTTGTAGCGCCTTTTTAGAGCAATACGAGGACCACTGGGTGCTGTGAACACCCCCTGCACGATTGGGCTGCGATGAACAGCCGGTTAGCCGTAGCTCGCAACGCTACTGTCATCACAGTCTAAAATGACTCTAAATGCAAACGGCTTAAATTTAGCCGGTTGTTCATCGCAGCCCAATCGTGCAGGGGGTGTTCACAGCACCCAATGGTCATCGTACCGCTACAACTCATAGATGGTACCTGCGCGGTATTGTAGACACGCCCCCATGATGTAAGCCAAGCCGCGTTGTCCAGTGGCGTGGAGAAGTCATACTGTTGATTAGCGTAGTATACGGAATGCTGCACAACGATGTAAACGCCAAATAATACTGAGAAAGAGAACAACGTCAAAACGATGGTCCGTGCTGTTCTCACCCGCTGCAAGAAATCAAAGCGGAACGGACTGATGATGATGAGCAGTCTTTCCCAAGAGAACGCCACCAGTATCCTAAGACGACGAAGAAAAATAATCCAATCATCGTGCTCATTTTTGTGGTGCGGTGTCATAAAAACCGAAATGTCAGAGTACGAATGCTTCGATATTTCGCCCTATATTGTGTTTAACATCGTCATAAAAATCAGACGTTTTGTACACCTTGCCTCATATGAAACGCGCTACGTCAGCTAACTTGCACTAAAAATTTGGCAGTGATTATGACCGTATTTAGACACTAAAAGTCGAATAACAAATGTATCTGTATGTACCAGTCAGATAAGCGCATGCAGGCTGCCTCGCCCCAACCTGTCACTCCCGTAAGCAAGGTAATGAGGGGCTCATTGTTCTGTGCAGAAAGCGGGAGCCTGTATTGCTCGGCGAGATTCCATAGGAAATACGGAAAACCCATCCATCTATAAAAAGATGCGTGCATAACTATGGCCGCCATTTTGCACAAATTATTAATGCACGAGCATAATTGCAAACCCACAATAATCGTCCAACAAGAGGTACCAGAAAAAAATATTCAGCCACACACACAGGAAACTCGATAATGGTGCTGCGATTATTATGCACTGACGGTCTTACTTAGCCGCAGTTTGTAAAATACATGTAGTATAGGCACAACCAACGTAAAAATAACAAATAGTTATGGTTTTTTTTCAGATAAAGATACTCGTACATGGCTGCAAGATCGGCAGTGCTCGTGCCTAGCATGTAGCACCAAGCAGAGGATTTCCACTTCCGTCGGCTGTTGGTTAAGACGAGGAAATTCAAGCTGTTGCCCACGGAGCACACTACGAGCAGTACCAGGTAGGAGAAGTTGCCAAAAAGCAGCGATAAATCGATATCCTCCTGGGTAAACTTCAGATCCAGATCGGCACTCTCATTAAAATTTGACGAATTAGGCAAACATAAATTACTTGGGTCCACACATAGGCCACTACTATTGTCCATGAAAGTCTTGAGGAAGATATTGTGGGATTAGGCAGTTTTACGTGGTTAATATTATGCATTAGTATCAGCAAGAAATAAATCAGACAGGAACAATTGACAGTTAGTAATCGGAGGAATTTCACAATCGGAGGACACGGTATATTTACGGGGTTTACCAGCTTGTTGCAAGAATGCCTTGATGACAACAATTCTAATTGCTTATTACGCCTGTGGCTTTGTGATTACACCGGCTTTTGCTATTGTACTGGCTGTTAAGTTAACTTTGATCGCACAAGCAATCGATCATAAGAAAGCACTTCTGTTTGGAAAAGTACATATAGTCTGTCTATATGCAGTGTAATTATATTATTGCAATTTGCAAATACAGCATATATTTCAAATACGGTAGATATTGCAGTATATACCGCTGTGTACAGTATAAATGAATTGCATATACCAAGTTTTCTGCAGCACTGCACAGTCAGTAATTAATAATAATTATTATTACTGCATTTTGTATCCATTATAGGCACTATTGTTCGCGAAATTAATGATGGTACTAATTATCTCCTCAGGGATGCAGCCGGGTCCAAATGTTTCTACCTTACTCTAAACTTCCTAAAGTTAATTTGTTCGTTGAGTGTGTGATCGTGAATGCACTCGATACCTTGTAAATGCTGCACAGAGACATGTAAACATGTACTCTCCGACTCGCATGCGATTTACAGCAAATACAGCTGTTCACTCATGAAACCGGTTTTCGCTAATATTTGTACGTTGCCCGTTTCGGGGTTACGATACTGCGTTCCTAAAACACAATTATTTACTAATGCTGTGGAGATAATTTAACGGCACAATTGTAAGAATGATTTGCATGATGTACAAAATGCAGCGATGCGGTTAGCTTTAAACGTTCTGCAGGATTGAAGGACGTATGGCTTACGTATGTGACCGGGATAAACAATTCTAGCGCATTTTCAACATGCTTAGTTTGCAGGCACTAAGCACTGTGATCAATTACACAACTGAGCATCTGTTATTTTCCACAGGAATGTTTGTGATGCTGAAAGCATATAAACACGAAAACAAGGCTTGATTCGGGTTACATCATGCAAAATATATTTATGGATGAGAGCTTCGAAATAAGTTCGAATGTCCCTATTATGTCGTCAACAGAATCTGACATAGCATTGTTATTCTGGTACGTGAACTGAGTATCCGGCAACTACTTTCATTTCCACATAAATAGAAGCCAGTTCCTCAATTCTGTATTGTGTAAATTCGCACTTTCATCTAGTCGATTTCGAGTGCGGTTAATAAAATGCGTCTTCTGGCAGCTTTTATTGTGGGATGTATGCTGTACATTCATAGTGCCGACGGTAAGTGAGGTGTTGCGAAGGTTTGTTATCCAATTGGTTTTTCCATTAACTGTATGTTTTGCATAGCCGGCAACCAGATCTGGTGCCGAACCTGTGTCTCCAGCAAGGAATCACCGGAATGCGAAGATCCCATTAAACTGTCGGACGTGTCAGCACCCGGCGCTAATATTGTGTCGTTGACTGTTGACCAGCGCTGCGACCGTGGATGCGCCCAACAAGTGTACTCAGGCAAGCACAATTCTATAGATCTTTAAAACTGCGTAGTACTCCGTTTTCTGCCAAACATTTTATTCCGCACTTGCAAATTACTGATAAGGAAAACGGCTCTTAATTTGCCAAAATATTTGAACAACAGAGTAAAATAATAACGGTGACCTTAACATAATTAACAATATTTTTCTGATTACTGTTTTAAAATTTTGCTGTTTTTCAATGACAGTTAAACGTACTTTTACAGAGTACGTACACATAAACCTTACATGCGTGAAATTTGATGGTATCACTAAAAGTAAGCACACTGAACCAGGAGTGTGTATTTTCAGTGTACGGCCAAATCCAGTACGTCTCCTTCGGATGCGCCGGTGTGGAGTACGCCCCCTACGGACTGGACATGGATAAGTGCGGATGGACAGACAGTCCCGCCTCCACGAACAAAAGCGGTCGGATCAAAGTGGTTGACTGTTTGTACTGCGATGAGGATTTCTGCAACGATCCGACCAAAAACAGCCCGGTGCCTGGTGCGCCCAACTCCTGGCGGAAACCCGCTGCACCGGCTATCAAAACAACGTCCACTGGAAAGAAACGGCAGGCTATCTACCCGATTAATTTGGAGGGCGTTACGGGTAACCTGACGTTGGATCTGACACTGCCATGAGTGCACAATTATTCACTCTGAGCGTACTGCAGTGCGTTGCGAGGCTTTTGCTTTTTATACTGTTTCTGCGTGTGTTATTTTAATGCGGGTTTAATTTGCAAGTTGTGTTGATTGCGCCCAGCCTAAGTAATTCGTTTATGACACGCGGTTAAGAAATCGTATGCTGCTTTAGTAAAGTGTTATGCTTTTTCCCAGCAAATGATAACATTATGAAAAAATTTCTGCAGAGTCCATTTCGTTACAATTGTACTTTGTATTTGTGGGTGTTTATTGAATTTTAGTCATAGCACCGGTTCATTTCGTTGGGCCTCGCTTTGAATTTCAAAGAACCTGGTTTCTTTGATCGTAACTCAAAGCACAATTCGGTGGTAGTATAATTACATCCCGAGTAAGTCCGACTTTAATTTTCTCCAGGCTTCGAGGTGACGATTTCGAAACACACTTAGGAAGATCCGAATGTCGTAAAAACGTGACAACGCACATTGTATCTACTCGTATATGAAAATTTGCAAAATGAGAATTAGGTAGTACGCTAGCATTATTCAAGAATGTGCTGAATGTTCGTGGTAAAAAAAAGACAAGTTATCCGTAAGCTTTTTTATGATGGCGCTGGCTAGGCGCGCATTGTCCATCGACAGCCCTGTTAAATACCGCAACAAGGATCAGTACATTTACTTATTTTAGAAAACAAAAGTGCGTATTCGCACAGGCTTCGGTTGCGCCGTTTAATTCTTGCGGCAGCAATTAATAACACAAGTAACTTAAACTAACCAGAACCAAAAACGATGGATTATGTTTACTCCACCAAAACGGTTTGAAGCTGACGCACCTTCTGTTTTCAATGGCCACTGCTAATTAATCAACGAAAATACGGTCCAACAGCAAAAAACGCTCTAAAAACTTCTGCCTTAAAATAAATACATTTATTAAATACAGGTAATTAGTACACGTAGCACGAGCTTGAAGAATAGTTGCTTATGTCAGAATGGTGTGAGCGAATCCATCCGTAAACCAAGTAGCGAATCCAGGATTACGCCATCTCCTGCGCACAACAATTGACAACTACATGGATGCGCCGCGCTTGCGCAAAGTGAATTGCAAAATATCAGAATTCCACACAGATTCACATTAAGATCTTGCATAACAAACCTAAAATGATTGCCGAACAACCTGCATTTGCGTATGATCAGAGCGTGCCCGTTATGTAGTTGCTTTCGTACAAATGAGTATGCGACTAGTATTATGTAGTTACATATAAAGCCCGGTCTCCGTTATACCCATCGTGCCTCAATGTTATTATTGCGACAAACAGCCATCGGTACCTTTGGCTTTCTTGTGGAGATCTTGGTAATCTCATCTTGTGTACTTTGTAGTTTCCGAAAATGCTTCCAACTGTGCGATCGCGAAGTGATTTTCTCTTCGTATACTTTTGGCTAGGAGCGTTTTTAACGATCCAGCCACTGTGTGCTAACGGTGAGGCGTACCTTACGGTTTTTGTACCATGCTCTGAGCCTGCGCAGTTATGCAGTAGAAGTATTATACTGTAATATTTACTGACGTATTTTTGCAGCAACCCAATGTTTAACCTGCAATCATCCAAAAACTGGATCGCCTCAATGCGAGACACCCATCAGGCTGACTGATTTTGCACCTTCTGTCAAGGTAGCGGACCTTGTCCAAGCTGGCACACTAACAGAGTATCGGGACTGCAGAGGTGGATGCGGAAGACAAGTCTTCACAAGTGCGTTATATATATTTGTTATGTTTCCTTGTTTTTTCACATCGGTACGGAACAACGTAACTGCATTGGTAATGTAGTTCCGCTAACTTCCTTGTTAATTTGACCTTTCGTACCAACGAGATGCCCGCGAATACGAAAAAACATATATATCTAAGTTGCTGGTCACGTGTCGTACGCGAGATGGTCATGCTTTTACTACTCCTAAATTTCTTCGGATATATACTGTACGTATAAGCATTTGTGCTGACTGAATTTTTTCAGATTACTAAATCCAAGTACTGTACAGATAGTTCGAACAGTGTTCTATCTACTAACTCCAAGTGGTTGAAAATCTGCTGCCTAACATGAGCAAACTTAATGCAGCATTTGTCGTTGATTGACAGTTAATGAGGAAGCATTTGTTTCGTTTGGATGCAGTCGAGGATATTATTATGGGGATAAACAACTAGAAATGGACAACTGCCGCAGAAATGAAAAGAAAGCATTGTCCGGGACACAGGATATCCTGACCGTTCTCGACTGTTTTCGATGCGATGGCGACAAATGTAACAGCCCGGAGATCAATCCCTTCCGGACGTCGGATGTCATTGCGGCGTCAGCTTCCCATTCGGCAGTAAAAAAGTTTAATCTGGGTTTTGTGACCGGTAATGTGGTGGTAGAAGTCATGGCACCAGATGCTTCCAAATCGACCAGCTGACCACGGAACCTGTGATTCCTTGGGATATTTTAAACTACTGTCGTACACTTGCTAGAATCTACTCGGAAGCAAATCCATGTGTCCCTTATGTTTGCGAGAATTTTGATATTTATCGAGCTTCGGTGTTTTTTAACGCTACTCGTATAATTTTCGGGAATTCTCGTCTAAGAAAACTTTTATGTTACAATAAAAGCTGTCAAAATAGTGGAATGGTGATCCCTTATTATAATGCGGCGAAATCCCGACGAGCTAATTAGATGGCACAACTGTCACCCCGGAAAGTTACTTTTTATAAGAAAACCCGCAACCAAACAGCAAAATACATGTGCGACGTATCTTTTTATAGTGAATTTTTGATTTCATCTGTTTCCTCATTCATTTATAACCCACAAAAAAGTAAGGAAAAATGTAAACCGGCTATTTTCCTTTCGAGGTTCATCTTTATCAACCTTTTACTCACAAGTCGGCTCATTACGTGAGAACATTGTTTCTCTGAAATCGACGGAATACGAGTTATATGGAGACGGGCGGTCAGCGCAATCCACTGGCAAATAAATTTGCTCGGAGCGCATAGCGCCATTTCCCCAAGACTCAGGAATAAGGTACACTTCGTGAAGATTCGTCCTGCGCAGCAACCGCGGATTATAGCGCCACCATTGACGAAACCAGTGAAACGAACACTCACAATGCAGACGGTTAACGCAATCAAGATTTCGCCGAATAAAAGTGTTAACCGCCGAAAAATCAGCAAAGGCCTCCAGCGAGAGCAATCGCAAATCCGGAAGATCGGTAAAAGTATTCTTCTCCAGCGAACGGATGGTGGAATTTGAAAACATGATGATTCTTAGCCGACGAGAATCGCTGAAATCGGCTTTTCTAATGAATAACTCGGTGCAGCGAACAAACCATACGTCCAGCAGACTGGAGAACCGCAAATGTGCCAGCTTACTCGTTGTTCGGTCGGAAGCGCACTTACTTAAATAGAAAATCACAACCTGCGTTCGAATTGCCATGAAATTATTAAAGGTCACATGGTCTCCATCGAACAAAGTGAGCCGCACTGGTCGCAACGGAGGTTCGGATAACGCCACACTTAGACGTAATAGCGTTTGCGCTGCAACTGGCAATCCGCAGTTAAAATCAAGACCCTCGACTCGCCGACTGCATTCGGACTGTTTGTACCACGGGCGGCATACGTTATCGGCGGTAAATTGTAGCGCGCATTGTTCGGCGCTAATCGCTTCGGAGGAAAATCGGGGAAACCGTTCGTCACTGTTTTCTGAAAAATGCAAAAAATAACTCCAAAGACTATTTATCGACGAAATTATTTTAGTCGACGGACTGTATATTACTACGTAAGATTGACGAGTTCAAAACAAGGTTATATCACTTATATGTAACTGTAATACTTAATTGTCAAATTCGACCCACCATGAACTGTCAAGCGAACACTCGGCCAATGAATGTCCGTGTTCACTGCATGGCGCCATTCGCACGTATAAGCTCCCTGGTCTGTCAGCTGAAAAGCTGCGATCTTCAGTAGATAATCTGTCCCGGTGGTGAGCATGGTCTTTTCTGCGGATGGAACGATGTCTTCTCCATTAAAGCGCCAGATAAACTTGATGTCGTTTACGTCGCCCCACGTAAGAATACACTTTATGGTGACAGGACTGCCCAATAAAACTGATTCATGTGTAGCTTGCTCCCTAAGCTCATATTTACCCGCTTCTGTACTAATCAGAGGACGCCGACGCCGTTTGAGGACAGAATAAGTGAGATGCTCCCTGAAAAAATCTTGACAAAACGCTTCATCGCTATCGTCACCACAGTCATTATATCCGTCACAGGCATAGGTCATATTAATGCACTTGTGATTGTTGCATTCGTATTCCGCATTGGTGCACTCCTTAAAACTGAATAAAGTTACTCTGGTATTGAGTAATATCAGGACACTTCAAAAACTATGTGTTAGCGTCAGAATCGGCCTAAGATCCTTAATGTCCGGCATAATATGTGCCGTAGTATGCTTAGTGCCCAGCATTATTCCCGGATTTTTCTGCAGTGGTGGGCCTAGTTGCATTACACCACTTTACATTATCGCTAAATTGGTGCGATCGAGATCGCTAGATAATTTTAAATTTCGCATATCAATGCATAATAATTTTCGTCAACTTACTCGAATACCGTGGTGATGCTGGGTGGTCGTTGTAACGGATCCCTCTGTAGTTTCGCGCAAAGTAGGAGTAGGCCGTGCTTTCGCTTCTTTTGCTCTCGTCGTCAAATATGGGGTATACGAGTCATTACGGGCTTTAACGGAATTACTGCCAAATCCTGGCTTCGAAACGACCTTTGACGAGGTGCCCTTGGTTAGAATTACGAAAGCACTCTCACTATTCGGTAGAACTTTTTGTGTATCGGTTAGAGTAGCGGTTGTGTTGTTTGAACTGCCACTTTGAAACGGCTTGCTGAACGATACAGTGGAACTGGTAGGTTCTGTCAGAGTCCCATCCGGATCAGGCCAGGCACATTTGTAGGCGTTCTGCAGCTTTGCCACGTCGAGATGTGTCAGACTACGGCGCTGACCCATCAGTGGAGCGTGACGTTTCGGTAATATGGTCGCTTTTTGCCGGGAGATAGCGAAGTCCAAAGGTCCATAGTGCATTATCGATTCGATATCGTACTTGGTACCGTGCACGGACATGTTGGGTAAGATATCGAAATTTATCTGCATGTTCGGCATAATGTGTTCCGGGAAGATTTCCACGTGATCGTCGCGATCTGGTCGGTTTTGTTCGTGAAACATGCCCAGAGTGTGGAGGATTTCGTGCAGGATTATTCCCATTGAGCTGAAGCAATCTGCACTCAAGTGTACTCTGGTAATAAATCCGGGTATTCGTCCCACGTCTGCTTGGCATCTGCGAATTAAGCGAGTATGAAAATTTAATGGGCAAAAGTGTAGCACGTATTAATAATTTTTTTTCTTCAGAGATACAGTAAACGTTTGAACATTATGTGCATCAGATAGTGGCAGTGTGAAAACACATGGCATATACAGTACAAGAAAAGTTGTAGCTTAGCGTAAGAATTTGGAATGTATACTCATCCTGCAGTTTCAATTATAATCGAAATCTATGGGAACAGGCACAGTAATGCATGTACGTGCATCGATACCCAGCCATTTTTTAAAGTGTTGCTCACAATTTGGCACTACGGAATGCAAAAAGACTTACTTAAGCTAACCATAAGTTAAATCTTACGCTAAACATAATGTTATTGGTACTGTTGAAAATGCTGTTATGTTTATTTGAAACTGAACCTTGAGATTGTTATCGCGTTATGGAAATAAAATTATCATCAACCATAAGTGCCTTACCCTCTTCTTGTGGGTGTAAATTCAATATACTCCGATTCATTGGATCCATCAACACGGTATTTAAAGGTTATGCAGTTCGATGTGCGTCTTTCAATGAATCGCAGTGCTTCTTCTATTCGGCGCTGCTCATTTTGACCTGTCACGTTATCAATGACACTAAGGCATTTCTGCCACAACCCTTAGCGAGGGATACACAAAAACATCACAATTCCACTCACCAAAATTCCGAATTCCATATGGTATGTTCTTGCCGTTATTCGGCCAGTAGTTATGCTCTAGGAGAAGACCCGTTCTTTTAATTGCTGCATGCAAACTGTGGCGTCCATCCAAATCGCCACTGTCTCCAATAATGTCATCGGGATAGAAGACGTCGCTGCTTATTTGGTGCTCCGCTGTTGCCAAGATTTCTCGTTGAACATATTTCTCCAGTCTTAAAGAAATTAAGAACCAGGCTGTATGTATCAAATATCAAAAGTATGCAGCTTTTTTCGTCAATCCCTTACGTCAGCTCACGATCAGGCTGATCTAGTGATTGCGTTACCTGGAGGCAGTGAAACGTTGCTTCCGCGCATTATCGGGAAGAAAACAAAAACCCATATTTTGCAAGAGATGCCGCAGATTACGAACGCTCTTAAAGCGCGTACTGCATATACTCGTATTATGTCTCTCGCCTTTCGGGTAAGCGTTACAAGGAGCAGACGGTTTTATAGGCTAGTCATCCGAATATTAGAAGATATGCTGAACGTAATTATTAATGCTAATAAACCCACTGGACCGCTTGATCGCACGTTCGCACCAATGAAAGTTGAAAGCATACAAGACTACTTTTATTAGCAGAGGAAAAAAGCTGCCCGCTGCCAAAGAAAACGGTGCATCACTTCCGCCGTGGAAGTGATAACTATCTTCTTGTAGATCGCTCACGCTAATTATTGGTTTAAAGGCAACACTCATTGATCGGCACACACCATACTCTGTACGCTTTGAACGCTCTTCAGCTACCAGTGGGCTTTATGAGAAATGTTTAGCGCAACATTTGCCGCATTATCGTAAAAGCGGTGCAGCACTGCTAGGGCAGCTGCTGATCAGTATACAACTGTAATAAAATCGTAGAAAAATGGAAGGCGCTAAGCGTTTTACTGGAAGAGGATTGGTACAAAATAAATGAACTTCAGACGTCTGGATTGATTGGCGTGCTTTTACTCCTTTTGAAACTTTATTTATCCCTATACTCTGTACACTATGTGTGCAGAGGGGATAAAGATGCCTACTGGCATTATACGGGTAGGTTGGCGGCCTGTACCGTATGGCTGCTTTCCTGATTAGTATTGTTTCGCTTATTTTAAGAACTGCTTCGCGTGACACCAAGATAAAGGAACGCAGCGGTCCTAATCCAACTGGCAGTAATTTCTTGCCTGTCCTCTTACTAAATTCAACATTGTACGCAGCGTTCCACCGTCGCACAGTTTATGGTTGCTGGTGTTCTGATGAATAACAAATAAATTTTCTAAACTTCTTACCGACGTAATGCTTGTGGGGACGATTGGCACGTACCTGCCCCTTGGAGTGATGTTCGTTATATACTCCGTTTTGCTCGTCGTGGAAGAATTGACCAAGGCCCATCGGCGCCTTTTTCAGCCGTTTCTCGGTTTCCCTCGGATTGCGCCCTGCTTAGATCACTAAGCAGCCTAAACTTAGAACGTTGGAGTAAACTCTGGATGGTATCACTGATTGTAAAAATCAATACACTGAACAAGGAGAGAGTATTTGCAGTGTACGGCCAAATCCAGTACGTCTCCTTCGGATGCGCCGGTGTGGAATACGCCCCCTACGGACTGGACATGGATAAGTGCGGATGGACGGACAGTCCCGCCTCCGCGAACAAAGGCGGTCGGATCAAGGTGGTCGACTGCTTGTAGGAGTTCGACTAGGACTTCTGCAATGGTCCCACCAAAAACAGTCCGGTGCCGGGAGCGCCCAACTCCTGGCGTAAACCCACTGCACCGGCTATCAAAACAACGTCCACTGGAAAGAAAAATACCGGCCATCTATCCAGTCAGTCTAGATGGCGTTACCGGTAACCTGACACTGAACATCATCCTGCCATGAATACAAAATTAACAATTTCAAATAATTTCCTTAATTTTTGCTGCTATTGTGATGCAAGTTCTGCATATGTATTTGCGAGGTGTTTAGCTGTATTGTAAGTTATTAATTGTGATCATTTTATACAACTGCTTATGGCTTTTGATTGAGAAGCTGTGGGCTGCTTCAGTTAGTAGCTGTTTTCGCTTTATGCAAAAATTAATACAAGAACGAAAAAACTTAACTTAGGCCCTCGCTCTGAATTTCGAAGAACCTGCCATTACAGTACAACTTTCTTGAAGCACGGCTTTTGCACTTCAGTATAATATTATTCCCATCCTAATCAAGATCGACTTTAATTTTTAACAGTGCTCGAGCAGATTTTGAAACACGATACTGCAATTTGAAGATAAAAGTATGTCGTTTTGTGAACGGCACAAAATACTGTATGTACATCGAAATTTGGGAAACGGGTTTCACACGATTGCATGGCACTCAAGAACGCCGTTGGTAAACAGAATACAACCTACAGGACTTAGGCCTCGCTGTGTTTAGCTGTGTTTCGCTGTGTTTAGCTCCCAGCCTTTCTGGCTTCGATTCACTCCGTATCCGATTTGTTAGCCTCATTGCTGCCCGGTCATGCTGCTATGGAATTCCCTGAAGCTCTTGTTTTGTGGAAAAAGAACGCCTGCCTACCTGATCTGCCGGAACCAAACTTTCGAAAGCAACAAAAGATTTGGGATATGCCGCTATGTAACGTTTCCCTGTCTACGCTGTTGGAAGTTTACCGTGACGATGAAGTTAATAAAGCCCGACTTCTTGCACAGTCAAGGCCAGAGGCTTGAATCTGGTTAAATGCGTTACCCTCTGCTCACATTGGCAACCTTCTGGACGACGATACTCTTAAAATATCCGTAGGGCTAAGATTGGGAGTTGCAATATGTGAGCCTCACGATTGTATGAAGTGCCAAAAACATGTCGATAAATACGGGCACCATGGTCTGTCTTGTACATTCTCTGCTGGTAGACATCCACGACACGGCGGGCTGAACAGCATCGTGTGCCGATCTCTTGTGTCAGCTGGGATTCTGGCAAAACTGGAGCCGCGTGGCACATCGCATACGTCCGAACGACGTCCTGATGGCTGCATAACCTTCGCCTGGCAGAGAGGGATGTGCTTGGCATGGGACGTCACTTGTGTCGACACGGTTGCGCCTTCCCACGTCAAGTCTACGGCAGCTAACGCAAGTGCAGCGGCGTTGGAAGCGGAAGAAAAGAAATCCCGGCTTTATTTGTATCTAAGTGGCAGATACATCTTTGCACCGATAGCTTTCGAAACAATGGGCCCTTGGGGGCCATCCGCTATCGCCATCATCAAAGCACTGGGCAAACGACTCGAGCAACACACGGGGGAAGCCCGTTCTCATGAATTTCTACGCCAAAGATTGTCACTGGAGATTCAGCGCGGCAACGCGGCGTCGGTTATGGGAACGATGGAAGGCGCAGAAAAGTTCAATGAAATTCTGATGTTGTAAAAAATGTTGATGTTTTCTATTATTACAAATTTAAGTTGTACCTCAGGTGGAATAAAGACGATTTTCCTGCGTTTTTGACATTTTTTGCCGTATTTTCTATGACTCGGTATTATCCTGGAAAATGATACCAACGAAAGAACTGAGATGAGTGAGATCTGTGTTACTTGCGAAATGTTTCCATTATGAAATAAACTGAAGAAAAAACCTACAGGAAAATTAAAAGCCAGGCTCTGCTGAATACCGTTACCACAGAAAGCCATCACATTCGTTTTTATTTCCGAGAACAATGATTCGCGAAGACTTTATATGTTGAGCCATTGACGTTCTTACCAAAGCAAGAGCTAAGAAAATTTAATGATTTGACAACCCTGAAAGCGTTTAACCGCTTTACAAAAAAAACAACAGAAATCTAATAATATTAGCAGATAAATAATTTTACTGTCTGATAACCAACGAACGCACAGAGTAAACAGTAAAAGATGTACCTACTCTAAATGTGCTGGTGAATCGATGGTGAAATTGTCAAATTAACGCCCACGACCTTAAAGTGCTGATGAGTGATGTGGAACGAATTTGTCCGTAAAAAAGCCAGTACTGCAGCGACTGAACTCTGCACACAATAACTAACAACTGAACTGAAGCGTGTACTGAAGCAAAATGAATTGTCAATCAGTGGGATCGCCACAGTGCGAAAAATCGAGCATTCAACAAATCTACATTAAATTTGTTGCGGAACAATTTGCATTTGCGTACAATCACAACGTGTACTTGTACACAGGTTTTTCGCACAGCTACAATATCCATAATAGTAATACCGCATATAAAGTTCAGCCGCAGTCATACTCATCTAATAAGTACCGTTATTGCCGCTGACAGATACCGGCACTGCTCATGGCTAAACAAAATCTTGGTGATTTAATTGTTTAGAAATGCATTCAAATAAACAGCGTTGGAGTGGTCATTCCTTCGTAATCCTGCTTTTTGGAGCTGTTTTAATAATCCTGCCGCTGCATGTTAACGGTCAGATGCAGTACTGTAGTCGTTATATATCGGCTCGTTCATTAAAATAATCCGAGTCTCAAATGCTCTCAATTGCTCCTACACGCCACGCGAGAACACCAAAGGTGGGATCGGAATTTACTTCCTTTGGGCAGTTATGCCGAACATGGCCGGAACCGGCCCCAAGCCATCACAAAGACAACAAAAACAGAAAAAATTTTACGACGCAAGTGACACACGTTAGCGTTCAACATTTCCCAATTTATACCAATTCAACCACACACAGATAACTGTAACAGAGAGACTACTAGAAAGGGGGGCGTGTCGTGTGTCGCAATACCCGGATTCCTGCGTCCCTCTGAATCCAATCAATTGCTCCTACACGCCACGCGAGAACACCAAAGGTGGGATCGGAATTACTTCCTTTGGGCAGTTATGCCGAACATGGCCGGAACCGGCCCCAAGCCATCACAAAGACAACAAAAACAGAAAAAATTTTACGACGCAAGTGACACACGTTAGCGTTCAACATTTCCCAATTTATACCAATTCAACCACACACAGATAACTGTAACAGAGAGACTACTAGAAAGGGGGCGTGTCGTGTGTCGCAATACCCGGATTCCTGCGTCCCTCTGAATCCAATCAATTGCTCCTACACGCCACGCGAGAACACCAAAGGTGGGATCGGAATTTACTTCCTTTGGGCAGTTATGCCGAACATGGCCGGAACCGGCCCCAAGCCCAAAAAAACCCAGACGAAAACACGAAAAAAAAACACAGTAGATGATCCGATGCGGCGTGATGATGACGACAGTTAATAGGATCCGTTGCAGCGGTTATGAAGACTGATTCCCTGGATTCAAGGGAACAGTTACATGAGCGCGACTAGTGAGGTGCGGGATTCCGCACATCCCTGCGCATCCACGAAATAATTTACGAATTAAGTTATCCACACCAATAGCAAATCAGTACGGCTTAGGGCGGTAGTCCACCGAGCGAAGTACAAGAGTTTGCACGAAAAGTATAATAAAGCCGGTTGCAAAGAAGTCCTGTGCATCCGACGGCAATAAGGCAAGGCAGACGAACGATTTCAGTTTGTCTGGGGATTCCACAGACTGACCTAAATCCACGGCTGAATGTTCACTGAATGCTGCTAATAATCAAAGTGCTGCTCCGGCGGAAATCACGCCAAGCACTGCGCGGCTCACAAAATAAATGTCCGCAATCGAAGAATCGTGTACAAAAAACAGGTAGCGACGGAATTCCTGTCGCATCCTATGGCAACGACAATAAGACAAAATAATGGCAACCACGAAAACGATGCTATACAAGGTGAACGTGACATAGTAGTGCAAAACTGGAAGATGAAGTGATCCTTTGTTGGAATTCACATCTTGCAGTAGGAAAGCACACACTGCAAAATTTATACATACAGCAGGAAGCAATGGAATTCCTATCGCATCCTACGAATTAGGGCAAAACGAAAACGTAATTTTCCAATAGATGTGGGATTTCCACAGGTCAACCGCAAAAGGGCAGTTCCGCAAGTGAAGAACTGTTCAAAGCCAAGCGAATGATGCACAATACAATAGGGTCGAGGATCCGGAATGTTGGAAGCAAACAGGTCATGGCAGCAAAAGCGGTAGCGACTCAGTTATTACAGGCCAACTAAGCGAAGACTATGAATCCGGGTCAAAAGAAAATTTAGGTAGGAAACAGACAGAAGTAACTCTCCAAGAACATCATACAGGTCATGTTTAAAGGGGGTACCGGTTTACCGGCTTTCGGAGTAAAAGGTGGCGCGACGATCTCCCCAGCAAGGTTTGAGCAGTCAATTCCGAAAAAAATGCGTGCAGTGGCAATAATTGTGGCATCATCCAGTGGTAAAGAAAATGTGTCGGCAGCAGACAAAAACTCCTGGGCGGGTTTGACATTCGCGTCGTCGGGATGCGAAGGTTTAGCGGAATTCCGCCAAATTGGCATGAACCACAAACCTGCGTCCACAAGGCTGAGCAAAATATATGCAGTGATCCAAAGCCTGTCTCGCTTCCATCTTCCGGTTATAGGCAGTTTTTCGTTCCACATAACAATGCTGCGTTTGACGTGTTGCCGATTCATGCGATCCAACTTCTTCTTACTAACTGGTCCGACATAATCAGCCGATACACACCCGATGCAAGCATAAAGAAATGCAGACATACCGAATTATTGCAAGTTATACCTCAAAAACAACTGCAAGTTGTCAGCAAAACGACGCTCGAAATCATGATGGCGCGTAAATGCTAAAGGTCACGAAACTACTATTCAGAAGTACTGCTACACAGTCGGTATACGAAATACCGGCATAAAAAAAATTTTACGACGCAAGTGACACACGTTAGCGTTCAACATTTCCCAATTTATACCAATTCAACCACACACAGATAACTGTAACAGAGAGACTACTAGAAAGGGGGGCGTGTCGTGTGTCGCAATACCCGGATTCCTGCGTCCCTCTGAATCCAATCAAGTATCTGCGCCAACGGATTAGCATTGACATCCAACGCGGGAACGCCGCCTCAGCCATGGCAACAGCACCAGCATCGGCTAACTTAGACGAAGTGTTCTGCGTGATTAGGCCGCCCATTTCCGTGATCGGCTGAGCTGTGTATTCAGTACAATTCTTTCACTTTTATAGAAAATTTGTGACAAATAATCATGTACTTTGGTAACTTTGTTGTGACAAATACTCATGTACTTTGGTAACATATCATTCAGTACCAGTACTCCTTTATACCGTGGCAAAAGTGTCTTTTAGACTAATGCTGCACTTCGCAGTAAGCAATACTCATATCGTATTTTTACAACAGGGGATTGTTTGGTCTGCAAGCATCCACATGATGGATCGCCTCAGTGCAGTACACCGATCAGACTTAGCGATTTCGCTCCCTCTGTAAAATTAGAAGACTTCGTTTACGCCGGCACGCTAGAATACCAGCACTGCGACGGGGAATGTTGGAGGCAAGTGTTCTCAAGTAAGTCTTTTGAAATATTCCTGGATCAAGTAAATGCAAAAGAATAATTGCGCATTTTTCTGAAAATTTTGCTTTTTGGTGCTGACAGTTAAAACTAAGCACTGTATAATTAAGGTGAAGTCCAATGTCACCGTACTAATTTTTTGGTTGGTTAACAGTCAATGAGGAAGTATTCGTTTCGTTTGGGTGCAGTCGGGTACACAACTTGTCTTATCGCGAGAGGCTGCTGGACATGGACAAGTGCCGCAGAAACGAAAAGAAAACGCTGCCGGGTACACAGGACATCACGACCGTTCTCGACTGTTTCCGATGCGATGCGCAGAGGTGCAACAGTCCGGAGATCAATCCCTTCCGAACGTCGGATGTCGTGGCAGCAGCTGCTTCGCATTCTACGGTGAAAAAATTCAACCTGGGTTTCGTGACCGGCAATGTGGTGGTAGAGATTATGGCCCCGGACACTGCCAAGCCTAACAGCCAGACCGCAAAACCGCGATTCCCCGTTTTTTTCCTATGAGAAAACTGCTGCTACATCAGCTTGAATCTAAAAAAATATCTGTTTTTAATTTATGCGGTATACAGAAATGTACAGATCTATATTATGCTTATTTCGAGTGCTGTACATTGCTCTAATGTTACTGGACGTTCTGCGACATTATTCTAGAGCTCGATGCTTAGAAGACATTAATTTGCTATAAAAATACGGCTTTTAATAAGGCATGCCCAAAAACTACAAAGTGGTGACTACACTTTCTTAGCCTTACCAGAATTTTGTCGTTTGCCTGTGAGTCACATTTTATTGGCAATTTGATAGACAAGAAATCGCTTAATACGGCGCTTGCCCAATTGTGCAGGTCTCCGTGATAATGCCGCGTGTTAGCCTTTTTCCTTTTGTAAAGGACCTTTACAAAAGTATTGAGCGCTGCGTAAATAAGTTAATTGCCAGCACAATTCGGTTCCTAGATGAAACCAAGCGCTATCCGTAGACTTACAGCTGATTGACATACACAGGGGTGCTGCTGTTCGATTGGGTAAATGGATCCGTTGATTTGACATCTTCACATGCTACTACGCACTCTTGCAGATTAAGCTGCGGGTAATATCAGTATTCAATTTCTTGATGATGGTGTAAAACTGTACAATGTGGATAATCATACAGATGCCTGAGGCACTATGGATTGCCGGCTTAAGGTACGGTTTCTGCTATGATGATCCTTGTTTCTCTGATTTTGAGATTTGCTTTGCGTGACACCAAGGTAAAGGACCGTAACGGCAATCATCCAACTGGCAGTAATTCCTCATTTGTTCTCACCCTGCTTAACACAGTTTATGGCTGCTGGTTTTCTAACAAACAACAAATATATTTTCTTGACGGAATAAGTCTTACTAGCGCATAATCGTCTTCATAACGCAGAAGCCTTTTCGATTACTGTATTACCGGCGTTATTTCAAACGATCGCTTACGCTTGGGCACGAGTATAGTGCGAGGGAATTTTATAAGATACCGGTAAATTTTGTGTACACCTGTACATATCGCATAATTCCCGTCAGTGGAATGTGGAATGCATGCTGTCCATCACCCGTATGGAACAGCACCGTAACCCCATCCGAACTTACAATCTGGATCACATCGCAGTTGATTATCGGCCTTATCGGTGCCGTAATGATCGTCCTGCTAATGATGACCATGTCAAAACTTCGCAAACTCACCACATTCTCCGGCCGGCTGATTCTCCAGTCATTAACTATCGATCTCGCCTTCTGTTTAATCGCAAATCCAATGATCAACGTCCCTATCTATCTTACCCAGATACATAGAGAATTCATCTACCACTGCATTCCAGCCAGTTTCGCCTTAATCGTCGTTATTCATGCTGGAAGCTGGACAGGAATGGCTCTGTCTGTTAACCGCTTCTTCGCCATCGTCGCGCCGTTCTGGAGCAAGAAGTTTCAGTCACAGCGGTACGCCATAATCGTCCCAATATGTGTCCTGTGTGTTGCGATTGGATGCAACATTCCCCCACTGTATTCCGCGGGATTAACCCACGGACGTCTGCAGTCGGGTGGCTGCGGATGGGTCCATAAAGACGGCGCCACCGTCTCGCTTATTGGGACGATCGGCACGTATCTGCCGCTGGGAGTGATGTTCGTTATATACTCTATTTTGTTCGTCGTGGTAGAACTGACCAAGGTATCGAACCGGCGACAGAGTATGGCTGGCGGTGATCTCCCTCAGAATCGCATGCTACAGCGCCGGCTGCGTATTACCAAGGCGTTGTGTTTATCGTTTATCTGGTACTGCATTTGCACACTGCCACCGGCGATTCTGGTTATGTTTTACGCGGAATGGTGGAACACGGAGATACGCTGGTTATTGTGCACGAAGACCGCCCAGGTGTTGGCATACGCTGCCAGCCCGGTAAGCCAATTAATGAAACTGTAATCTACAATTCACTTCAACGGCACTTGATGAGTTAAGAGAAATGGCCGGTACATGGTGTCAAAAATGGGATAAATACGCTAAAACTTTGGCTTTCGCGCACTCCAAATCACTTTTTCGTAATACTTTATGTCATTCTAAAGGTAAATTATTTGTATACATTGTTCTGAAAACCGTGTGCGTGTGTCTTTGCAGCAACGTTTCAAGAAAATCGGGTAATAACCAGACTTTTGGTACACACCAATGCATTTATACTTTCCACCCATTTTAGTACGCTATATCTCGGCAACCGGATGTTGCGCGCGCATACGGTTTTCAGAACAATGTATATAAATCATTTAGCTTAAGAATGACATAAAGTATTACAAAAACGTGATTCGGAGCGCGCGAAAGCGAAAGTTTTAGCATATGTATCCCATTTTTGACGCTATGTACCGGGCCATTTTCCTTAACACTAATTTTTATTCTTATTATAACTGGTTGTCTTTGATAGGTGTTTTTCTTTGCGGTCAACGGCCAGTACAGAATTCAACTGAAGAAAATATGTTTGGATAGGCTGGTTTTCCTTGGCCTTTATCCTCGCCGCGGAACACATAGAAGACATAACGCTACCCCACAAGAAAATATGGAATTAAACCCGGTTGGCTGTAGCCGGGAGGCACTTTGAGCGTACGTATTTTTCGTGCTACGCGCGTTGCTTGAAGTCGTACGTACGTTTCCGAGGTTCCAACTGATGTTTCGCAAAGTACTTACAACAATTGACATGTATGACGTATCTGCAGCTTCTATTCTGATTGCCTCGCAGAAATGTCAAAACTGACGAAACCAGTCACGATACAGCAATTCCAGGTGGCACTGATAGCTCGTCATTAAACCACTGTATAATCAGTTTTTGTATCACATTAACAACTTTACATAAAAAACTGATGGTGGGTACTTTGAAGTTTGAATTATGGGCAAACACAATCTAGTCACCAGTTACCTCTCTACGCCCCATATCGGCACATGTGACATATCGCTTTACTAAGTCACTAACGTGCGCTTTACACGAAGTGCCAACTCTAGCACTTTCACACCGACCGCGTTATGGAAAATTCACACAGTCAATGCACGGTGTAGTATGTGGTTTGTATTCAAACAAGTGCAGGTTTATCATTTTATGCAAATGGCTTTCTGATTAGCTGCTGCGGAGTGATGTTCCACGGAAATACTTTATAAAGGATGACTGGACGGTTTCGAAAAGGCTGGCCTTCTATATAAACCTTGAAACTGCATTCGCAGATGAGCGTGGCAGTACTAGTGGTAGCAATAGTTCACAGTTCCTTTCGGTTGACTGACGGTTCGTTAAGGTGTCCTGTGACCTTTCTTAAGATGCTCGGCTCTTTGATTCTTATTATTATCGTTGTTGTTGCCAGTGAGTCGTCGGTAAGTTAACACAGAACTGTAATTTACATTAGAATTACAAGTACGTCGCCTGTTGGTTAGATGTTTAAATTTAAAAAAACTATGACTGGGTACAAGAAAAGTCGGCTTTTTATTGGTCAGTTCCATATACCGCGTCGACGGGAAGTACTGTAAAAAGCCAATAACATAAATAGATCTTCTTAACTTATAGAAAAACTTTTGCTTGCTAATGCGGCCGGTAATAAGCCAGAGCCTAAAGTTTATACAAGGTTGTATAACTTGTATTACTCTTTTGTCTAGGGTGCTGCTGTCGGTGACTGCTGGAATCGTGGACCAGGTGGCAATGGCAACCGCGGACAAAGTTCCAATGGATTCCGCGGACAGGGAGGCAACGGATTTCGTGGTCCGGGTGGTAATGGATTCCGCGGGCAAGGTGGTAACGGACCGTACCGTGGGCCAACCAACGGCGGATACTCGGGAAACTTTGGCGGATATAGAGGATGCAGAAATAATGGCGGATTCCAGTCGTCTGGTCCCGTCATCGTCGGCACTCCTATCGCTGGATACCCTGCTTCCGGCGCCACCGCTGCTGGCTACCCCGCCCCCGCGGCCCCCTCCAATGACTACCCCGCCTACCCTGACTACGGTACAGGCACCGCCAGTGCACCAAATGCCCCCACTGCGGTCCAGACGCCCCAGGGAGTGTGGATCGGCAGCTCCTCCCAAAGCGGCACCCCTAATACACCCCCCGCTGTCACGGCCTTCTCCGCCCTGCCATCGGCAGCCCGGAACGCCAACTATCCGGCTGCTGCAGCCCGTTCGGCAGCGAATCAACAGCGTGGATCACCGAGTCGGCTGGCCGCGCAGGGGCTGCTGCAAAGCGCTGCCGGGGGTCAATCACCCATTCAACTGCAATGATGAAGTAAATCTGTCGACTACTCGTAGACTTACTGTAGATTGACTTGTCATAGACAACCGGAGCGTACAAGGATTGTATAGCCGCATTACCCCGTGAAATCAGTAATCTCTATTTTGTACAGCAGCAGATTTTGCGTCATTGGCGCCGGTGGTATAGCGTTTTAGCAGTCTTCTTGGTACCGGAATTTTCAACGCAGCGACAACCGGCTGCCGTTGTTACTTATCTTTATAATTAGGTACTTATTTGCATAAGCAGCGCGATCTCAGTTGGACCTAAAGTTTTCTTTATTGAGTGCCTAATCGAGCGTCCATGGTAGTGCGCCCATTTCCCGCGTATATATCAAACCACTTTAAATAAAGTTTTAAGATTCACATACACGAACAATCCTGTGTACAAAGTATGTGAAAGGTGAACTGATCTATTTAGGCACGTTTTTCTAGACGTTGTAATTGTGCAGATAATCAACGCCGATCGCAACGAAGAAAACTCTATTCAAAGCAAAGTTGTTGAGAACACACAAATTTGCTGAAATTATTATTAAATGTCATATCTGCTGTCTAATACCACTGCTACCAAAGGTAATCGCATCCGGAGTTCATGGTAAAATGCTTATAAGCTTTAAGCTTGGTCCGAATGCGTGGATCGCAACACGTAAGAATCGCGTACACTAAACTCTGAGTAAACTCTATAACATGCACGATGTTGAACACATTACCGTAACTGCTAAATTCTGCATCATTATCGACACAACTGCGGACAAAAACCTTGGTAGTTTTAGTATCTTATCTAGGTAAATGTTAGTTGATTGGGCAAGCAGTTTTGTCACTCGCAAGCCGGTTCATGCAGTGAAAACTCCGTCTGTGTGAAATCGATGGCATAAGTACCGGAAGGAAGCGGATTGTCTTCGCAATCCACCGGCAGAAAAACCTGCTCGGGTCGTTTGGCACCATTTCCCCAGGAATTAGCTATTCGGTACACTTCGTGATCAGCCGCTTTGCGCAGCAGCCGGGTATTAGTGCGCCACCATTGTCGATACCAGTGAAAAGAACATTCACAGTGCAGCTGGTTCAGGTAATCACGTACCCGCCAACTAAAGGTGGTCATGGCGTAGAAATCCGTCTCCAGCGACAACAGCCGTAAATCCGGAAGATCGGTAAACGTATCCCTTTCCAGCGACTGGATGGTTGAATTCCCGAACATGATCACTTTCAACCGAGGTGATTCGCTGAAATCGGCTTTTCTAACATATACAGTAATCCGGTGCAGCCGCGAAACCATACATCCAGCAAATTGGCAAAGCCCAACTGTGTTATCTTACTCAATGCACGGTCCGAAAGACATTTGTTCAACTGGAATACGACGACCTGGGTGCGAACTGGCGCGAGATTATCAAAGGCCACGTGATCGCCGTCGTACAAAGACACCCGCACCGGTCTCAATGGGGGTAAGGATAGCAACACACTCAGGCGCCGAAGCGTCCTTGATGGCGTTCGTAAGCGTCCGCAAATGATATCAAGTCCCATTGCGCTTTCACACTTTTCTAATGTATACAAGGGTGCTCATATATGACTGGAGGTAAACTGCAGAGCGCATTGTTCAGCGCTGATCGGTTCGGAGGAAAATTCGGGGAATGGCTCCACAGTTGCTGTCTCGTTGGGTAGGGTAAAGGAACCAGGGCTTTTACTTGCATAGCTGAAGTACCCAAGTTATTTGTAACGGCTGGAGTTATGAAGTCTGCCAGTAATCTGTTAGACCTCGAAAAGGTCCTTGAAAATTCGTCATTTTGTGATAACTGGCTACGTATTGTAGAAATTCGTTCTATGGTACTAGAGAACGTATCCGTGTCGTTTACGGGAAGGAGAACTTCACTGCTCCGCAGAGCACTGAGAGCAGCATTTTCACTCGGCAGAGTCGAAGTCATGCTCAACGTACTGCTTAGAGAAGTCGTCGTAGTCGTCGAGGTTAAACTGGTGGAAGAATACGGCCCTTTCAGTCGATCGTCGCCCGGATCAGGCCACTCACATTTGTACGCGTTCTGCAACTTGGCCACATCCAAGTGTGTTAAAGTGCGCCGCTGACCCATCAGTGGAGCGTGCCGTTTGGGCAATATGGCCGGTTGTGCAGAGGACACCGCGAAATCTAGTGCTCCGTAATGCATTATTGATTCGACGTCGTACTTGGTCCCGTGCACGGACATATTAGGCAAGATCTGAAAATTGGCCTGCATTTCCGGTACGATGTGCTTGGGGAAGATGTCAATGTGCTCGTCGCGGTCTGGTCGGTTCTGCTCGTGAAACATGCCTAGAGCGTGGAGGATCTCATGCAGGATTATTCCCATGGAGGTGAAGCAATCGGTGCTCAAAAACACTCGAGTACTAAATCCAGGCACCCGTCCGACGTCTGCTTGGCACCTGTGAAAAAGCCACAATGCTTACATAATTATTCAGTAATTCGTTTTATGGTCTTACCCTCTTCTTGTCGGCATAAATACGATATATTCTGATTCATTCGCAGTGCTGGCACGGTGTTTAAAGGTTATGCAGTGCAAAGTGCGGCGTTCAATAAATCGCAGTGCTTCTTGTATCCGAAGTCGCTCATTTGCCCCTACAAGATGCGCCTTCGTCAGGAGGCTTCTTAGCTAAACGCAAAAAGGATTTCAACGTAACTCTAACGTACCGAAATTCCGTATTTCATATGGTATGTTTCTCCCGTTATTCAGCCAGTAGTTATGCTCCAGAAGAAGACCCGTCCGTTTAATTGCGGCATGCTGACTATGTCGTCCATCGGAATCGCCGCTATCCCCAATTATGTCGTCGGGATAGAACGTACCATCACTCATCTGCAGTTCGGCGGTCTCCAGGATCCTCTCGTTGAACATGCTTCTCCAGTCTTTGTGAGATTAAAAACTGGGCTCAGTGAGATGATAAATAACTAAGAGGCATTTCAACGCTGTTGTGAATGCGGATTTGCAATTTGACTGTCATTTGACCTGTAGAAACGTACCTGTAGGCACCGAAACATTACTTCCGCGCAGTACCGGAATGACGGTAGAAAACCATAATATCGTGAGGTACATCGGAAAAGACATTACTGCTACTGCTTACAAAACGTAAATAAATCATGTACGCTCCAAAGCGGGTATAGTATAATTTTTATTGATATTGTGGAATACGACATGGATCACTTGCACTACTTGCATGTATGCAGCCTAGCCTGGAAGGTGGTACCAGATTTTGCGCACTGGCTGTTTGCACGTCCGCTGATTACAAGACTGATAATGTTCTTAGCGGATTGAAACTGCTGCAGGTTCTCGGTGATGTTTTGCCGAAATAATGGTGCATCACTTCCGTCGCGGAAACGATTGCGATCTCTTTGGTGGTGCATATATCATACATCTTTTACCTCTGCGACAAATGCGCAGTCTCCACTTGCACAACTTTTTTTAAGGATCACTCCAAGCGCAGCTGTTACTTTCTAAGCACAGTGTCAAGATTTTTAACATTCCTGCATTCAGGAATGCAGCTTATGAAATCGGGGGCGTTTTTCCGTCCAAGCATTAGCTCTGTACAGACGACCATAATCAGTCGATGTCGCACCCGCCACGCCTGTTTGTTTTACAACCTGTGCTATAATTGAGCGGGAAATCCCTCACCACTTTTTAACAACGCTATAACCGCCATAGTGCCATAACCGGCTTTTGATGTAGGTAACTATGATCACGAGAATCTGCCGGAATCTATGAAAATGTACCAAAGAATTTGCACGATGTGCAGTTGTCTCTCTATTCGGCTGGCTTAGAAAATTGTTTGTCATCGAAAAAAAGCAGTTCAGGTCGAACATGTCACACGGCTTGTAGCAACTGTACAAAACCGGTTTAAGCATCAAAGACACATACTGTGGTGCCAAGTGAATTCCGCACCATTTCGTAAAGCGTGTTCATCTACAGCGGCTCACGTAAAGTGAGGCGAGAAGCGGCTCACGTAAAGCGACAAAATCTTTCAAAGGATTTCAACGTATTGCACGTGGTGCAGTGGTACTGCCTACGCGGATCTAACGACGTAGCCGGGGTTCGATTCCCCATCGGCGCCTTTTTTCAGCCGTTTCAGTTCCAGTGGATAGCGCCTGCTTATTTGCAGTATCATGGTTGAGTTGGGCCTAGTGCGTTAGTGTGCCTCTACATCCCTGCGGACGAAAGCCGCACTGGAAACGAGAACGAGCCGGGAGCGGTTATCGGGAAGCCGCCTAAACGAATAAAGAAAAAACGAATAAAAGGATGCGGTAATTGCAACCGCTTAGGAGGATGCGGTGAGCCGGAGCCGCCGCTTAAAAAGGATCGCTTAGTCTCGCTACGAGGACGTAGCGAAAGCTGCAAAGGGGTGTGAGGCGAAGCGGCTCACGTAAAGCGACAAAATCTTTCAAAGGGATTTCAACGTATTGCGCCGTGGTGCAGTGGTACTGCCTACGCGGATCTAACGACGTAGCCGGGGTTCGATTCCCCCATCGGCGCCTTTTTCAGCCGTTTCTCAGTTTCCAGTGGATAGCGCCCTGCTTATTGCCGTATATCACGGTTCACCGTTCGCTGAACGCGCTGAACAGCGTCTGGCTGCCAGTAGCAGAGAACCGAGCTCTGCTCACTTTAAAAACTGTTACTGCTTCACAACGGCTTTCTGACAAGATTTCAAGAGTTGAATCCAATAAAAAATTCATTTTTACAATATAAGTTTAAAAAATATGCTGACTGTATTACAGCTTAGGACAAAATGGTCGCATACCCAACATCTCCACATTCAGTACGTATGCAGCGCAGTGCACTGTACGACTGTGTTCAAAATATCCGTTTCGTACAAGTGCACTGCACCGCTTGCGTACAGAATGCTGGGTATGGGGCTATGCGACCATTTCGTCCTACATTGTACGTATTATTTAATTGCTGGCTCGAACTGGTTTTACGTACCCGCCTGTACTACTGAATATGAATTACTGCATTCGCTCGTTCAGTAAGTTCAAAAGCCTGTTCACTGTCTAAGACAGTGAACTCACTGAACGCTAAAGCCGTCCATACAGCGCTTGTGGAGAATGCTGTACGAAAAAGTGCGGAATTCACTTGGCACCACAGCTAAAATTACCAGCTAACACCAGTAGCTAAAATTTATTTGCAAAACACGCGGCACGGTCGTCAGTGAGGCTGGCCGGAAGCTGACTAACCTTTCTCCCGGCTGATAACGCACAGATATCCCCTTGCGGTTAAGCAGCATAACACAAGGTCATCGCAAGAGTTTAATAGCAAGTATACAGTACACACAGCAAGCTGATGTGCAAGAAGAAAAGGACAAGAAACAACTAGCAAAATTTTGGGCAAGGTTGCAGCAAAACTAAGATAATTCTGGCTGTGGGATGTGGTCGGTGAAAGGTACAGAAATTAAAATTGTGATCTTCATGAATACAACAGCCAATAAGCGGCGAGAAAGGCACAGTAAAGTAGCTTTTGTAATGGGTGATATCGCTAAGTAGCCTAAACTTAGGAACAATGGTTCAGGAAAAAACCGAAAATAACCGATACATGACTGTATATTAGAATTTAGTACCACCTTTTCCAGTTTTCTAATCGTGCTGCGATTTGCACTTTCTGGTTCTACGTTCTACCGCTTATTAATTTGTTTCATATTCATATGGAAATATGAATATGAATGGAATATACTAATTTCATAACATTCAGGACTCACATGCGCAGTACTAATTTTATAACATCTTTTGGATAGACAAGAAAGCAAAGAAAGAGTCGGTTTACGTTAAAAAAGTAAAATTATATAAATAGCTCTTTTCACCCGCGATTCGCCCTCTGCAATCCTTGCGCTGCCAACCGCGCTGGCGAGCCACGTGGTTGACTAGGACCTGCAGGTACCGGATTACTAGCGTAGCTGATTAGCTGTAGTGGGGACTGGGGCAGGCTGGAGCGGCTGGTGGCAGCTGACGGTTGAGCGTTGGAGGTCGCCGCAGCTGCAGGGTTGCTTGATGTTGAAGCCGCGGCGCTAGACGCTGCCGTCGGCGTATTCGCAGCCGCGTTCCTACTGGCGCTGGCTGCATCAGAGGCATAATAGCTGCCATAATCCGGATAGCCTGCTGGGGAGGATGCGGAAAAATAGCCTGGAGGGTAGCCTGGTGGGGAGGATGCAGCGGAAGGATAGCCTGGTGGGTAGCCAGGTGGGGAGGATGCAGTGGCAGGACTGCTTCCAGTGTTGCTGGCTGATGAGGGATATCCGGCGGGTGCGCTTGCGCTGGGGGATGGATAGCCGCTCGAACTGGATGGGTATCCGGAATTGGCAGAGCTGGAGTACTGTCCGCTGGTGCCTTGTCCACGTTGTCCACGCGATCCATCCCAACAATTACACGAGCACGCAGCAGATGTCTAAAGAGCAGCGCTAGCTATCAGTTTATGTTTGAAGCCACATTTTACGCATGAATTCAATGCCTGGCATAAACTCCAGTATGTAATTAGTTTTACTGACTTACCGATCGTACAGTGGCAAAAGTGACCGTAGCAATAATAAACAAACTGCGCATGTTAAAGGTCACTATTAGAATGACATACTAGGCCCTTAAGCAGTCAGCTATTTAGCCTAATCCAATGTCATGGTAAGTGTTTAGCCGAGAATGCAGCTATTTAGCCTAATCCAATGTCATGGTAAGTGTTTAGCCGAGAATGCAGTTTCAGAGTTTATATAGAAAATCCATTATTCTATTCGAAACAGGCCAGTCATTCCTGTATGGCTTTTTTACTTGGTAAATTAAACAGTGTTAATCAGTCCGCCATTTGCATAGACCTGCAGTCGATTGAATATTTGAACAACAACCACATACATGCTGTGCCGCGTATTGACTGTGTGAATTTTCCATAACGCGGTCCGCGTGAAAGTGCTAAGGTTGACAATTTGTGTATACAGGACGCTGATTTTGTAAAACGATACGTCACACGAGCCGATATGGGACAAGGAAATGGCTTCTAACAGGATTGACCCTCGGTATTTAAATTTACGGTCACGGTTCAACTTCAGTTATTATAAAACTTCAACAAAAGCGATTAAAAATTTATCAGAAAGTTGTTTAAGGGTGTGATACCAGTGACATCATCGTGTACATATTGGGGACTTATACTTGTGTACGGTGTACCGGTACCGGCGGTACGTTTCAGAACATGTATGTAAAAGTGTCGGGTTTAAATTTACGCTAATGTTCGGAAATATCGGATCGGCGTGCAGATATGTAGACGTAAAGTTTAAAAACGGTTTTTTATTTATGTATTGGGGCGAATAAAATCAGTTTCTTTACTTATTACCGTCTTTTTTATGGCGATGGACAAGTTGTTCGGTTCGGATGGCTAACGAAAACAGCGGAAAAGAAAGTACGTATTCTTATAGAAAAAAACCGGCAGATCGCCAACACTATTGATCGAAAGAAAATGCAGTTTTATAGCACTCCGTCTGCAAATTGCCGGCGGCAACTGAATCACGTTGAATCAAAGCGTACAGGAAATTTTCCACGGATTTGACTTCACTTTTCTCGCTAACTGTTTTAATATTCAGTTCACAGTTAACGCAATTTCGCCATAATACATAAACAAGATGGAAATGTCAATAATACAACGAAAAGTGATATCAGTAAATCCATATCTGACAAGGGTACATACTACAGAGAACTGCGAGACATACTACCACTGTACTGCGAGAATAGTGCATGCAATAAGTTGTGATCCGGCGGGCGCAGTGTTCCGCTGGCCTTCGGGTCGGCTAAGATAATACGAGTACACAGTACATACGCTGCTTGAGTTTCATTGTCAGCTTTGAGCCTCCGGCCGAAATCGGCTTAAATTTAGCCACGCCTTTTTCAGGGAATCAGAAAGGTGAAAACTTATTTAATTCGCCTTGCTTAAGCGCAGATAATTAATCGGGCGTCTCGCAATGGCTGTCACCCAATTGGATTAAGCTGATTTAGCCGTCTGAAGCTATACAGGCTGAATTCAGCACAATATCGTTCTGGTATACAATATCCAAACGTTTGACATTAATTTCAATTCGTATTTTGTTGCAGTCTGTCGACCCAAAATTAATCAATTTTGATAAGCTGTCAGGTTGGGTGTACCTGGTGTATGAAGGTATAATGTAAATCTTCCAGTCATACAGTGACTGTAATTTCTTACTGTAGAGAGCTCATTGTTAGCCCGATTCTTACCGTCTCTCCGTTAGCCACAGGCGCGAGCCTTCCCACAGTATTCCACTTCCCTAACCCACATACCCGACGGGGACCCACCATGTCTTCAGGGGATTCTCCGTTGCCAGCAGAACCCGGCAACCCTCGCAGCGGCATGGATGGATTCGTGGGCCGATTACGTAGTTTGCAGACGATGGGGATCCTGTGTGATGTGTTCCTCAAAGGTGCAGAAGAGGCGGCCGCTGGTATTCCCTGTCATCGCATTGTGCTGAGTGCGCACAGCACGTACTTCCTCACCATGTTCACGTCGGACTACAAAGAATCAGCGGATCGCGACATCCAGCTGCGCAACATCGATAGCCGCACGTTAACAGAGTAAGTAGCAGAAAGAACTTGTGGTAGTTTCTTGGAATATGTTTAACAAGTTCGCGTGGTTTTCCACGACCATTACGAAGATTTCCATACCATTTTCAGCCGTGATTTCCTTTCTCGTCACTGCATTTGCGGGCAGATCCTAAATATTGCTTTCTGTATGATTCTTTAGATTGGTGACCTATGCGTACACGCTGGACATTGCAGTTGCCGAAGAGAACGTGGAGCCACTTCTGGTTGCGGCGCTGTTTCTGGATTTCGCTCCCGTGGTGAGAATGTGCTGGGATTTCCTGGAGAGTCGCCTCAACGCGTCCAACTGTCTGCGGGTGCAGTGTTTAGCTGGGATGCACCATAATCCGCGTTTGGCCGAGAAAGCGCACATCTACATCCTTCAAAATTTTGTTCGAGTCGCCAAGACCCAGGATTTCTTGCTGATCAACCCCGAAAAGGTCACGCAAAGCTCCAGATCTCAATGACGGTTTATTTGCTGAGAGACGCTACTAAAATAGTTAGCCTGACGTTACAGATAATGGAGCTGCTTGCGTCCGATAATCTGTTCGTGGAAACCGAGGATCAGGTTTTCGAAGCTGTGCATCGATGGATTGATTATGACCGCGCTGGACGAACGGCACACCTAACCGATGTCCTACAGTCAGTTCGTACTGCGTTCCTCGGTTTGACTTGCCACGAGAAATACTTTTTGGATCTTGTGGATTTCCTTACTAACTCTGGCCCGGGAAATGTTTCAAATTACTGGAGTGCTGAGACAGTTGCAACGCGTCGCCGACCACGAGAATATTTCGGTAAGAACAGTACGTAATCCATGTACCTTTCTAAACGGTTTTAACCTGTCCAGTATTTAAATTACCCGTGGTAACCGTTTTCTGTGACGATAGTTATTTTGTTATTCTTGAAGTAATGATGATAGTTTCCCTTTTAAACTGTTGTTGGTTTTCCTGAAATTAACTCCGTGCTACGTCCGATATCTGAGACGGCTTTTTTTCGTTTAGAGTTCCAAACAGTTATTGTATGTGTGGGTGGCTACGACGGAGAACGCTCCCTGTCCACAGTGGACGTCTTCAGTCCGTCCACCGCAACCGTATGGCGCCTGGCGAATTTACCAGCCCTGTTGACCGGATGCGGGGTGGCGGTGCTGGACGGACACTCCTTGTTTGTCTGTGGCGGACGAACATTCCCATCCAGATCCAGGGACGGTGTATCAGACGTCCGCCGGTACGATGCCACGGCTAACCAGTGGGTGGATTGCGCGAAGACGAACATCGAACGGTATGATGGCTGCACGGCGACGCTGAACGGACGAATCTACACTGCCGGTGGTTATCAAGAACATGGCAATGCGCCCATGACGTTCGTGGAGGTGTACGATCCGCAAACCAACGGCTGGCAGTTCGTGGCCGAACTACCCTTTGGACTCAGCAAGTTCGCCATGGTTGCGTGCGGAGATCGACTGTACACGTTTGGAGGGGTTTCCGCAGTTGGTAGCAGCCATGCAGTCTTTTCGTACGATCCAGCAGCCGATGTATGGAGTAGACTGGCCGATATGCCAACGGCGCGTAGCGGTTGCGCGGGCTGCGTGGGTCCCAGCGGACTGATCTACGTTGTCGGTACGCATGAGAAACAGTGCTAATACGAAGCAGAGAAATTTTACAACTGAATGGTGAACATGCATCTGGTTTGCTATCAGGTGGAAACGTTACGGAAAACGCGCGCTGCGTGGAGGCCTTCAACCCCGCAGCTAATCAGTGGGTGCAAAAAGGTGAGTACGGGTATTCTTGGCATGTTTGGGTTTTGCTGATGCTGATTTGGGCTTGGTTTATTTTATGGCAGCGAATATGGTCAGGGAGCGCAGTGGTGCGGGAGCCGCTTGCGTGGACGGAAAGGTTTATGTTCTCGGTGGCAATGACTCTTCGGATTCTGGGGATTCGGATTCTGAGGATTCGGACTCTGAGGATTCGGATTCTGAGGATTCGGATTCCATTGAGGTCTACGACGAGAGCAGCGACAGGTGGACGCTCCACGAATGCCGATTACCGGAGGTCAAGCATTTTTTCGGGTGCGCGGTGATGAAGCTGAAGAAGGACCAGAAACCCGTGAAGTCCTCATAAGCGTGATGCAATGATGTGGAATCACGCTCCGTTGTTAGATGAAAATGTTGTTGTGGGTTGGGAGGTCCGCAGCCGTGCAAACAGAGGGAAGGAAGTTGGAACGATTGTGACGGACCAGCGCATTCAATTCTTTTTTTCCTGTTGTTCTCGTTATATTTTTATTTCCCTTATTGTACGTACGGAACTGCTAATTGCACATTTATACTTACGAACGAAGATGTTGTTCACTTTGAAGATAATTTTTCTAATGCTATTTTGAAGAAATTGACTGTGAAGTAATTTACTTACCTGTTAATAACTCAATCACTCTACCGTGCAAAACCACTTAAACTTGCAAGCGACTACCTTTGTTGTTGTACTGTAAATCCGTATGGTCTTGCCACACAGCAACCACTAAATGCACACGTGCCCGAAGCCGCAGCAGTTACAAAATCATTTTGTTTTTCACATTTTGTCAAAATGTGAAACGAAAGCATCACAAGCAGTCACAAAACGACACCACCATGAACTTGGCCTCCACCTCACCGTAACCAACAGAACATGAACACCTCTATCACAGACTCTCCCAACCATTCGGCCAATAGCCACATGCGCGTTAAACGATGCGCTATCACGTGATCACATTGAGATGAGCCTCATGCACCACCCATTCATGAAAAAGATCATCGACCTTGAACCAGCACTGGTAACGCCCGGCATGATGCGCCTTTACACGAGAAATAGTCAACGTTGAATGACAATGGCATATTCCATCTGAGGCGGTATTGATACTTCCGTCAAACTCTTCCTTTGCGGAACGACGGGCTTCGAACTCATCGATCCCCGCAGCGTATAAAATGTGGTCTTCGTTTCTCCAAAGGAAGCGATTTCTAAGAGCACCCTCCATGGCTAAAAACTTCACGGAACATGGAAAACGGGCGGTATCACCAACTTTGACCGTCACGTTGACCATCGGTGGCCGGAAGACCTGGGACGCGGTAAGCGTTGGACTGATCAAGAATGTTTGGGTGACGACATAGTGGCTGCCGTTGTGCTGTAGGCATTCGTATTTTCCGGAATGCAAATGCGAAAATGCGGGTAAATCGGCAGTCAGTGATCCGGTCGCGGAATCGCTGTCGATGTATGAAATGTTGTGCCAGTAAGGTTCATTTATGGAACTGGCCAGACAGCTGCATTGCCGTATCAGGGGTTTCGGTGGAATCGTTTTCTTCTTTGCACTGAAAAGTAGGTTTCCATTGACCGAAAGCCGTGGTGGGTTTTTATCCACGTCGGCAGCAGCCATCGCTGTGTCTCCATTGCAGTGCAGTCGTAACGTTTCTCCTTCAGGTTTCCTGATGATGCCATCCGTTAGAAATGAATCCGCAGACTTACTGGCCGTCATCGACGGTTCCTTTAAATGAGCAACACCGTTACGGCCATTTTGGACTGCAGCATCCAGGATTCCATTAACTGTCAGCCATCAAATTACGTCAAATTGTGTTAGTTAAGTATTTAGTATTTTTGCTGTACGAGTATAAACAAGTTGTACTCTATATGCAAAAAAAAGCGGATGCTTCGTTTGAACGCATATTACTCATATTGCGCACTGGCAAGTTCAATTAGCTAAAACTGTTCATTGATTTAATTGTAAATTTTTTAACCGCGAACCGACAGGCCGATCTTCAATTCTTTTTGTCGTACATGGTATGATGGTAATAATCGTAACGCGTAAGTATCGACGTGTTCATACATACAGTATACGCAACTTAACTGGTTTCTCGGCTTAATCCGGCTGTTTTAACAGGGCACGCTATGGACCTGGGGAGCACCAGCACCAAATACAGCACCGCGTGCAGTGCACGCAAATTGTTCATCTTGAAGAAGATGGGTTCCTGGGCAAAAAAATTAACGTCTTAAGCAGCGATAGGAAGTATAGTACCACCGGTGCCATGTACAGTATTAATACCCACATCTGATGGCAATAATTATGTTACCAGTGAGTCAGTGACTCACAGGTTAACGTTGTGAGGAAGTAATGTTTGCTGGATGGCAGCGCTTGAATACCTGTGTAGTTGCGCGTATAGAATGGATAGTGTTAACCCAGTCGGGTGTTCGCGCGTGCTTTTTTTCATCAACAGACTATTGACAACAAATGCTGCTGCACTGATGTGCAATTGCGATGGTGCGGCAAATACTAAGTCCACCTCTCCCAACAGCCATAACTTGCGGGCATTGGTTATAACTACGCCACCCAGCGAGCTCCAATAATACTGGAAAACGCAAAATAGTACCCGATCTGAGAAACTGGAAGTCTTTCTCACTGTGCTCTCCGTGGCTACCGGCAAAAAAGTGCTTTTGGCGAAGATATAAGGAGAGTGGCCCGGTACTTGTACTGCACAGGCTGGCGATTGCCGGTGGAGAATTTGGCGGCTTCCAGCGTGTAGTGGTTGAGCGCTTGTCTGTCGATGTTATCGCGATGCAGCAATTTTTCCACTTCATTAAAACCTACAAAACCGACAGTCATTGCGCATATTCCTTCGGAAACCCGATCATTTGCCTCAGTGTTAGGATAAGTAGCGACACCAACAAAGAACCGAAACAACGCCAACAAATATGAAATAAAAATTAACTCTGTTAAATACGAATTGACTCTACAGAAGGCAATATCCACTTCAGTAACAATATTTGCGAGGGCTGAAGCAACTTAATAGTAGAACTTCAAATTTAAATATCGAAAAACGAACTAACCAACAAGAAAAGCAGAAAATTCAAAAGATAACGCAACATAACTACTTCTACATACATAGCTAGTGACGGTACTGCCGTAGCCGTAGCAGTTATTTACTCTCAGTATTTATTGGTTTAGTCATTACCTAGCAGTTTAACATCAAACACAAAAACAGATCACAAAACAAAGTAAACAGCACTTAAACCATCAGAACGTGGAACAGTTGATGTAACCGACAGCGCATTCCCGCGCTGTATTTCGATGCTAAGACGCTGTAACAAGAACTCGTAGGATCGTCGTTCGCCAGTAGCATCCTTTAGGCGTTTACCCAGCTCACGTAAAAATTTCAAACACGATGGACCGACAACACCAAAAGTCTCAAAAGCTAAAGCGACAAAATCGTACTCGGTTACCAAATATTCGTATTTACTACATTTTTCCTCTTCCGCTTTCCTGGCAGCCTCACCAGCTTTAATACTGCTGCTGATAACGTGAGACAAGGCAACTGTATCGACGCATGTCACATCCCAAGCCAGTCGTAATCCGTTTTTCCAAGGCAGTAGTGACAAACCGTCCGGCCGGCGATTGTTCACGGGGTCAGTCCCTCTCGGTTCGAGTACAGCCGGTATATTAACAGTAACCAGGCTTCTACGAATCACTTCGTTCAAGGATGTGTGGCGAAGGAAACGTCCGGCGCTCTTTTTACAAGAAAGTCCGTGGTGGCCGTATTGGTCGACAGGTTGACGGCAGTCAGTGCAGAGATGCGGACTGCAGATTGGTGCGCCAGTTCTTAATCCGACGGCTACGCGGAAGCTTTCATCAGACATCAACGTTCCAAGGGAAGGTACAGGGAGGGCGTTTAGCCACTTTCCCGATTCCGGCTGTGCAACTGCAAGCAAGCGCGCACAGTGGGTAACATCGTTTTTAAACAAATTTACAATTACTTCGCAAGACTTTTTGACTACTGCTGTATCCCACACTTTCTGTGGCCGTCTAAGGTTTTCTGGTGGTAGTTCTGTACCCGAAGCTGCTTGCCACAACTGTTGCACTAAGTCATGCTTATCCGTTCCAGAGGCGATGCTTGAAACCAGAGACGACGTGGCGTAAACCGAAGCCAAATAGGCTGAAGTCGCTAGTTCTGCCACACGCCTGATCCCTAGCCCACCACTGGAAACGGGAAGCGAAACCTGAGCCCAGGTAACACTATCTAATCTGACGTTGGTAACTGACTCAAGTGCCGATTTGCTCACGCTATCAAAAACTTCTAGCTCGTCTGTACAGAGCCAGGTCGGACTAGCGCGAAGCAGGTAGTTCATTTTTGGGACACAAATACAGGTACGCAGGAGATAATATGCTTGATGAGCAGGCAGAACACTTAGCTTTGAAGAGAGCCTTTGGAGATCTTTGGCCTTTTTGGCAATCGCATCAGGAATAGCGGCCTGCAAAAGGGGAGCGCCCAGCAGTAACAATTCACTTTCAGTGGGTTGTAAGAATTCTGGGTGACACTTAATGAACGTTTCCCGCACAATTTCACGATCTAGCGGTGTGCCGCCGAAAACAAAGAATTCACATTTTGTGAGATTTAGTTCTAGACCAAATTCATGTGCACTTGTGCAGTAGCAATGACCCTATCCACATCAGCTAATACCTCGCATAATTTGCCGCCTATGACGCCATCATCCAGATACCATGCATTCAAGGGCGACAACAAAGACAAAATTCGCGCTAGTATAAGAAGTGAGAATAACAGAGGGCCTAAGGGCCGGCCTGGGAAAGAATGTCCCACTCGCCGAATACTGAACTACTGGGATCTCGATAACACTGGCTAACAAAATGCAAATATTCTGGTAATTCGGATTGCACACACTGTAGCATTTTGTCGCGATGGATCGTGTTAAAGGCAGCAGTTATTTTAACTTATGGTCTTCGTTATTTTTTACGAGGAAGAATATACATACTTCAGAACTCATAAGCTGCAGATTCCTACAATCCCTTCGCTATCGGGATCACCTTTTCAATTATGCATACTCGCGAATGCAAATAAACTCGAAAAACGAATTGTATAATGTTATAATATTGCTCACATTTAAAAAAATATCTCTGAGTTCCGTACGGAAGGTGTATGTATCTATCATAATCTATGCAACAACAACAATAAACATACTCTGACTTTATCCAAAATAGCGTTTTTAAGGGTTGTAGGTGTTTTAAGTACTTATACAAAGTACTAATACAAAGTGCACTGTTCAACGTTTTTTACAGCTTTCAAGCGTTATGCTATCCATTTACTTTGTTGCTAGTTAGCCGCATACCGCACATGTTTCGTTTTTGGGTTTGCTTTGTATCCAGGTTATTCTAACTTCTGACACAAACCACTTGCAAACTGACATGAGTAAGTATTTACAAGCCGAGCACGGATGAATATTGGCTTGATACATGACGACCCACTAATGCGTAGTAAAGTGAGTATCGGTAAAACATGCATATCTTATTGGTTTTGGGGCATTTCTTGCTTGTGTCAATGTCCGCTGTTTGTGCAATCAAATGTTATTCCTGCACTGAAGGCAGTTACAGTGAGCCTCAGAGGTACGTATGCGGCGCCGAAAGGGAGGCAGTCAATATTTCTCGTTATTCCCAAAAGGACTGCCCAGGGAACTGCATAGAAGAGGCGTTTGATCCTGATTATCCAAAAAAGCCAACTATTGATAGAAGGAAGGTACGAATCAGAGGCTGCCAAGGTGGAGAAGACGGATTTTACACGGAGCTCGCAGTGGGATGTCACGAAGACAGAAACCCCCAGTACAAACGCTGCATCTGCAGCACGGATTTATGTAATACTAGGAGCGCAACGGAGATCATACAGGGTGCTAACAGCCATCGAGCTTGGTTTTCTTTACCTTGGTTGGTTTGTACCGTGATTGTGAAGTTGACTCCAGCATAAAAATTTTGAACTGTGAAGCAATAGTCTTAGACGAGCGACTTCTTCGGCGAGAGGCCGGGTGCCACCGGGGCGATGTTGATGACGCTGCGGTAGTCGTCGGCCATGCTCGACACCGCGCCGTGACCGCGAGGGGAGCGCGCCAAGGCCGATCCATCGCGCAGTTGGCTGTCGGCACGCGCCAGCTGCTCGTCGATGGCGGCGAATTTCGACTGCCCGTGGTCACCCGATAATTTCAGCACCATCTTCCTAAAGTACGGAAAAATAATTAAAATGCATAAATAAGGTACAATACACCGAAAGCCAAAAGTAATTTAAAACAGAAAGATATGGGAAAACGACGAAGTTAAAACGAAGTAAAAAATATTTAATTTTCAATGATCATTCACTATTACGGATCATGCTCGTCGGCATAGAAAAATTGTTTACCGTCAATTCGGACAAGAAACAGGGCAAAAAAACCAAAATTAGTCGCGATATAACGCAAACGAAAGTTTTCCAGGCCTGATTTATGATAATCTTTGAGGACACTAAAATCATTGCACTACGACATATCACCACAGATGGTGAACAGGATTGCACCTTTCTAAAGTTAATCCATCCATCAGTTATTTAGTTATTATCAATAATTAGTTATTGTCAACTTCCAATTATTAATAAATCATTAATTATCAATTATTTATTATCAGTTATTTAGTTTAAGCACAGCTGCAGCATTACACTTCTCACGCTACTTTTTGCCATACCTTTCCCTGTCCTGAAACACCACCAATTTAACCAGTTCCGCCGGGTACCGCCCCTCCAGCCCCTTGGCTCCCTTGTCCCGGAACTCCCTCCGCACTTCCTCCACCAACTTCGCTGGGAACTTCTCTTTACTCTCTATTAATACCGACTCGTGGAGACTGCTGCCGCGGATCTTCTGCTCGATGACCTCCTTCCGCTCGGCCAGATTGTCGCTGCTCTTCCAGTGGGCGCCGGACTGGGCGGGCGGCGCTCGGCTGGGCAGCGGGTTGAAGGCGGCCTCCAGGAATTTGATCTTCTCGCCCGTGTTCACCTGGATCTGGTCCATGCTGGTGCAGTGTTTGTGCGATAAGGAAGAAGCAACGTGCGACAGGTCGGATTTGTTGGAAGGCCGACGGCGTTTGGACATCTCCTGACCGGTGACGTGCTACGAAATTAAAAAAAACATTTTACTGCGAGCACAACGATTAGTCGCAACGACACTGCGAATAGTCACAACGATACTGCTATAAAAATTACCAAGTACTAAAAAGCGAAGGGACGGAGTAAACATCCATTTAGATGAACATTATCGAAACAGTGTGCCCTGTAAGGGAAGAAAACACCCCGTTTTGAAGCCACAACACTACAAATTCGCTTCTCCAGAACACACTTCATTACACTTTAAGACTACGTCGTTCGTACGAAACCGCTTTCCAGTAATTTTTGACTCTCACATCGTACTCTAGTGTATCAAGTGCTATTACATAATATCAGTGCGTGCTAATACAACAGTCACGTACACAATAACATAGAAACGTTCATTAAAAAAAGGCTTTTCTGTTAAGTGTCAACATCATGCTGTTCGTCGGAAATGTCAGGAGCCACTGCTCAGCAAATGGAAAGTAAAATTAATAGGAAAGTCAATGAGAAACAAAAGTAAAACAGGAAAGCACAGGCGGAGAGTAGCAATCCAAACAAAAAAAGCATCCAAACGATCAACGTGAGACAAACAGGAACAAATTAACAGGAAGTTAGGAACAATCAAAACATGGACAAAGCTCTCCCAACCACATCACCTTTCGTTGAGTTTGAACCACCGATTGACTGTATCACTGGTAACCACGAACATAATAAGTACAATTGGTCAATCAAACACGTATCGTTGAATTACCCTCGACCACGTCAAACCAGCCCAAACAAGCAACACATTCGGTGCGTTAGACGAACAGTGGCGGAGCAAAGAGGAGTTCGTAACTGATCAGAACCGGTGCGGCACGCGACGGCATCAGCGTTTCGAGACTGTGGACATTCTCTAGTGGCGGCTGACCGCCCAGCGGGTAGGGATCACAGACATAGAGCCAGACTAGCGCCAGTAAGGCGACGTACACCAAGACACACTCAAACCGTGACCTATGCCTGACCCGTCGTTTGCTGCTGACCGGCGACGCTGGCGTTGGACTGCTCGGTGTTTTCCGACTGAAAGCGGGGGCGCGGCGGGGCAGGTCAGCTTCCAGGGAGGGCGAGGCGTCCATGGTGACACTGGCCACGAATTCTGCAAAGCGGAAGAAAATCCTGAGTTTCAAGCTTTAAGTTATGAAAATTTTCAAAACTTCGCTATACTTCCTCACATTACAATCATTATTTATCTCAGACTCATGTTTTTGCAGTATTTGTTTCTTTTGTCTTTAACACCCGATTTTCGAAGTAAACTTCTATTCAAAACTATTACCCGATTTTTTCTACTTAAAAACTTGAAACGGCGTTAGTTAAGTTCAGGATGATTTTCCATTAACACCTTTGCGCAGATGACGCAATTTCACGCCAAAAGAACGAAAAAATTTCACATGATACTCTGTACATAACAATTCTGCCTTTCGCATCAGCATATCCCTCCAGTTTTACAATTTAATGCACAGTTTAATGTATTGGTTGTTTAAAGCTAAATATATCTGTAATAGCAAGCGAACAGTTCAACGGAACAATTCAGTAAACAAAGTCAAATAAAAGTCAACAAAAAGCAAACAACTGAAATTTAATGGTCAAAGACTGAAACTCACAATAATTCTGGCCGGAAGTGGTGGATCAAGGCGCAGAGGGGCAAGGGCGTGGCCCAAAACTGCCCCACCGAGTCGACGGTGATGCCGCGCGAGGCCAGCCCCTTGGCGCACCAGTCCACCAGCACCGACTCCGACACGGTGTCCCGGCGCTGACGCAGCCGCTTCGGCGTGTGTCCGGTCACGGCGGTGCGCTTCCACTGCCCGTTGTCCGCCAACTCGCTCTTGTCCACCTTCTCGGGGCAGTCCGTGTCCAGCAGATGACGCACGATGAACACCTACACAACAGAAATCATTTTCTCCTGCTGTTCAACAAACGAATTCGGATGACTTCTTAAATACGTTAATAATAATAAAACAAACGCAACCTTATTTATGCAGGATTATTAATTACCGAAGTGTGAAGGCCGATAGCTCCGCCTTCATGATTGGCCATTCGCCATTGTGTTTTGCTGTTCTGGGGATTTCCATCCCACACATTGCTGCTGTTTTGACGGACCTACAGCACAGCTGCGCTGGCTGTAGGATCCGATCTCATTAGTCTGGTGTTGCTGCGCCACGGTGCGCGAGTTAGATTTCGGCATTAAAGCCTCAATCCGGGTTCGCCGCTGTTTCGCCGTCGAAGGTACGTGGGCGCCCATAAGGCCCCACGTAACAGAAGTCAATTTATTTTTACATAAAAAAGAATACAGATATACTACTTACAGGCTACACAATGTAAACCACTTTTCACGAACGAACAACCAAAGGAGCACTCAAGGAGATTGGCAAATCGCGCTGAACAAGCAAATCGCGCTGAACAATCGCTGCTAACGCCGTGACTGGAATGAATTTGTTGAAATGCAAATGTCGAATAAATCTTCTTTCTTGCTTACTTTTTTGCTTCATCAGTTTTACAGCGCTCTACGTCGGCATGTATAACCACAGACCATGCCACAGTTTCCCCGCGAGACAAGGTTCGTGTTCTGCCGACCACGCACCTTTGCTTTGGATATATCAATATGGACGTATCGCGATACGGGATCGATGGAATAATTCAGCAGATGCTCGTCCTTGATGCTGGACAGACTGCGGCAAATAGCCTCGCGTACCACAATCATCTGCAGCGGCGTCCGCGTGCCCAGTCCCCAAAAGCGCAACATCCACGCCGCATCCAAAACGCCCAGAAATCCGTGGGCGCAACCGGTGTCCAGCGAACAGAACGGCTACAAGAACGGGAAAAGCAAATCAGATACTTGGTACGCATAAATCCGATACCGGCGAGCTTTTCTCCAGCGTCTTAGTCGTGTTATTTCTCAAAAGAAATTTGGCGCCCTCAGAATTAATTTTCGAAAAAATGAACTAATAAATCAAGATTACCGAATCAAGATCACAATCAACAGCAATGTCACTAGCAATAACGGATATAACAGTGGCACTTTTAGCCAGTCTTCTACAACAACACATGATGGTTACGGTTTCTTTAGACAACGGGTGTTTAATTCCCAACAGTATGAATTAAACACCAGTGAGATATCTAAAACTGGAACGCGATCGTCACTGGACCAATACCTTTTTTTATCGAAAATTTCAACAAACGGGCATTTTTATTGGTTACCTCGATGAGGCTATCACCAACGAGGTTGATCATGAGCCGGTGTCCGCGGCGTTCCACAATGCCACAGGCGTTCTCGGCCGCGTACATGTTGGTAAAGTCAAACACCGACACGTCGGGATCGCCGTGCGGATTAATGGCGAAATCGTAGGCGGGAAGACGATTTCCGGTGGAGAATTTGGCGGCTTCCAGTGCGTAGTTGTCGAGGGCCTGTCTGTCGATGTGGTCACGATACAGTAGTTTTTCAACTTCCATAAAATCTGCATTTATCCTCATGTCACGCGTACCTGTTTGAGGACGCCTTTGGCGTGCAGACTGGCCTTCTTGGCCGTCATGACGAAGTAGTGCGTCGTATCGCGGTAGTAGACGATGTTCTCCAGATCGATGCCGCAGTCGTTGTGCAGACCGCGGAAGAACTGCTGGTTGTAGATGCGCGCCACGCCGCTGATCTCCTCCACGCGGTTCTCCTCCGCCGTGTTCCGGTTGATGAAACTGTTTGTAGTGGCCTGCAAAGAAAAATTTGTTTCCGCTTAGGCGCTTACAACAGCCGAACTTATCAAATGGAGAAATCAAAACACAAACCATTATCGAGGCTCACAAGGAAAATACTGCGTCATGAAATTACAGATTCTGAACAGTCTGGTACGTCGTTCCCCACTCTCGAGCCAATACACTACGATTCCCCGATCTCAGTGAATTGAGAGCATCAATAACAAACATGCAAGATTTGTGAGAGCATTACTGAGCGTATTTTCGTCAAAAAACGGAAAATAAATTCGTTAAAAAATCCATAGCCACAAGAGAGGGCAGCTTACAATGGCCAGAACCCCGCGAAAAACTTTGCGCTGAAATCCCTAGGCAGCGTGTTTCGGCGTCCGTCGGCGCCCACCAGCACATCGAACTCGTAACTGGCGACGGTGTGATCCGCCGGATGGACTTCGGCCCGCCACCCGGTGCAATCGGCACCGTCGTATTCCGGCGGTTCAATATAACTGATAAAAGAAACACCGTAGTGGAATTCCACTCCCAAAAGCAAGGCCATTTTGAGCAAAATACCATGAAGAATTTACCTGTAAAAACCTGTAAAAAGCTATTAATACCTGTAAAAAGAAAGTCAAACCTAAAGTTAGTAATCGAGTATCCTTCTCATTACTCTTTCAAAAAGCATACGGACCCATTCAAGAATTCTTCACGTAATAGAAATTCTTAGGAAATATGTTTGGCACTGTGTCCTCTTGAATAACTGCCAGATTAACGAACACCTTAATTTCGATATCACACAGTCAACCAAAATAAACCACTGTCAAGATTGCACTCACTTATATGATCGACGTTTCCGCTGCAGAATTTCGGGTAGAATTTTTTGGCACCCAGATTGAGGAGATCAGTGATCACAAACGGCCACAAATGCAGGACATTATTACGGGAGAACCGGTCGCGTTTCTCCACAACAACGATTTGGCGCCCAATAACGCCGCTTCAATGGCCATTCGCAAGCCGCACGGTTCAGCGCCCACAATTAAAACCTGGAAAGAAAATCCCGAAAATACAAATGCACCACACAAGCAATTAAAAAAAGTATTAAAAATTTTGATTGATTGTCGTCTGAAGTACGTTTGTACACATACTGGCGCAATTTTAATTAATTTAAATCATTTAAACTTGATTTCACAACCACTCGCAAAATCTCTGGAAGTGTTTGAGTTTTTCAAACTTGTTAAAAAATTTGTATCGCTTAACTCGAATGTTGGAAATATTGTCAGTGTCGAGTCGTCGAACAAATCGACGGATCTGGTAACTTAAACAACACAATCCCTTACAAAATGCCCGTTAATTCAAACATTACGTAACTGTCCCGGGAATCCCCATCAAAAGTCACTCAATAAACCGACAAGTGCTTTCTTAGCAGTTGATTAGGCGCACGCCGAGGATAGTTTGGCGGCGGCGCAGGGACTGCACTTGATTAAATAATCGCAGTTATTTGACCGCCAACGTCAACAGCAGCTGACTGCGCCGGCAACGTGCCTGACTGGTCCCTTTGCGCAATCAGTCAACAAGTCCCAAATGGCCGCATCACCAACCCGTCGCGCTCTCACATACACGCGCCGACTTAAGCCGCGATTAACCGACTAACCGATACATATTTGCTCAAAAACAGACACCACCGAGTCATCCCAAAACTCTCATCATCAAACCACCTAAAAAAAATAAATCTACACCAAAACTGAAAACACCACCAATCTTACCGACTCTTGATACGAAAACAATCGGGAAGAAATAAAATATTTTCTGCAAAGCCAACTGTTCGCTTAGGACATTGAAAAAATTTGCAAATTCTTAGCCAACCAGTTAGTTGGTAATACGCCCGGACATTCAGCATGTAAGTAGGTTACAAGACCACTTGAACCGTGCTGTTCCACTGTACTACGATTTCTCCAAATCCCTGTTACTATTAGTAACCAATTGCCCTGAAAAATTGAGGCCGCAGCTTGACGCACTCGCAGAACTGCTGGAAATATCCCACAATGTGCTTCAACGAATTAGCCGCACAGAAATCCTCGAAAAGTTTCTCGGCGCGGGCCTGTTCGCCGGCTGACCAACTGGAGACGTTGTGTGCCCGGGCGGCGGTGGTGTGCCCGTGGTGACCGTGGATGGCTGCCGGGCCGGCGTGCTGGATTCGGCAACTCATCGTCAATCACGCTGTAGCTGCCGAAATGACTCGTTCATTCACAAATCTGCGAGAAAAGCAAATATAAGAAAACTTTCGTTTAGTGAAACCAAAACAGTTATTATACTCATGTTATCATTTATCAACACCGGCAACTCATCTGTCAAATTCTACTTCGGTTATGTCAGTCAAACATTTACAGGACATTGTAAATAGTCGCATGCGACTACCATTCAGGTAACGACGCAAAGCAACTGGAGAAGGATCCTCCGTAGTGGAATTCGACACCCAGAAACAAGGGATGCATGCACAAAAGCATGCGAATACTTGAGAAAACTTTGAAGAAACTAGATAAGAAATCAACTAAGTGCTCGGAAGCCCGTTTCGCTTCTTCGTCGTTAATTGTATCGATACATTCAAATATGCTGGGCTTAGGAAAAGGAAACACACACTTAGCACACCAAAGGAAACATGTTCTGTGGTGCCGAAATACTTAAGAATTATTTCAGCTATTATTCTATGCCTTTCGACAAAAGGTCTGCCGATAAAGGTCACCATGAAGCTGTTCATAGCGAAGTAGTAAGTAACGGAAGGCGGCTCTTCCTCGCTCCGTTGCATTTGTTCAGTGTTTCTTTTTCGCAGTTTCGCTCATAACAAACCAGTTTTATTCTGCTTTTATTCACGGTTCTATCAGTTCGCTGAAAGTGTTTCGCAGCTCGAACTCATTTGGTACGAAGATGCAACCAACAGCGGGGAAATTGTACAAAAATGTGAAAGGAAATCAACGACGAACATCACAAAAACAAGATCAAAATTAATAATAGAAAACAAAACCGGCGGAAACAACCGAAATCAAAGGCCGATTACGCGACATCGCAGAATAGAGTGGAAAGGTCAACAAGGACAAACAACTGGTCAGCGTCATGCTGTGTACACAGCAAATGCATTGCACGGTATTCACAACATCTTGGCAAACAACGGCGAAATCAGTTTCGCAATTTGAGCACTCCATCACAAAATACCGAAATCCATCGGGGAATGGAAACTCAGTGGAAAGTTATAATTATTAGAAATTCTAAAAATTAACATTACAAAAACGATCAAGCGCCGCTTGAATTCAGTCCATCAAATCCAGATCGCTTCAGCGGACACTCACAACGGAAGCGTTTCCCGACCTGCAAGAAACAGCGAAAAGATAATAAAAAACAATAGAGCGTAAAATTCTTACGCTAAAGTACACTAAAAACACTCTAGTTTCCGTCAGTAAAAAACTAATTCACAAAAAAAGTTAAAACTTCCATTAAAACAATGTACCGTAAATAATGGTAAAAATGTACGTAACCTTATCGTTCATCGCAATGATGTTTTGAACCCGTAACTGACCTTGCCGGCAGCCGCTTCAGTTTCTCTTCGTTGTCCATTTTGGCATAGCGAATATCCATGAGTTCGTTCATCAGTCGCGCCTCGTCTGCTCTCTGCTCGTCGTTCTTTTGGCTGTCGTCGATGCCCATCAACAGACGCAGTTGTTCTTGAGCGCGCCGCGCCCGGTCTTCCAGCTGCAGTTTCTCCGCCCTGCATCAACAAAACGGCATTTCAGCTACAGCAAAAATGAAGTGGAACTGCATGCGCGACAACAACGGCAGAAAAATACCAAAACCTATTAATCTAGTCAACACATTCCGCTTGCAGCGTCCGCAATATATCTTCGTGTTCCAGCTTAAATTTCAGAACAACAGCTCTAGGTGGAAACTGCCACTACACTACGATATTCGTTATATTTCACATCCGACTGCAGCAATGTTAATCGTCTGCGACAACCCAAAATGAATTCAACTTTTACTAGACGAAAATTAATTAGAAAACACGGATTGGAATTACCCACGCCAACCACCGCCTGCGAGAAAACGTTGAGAAAGTAAAAGACATTATACAGGAACTTCGATAAGTATCATTAAGCGAGTACAAACTACATATGTACCGAAGAAATGCCATTTATAACAGAAAAATTTCATCTATGCTATCCTGATCGGGGATCGCACCCATTACGCAAATCGCGTTTCCCCGTTGTGTTGTGTCCAGTCGCAGCAAAGAAATGTACTTTTTTGGAGCAATGGTCAATGATTCTTTATTTAGACACTGAATTCGATAATAATGTTCGAAGACAAGTATTTTTGGTAACTTCAACGCCCAAGTGAATAAAAAAATCTTCCTAACTCGCGCGCGAACGTTTCCCGCACTTACGTTAATCTGAGTTCCTGCAGTTGCCGGTTGGCGGCGCGCTGTTCGTCGAGGAGCGCGAACCAGTCTGACTGCAGCTGCTGTTCGGAATCGCTGACCAGCACGTCGCCCTTAAACGCACGCTCAATCTGCGCCGCCTTCTCGTCCAGTTCACCAATCCGCACCTGCGTCTCCTCAATCAGACGCTGCACTTCCTGCGCGCGATGCAGGATCTTCGTCGTGTCCTGCTTGAAGTTCTTCTCGTGGATTTGTGCCGTACGCCTTTCGAATATCGCTTCCTATGCAATACACAACAGTGTACATTGAATATACACGTGGATTGTTGAGGTGCTGAACATAAGCAAAACTGGCGAAAAAGCCCAGCGTGTCAACAGGCGGGAGACATTTTGGTTAATACACTAAATACTCATATCTATATTCAAAGATAAACTTTAATGGGTTATTCACGTTAACATAGATTAAAAGCAAAATTACGCAGTTCATCATTTCAACACGTAATACACTTCGTCCAGTCTCTTACCGATACAAAACGTTTCCTGAACACAAGCAGCATTACCTCGCATTAAAGCAACACTGATTCTCTGCTTCAGAAACTGAGTGGACCGTTTCTCCTGTGTCCTCTCAAAAAGCATCTTACCGAGTATAGACATCTTACATTTCGATTCTTTACCCCACACACCCATTGTTTCAAAAACCAAAGCAGAGAAATTGAAATATTCAAAGTATGTAACGGAATGCAAAGCCCGTACGATTAAAAATACTACAAACGTAGCGACTGAAGGAGATACATATGCCAGATCGACAGTTACCGAAAAACGTAATAATTGTTTCTGTTATTTTTCCAATCTAACTGCGGTAAACGATGACTAAATTGCAAAGAAAACGCACAATACGACGTTATAGCCATGACACTACGAAAGCTGCTAATAAAACAGTAGCGTCCACAAAATTCGTAGAGAGAAAAAAACGCCGGAACCGCAAAGCTAGCTTTATCGTTCATTAACGTAAACCATTTCACTGAAGTTATTCGAATACGAATTTAAAAAACCGAAGAAACGAATATAGAGGCGCGTGTGAAAAACAGACGAATGCACGATATTTGCTGACTTACCGCATCGTCCGATGACGAACTATCCACTGCCTTCAGCGCCCCGCCCACCATCACTTTAACGCCGGTAGACGTCCGTCTCGCGTCGCTCCCTTCCGAGCTGGACGATCCCCTTAGTCGACTGTTGCGTTTCAGTTCCTCGTCCGTCTTCAGCTTGGCCCTCGCCCGCGCCTCCGCCTTCCGCTCCTGCGTCGCACTCAACAGCCGCTGTTTCACCTGATTGCGGTCTTCGCGCGGCGGACTATCGAAACTCAACTTCCGGCTCACCGGATCCGTCCGCTTCCCAAAGGGACCAAGTTGTTCCCGTAATTACGGGAACCCCCGTCGGACCCCTCGGAGACTTTCGACTCGCTAGTGCCCGGGCGGTACTCGGCGTCGCGTTCGTGGAAGGACGTCCGCGGTGTGTGGAAGACGTCGTCGGCCGACTCGCAGCCCGTCCGACTGGGCGTGTCCCGCCCGGTCATCCGCAGTTCCCGCAGACGCCGGGAGGTCTCCAGGACGGTCTGATCCCATTTGATCTCGGGTTTTCTAGAGGGGAAGGTGGGTTGGGGGGACAAGGAGTACTTGGGCGTGAAGAAGGTGTCGCTTTCGTCCGACCGCACCGAGGTCAGCGGGGAACTGCGCGACTGAGTGTAATCTTTGGCGAAAATGGTTGGCACATTGTGCAGATCGTTAAGATGGGGTTTTTCGGAGGAGTGCGGCAAGATATCGAAGCGGAAGCGGGTGGGAGGCGGAGATAATGCTGGCCGCTGCTCGGAGGGCACTTTAACCACGGTAGCCGGGAGGTCGGCGTCCGAGTCGGAATCGTCCGAGGAAGAATCGTACGCGTTGCATAAAGGTTCCGAGGAGTCGTCGTACGCGTTTTGAACTGGTTCTCCTGCAAAAAGCACATAGTTGTGATGCAATAAAGAGTACTTAACCATTTTACAGCAATAGCGAAATCGTACAAGACCACGTCATTCGTAGTACAGTGGCTACAGTGTCTGTTACCGTTGGACAGATAAGCTGTCGCTATCACTTGAATCTTGCGGTACGATGAATTGATTTTCACTTGGTTTATTGAACTGGGTTATTTTTCCTCCACATATAAATAATAAATTATTCTGGACTTGAGATTTTCGTACTTCTACGTTTTTCATAGTTAAAGAAATACGAACTCTAGTGACCAGACAAAAAATTGTTGTGTAGTGTACTGTACTGACAATAAGTAGAACGCCTCAATGGGCAGCGCGACAGCAACCAGAACTGCGATTTGAAGAAATTTAGGGTGGGTCTCACATTCAAAGCGAATCTAGTTGCGATACAGCAACTCCACCTCGCGAGGTGGCTTCGCGTACCGTATCTGTAGGCGTGGCCACTGCAAACAACCACCTCGTGCGGTTGAGCAACCGTACCATAACGAGATTCGCTTTGAATGTGAGACCCACCCTTAAGCTGAGTACAGCGGTTTAACTTTAGCTTGTTTCCATCGTACAGCATCCCTTTCCTAAAATTTTGTTGTTCAACTGGGCCACAAACGAAAACAACTATTCGATTAAGCGGTCAATCAGCGCGCTCACGCTTAATCGAGTAATGTTTGTGGCACAGCTAACCAAGAATTTTTTCTAGAATTTTTGGGCAATCAAGACAAAAAAACAACATAAGATGCTTCATATCTAATTACTGCTCGAATACAACTAAATTTTACTCATTTTTTTACTGGTACTAACCGGATTCCCAGCTGCTGTCCGTGTTGGACCCAGACTCCCCGCGCTCCCGCAGCATCTTGCCGACCCGCTTCCTCCGCCACTCCTCCACCTCCATCTCCGCCGCGTCGCCGTCGATGACGCGCTCCATGTCGTCGCTGTCGGAGGCACTGCCGCCGCCCGTCTCGATGGTCGTCCCGCCGAAGTTGTGCGTCAGGACGTTGTCCTCGTCCAGATCGTCCTCGCCGCTGTCGTCGTCGTCCAGGTAGCGCGACGAGGCCAGCGAGGGCACCGGCGAGGCGCAGAGGATATCCTCGCGGCTGGGGAAGCGCTGGAAGTGCTGCAAGGGGGAGGGGACGGCGGAGGGCGGGGTCAAGGGAGCGGGGAGGATTTCTGCGGGGATTGCAAGAGAGTGAAGTCGTGCTTGCAAAATTTGAAGTGCGCCGGACAGTAGAATTTCGCGCCACCGGGATCGTAGCTATACAGATAAAACTACATCAAAAACATGCCAAATTGATCGACCGAAATTGGAGAAAAACAATTCAAAATCAATACTAATTGTTGTCCGCCAAGAAAACATGCACTATTAGTGGTAACAACATTTCGTCCAACTTTATTATTGCCACCACACTACGATCTCTACACTTTTACATGGATACCATTCTTCAGAGCAGCGCACAAAAGAGAGTAACAAAAAATCTAGCAATAATTTTTTTACAATTTGCCCTGTTCTTACCGGTCGAAGCTGTAGTCGCCCGTCAAGGGCAGCAACTTGTTGCAGTGGTGGCACTTGAAGCAGGTGCGGTGGAAGAAGAGTCCCTCCACCGACTTCCTCTCCGCCAGATACACGCGCTTGTGGCAGAAGTAGCACTCGCTGTTGGACGCCTGCACCGTCGTCAGGTTGTGCGGCGAGACGGGCGACTTCTTCGGCGAGAGGCCGGATGCCACCGGGGCGATGTTGATGACGTTGAGGTAGTCGTCGGCCATGCTCGACACCGTGCCGTGACCGCGGGGGAGCGCGATAAAGCGGATCCATCGTACGGAAAATAGTTAAAATACCAAAGTAAATACACCAAAGCCAAAAGTATTATAAAACATAAAACGATATCAGAAAGCGACGAAGTTAAAACGAAGTAAAAAATGATTCAGTTATCAATTATTCAGTATTACAGATCATACAGGCCGGGATAAAAAAACTGTTTAACGTCAATTCGGGCAAGAAACAGGGTAAAAAATCCAAAAGCAACATATAGCAGACGTTAACAGATTAACAGATTTTTACAGAACAGATTTTTACAGAATTGATTTCTGGCTAATGGTTGGTTCAAACAACACTAAAGCCGTTGCACTACGACATATCACCACATATGGTTAACACGACTGCGCCTATCTAAAGGTAAGTAACCCATCCATAAATAAAGTATTTAGTTATTAACAATTATTTATTATCAATTATTAATTGCTCAATAATTATCACTCATTATCAATTATTTATGATAAGTTTATTTGGTTTAAGCACAACTGTGATTACACTTCTCACGCTGCTTTTCACCGTACCTTTTCCTGTCTTGAACCACCACCAACTTCACCAGCTCCCCTCCCGCTTCCCATTTCCAGCGCCAGTGTAATGTTATTTCTCAAAACAAATCTGACGGCAGCAGAATTACTTAATTTTAGAAAAAATGAACCATTAACTTTCACAGAATCAAAATCACCATCAACTGGAATGTCCACTAGCAATGACGAACATACATGTAAATGCTTCTTTTAAGCCAATTTTCTACAACAGCACATGACGACTGCGGATTCTTAAGGCAAGCTGGTGTTTAATTCACAGTATAGTCATAGAAAGTCCATTTTATATTTCTATGGTTAATGGATTTTCTATGGTATAGTGAGGTAGCTAAGATTGGAACGTGATCGCCACTGAACCAACACCTTTTTTATCCAAAATTTTGAACAAACGGCATTTTCATTTGGTTACCTCGATGAGGCTATCACCAACGAGGTCAATCATCCGCGACGATGAACTTAACCAAGCCCGCCTTCTTGCTCAGTCAAAACTCAAAACCGGAAGCCGGCATTGCCCTCTGCTCACATCGGCAACCTCTTGGACGATGACACTCTTAAAATCTCAGTGGGCCTGAGATTGGGAGTGGCGATATGCGAACCCCACGAATGCTTGAAGTGCCATAAGCAAGTCGGTAATTACGGTCACCACGGCCGGTGCTGCGCCTTCTCTGCTGGTAGACACCCAAGGCACGGCGCACTGAACAGCATCGTGTGCCGCTCTTTCGTTTCGGCTGGGATTCCGGCGAAGTTAGAACCCCGCGGCACGTCACATACGTCCGAGCGGCGTCCCGATGGCTGCACAACCTTTGCCTGGCAGAGAGGGATGTGTCTACTTCTAGCTTGGGATGTCACTTGTGTGAACACTGTTGCGCCGTCTCACATGAAATCCACGGCGGCAAACGCTGGCCCAGCTGCTTTGAAAGCGGAAGAGAAAAAGTCGCGGCTATATGCGTACTTGCTCGGAAGGTATATTTTTACTCTTATTGCTTTTGAAACAATGGGCCCTTGGGGACCGGCCGCTATCGCCGTAATCAAAGAACTGGGCAAGCGGCTCGAACAGCAGACAGGCGAAAAGCGTTCAAACGAATTTTTACGTCAAAGATTGTCACTGGAGATACAACGGGGGAACGCGGCTTCAGTTTTGGGAACAATGGAAGGATCGGAAAAGTTTAATGCAGTTTTAATGTTGTAAAAATTGCGTTGTTTTTAATAATTATTGTGTAACACGTTGTGCCACAGGTGAATAAAGCAGCATCATCAGCTGGTGTCCGCGGCGTTCCACAATGCGACAGGCGTTCTCGGCCGCGTACATGTTGGTAAAGTCAAACACCGACACGTCCGGATCTCCGTGCGGATTAATCGCGAAATCATAAGCGGGAAGACGGTTTCCGGTGGAGAATTTGGCGGCTTCCAGCGCGTAGTTGTTGAGCGCCTGTCTGTCGACGTTATCGCGATGCAACAGCTTTTCAACTTCCATAAAATCCTACAAAAAGAAAGTAAAAAACTGTCACCAATTTCTGAATTTATTATACAGATAAAAATCTGACGATACTAAATATATTCGAGCAATGGTTAACTTTTTAACATGGGCTCCTCTCGGATTTCCCAAAGGATGTGGATTGCAAGCCCATAATCTACGATCATTTTGTGACTTCTAATCGGCTACAGCCAGTGCACAGATCGCCACGCTTGCGCAAGTTTTCACTACAATCATTTCGTTCACTCCATGCCATTTAGCAGCACATACTGTATCTCTGAACGTACAACGGGCACAGAAAAAAAAACGTCATGCGTCTCTCGGTTTTATTCGCCTTTAATGTGTACCGCATTTCTGCATCCATCCCAGTGTTGCGCGTACCTGTAAATACGAATGATCCGAATGATCTGATTACTTGTAAAAAAAATCAAAAATAAAATCAGTATGTGGGAAAGAAATAGTGCAGAATATATTTTCCTCTTTTTCTTTCAAAAGGCGTATTCAAAAATCCTGAACGTAACAGAAAATTTTAAGAAATATACATGTATCTCGCATTTGAGTAACTTCGGATTGAAACATTATGTCAGAATACGTATATACCACACACTACACAGTCAATTAAAATGAGCAATCACTTACATATGTATATGTATGTATACATATGTATATATGTATGTATCGACGTTTCCGCTGCAGAATTTCGGGTAGAATTTCTTGGCACCCAGTTGGAGGAGATCAGTGATCACAAACGGCCACAAATGCAGGACATTATTGCGGGAAAACCGGTCGCGTTTCTCCACGACAACGACTTTGGCGCCCAACAGCGCTGCTTCAATGGCCATTCGCAAGCCGCACGGTCCAGCGCCCACAATTAAAACCTGCAAAGAAAACCCCGTAAAAACAAACGCGAAACACAAGCAACTAAGAAAAGTACTTATTAAAAATTTTCATTAATTGTCGTCTGAAGTTTGTACCCAATTTGGCGCAGTTTTAAATTATCTTAAATCGTTTAAACCTAATTTAACAACCATTCGCAAAGATCTCTTCAGGTCATTAATTTGTTCCAGTGTTTTAACATTTGTATCGCCTAAATTCAATGTTAGAACGTTTATCAGTGCCGTTTATCAAACTCTTGATACGAAAACAATCGGGAAGAAATAAGTAGAATATTTTCTGCCAAAGCCGATTCCACATCTGTTCGCTTAGCACAACAAAAAAACTTTGCAGTTCATTACCCATCACTAGCAGTTGACATCAAGCCCGGACATTTAGTATGCACAAACTGCATTGTCGTTCGGGCGAACATGTTCCACTGTTCTACGATATCTCTGACTTGTGAGTACCTGTTACTAATAGACTGCCATGAAATTTACAATGCAGCGGTGAGCGGTCTTGTGCCACTAAATACTTTCAATTTTTATTCATTCTCAGGAAAAACGAAATGTGAAACTATGGTATTCGAGGGAAAAGTGATGCTTCAATATTAGCACGACCAGAAAGAAAGAAGTTTCAGAAATCAAATTGAAATGAAATCCTGCAGAGTGTAAAAGGAGCAGCAGCAGTCTGCAGCACAGTGTGAATGGATACTGCCAGTTTTAACAGTCACACGCCACACGTCACACGCGTGACACGCGTGACACACCTAATAACGAACCTCTGTCTCCTTTAAATAGACCTTCATGCTCACTAAAATGACAAAAATAAATGAATTTACCGCAAAAAAAAACTCGAAAAAAATCATGTGAAAAAGCGAAGGTCTGGGAAAGGAAAAACATTTTCAGCCACATGTAGCTGAAAACGATCCGCAAGTGCTACAGTTATTCGAATACCTTATTGCCGCAACAAATCCGTCCCTTGCCGTACTCTTTCTGAGCGGCGCGTTTATCCAGTTTGTTCTGGAAATGCTTCCATTTCCACGAGAAGCTCATGCGCTCCCGTAGGTGCCCGTAGAACGTCCGGTTCTGTTAAGCTTAGCTTACGAGCACTTACACGCAGCAGTGAACACATTAAAAAATTATACACAAACCAGCTGAAAATCTGTCCGGAAATTCCATGCATTCACGCATGTACTGTATGCACGAATATTCAATACGGCGATCGATATCGATTCGGCCATACTGTTCCACTGCACTACGATATCTCTGAGTACCTACATACTAGGAAATCAATGCACTGAAAAATGCAGGGTTGCATTCCAAAAAATACTTCCTCTCATCAGGAAAAACGAAACGAAGAATTTCTATGGTTTTAAAGGGAAATAAAATGCTTCGATATTCGTACGATCTTGAAGAAGTACATAAGCTGCGGAAACCAAAACAGTAATTATGCTCGTATTATCAACACCGGCAGCTGATCTGTCAGATTTCACTTTGGTTTTGTCAGTCAAACATTTACAGGACATTGTAAACAGCCACATGCGACTGCCATTCTGGTAACGATGTACTGTAACTGGAGAAGGATACTCCGAAGTGGAATTCGACATCCAGAAACAAGGGATGCATGCGAATACCTGAGAAAACTTCAAAGAAACTTTAAGAGAAATCAACCAGGTACTCTGAAGCCCGTATCGCTTCTTCGTCGTGAACGATGTCGATGTTCAAACAAGCTGGACTTCACATCGCACCACAGGAAGCATGTTCAGCGGCGCCGAAACACTTAAAATTATTTCAGCTGTTATTATATCATTTATATACACTGGGACAACAGGCCTGCCGATAAAGGTCACCATGAGGCTGTTGACAACGAAGTAGTATGTAACGAAAGGCGGCTGTTCCCCCCTGCGTTGCATTTGTCCTGCAATTCTTTATCACAGTTTCACTCATAACAATTCAGTTTAGATTCTGCTTTTATTCACGATTCTATCAGTTCGCTGAAAATGTTTCGCAGCTCGAACTCATTCGGTGCGAAAATCCAGTCAACAGCGGGGAAATTGTACAAAAACCTGAAAAGAAATCAACGACGAACATCACAAAAACAAGATCAAAATTAACATTAGAAAACAAAACCGGCGGAAACAACCGAAATCAAAGGCAGATTACGCGACATCGCAGCACAGAGTGGAAAAGGTCAACAAGGACGAACAACTGGTCAGCGTCATGCTGTGTGCACAGCAAATGCATTGCGCAGTATTCACAACATCTTGGCAAACAACGGCGAAATCATTTCCGCACTTTGAGCACTCCATCACAAAATACCGAAATCCATCGCGGAATGGAAAGTTATAATTATTAGAAATTCTAAAATTAAAATTACAAACAGGATCAAACGCCGCTCGAACTCAGTCCCACAAATCCAGATCGCTTCAGCGAACATTCACGACGGAAGCGTTTCCCGAGCTGCAATAATCAGGGAAAAAATAAGATAAACGAAAAGAGTGAAGAACATTCCTACGCTAAAATAAACCACAAAGTACAATAAAAAACTCTGGCCTCCGTCAGTAAAAATTCAGTTCACGAAAAATAAAAATTCAGCTCCCAATTATTTTTATAACCGTGACCATAAAAATGTACAACATTATCGTTAGTGCAAAGTTATTCACAATGATGTTTCGAACCCGCAAGTTACTGACCTTGCCGGCAGCCGTTTCAGTTTCTCTTCGTTGTCCATTTTGGCGTAACGAATATCCATGAGTTCGTTCATCAGCCGCGCTTCGTCTGCTTTCTGTTCGTCGTTCTTCTGGCTGTCGTCGATGCCCATCAACAGACGCAGTTGTTCTTGAGCGCGCCGCGCCCGGTCTTCCAGCTGCAGTTTCTCCGCTCTGAATCAACGAAACGGCAATTTAGCCAAACAAAAATGAAGTGGCACTGCTTACGCGAATGCAGTGGCAGAGAAAATATTGGAATTTGATAATCTAATCTAATCTAATAAACAAATTCCGGGCAGACTCGTAACGTGTGCGCATTTATCTTCGTGTTACAATTTTAAGAAATTCAAAGCCAAGTGAAAATTTGCCACTGCACTACGACATTGTTGTTCTTCGCAGCCACAAAGCAAATCCGACTGCAGCTGGCCGCAACAAACGTATTTTTTTAACAATGGAAGTGATTGACATTTTTTATTCAATTAGACATTAAAATCATCAAAAATAGTCTTGTCTTTGAATAAAATATATAACATGGAATATATAGAAAGAATCCAGTGCCAATTCACTAACCGACGTTTACATTTACGATGAATAAAGAAAACTCGCAAACGTTGTCGCACTTACGTTAATCTGAGTTCCTGCAGTTGCCGGTTGGCGGCGCGCTGTTCGTCGAGGAGCGCGAACCAGTCTGACTGCAGCTGCTGCTCGGAATCGTTGACCAGCACGTCGCCCTTCAACGCCCGCTCAATCTGCGCCGCCTTCTCGTCCAGTTCGCCAATCCGCACCTGCGTCTCCTCAATCAGACGCTGCACTTCCTGCGCGCGATGCAGGATCTTCGTCGTGTCCTGCTTGAAGTTCTTCTCGTGGATCTGCGCCGTGCGGCGCTCAAATATCGCTTCCTATTCAAGACGCAAGTATGTAGATACTAGATACAGTCTGTATGAAAATCGCTCCTTACTCCAACTGAAAGTAGTGAAAACATGCTGCACTAAAAAATGCACGAATTCTATAAATATTATAGCAAAACTAAATAAATGCCTGCGATCGAAAGGAATGTACAGAAAAGCTAACCAAAAAAATCTTATACTCGTTATTTTGACGGACAATCATTACAGTATCTCTAACACCGTTGTGCACACGGCACATTACTATATAGTGAATGGATCTACCATTCCAATTTAGCCGTAACACTACGACAACAGCTAATGACCATAAACGTCCTCCTCACAATTCAATGGGAGAAGCTAACCGCTAACGAAGCGAAAAACATAACAGGAAACAGGGGTACTGTAAAAATATTCGAAATAGTCAATAAATATATACACCAGTTAATGATTCAACCGCATTTCAAGTGGTTTCGTGGTTTCAAATTTTCACATCACATTTCAAATCAAGCATTTCAAACGGGCCCTCGTTTGATTTTAAATGATTTGATTTGAAGCATGGATGTGAAATTTTGAAATTGTGATTTCAACCCTACCTATGACAACCCCAAGACCAGTGCGTACAGCGGCTGATAACCATGCTCTGCTAGGGGCTTAGTAGTAAGGAAGGCAAAACAAACGAAATTCGCAGAAAGCACAATAATCGCTGACTTACCGCATCGTCCGACGACGAACTATCCACCGCCTTCAGCGCCCCGCCCACCATCACCTTGGCACCGCTAGACGTCCGCCCCGCGTCGCTCCCTTCCGAGCTGGACGACCCCTTAGCCGACTGTTGCGCTTCAGTTCCTCGTCCGTCTTCAGCTTGGCCCTCGCCCGCGCCTCCGCCTTCCGCTCCTGCGTCGCACTCAACAGGCGCTGCTTCACCTGACTGCGGTCTTCGCGCGGCGGACTGTCGAAACTCAACTTCCGACTCACCGGATCCGTCCCACTTCCCGACGGGACCAAGTTGTTCCCGCAATGACGGGAGCCCCCGTCATTCCCCTCGGAGACCTTCGACTCGCTGGTGCCCGGACGGTACTCGGCATCCCGTTCGTGGAAGGACGTCCGCGGTGTGTGGAAGACCTCGTCGGCCGACTCGCAGCCCGTCCGACTGGGCGTGTCCCGCCCGGTCATCCGCAGTTCCCGCAGACGCCGGGAGGTCTCCAGGACGGTCTGATCCCACTTGATTTCCGGTTTTCTAAAGGGGAAGGTGGGCTGGGGGGATAAGGAGTACTTGGGCGTGAAGAAGGTGTCGCTTTCGTCCGACCGCACCGAGGTCAGCGGGGAACTGCGCGACTGAGTGTAATCTTTGGCGAAAATAGTTGGCACGTTGTGCAGATCGTTAGGGTGCGGTTTTACGGTGGAATGCGGCAAGATATCGAAGCTGAAGCGGGTGGGAGGCGGGGAGAATGCTGGCCGCTCCTCGGAGGGCACTTTGACCACGGTGGCCGGGAGGTCGGCGTCCGAGTCGGAATCGTCCGAGGAAGAATCGTACGCGTTGCACAGCGGTTCCGAGGAATCGTCGTACGCGTTTTGAACTGGCTCTCCTGCAAAAAACACATAGGTGTCATGCTTCATTGCACGTTCAATAATGAATAATCAGTATCAATCATTAACCACACAATACTGCAACAAAATCGTTAATGACAACGTCATTCGTAGTATAGTGGCTACAGCTCGTGCAACCCTAGTTGTTGACGATGCTACGCTATCACTGGAATGTTGAATCTTATAGTAAAATGCATTGATTTTCAAATAATTTAACGGACTCCGTTATTTTTTTTCAAATCTAAGATACAATTAATTAATCAGTACTTGAGAAGTTTTTGTACTTCTACGTATTTCATAGTCAGAGAAAATTCTTGTGACCAGACAATTTAAAACGCTTGTACTGTAGAAGTACTGCTAATAAGTTCATACTTTAACCTACTGGACAGCAGGAAAGCAACAAGAACTGCGCTCAAAGAATGAATTTGAGCTTAGTACAATAGTTAACTTGCTTGCTTCCATAGTACAGTATTAAATATTAATGATCCTGCAAATTTTGTTGTTTAACTCTGCACAATTACTTACATACCCAACAGTATTCGATTAAGCGTGCATTAAGGACGCTGACGTTAATCGAAAAATGTCTTCATTTGTGGCACAGTTAAACAAGAAATATTTTCCAGAAATTTTTCAGCAATAAAGACAAAAACAAGATCCTTGATATCTAATTCATTGCTCGAATACATCTAGATTTTATTGATTCTTTTACTGGTACTAACCGGATTCCCAGCTGCTGTCGGTGTTGGAGCCCGACTCGCCGCGCTCGCGCAGCATCTTGCCGACGCGCTTCCTCCGCCACTCCTCCACCTCCATCTCCGCCGCGTCGCCGTCGAAGACGCGCTCCATGTCGTCGCTGTCGGAGGCACTGCCCCCGCCCGTCTCGATGGTCGTCCCGCCGAAGTTGTGCGTCAGGACGTTGTCCTCGTCCAGATCGTCCTCGCCGCTGTCGTCGTCGTCCAGGTAGCGCGACGAGGCCAGCGAGGGCACCGGCGAGGCGCAGAGGATGTCCTCGCGGCTGGGGAAGCGCTGGAAGTGCTGCAGGGGGGAGGGGACGGCGGAGGGCGGGGTCAAGGGGGGCGGGAGGATTTCTGAGGGGACTGCAGCAGCGTGAAGTCGTGCTTGCGGAATTTGAAGTGCGCCGGGCAGTAGAATTTCGCGCCGCCGGGATCGTAGCTATATAGACAAAAAATAAGTTGGAAAAAACCATGTCACATCTACCGAAATCGGATAGAAATCATTTAAAAGCAATTGGCGCCAGCCATCATCAAAACGTGCAGCATTATTATAGTAATATAACAATATTATTGCCGAATTTTGCCAACGCCCCTACACTACGATCCCTATCTGCATATGCTAGATAACTTTTCTCAGCAGAGTACACAAAGATTGTAAGCAAAAATCAAGCTATCAATTATTAATTAGAACGTTATTTGCACTGTTCTCACCGGTCGAAGCTGTAGTCGCCCGTCAAGGGCAGCATCTTGTTGCAGTGGTGGCACTTGAAGCAGGTGCGGTGGAAGAAGAGTCCCTCCACCGACTTCCTTTCCGCGAGATACACGCGTTTGTGGCAGAAGTAGCACTCGCTGTTGGACGCCTGCACCGTCGTCAGGTTGTGCGGCGAGAGGGGCGACTTCTTCGGCGAGAGGCCGGGTGCCACCGGGGCGATGTTGATGACGCTGCGGTAGTCGTCGGCCATGCTCGACACCGCGCCGTGACCGCGAGGCGAGCGTGATAAAGCGGATCCATCGCGCAGTTGGCTGTCGGCGCGGGCCAGCTGCTCGTCGATGGCGGCGAATTTCGACTGCCCGTCGTCACCCGATAATTTCAACACCATCTCCCTGTCACGAGGAAAATTACCGAGGTAAATATACAAAACGCCAAAAGTAATCTAAAACACGGAATGATATGAGAAAGCGACGAAGCCAAAATGAAGTAAAAAATGATTTAAGTATTAATAATAATTCACTATCACGGATCATGCTCGTGGGCACTGGACGACTGTTTACAGTCAATTCTGACAAGAAACAGGGTGAGAAAACCAAAAACAGGGTAATAATTATCACAAACGTGCACAAATTTTAAACGGCTTTTCCTACGGGTTCTGAACGCATTAAAACCATTGGACTACGATATATCACGACAATGACGATATATCAAATGATCAACAGTACAACTGTGCAAGTACCGAAAACTTATCCAAACTTAATAACACAATTTTCCAAAAATTATCAAGGTAAAGAAAGAAATACACAAAAGTAATTTAACTCATACTGCCAACTAACTCTTTCTTCGCTACCAGTTCAGTTATCTAGTTTCAGTTTCCGATTACACTACGCATGTGGTTTCTTCCCGTACCTTTTCCTGTCCTGAAACACCACCAATTTCACTAGCTCCGCCGGGTACCGCCCCTCCAGCCCCTTGGCTCCCTTGTCCCGGAACTCCCTCCGCACTTCCTCCACCAACTCCGCCGGAATTTCTCTTTACTCTCGGTTAAGACCGACTCGTGGAGACTGCTGCCGCGGATCTTCTGCTCGATGACCTCCTTCCGCTCGGCCAGATTGTCGCTGCTCTTCCAGTGGGCGCCGGACTGGGCGGGCGGCGCTCGGCTGGGCAGCGGGTTGAAGGCGGCCTCCAGGAATTTGATCTTCTCGCCCATGTTCACCTGGATCTGCTCCATGCTGGTGCGGCGTTTGTGCGATAAGGAAGAAGATGTGTGCGACAGGTCGGATTTGTTGGAAGGCCGACGCCGTTTGGAGATCTCCTGACCGGCGATGTGCTACAAAATAAAAACAGCTTTAGTATGAGCACTATAGTGGCAAGTAGTGACAGCGATACTGGAAAAAGCTACCAAAAACCTAAGACACGGGAGTAACCAGCCACTGACATTTATTGTAAGGGAAAGCCAGGTGGATACAATATTAGCCACTATACTACAATTCACTGGTGTACGGTACTACATTACTCGTGATGACTGCATAAATCACTGCATTCATGCGAAAACGTATTACAGTAATTCTCGACTCTGACATCAATTAATAGTGTATCAAGTGCAAACACAAATACAATAGTCACGTATACAACAACATTAAAACCTTCACTACAAAGGCGTAAAGTGTTAACAATCTAATATCATGCCGTTCGTCGAAAATGTTCGACGCCACTGATCAGCAAAACAGAAAAACGGAAAGTAAAACAGGAAAGTCAATGAGAAACGGAAGTAAAACAGGAAAGCACAGGCAGAGAGTTATGCAAACAAAACAAACAACCAAACCAACAACGTGAGACGTACAGCCACAGGAACAAAGTAACAGGAACAATCAAAACATGGACAAATCTCCCCCAATCACAGCACTTTTCGTTGAGTTCGAACCACCAATTGACTGCATTACTGGTAACGACGAACATTATAAAAAACAAGTCGAGCAATCAAAAACGCGTTGTACGAATCACCCTCAACCCTGCAAAAATCACCCCCAAAACAAGCGAACACATGCAACAGGTTAGACAAACAGTGGCGGAGCAAAGAGGACTTCGTAACTGATCAGAACCGGTGCGGCACGCGACGGCATCAGCGTTTCGAGTCTGTGGGCATTCTCGAGAGGCGGCTGACCGCCAAGCGGGCAGGGATCACAGACATACAGCCAGACTAGCGCCAGTAAGGCGACGTACACCAAGACACACTCAAACCGTGACCTATGCCTCACCCGTCGTTTGCTGCTAACCGGCGACGCTGGCGTCGGACTGCTGGGTGTTTTCCGGCTGAAAGCGGGGGCGCGACGGGGCAGGTCGGCTTCCAGGGAGGGCGAGGAGTCCATGGTGACATTGGCGACGAACTCTGCAAAGCGGAAAAAATCCTGGGATAAGTTCTCCAGCTTTCACTGTGTTTTCTTACATCTATATTTATCTCAAACAATTCTTTTTTCTACTTAACTACTAGGAACGGTCTAAATCAAATTCAAGATTATTTCCCGTTAAAACCTGTGCGCAGATGACGAAATCACACCAGAAAAGCAAAAAAAAACAGGAACCACACTGCAATACATATTTAATACTTGTGTACATGCATTCCTTATACAGCCTCAAAATATCCCTCAAGCCAATGTACTACGATGCTCCATACGTATAACGGTGTGCTGCATCATGGCTCTACTCACCGCCCGGTATTTCCCGTCGGAACAGGTCGTAGAACTGCAGGAGTAACGTGCCGAACACCTCCCGGTCGATGTTCTCGCGTTCGCGGAGGATTTGTGCCGCAGTAAAAGGCACTTCGATGCCCAGCTGGTTCTCGCAGATGGTCAAAATCTACACAGAACGTGTACTTTAAGAGATGTTCACAACGAATATTTTCGTCAGTGAACTTCGTTCGAACACCGTACTTTACGAAATTACTGCAACTCACTAGATTCCACGTCGTTTCTTCGTCTGCCGTGTCCAAGGTGTAATAATTTTCTCTGCAAAACATAATTAAATCAAAGAAACAGCATTTATACGAACAGCGATATTAAATCAAAAGCAGGAGCAGGTTTAAAGCAAAATATACCCGTAACAGTTCAACGGAACAACTCAAGACAACAAAATCAAATAATAACCAACAAAATGCAAATGACTCTAAAAACTGAAATTTCATGGTCAAAAGACTCAGACTCACAACAACTCCGGCCGGAAGTGGTGTATCAAGGCGCAGAGGGGCAGGGGCGTGGCCCAGAACTGTCCGACCGAGTCGACGCTGATGCCGTGCGAGGCCAGCCCCTTGGCGCACCAGTCCACCAGCACCGACTCCGACACGGTGTCCCGGCGCTGACGCAGCCGCTTCGGCGTGTGCCCGGTCACGGCGGTGCGCTTCCACTGCCCGTTGTCCGGCAACTCGCTCTTGTCCACTTTCTCCGGACAGTCCGTGTCCAGCAGATGACGCACGATGAACACCTATACAACAGATATCATTTTCTGCTGCTGCTCAACACATGAATACTGATGCCTGCCCAAACCCATTAATAATATTAAAACAAACGCAACCATATTTATGCAGGATTATTAATTACCGAAGTCAGTTTGCCATAAAATAAAATACGAAAAACTCAATTAATACTTACTTACAGGCTACACAACGTACACCAATTTTCACAATTTAGCAACCGAAGGAGGATTTTACGGAGAGCGAATCGTAGTAGATTGGCAAATCGCTTAGTATGATAGTACATAACGCCGTGACGGGAACAAATTTGTTACAATGCAAATGTCGAATAAACTTTTTTTTCTTGCTTTACCAGTTTTTCAACCATCACAGCGTTCTACATCGACATATGTAACCACATAACATGCCACAGATTCCCCGGGAGATAAGGTTCGTGTTCTGCCGACTACGCACCTTGGCCTTGGATATATCAATATGGACGTATCGCGAGACGGGATCGATGGAATAATTGGAGTAGTTCTTCAGGAGATGTTCGTCCTTGATGCTGGACAGACTCCGGTAAATGGCCTCTCGCTCGACAATCATCTGCAGCGGCGTCCGCGTTCCCAATCCCCAGAAGCGCAACATCCACGCCGCATCCAAAACGCCCAGAAATCCGTGTGCGCAACCGGTGCCCAGCGGCCAAAACGGCTACAAGAATGGAAAAATAAATTAGCTGGACATGCACGATCCCAGCGAGCCTACAACTAGCGCCTGGTCCCGTTTTATCCCAAAATAAACCTCATACCAACGGAAATAATTTTTAAAAAAAATATCCAATAAACTCTTAAAGGGTTTTAAGACCACAGTAACGGGAATATCTACTTGCACTGGATACCAGAACCAATTCTTTAAAGCCAATCTTCTACAACAGCATATGATGATTATGGAATTTTATGGTAACTGGTTGTTAAATCATAACACAAACATCCACAGATATTTAACCAACATCTGAAAGTGATCGTCATTGGGAGAGTAATCACAAAGGTAATTATTATCATCCATAAAAACAAACTTTTGTAAATAATTTTTATAACATTATTTTAGAAAAACCATGAACAGGATCAGATTTATAGTTACCTCGATGAGACTGTCACCAACGAGGTTGATCATCAGCCGGTGTCCGCGGCGTTCCACAATGCGACAGGCGTTCTCGGCCGCGTACATGTTGGTAAAGTCAAACACCGACACGTCGGGATCGCCGTGCGGATTAATGGCGAAATCGTAAGCGGGAAGACGATTGCCGGTGGAGAATTTGGCGGCCTCCAGCGCGTAGTTGTTGAGGGCTTGTCTGTCGATGTTGTCGCGATGCAATAGCTTTTCAACTTCCATAAAATCCTACAAAAAGAACCCGAAAGATAAAAACCGTCAACAAATGTTGAATTTAGTATAAGAGTAAAAATAAAAATCTAACGAAACCAAATTTTCTTTCGAGCACAGACATCAATGAATTATTTTTAATATAACGTCTCCCATTCCATTCGGAATATCCGATGAATAATTTCACGAGCCCGTAATCTACATTCTACAATAGTTTCCTTCACTCCGTCGCCATTTAGCGGCACGCACTGTGCTTCTGAACGTGCAACGGGCATAGAAGAAAACATCATGCGCCTTTCGATTTTATTCGCCTTTAATGAGTACCGCATTCTGCAACCGTCCCAATGTTACGCGTACCTGTCTGAGGACGCCCTTGGCCAGGAGACTGGCCTTCTTGGCCGTCATGACGAAGTAGTGCGTCGCGTCGCGGTAGTAGACGATGTTCTCCAGATCGATGCCGCAGTCGTTGTACAGATCGCGGAAGAACTGTTGGTTGTAGATGCGCGCCACGCCGCTGATCTCCTCCACCCGGTTCTCCTCCGCCGTGTTCCGATTGATGAAATTAGTTGTTATTGCCTGCAAAGCAAAATTCCTGCCATTTTAAAAAACCGAACTTCAAGGGAAAAATTGAAAGAACAACCATTTATCGAAGCTCATTCTGAAAATATTACATCAAGGAATTTCAAATTAGAACGTTCAAATTCCGGATCTCGAGCCAATTCCGGATCTCGCGCCAATACACTACGATTTCTGGATGTAACAGAGTAGCAAACATTAATAATGAAAACGCAAGATTTCTGAAAGCGTTACGTAGCGTATTTTCGTTAAAAATGGAAAATAAACTCGTCACCGAAACAGTGTGTGAACTTACAATGGCCAGCATCCCGCGAAAGACTTTGCGCTGAAATCCCTGCAGCGTGTTCCTCCGTCCGTCGGCGCCCACCAGCACGTCGAACTCGTAACTGGCCACGGTGTGGTCCGCCGGATGGACTTCGGCCCGCCACCCCGTGCAATCGGCACCGTCGTATTCCGGCGGTTCGATGTAATTGATGAAGGATACACCGTAGTGGAATTCCACGCCCAAAAGCAGGGCCATTTTCAGCAGAATACACTGTAGGATCCGAATACCTGTGATAAAAATAAATGTAGTATCGAGGGAATAAATCGAGTATCATATTCATAATGCATTTTAACAAGCATACGGACATGTTCCAAAATCCTGAACATAATAGAAACTCAAATAATATATCCGGCAATGTGTCCTCTTGAAGAACTGATAAATAACCTAATTCCGTTGCAACAGTGTTAACAAAAATATTCGGCTCTCACTTATATGATCGACGTTTCCGCTGCAGAATTTCGGGTAGAATTTTTTGGCACCCAAATTGAGGAGATCAGTGATCACAAACGGCCACAAATGCAGGACATTATTGCGGGAAAACCGGTCGCGCTTTTCCACAACAACGACTTTGGCGCCCAATAACGCCGCTTCAACGGCCATTCGCAAGCCGCACGGTCCAGCGCCCACAATTAAAACCTGGAAAGAAAACTGCGTAAAAGCAAATGCAGAACAAGATCAATCCAAAAAAGTATTTAAAATTCTGATTAATTGTTTTCGTAAGTTTGTACACAATTTGGCGCAATTTTAAATGATTTAAATAGTTTAAACATAATTTAACGACCACACTCAAATATCTCTTGAAGTCCTTGATTTGTTTCAAATTTGTAAAATTTGTATCGCCGAATGTTAAAAAAACGTTATCCAGATCGTTGAAAAAAACGGTGGCTCTGGTAGTTTGAACAACAAAATCCCTACAAATTGCCCAATAATTCAAACATTGCGCAACCGTCCCGGGAATTCCCTTCAAAAGTCAATCAATAAACTGACAAGTGCTTTCTTAGCAGTTGATGAGGCGCACGCCGAGGATAAATTTTACTTGGCGGCGACGCAGGGACTGCACTTGATTAAATAATGGCAGTTCTTTGACCGCCAACGTCAACAGCAGCTGATTGCGCCGACAACGTGCCTGACTAGTCCCTTTGCGCAATCAGTCAACAAGTCCCGAATGGCCGCATCACCAAACCCGTCGCGCTCTCACACACACGCGCCGACTTAAGCCGCGATTAACCGACTAACCGATATATATTTGCTCACAAACAGACACCACCGAGCCATCCCAAAACACTCATCATCGCACTCCACCGAAAAAATACATCTGCACTCAAAAACACACAATCTAATTGCCTTTTGATACGAAAACAATCGGGAAGAAATAAAATATTTTCTAAAACCGATTCCACATCTTGTTCGATCAGCACATAAAAAAACTTCGCAAATCAGTAACCAACAAGTTAACAATACGCCCCGGAAATTATGTACATACAGAATGGATGGTTAGGCCGTTAACCAAGCAACAATGTTCCACTGTACTACGATTTCTCTGAACAACTGTCAGTGACCAACTACTCTGAAACTGACATGAAGCGGTGACCGGTCTTGTCCCACTAGATACTTTCAATTTTTATTCATTCTCAGGGGAAAAAAAGAAATGTACAATTGCTACGGTATTCGAAGGAAAAGCGATGCCTCAATATTCGCACGATCAGAAAAAAGGAAGTTCAAAAAATCAAATTGAAACAAAATCCTACAGAGTGTAAAAGGAGCAACAGCAGTCAGAGCAGAGTGTAAAAGGATTTTGCCAATTTCCACTGTCACATACTCCTGATAACAGACCTCGGACCTTCATGCTCACGAAAATGGCTAAAATAAATGAAACCACCGCAAAATAAAAACTCGACAAAAATCTATAGAAAAAGCGAAGGTCAGGGAAAGGAAGAAGTTCAGCCATCACTTAAGACACAATTAATTAACAGGTGCTACAATTAATTAATTACCTTATTGCCGGAACAAATCTGTCCCTTGCCGTATTCCTTCTGGGCGGCGCGTTTGTCGAGTTTGTTCTGGAAGTGCTTCCATTTCCACGAGAAGCTCATGCGCTCCCGCAATCGCCCGTAGAAGGTCCGGTAGTCGTTGGGCCGCAGCTTGACGCACTCGCAGAACTGCTGGAAATATCCCACAATGTGCTTCAAAGAAACGGCGGCACAAAAGTCCTCGAAGAGCTTCTCGGCGCGGGCCTGTTCGCCGGCTGACAAGCTGGAGACGTTGTGCGCCCGGGCGGCGGTGGTGTGCCCGTGGTGGCCGTGGAGGGCTGCCGGGCCGGCATGCTGGATACGGCAACTCATCGTGAATCACGCTTCGGCTGCCGAAATAACTCGTTCATTCATAAATCTGCAAGAAAAACATATATAAAAATACTTTTGCCTAGAAAAACGCAAAACGCAAAAGAAAAACGCAATTAAATATATTATTAAAATTACTGTAAACGATCGATTGCAACTAACCCGTCAGATATCACAAAAAACTAATAAAATAATTTTGAAATGAAAATCTTAAAAATCATCTCTATATAGTCAACAAACGTTTTTATTCGGGAAAATGTCTCAAATGTGGTCAGTAAGGAACTGACATACCCCTAACGTTCCACTGCACTACGATTTCACTGAATAATCGTTACTTGTTAGTAAATAACTGAAGTGCAGTTTACACACTTTCCTCGTAGGTAGTCCAAGATTAACAAAGCTCAAGTTAAACAACAGAAAAATTTCCCCGTTTTTTATGTATAGGAAAACAAACTTCAGACAAACAACAACAATTTTCCCAAGTCAGACGCCTAGATTCAGAAGACGGCCATAATTCAAGGAAACGGACACGGTAAACTGAAATCGAAAATTGCCCACTGACCAGCTCGCCATCACCGATTCACGCTCACGCAGAACATATGAATTTCGCTCGAACACTCGCACACACAAGAATAATTCAGCGAAAAGCGACATATGCCATTTCTCAAATTTAATTCCCTTTGACAAGTCCGTTCGGTGCGAACAGGCAAACACATTAAAATGCAAAACTTCCAATTATTCAGTTAGCCACTTCATTTCCACGGGCAGAAGAATTACTCTACACGACAGTGAGAAATAATTCTGACAAACTTTTTCCGTTCGACAAGAAAGCGCTATCTGATGAATCAGTCATAAGAACGGCGATTGCTCCTGTTTTTTTTCCTCACGCGAACAAACATATTACTCACCAAAACTATGTTTACAAGTGCTAACAGTCATTGTTACTAGCCGCAAAACCAACTCTCTTAAATACCGTAATTATCGATGATTAATGCAGTTTAGTAAACGAGAAAGTCTGATTCTATGATAATTTTTAATTACCATTATATCGCAGCTTCGGACACTAAACGAAAAATCGCAAATTTGCAAAAAACAAATGCATAATACTAGTAAAAATATAAACAAAAATAAGAAAAAATATTTTATAACTTCATAAACCGCCAAATCCATTTTACAGAAAATGTAATAAAATTCTGGTGCAAATAAAACGTTACACATTATGGTCTCTTTGCAGCCGTTGCAGGCGTTCAACGTTGCATGTATGCCATCATAATTCAATGTCAGCAAATATAGTGGCAATGAATAATGATCAATAATGTTTCTTTCCATGAGCCATGCGTGGGCATTTCGGTACTGCAGTATTGACAATCTGTATCACCTAATTTATTCTGCTTTCTGACCTCAACGAGAAATCGGCAACAATAACAGCGGGGTCAACAATGTATTCAGCTGATTAAATATGAACTAAAGGGTGGAATAATGGGAAATGCTCACAGACAATCATAATGCCACGCATATTAAAAACGCTCCCATACAAATAATTTCCAATAACGTCAAAAAACAACCTCAAAGCAAAACCGCGATATAAATAACAGAAAATATGCTGGAGAATTTCAGACGCCAAAAATGTCGAGAAAAAAACGAGAGGCGACTCATTAAAAATACAAAATTAATAAAAACATAAAAAGTTTCCTTTAAAAAAGATAAAACTGATTCAAAAGCATTACTGTCTGCAGATATACAAACCAGCGCAAAATAAAAGAAAATTATAAAATCATCCATATTTTGTCTACAACTCACCAATGCAGCATCAGGTAAAAATTAGCCAAACAAACCAATCATAAACACAACAAAAATGTTTCCAAAAAAATGTCAGATTCTGCGCCAAGTGTGGAGGAAAGACAACTCCACTCCCAGCTGACTGGCAACGAGTGCCGGTTGACGCTAAGAGGCTTTTATATCCCCCGCACACTCGCCATGTAAACCAACCTAATTTGCTTTTTTCAAGTGTTGTCAGTCGGTGTGTAGAGGCAGATGTTTGTCAGGGACCAAAATCTCCACCGACATATTGACACCCATCCAACACAGGCACTGCGCTGTGGACCCAAGCGATTTAGCGGATTTGTCAAAACACACTAGACTGGATGAGCTGCCGAGCCAGCACCAGCAGACGGAAGTCTTCCGTATTCCCTTAGCGCATAATCAAATAAATACAAATATATACCCAGCTGCCTCGTGATTTGTGTTTACCGTAATATATGTACAAGCAACGAATTTTACACAATTTCCAGTTATTTTAAAATATTTTTTAAATTTAAATTATTCATTTTTAAAAATGATTTTTTTAAATATCAGTCATCGTAGATCTTAAATATAAACGTTCTGCTTTCATCGTTGTTGGATGTCTTTTTAAAACAATAGCAGTGCCACACAAATTTCAATGTAAGTATCGTTATTTTGTTCAAACAAATGGAACTGTTATTGATCCAATTTAAATTCAATATCAGCAAATGCAGTCGATCGAATGTTATATGTACTCCCAAAAAAATACTGCAAAAGTCACATATTAATTGGCCTGATTTCACCGGTTTTACTAAGCGGAAACAAAAACCGTGATCTCAATTACGGAAATGTACAAATAAAGTAAAATGTCAGTAAAATGATGGATCAGTGTAAACGATGTGCAGATGAAGATAATCAATTAAATACAGTTCATCATACAGAATTCTGACCGAAATGTGTCACGCGAAACGTCATGCACTCGATACACTACATCGCTTATTCACGCTCAGCTAAAAACACAAACATCGCAGTTCACGACATTCTGACTTCGACCAACTAAATCGAGACACAAATAAATCAAATATGGATTATCAATTAGGATGAATAACATTTGCAGTCGAAATCGAAAGCCTGCAAACGCGCTACAAAAATAAATTATTTATGAATTATTATCAACGAAACCTAACGAAAACAAAAAAAAACCCATACAAAATGATTTATGAAACAGCGGGAATATGCATCAGATTATATTACCAGTGCAGATAAAGCTAAAACGTTTCAACGGATTTTCAGCCAACAAAATTCGAAATAAAAAATCTGGGTACAGACTATTGTTTTCCAAACATAATAAATTTATCGTGCAACAACACAAACCACGCACAAGCGCATTGCAAAATGCTGCATTTATATTATTAAAAATACGACACATTTATTCTGTTATAATAATTCAAAGATTATTATCAACATTTATATACAAAATAAAAAGAGCGAACAACGTTGACACAACAATTTCAACACAGCAGCAGTGTGTGTACTCGTGTGCCGTTTGCATTAATTGTTGTCACATGCAAATTACGGAAAAAAAGCGCGCCATGTACCAGCCGAAGCGAATGAAAAAAGCCATAACCACATGTGCGCAAAGTTCGTCATGTGCAAATTATGCGTTGGAGTTTTTTCTCGGAGCATCGATTCAAGGCCACCGCCCAGTGGGCAACCGGTGCCGGCGGATCAGTCTGATCGGCAGCGGAAATGTAAAATGTTTTCTCAAGTGTCTGGTGTCTCTCGAGTGGCTGGCAGTGTGTGCCGATGAAAAAAATACCAGCCTGATTTATTTACAGTAACATCCAACTGGTCAAGCCAGCTCGACCAGCACACACACCGGGCTCACAACGGAAATATGTTATTCAGCACACAGCCAAACACAACCCAGGCCAGCAGGATAAAATTACCCAGTCACAATACGACCTTACCACTTGACATGCCCATCCAGTGCAAAAAAGCAGCATAGTGCCATCCATTGAAAAAATATGCCGCGCTGTTTGCTTTTCGTTCTACTGTCTGTTGACTGCGGAATTTTTTTCATGTAATTTTGCATAATAATTTTTTCGACTACCTCTCTGTGTAAAAATAGTAAGCGACAAACAAGACCGTTTCCAGAGAGAAATTTGTAATTCAGAGCAGTTTCAAGAAAGGAAAAATTCGCTGCATATAAAGCAAAATAATTTTTTAATTTTGGACGGATCCATATTTCAGAAAATATTGGATGGATTTTTAATATCTTTCACAACAAAAATAATCAAATATTTGGCCTGATAGTTGATTGACAGATCTCGGGCAATATCATAAAGATTTAGGGACATTTTAATTATTTTGTTATCGCAAAAATAGGTCAAATATTTTATTTTACTGACCGTGCAGCTGAAATAAATTCACAGTACATTTTGCTCCAGTACTGCGAAATACAGCTCCGCAAGAACACACTTTTTTATAGCAAAGTGAATCATTTTTACAACCTGCAAAAGATTTTAACCTAAACACTGCATCCGGATAAAGCAATATTTATGCTGCATAAAATCACGCTGAAAAGATGCTGCGCATGGTTGAGCACGGTGGCAGATTTATACTGGCTAATGTCACGAAATCAAATATGACTAACCGGGCATGAAGCCACAAAAAAATCAATGCAGAACATTGACAGAATGGATAAAAAAACACACGCACAATTTACTGTTACGCCAGCAGTCAGTCCGATTCAAACAGATGACACAGGGTAACAAAAGGAAAAGGACCAGTGTGCTTTCCTCAAAATTGACAAACACTCTTCAAATAATGGCTACAAAAATATAACTGCTTTTTTAACCTGTAAAAGAAATATATTTTTAATTAAAAATATTATCGTAATTAAAATTAATAAATCTGCAATACTAGGAGAATAAATCAACAATAATAATAATAATTTATTAATATTTATAAATAAAACAAATCCTTAATAGTAGAAGACAGCTTTTTGACAGATAAATTTCAAAAAATCGATAAACGAAAATTAAATAAATTAAGAGAAGACAATAAGTAAATAAATTTGTCAAACATTAAACTTTTTTAGTCGCAATTTTACGCGCATTATTATGCAGAATTTCGTAAAAAAGCCCAACCCACCTGTCAAACAGTAAATATAATCCCACACAAACACAGCCGAAAACTCGAAAAGTCGTATTCCATTCAGCAAAGAGAACAATTATCGGGTTGAGAGTAAACGGTCAAGAAAAAAACACTACCGTCGAAGATTGCTCGAGTGGTCTGACATGCTTCATAACCATCCGACTGGAAAGTTCACCGTCTGCACGGAGCAAGCGTTTTTCCACTCTTCGCCGGTGCCGGCCAGTATTTCTCACACGGCGCAGCCAGCCAATTGTATCTCTGTGTTATCATCAATCCAGAATAAAACCAGGCCAACGAAAACACATTTCACGATAAGAAAGCAAATGTTGCTGATAAGAAGCACATTGTTTACGTGATTTACGTGCCGGATGCGGTGGCAGTTGGTGTGACGACACCCCACAAACGACGGCCCAAATGTCAAAATTTCGCAATAACATATCCACAAAAAAGAACCACGAAATGTTGCTTAATTGTATGCACAGCTTCTTTGACACGGTTTTAACTTTTAAATATTTTTTGGGGGTTCTGGCAAAAAAATGACAATAATTATGCTTCTCATTAAATATGAGATGTCAATTTGCGGCGAGTTCGCAGTTCTTAAAATTATATATTACCTATAATCTTGGCTCGTTCCCGATTCAAAGCAGTTAATAAGAATACCTGATACCGTAATTATTCCCAAAAATCTTAAAAATTAAATTGTTTTCGATAAGCAAAATATTAAACCCGTTTAGTGCCGCTCCAAATGTAAAGTTTTAACAAAGCAGGTAAACAAATCGGAATCGGATTCGGAGAGTCGATCAACTGCCTCTGCACTACGATCTCCTACTTAAACGTGCATGCGAATAGTGCTTAAAATTGTAAACAGCCTACGGACTTGAGAGCAGACAGTACAGAGGTAAAATCACATAAACCACTGTAACCCACAAATAAAATTAATGTAATTAATAAAAAAAAAAACCAATAAACCTAAGCCCCCACTATCAAACCCACATAAACACCGAGCGTCGATCTTTTTAATGCATTACAATTTTCGTTCCCGAAACACGATTCGAATTCAAAAAAGTAGCAGCAAATAATGTTTAAAACAACATAGTTTAGTTTTCCTTCCGGCACCGTAAATAACCATGGCAAACAACGGATACGGTAATGTATGCCGGCTGTAATGTATCGAGGAAAGTAAATTTATTCAACAACAAGAAAATATCTGTCAAGTTGAACTTGAAGAGAAATCCATAACAAAAGAAAGTTCGTTTTCTTCTGCGGTGCGCAGTGCCGGCAGCGATCGCACAGTGTTCCGTTCTGCAAACCGATTAGCCAACTTGGCGCTTACACAACCGGCTGGCAGCGAAAGCGAAACGAGAAAAAAAGAGAAAAAACGGAGCAACGACGGAACTAATTAGCAGATCGGTTCCAACAAATCTCAACCGCCACATCGCGTTTTAAAATGCGCACCGACTGCGAGCGACGAGAAAAAAGGTCACACGAACTGGAAAAAATAACCACAGGCTATTAAATTACGAAACGGAAACGCGTGCGATAAAACAAGCAAGAAACGGTGGCAAAACCAAAAAGTATAATACGCCTTTGCGGATTTGAAAAAGACCGTGTAACGCTTATGCCGTTCCGACAGTAAAAGACCAAAAGGTACACGAAAAAAACTAAACTATATTTCCTAAATTATTTCCTAATTATTTCTAACAAAATACTATTTTCTATAAGTAGTTTTCTTCTATTTTCTAATCTATTTCCAAAAAAACATTTCTATATCCTACATTTCTAAAATATCATTTTTTAAAAAATTCAAATACGAAAGAAGCTGTAAAAAACACAATAAAAAATACAGAAGTAGAACCGGAGATAAAAAATTAGTAATAATGCCGGAAATGCAAGGACGCTTGCAATTACACGAAAAAATGTCGCAAAAAATTAAAAAAAAATTCGTCAGAAATAAATTACAGCTTGACAGGGAAAACTTAAGAACCTTGCGCAAGAATTAAAAACAGGAAACAAACACATGAAATAACATATGCGTAATTATTATGCAGGTGTCTTCGCTATTTCCGCTGGATGGGAAAAGTGCCACAACATGAAACCGCAGTGCGTTTCTGTCAATTGTAGCGTTTATTACAAAATCACTTGTCAAACTTTGCTGAAGAGGCACATGTACATAAACGGTCATTTCATCATCAGCCATGTGAACGTACGGAAGCGTTGGTGATTTTGCCCGCCGTTTTCTGACGAAAGAGAAAACATGCAACCGCAACATATGTCAGTTTTTCAACAAGCCCCGCCGAATTGACCAATTGAACAAAAAGAAGTGCCGCATAACACTTCTTCTGGCCGAAGATTGCGCCGATTCAGCGCCAGCAATCTAAACATTTCCCTTTCAACACTGTTACAAGACGCTGTTTGTTATGCCTGCAAATGCTGGTCGACAACAACGTGTATTCGTATTATGCTGGAAAAGCGATTATTCGTTCACATTAGAAAAAGCTCCAAGTGTTCCTTTTGGCAAAACTGGTTTTCTAAAGCTTTAAATTTTTAAAACTGGCTACAAAACAAACGCATACTGCAAATCCATTTTGGTGACAATAAAGACATCATTCTCTGTCGCTTTTTTTTTTAAATTTCAGCCTCCGAAAATAGTCAAAACAAAACTGGATAATTTTACCGATCATAAATTCCAATAAAAATTAAATAAAGCGTGCATATTTATTATCAATTAAATTTATTTAAAAAATAAATCGCCAGTTATGATGCTTGGTCGTTTTCCAAAATAATATTTGAAAACATTCCGAAATGCAAGATGGTAATTCATAAAATAATAAATAGCAGAGCAATAATCAGTCACATTAAAATTATGCAATAAATGAGAAAACTGCATCGATTCCACTGAAAATAAATAAAAATTTCCACGTTATTTATTCGCTCAAATAACGTCAGAAATGCCAGCTGCAAAGTCGCTATTATTGATAATAAACTATTACAATTCAAAATAGAAACTAAAAAGTTAAAACTTTCCAAAAATTAAAAGAGCGTCTCAAAAAATTTCCCAGCTATTTATAAAATTATTTACGCCATTTTTATAATTCTTACTCACCAAGAATTTCTGACGGCTGGCATTCCTAACAACGCCAATCACGCCGAGAATCTCCGTTGCCAAACATCCGACAAGGAAACATTCCAATCCAGACAGTCAATATTGACTTGTTTCGGCTCCGAATTATTCCAAAATCATCCAAAAATCGAGGTCCTCCGCATAATGCACAACAACGCCAATCCGACGCTTGCCAAAACACACACCGCAAATCCTATTTGCACTTCCTGCAAAGCAGCAGAGAGAATTAAAACTTATTGGCTACTGAAGCCGTCTGGAAAATAACAACGGAACACATGTGAAAACTGAAAAGCCAGTTGAATAAAAACCTGCGCAGACCACCGCGCGTTGCTGCTGATGCTGGCAAAAAAATCCGGTTTTTCACGCTGGCTATTACGCGCCTGCACGCTTCCTCAGAGCAAACATGAAACAGTGATAAAACATAAAAGCATCTTTTCGAAAATTGAGATGTGCCTGGAAAGAAAGAATGAAGAATGGAAAAGATGATTTAAAGTTCAGTCAAGCCGTTAAAAACCAGTTTTTAAATTTCCAACGTTCTGCTGGAAAACCGAAAAATCATGAAATCAACCGAGTGTGAAACGGTACGTTTTCTCGTACAGCGCACGCGTTTCAACGTAGCCGATACGTAACAGGGACGTATCGTTCCGTTATCGGAGCGGGGAACGGGCGTGGCTGCGCATAGTTTACAGCGTATGCATCAGCCAATCAGATGCTGTTTCTTACTTTTACGCGCTCAAAATCGACGCGCCAAACAACATTTTTCATTTTCCCACAGAAATTCATCCTAAGACCTAATAAATTGCTTTTGATTTTTGAAATTTCAGTTTACATTTTATATTTGGCTATGATTATTTATTAATTATTCGAGAACTCAAACGTTTTAAGTTTTGGATGCTTTAAAAAATCAGCAGGAGTTGTTTTTCAGTCGTGGCAGTGTAACGTTTAATACTTACCTGAAATTAATTTTCGCGTTCCGAAATTGGGAAATTGTTTGTTTATGTTTGGGTTTCCGCTCGCCGCTCGGGTTTTCGTCGGCCAGACACGGAGCTCCCGCGGCGTAGTATAATCGGATTGATCGGCGCGGGTAATTGGTTCAATGAGTGAGGAAGCGGAGTTGTTGGACACGAGCGGTGTGTCGGTTGAATCGGGGGATTCGCTCATCTTCTCATGCGAATCCGCTGAAGGACTCGCGTGCAGCTGCACTCACACGCAGTCGTCTGACGCGGACACGCTCGCCTCCACCAGCTCGCAGTCCACGCTGACCGCCAATGAGTCCGTCTTCTCGCAGGATACCGAACGAAGGTAACGAAAACAATGCATTAATTTTCGTGTAGATTAACTGTAAAACATTGTTGTTTTTAATAAGTAATTTATTTTTTATGAATTTTTTTCTGCACCTAACCAAACGGTGCATTTTTTACTTCTGGCGATGCCTTAAGTATTTCCTGAATTATTTTAGTAAATTATAATGCCAGCTGTAAATTCTTCTGTAAATTAACTGTTTGATGGCAAATTTATAAATATTAAGTACATGTACACGCTGTCGCAGCAGTTTTAATAATCGTTTGAACGCGAATCGCCGAATACTGTTATAATAGTGTTATTTCTCTGTTTCTCGCAAAAATAATTATTTTTTCTGCTATAAAATTGCAATAATCCTGTATCCCCTGATTATGAAGCTAAAAATAAAAAAATGCTTAATTTAATTAATACTGCTGATTTTTAATAATTTCAAAAAATATGTGCCAAGGACGCCATGAGATGGAATTTGGTAAATTCTTACCAAATTGTAAAAATAAATTGTGAAATTAAATTCCTTATTTATTCAGCCTTACAACTCGAATTCTTATTTTTATATGTTTTATTGATTAAAATTAAAAGCTGAATTTACGATATTTATCAGAAATTCTGTGCAACAAAAACTTTCGGAGATTTTCACGAAATTTTCTATATTGTTTTTTTTCTGCAGTTTCGAGGATGACAGTTTCTACGAGCGCGTGGACCCGCGGCGCTACCACAAACTGGAGATCCTGGGCCGCGGCCAGTACGCCACGGTGTACCGGGCCTGCGACCTGCAGGAAGGCAGCATCGTGGCCATCAAGCATCTGCGCCTGCTGAGCCAGGAGGAGCGATACCACCTGGGCATCAGCGAGGCCTGCCACCTCCGCGAGGCGGAGATCCTCGCCCGCCTCGACCACCCCAACATCGTGCGCCTGCTGTCGGCCTTCTGCGACGGACCCCAGAAGACGCTGGTCATGGAGTATGTCCACTTCACCCTCGAGGCCCTCATCGTCGACCGCGGCATTGCGGCCTTCTCCGGTAATTGGTGTAGTTATTTAATGACTTTAATCGAAGAATATTCCGCAGGTTTATTGCATTTTTTGTTATGAATTTATATTTTTGACATTGTGACAGAGAAAGTGTAAACATCGCAGTGAAAGTTGCGAATACGTTTCATGAATGTTGAGTGACGACGTAGTACAGCGGCAATGTGTTCATCAATTGCAAGAGTAACTTCCTTGCCCATTATCTCTTGGCTCTTGCCTCTTGGCACTACCGTGTGTCAAGCGGCATACGTAAATAATTTTTTATTTTGATATTAATACGATGTAGAGGAATAACTAACGAGCCGTATTTTTGATTTGCAGTTAGTTAATTATTTATTAGGAACGCCTGCTTTTTAAAGCAGAATAATACTGAATAATTGTAGCGATATACATGAATAACTGAAAAACCGTATTTTTTATTTACAGTTGGACAAGTGAAATATTACCTGCAGGGCGTCGCGCAGGGCCTGGCCTATCTCCACAGCGAGAACATCATCCATCGCGACATGAAGCCCAACAACGTGCTGGTCAGCGTGGACGGGGACGTGAAGATCGGGGATCTGGGGTCGAGTAAGCAGCTGAATGGCAAGGCCGCCTTCACTAACCCCTTCGCTTGCCGCTACTACCGCGCCCCCGAGATCCTGCTGGGCGTGCGGGAGTACGCGTTCCCTGTGGATATGTGGGCGCTGGGATGCATCGCGGCCGAATTCTACATCCGCAAACCGTTGTTTGTCGGTAAGGCACTTCTGTCATTTGATACTGCTGTTTTTTTGGAAGTTATTTTGGGATTAAATAGTAATATTATAATGTTTGTGTAGCCGGGCTGTACGAGGACGAATGTCCACAGTACATACTGGCTTCCATATGCCCACAGTATTTATTTAAGCATCGTAGTGCAGTGGCATAAGCAGTATTTCTTGTCGTGAGCCATCTTGAATCTGCATACAGATGCAAGAAACCATATCAGTTTTCCTGGGTGTAAATTTCTGGTGACGTAAATATTTTTAGTTTTAAATTATTGAGTACCAGTTTGATCAACGCTTTTGTGTTAATGTTAATTTGGTGGCTATCGCCTATTTGAATTTTAATATAATGAAGCTTGTAAAATGATTACATTTTTTAACACCGAGAAAACTGCTTTATACAATCGGATTAAATGATATCCCAATTTTTTGCAATATCCCGAATTTTGCACTAAACCGTGTACTTGATAGTTATAATTTTCGTCTGCTGTGCAGGTAACTGTGATATTGCCCAGCTGAACGCCATCTGCCAGGTGATCGGTGCACCGCTGCCCTCGGAGTATCCCGTGGGGGGTGTGGTTATCCAGTTTCCGGCGTGTGGAGCCCGGCCATGGTCCAGTGTGTTGCCGCAATCCCCGCTGGTGATTTTGGAGCTCATCCGGCGCTGTTTGCTGTTTAACGCCGCCAAACGGTTGTCCGCGAAGGAGTGCTTGCTGGTACTGGCGCAGAGCGATAAAGAGACGCCGGCGTGTCACCCGACGGAACTGCCCGTTCCGGAGTGCTACAGGAAGAAGAACGGGTTCATCCCCAAAGCGCCGGGCTCTAATGAGCGGCCACGGAAACGTCTGTCGGTGGAAAACGGCCAGAATTTCCTGTAAGTTTTGGTATGGTTTCTTCGTATACGATTAACAACTGCCTGCTTTTATTTTAATTTGTGGTTAATTATTCATTGATCTTGTTTTATTACATATTCATCAATTGTATAATTCAGTAATTTATTGAATTCTCCTTCTTTTTTTGCGTTCTGATTTCGCCATGCCATAACATACTGTTCGATATATTGGCGTAATGTCCAGAGGAGAGATATGCGAAATTGATTCAGTTTGACTGTTGTCACCTGCTCACAGCTGAAATGAGGAGCGACAACCAACTTGACCGTAAAAATTATCATTAATTTAAAAGCAATCGTAGTGTCGTGGCTGATAACTTCGCCTGTGTAGTCCCTGTCAGTGTATTAATTTTAATCTAACGATCTGTGAGTTACAGATTATCTCTGGTAAATTGTTTATTTTTTCTGCCGCTTGACCGTTAACGTAAAGTTTTAGAATAGAAGTAACATTTTTCAGTCGTCAATTTTTGAACACTTTTTTAAATTTTCTGTCATGTTGTCGGATTTTGTTACTCTGCGATTTTTCTTAGTAATGAGGTTACAAGCAGTTATCATTTTGAAGGATTGGCGTAGCTGTGTACTTAACTAAGTTGTACTGTGTACTTGTGTACGTACTTAAATACCAGAAGGGGCTTAACTAAGTTTACTTTCATAATTTAACCGGCGCGTATGTAACGGTTATTAAAACATTATCATTATGTGTAATGGGAAATGTACATATATGATGGCTGGAGCATACATGTACGCTGTATTTGCGAGTTGACAATTTGAATCAAAATATTTTGCAGTTTAAATACAATGTTAAATACGGATTTTCCGGCGTTTCGAACAAAATAGGCAGGCGTATTTATTGAAGTTTTTTTTTGCAGCGTGAACTCGGCGTCGAGTGTGGCGAGCAGTGGTGCGCCGTTGGATTTGAGTCTGGACGAGAGCGACCAGGTGCCGCAGGATCCGGACAGTCGGCCCCGCAGTCCCCCGAATTTACTGCGGGAGGCGCTGGTGCATTCCAAAGTCAAGCGGCGTCTTCTCTTCGCCTAACTGTGTTCCCTTCACGTGATGCTTTTTTCTTTCCATTTTTTAAGGTTTCAGATGTACATAATTAATTCCTATCGGCGTTGTTTATATCGGTGGCATTTGTTTTCGTGTGTATTAATTTTTTTACATTTTGTACCTTCTTCCCTGTAGTTGAGAATTTTTTGGTAGTTTTTAAATTTGTGAAAGTCCTTTGTTGTCTGTGTAAAATCTGGGCGGGAGAAACGGGGGTATTGGAAATAAAATTGCGTCGGCTGTTGACTGAATAGCAGTTATCAGTTTTCTTGGGCAATAAAATCTAAAACCCATGACTTGCTGACAATAGAATAATAATATCTAGTGACAATAGAATAATATCTAGTGCGGAATAAACTACGTATATGTTTATAAGGCAACAGTTACGATGCGTATCGTAGTGTTGTGGCACGATTGTTTGGTGCATACTGACTATCTTTGAATTCTTCCCTCATTTTAAATCCACGTTAGCTTATTGAGAGTGGGCAATTAATAATTCAAGTTGGAATTTTTTTTGGGCTTTTTTCCTGCGAAGGAATATTTTTACATCAGCTTTCGAAAAGTTGTGTGTATTTCCGAGAAATATCGACGCTGCAGCTAGGTGAGTATGATGTTTGCCCCTCTTAAAATGTACCGGAAGGCTACGAGTACAGAAATTCTAATATTTGAATACCGGGAAAATTGTCTTGGGCGATAATGCCAAATATAGGCACTGCGTAAATTTGAAGAAATGGTTAAATTTTAGTGATACGCATTCCTTACTATGTTATGTTTAAAGTATAGTGCGTGATACTGTGGCGCTTTTGTTGAGCCGGCATAATTTTGTTAGCTTTAGACTATGTACATATATTGTCAGTGTGCGATTACGTAAAAGTAAAAACTACGATCGCGATGCATATTGCATGCTCATTCACGACGTTCCGGCATTACATCTTAACGGTTGATCACTGCAAAAGTAAATCACCCATTCACCGGTGACTGTACTTCTTGAATCTGCGCTAAAGTTGAATTCAAAGTTGGTGTCCGGGTACAGTTTTTTACTTTATACTTTTTAATTTATCTGCGATTCTGAGGTGGACAAGCTCTCTAATACTGCTCTGAGAAAGTATATTATATCGTCAGACCGGAGATTTTGTACAGCCCTTACGGTGTAGGTTTGAAGGATAAGAATGATGACCTTTAATACGAGTATATTCGCTGCTGTATTTCTTGTGGCATGTCTGAGCGGTAAGACTTTGTTGTAAAGTTATGTGATCGACTACTTATGTACTAGTAAATATTTAAATTACGTAATCTACAGTATTAAGATATGCATTTTCTTTACGTTAATTTTTAATAATTACCCTTTTGTCTAACTTCCAAGCCAGCATTGTGCAATCCTCGCAAACAGTAAGCATACGTAATATTCAGTAATACTGTACTTTTTCATTGCCGTGTAGCTTCACAATGGATTTCGTCCATGCATTGTTGTTTAAAAAATTACAGGTACAGCGTCTGGACTTTCCTGTTACGAATGCCAGGGCAGCGCCACGGATGTTGACAAATCCTGTCTGGATCCGTTCAACCCGAAAACCAATACGGTGAAACAGCGTCCTTGCAGTGAGTTCGGAAGTGGTCAGTTCGTGTGCACCAAGACTGTGTCCGAATCACACACCGACACGCTGCAAGCTTTCCGTAAGTACAGAGTAGTGCATTTGCGGCGATCACCGTGTAACAAGCATTATGCTTACGCCATTAATACTCGTACAACGAATTAGCAAAATGTACAACATTTTACATTTTGGACGCAAGCGCGTTACATTATCAACAAAATGTATGTTGTCGGTTACCTCGATGTTCTGCGTGAAACCAACCCTCAACCTTAAACACAAATTTATTAATTACTAAGTACGAATTACTTATAATTACTCACTGTCAAGCTAGTTATTATTGGAGTAAATTTGTTTTAGATAGAAAACTTTTCTTTAATTTTGATTTCCGTTGTAGTGTGCCCCTCAGCCATTACTATAAGTGGCAACAATTATTATATACTATGAAGAAACAAGTTAGGAAAATCTTAGGAGGACATAGTAGGAAAATCTTCAGCTGCTTATCTGTCAAAATCGTTGGATTCAGAGATGTACCGGTAATTCAATGCCGATGTGTCGCTAACCCGCTGTGCATAATTTACTTAGCGTAAACAATAATTCGTTTACGCGATTTAATAAATAATTCATTTGCTGTTGGCTTTTTCTACAGATGGCACTGTCACCCGCGGCTGTCAGCGTATTAATTCCGGCGGCCCGGCTTTGTACAACCGGCTTGACCTGACTTCGAACACCTATTTGTGCGAGACCAATTTATGCAATTCTTCTTCCATCGTCGCATCGTCCATATTATTGTTATTCTTAATTTCGCTGTTAAGCATAGTTCTGCGCAGTTTATAAGATCGCTTGTAACATAATTTTACATCGAATTACACTTTACGAGCAAACACAAACAAAGGTCAACAAAGATTAATTCCGTAGAGCTGCCGTTGTATGATGTACAAAGCGACACAATCACGCGTTAAAAAAACCGACCATGACCACGACTAAAAAAACCTAATGCCGAATATAGCTGTAAAAGATTAATGATCAAGTCAGACAACATATACTATACCATGTACAGAAAACTTGAAAAAACGTTAATTCCTCATAAATTTTCGCAGCCGCGTTGGTGTGGCTAGATTTTCGCGAACTTGGATATTCGCGTGCATTCACTGCTGGTTCACTGCGCTGGTGCTGTTCTTTTTCGCGATTTTCACTTTCGCCATTTGCACATAACGTGAGCGGGTGTCTCGATGAGCTTCTTTCCAGCGTTTCCCCAATTCGGCTTGAGTGATGACGCTGCAATGGCGTGCCTGGCTGGCGCGCCGTCGTTCTTCAGCAGAAAACAGATGGTATGCGGTTGCTTTCAGATATCCTAATTCCTTGCCTGCAACAGATTGTGCGGACTTCTTGTACGGGAGTTCGCGAACTGACGGCTCACGCTCATTTCGGACGGTTCCGACCGGATGGTGGCCTCTCGGTGGAACTGGCGGCATGGGCTGGGCGCCTCGCGGAGTACCGGAATACTCCATGGATGGTACGATGCCATCGGCGGCATATTTCCAGGAGATGATCTGCCCCAGTTCTTCATAACCCAACCAATGCGACTACAGACAAACCGTTACAAAAAATTAAAAAACAATTTCGTAATTTTGTGGTGCAAAGGTCAAGTGTGGCGAAAAGGAAGGCTGTCTAACCTGTTCCAGAATTTTCTTGTAGGTCATCAGCGGGAACCGAATGAACGAAAACGCAGATCCTAATTGTCTCCGGCAGTTTTTGCTGGATCGCTGCAGACCCGCAGCGGCACATGCGTGCCTCGCCCATCTGCAAAATCATGACATCAAAAGTTTTGTAGTAGTGTTTTTCTATGAGTTCGAGATGGTGCATAACAATCGCCTAAGGAAAACCGGGTACTGGAGACTCACCTTTTCACAGCCTCGAAAACAAGATTTTCCTCCACTATCAAAGTGTTTCGTTTGATTATCATCTCGAGAGTGGTACGCTTTACAGTCAGAAAAGCATCGCACTTCAGAAATTCAGCGCCAAACGCATCAATCACATCGAGACACTTCGCAACAGCAGCCTGGGCGTTCAGATCCGCTGCCTGAAACAAGCCCATGGAGATTATTAACGGACCAATTTCTCCATTTTTCGGATTTTATTTTAGTTCAGTAAAAACAGAGTGCGTCTTACTTTTTCAAGGATCACCAAGCAGCTGTCCTGGCTCAGGTCGTCGGGGATAAATTTCGCACATAAATCACACAATGCCGGAATCTCGTATTTGAGGGCACACGAGAAAGTGCTAAACCCGTTATCCGAATTCAGATTCTTCACGCAGTCCGTGTACAGAAAGCTATAACCGAGAAATCCATTTACAAAGACCAACTCGAACTTGCATTGTACGAAAACGTCCGCAATGCAGACGAAACTCGACCCTCTGCCCAATATTTTCCTGGCATGACATTATAAAACAATTATCACCATATATATGTAACGACTGACATCTTATTCGTTAACTTCAAAGGTCAAGTTTTCTTACAGTGACTATTTAAAGCACTACAGATAGAAATCGCTTGAAGATTCACCTAACGAGCTAAACATTTTCGAAGCGATTTCCGTATGAACATAAGAAAGTTAGCGTTGTGCAGAGAAAAGTATGCTTTACTTTTAAATATTTTTTGTGAAATGGTGGTTTCTACAGTTGTGGTAAAATACTGTAGCCGCGCGATGAGTTTGCACCACAGAGTCTGGTATACGGAAATCGTCGCACACGCTGCAGCACGTTCTACGAAACGTATGCGCTGTCCGACGGGGGCAAGCAGCGCGCGGATCTAAAAGCGGTGAAAACTTATCGCGCGGCTACAGTAATTATTCTAAGGTAAGTTAGTATTTTAAAGTTGGTTTGGAACGCTTTTGTGTGACGTATACGCGCGCACACCAAAATCGGTATCTCATCGGTATGCTCGGTATGCTCATCGCGCATAACAGATACCGATATTCTCCATTGCTGATCGCGGAAATGCTGCATCGTTTATATACTACATACATAATTATATGCAAAATTAGCTACACATTCACGGTTTCCCTCGGCAGTTGCGTTTGCCGCTCCGCTCAATTTAAAGCCACGAAAAATTTGAAGAAATTATTACAACAATACCATTACGTTAATTCTCCATTTCTCAGCTTTCAGATGCATGGTGGCAAATAATAAATTGACCTTTCAGAGTAAAGCCTAGTTTAATCGAATTACATCGTATGTATTAGGGTAGGATCGAGAATTCGAAGAAATATTAATTCAGTGAATTGGTCACCAGGTGCACGAAGCGGCAACTGAAATTTTTTATCCATTCCATAATATTATTGGTGAGATAAAAAACGAAACGCACCGCTCAAAACTTTGTGACAACATCTGGAAATAATACCTTAGATTTTAAATTAGCGCCTTATTTTCCTGTAAAATTGCAGCTGAAGTAAAGTCTGAACTTTGTGGCATCAAAAAATTTCGGCATGGGGTCACTTTGCTACGTCTTTCCACATTAGTTTTAAAATAAAAAACTGATCTCAAAACAGATGTACGAATTATGTTATATTATATTTATAAGATAAGATAATTATTAAGATATTGAGATTATACATTTCAGATGTTTTATCAAGGTAATACTCGCACTGTGATAATATGATTATTATATCATATGAGATGTCATAATTATGCTCCCAGCGCAAGCAATTTTGCTGAATAAATCGACAGTATTATCTTAATTTTTAATTATGTATAGACGAAATATATATGACTAAGAAAACCCTCCTGTCAGCAGTGTACATGTACTAAGGGACTTTAGTGGCGGATGAATTCAACAGTTACTTTCGTCTGCTGTCTGTTAAAAACGACCAATATATTTTTAAAATCCAGAGAATAACTCACAAAGACAAATTTTCTGCGTACATATTAGCCATTTTTAACAAAAATAATATTAAGGATTTCAATCCGGTGCTACTAGCGGTATTAAATTATTAATCCATCGTCACTAGGAAAAAATTCGAAACAATGCGTGTAACAAACAGTTCATGTTTTCTGCGATTATGCAACTTCCGATACCGAACCGATTTTAATTTCTGCTATAAGAGGTAAAAAATTAAAAAAATACACGAAATCAGAGAAAAGCATGGTGTTTCTGTAGACTGTCTCCGGTCTGTCACTGTACGCAAACGGGCATTTTTAATTCAAGTACCTGCTACGTGTTCTTTCGTATTCAAGTACTTTGATTCATACTTTGTACAAGCAAATGCCCTTTACACTTAGACCCAAATATCCAATAGGTAAAACAAATAAAAGAACTCTTCTATGCGCTGCTGGCGGCTGCCACAAAAATCCTTGAAATTATTAAGACGGCTGGCCTTTCTTAGCGATTATAGCACTCAACAACAGTTGCTCACGCGAATTTTTATTAAACACCTAACGGGCGGCCACCTCGGGGGAGGCGGCCAAGTGGCAGGCGGTTTAAAAGTTTGAATTTGCGACACAGTTTTTATTCTACGTTTTCGACAAAACAAATATCGAAACGTGATTTTCCTTAACGGATAACAAATCATTTCAAAACCTTAAATCTTGAACAAAAAACAATTAACCTGATCCATGCGTCGAGTACGACTGAATGACAAGAAACCTGCTTACAAACGAAATAATTTACCCCAGACCCCAATACCAAAAAACCTGCGAAAATACCAAAAATTACTTAAACTTTAGCATGGAATCAAAAAAGATCGGCATCATGGCATGTGCTTGCATATAAAATGACAATTATGGCCCGTCACCAAGGCTTCAACTTGAAGCAATTGGCTCATTTAGTCTTGTTTTCGAGACTATCCGCCGCAGATTTCTGGCTGGCTTCCTCTTCTTCCTCCAGAGTATAGTCCGTTGGCTCCTCAGCTGGTCGCAGCAGACGACCAACCAGTTGGTACTTATCTGCAAATAAGGTGGTTATTAAAAACAACAAATAACTATGGCACAACGCTGCATCAGATTTTGTCTTAAAAAATAAAACTAGACCATAAAAAGTTCTATAGGGCGAACTGAGTGTCTCTTCCAGCGTAAAAATGCATATTTCAATTCTTGAAATTATTCACCTAAAAATACTCGAGGTATAAAAATTTTATCCTGAAACTGTTATTCCCAGTCCTTAACCGTGTTCATCTGATCCAGCGTCAAATCCGACAAGTCGTCATACGTGTCCCGCACCGCTGAATCATCCAGGGCAAAAGTGCCCAAACCTCTCGATGCATCTCTTCCCGCGAAAATCCCGTACGACCACCTACGAAAAATAGACGCCGTTGAAGAATAGCGAGTTCTAATGGTTCATTCACCTTCAGATTATCGAAACAGCATGAAATCTTCGAATACACGACAAATAATTTAAATGCAGAAGGACAGAACGCAGCGAACTTTAAACGCAGGAAAGTACCTGAGGCATAGAAACTTTTGCCTCTGGTAACATCGAACACTCTGGAAGGACTTTCAGTTCTTCCTGAGTATTATCCTTTTTGGGCAATTTGGGCAAGGGAGGCGGACGCACAGGGCGAGGGATGGATCGTCGTTAATATTACCCCGATAAGGAGCGCTTAACGATTTTTGGTAAGATTTATAGTCAACATCGATTCGCAATCGACAGTCATCAACAACAAATGTGTCAATTTGAAAACCCTAGAAATTTTTGGAAATTTCGGTAACAAAGCCGTCTAAATGCTCCCCACACAACAAACAAATGCGAACTCTGCAAACAGATAGACAGACTGTGATATTATCCTATTATGTCAAATTTTTAATATCCTATTATGTCCATCCGGAAAGATATATAATTATGACCCTGAAATTTCTTCACTTTCAAAGATATACAGTTCTTTCTCTACAGTTCTCTACAGATCTCCGCATTTCTACTGCGCACTTGTACGTTTCCAGAGTTAAATGTAAACAGAACTATTTACTAGAATGCAGTTCTGAGCCTTCGAAATAAGTTGTTGGTTAGGCACAGTTGGGCGCATATTTATAACGTACACTTTATTCTAAAAATAAATACTACCGCCTACGAGCAGGCTGTAAATGTCGGTTGGGCGCAGTTGGGCGCATATTTATAACACGCACCTGACTCTAAATGCTACCTCCTACGAGCTGGCAGTAAGTGTTGGTTGGGCGCAGTTGGGCGCATACTTATAACACACACCTGACTTTAAAGGCTACTTCCTACGAGCTGGCAGTAAGTGCTGGTTGGGCGCAGTTGGGCGCATACTTATAACACACACCTGACTCTAAATGCTACCTCCTACGAGCTGGCAGTAACTGTTGGTTGGGCGCAGGTGGGCGCATATTTATAACACGCAGTGTCACGCACCTGACTCTAAATACCACCTCCTACGAGCTGGCAGTAACTGTTGGTTGGGCGCAGTTGGGCGCATATTTTAAAATACAACTTTCACTTATGGTTACCACACATCAGCTGACTTTCGGTTTGTAAAATCGGTATGATTCCCGATCAGGATAGCATAATACAACTGTTTTTTTCGTTAAGGCCGTTTTGTTCCAATGCATATTTTGTACTCGTACCATGATAATTATTAAAGGTTCTCAGCTACCAGTAAGTTGTTACTTGGACTCAGTAGGTCGCATATTTATAAAATAGTATGATCTACTCAAACTTGAAAACAAAGATATTGCCTTATTTATTTCGTCCTTTATTTATTGGTATTTTTAAAAGTTAATTACTACAAAACCAATACAAAATAACAAAATAATAGTGCAGTTCAATATAAGAAAAATACTAAGATACAAACTTTACAAGTATTAAACGAGTAATTCAACATAATTACATCACATAGATAATAATACCGCACCACCACTATCAGATAATAATACCACAGATAACTATAATGCACTTAGATAAAATGGTACAATGGCGCTAATAAATTGATGAATCACTCAAATAACAATAACAAAAATGAAAACGATTGGTCCATCTCAAAGTAAAACCAACGGTTCATGCTATTCCATTCATTAATTTCGTTTCTTCTGAGTTCCTGTATAAACAAATAAATGGTAAATAAATAAATTTAGAAAAAATAAATTTAAAATAAATAATTATATTTAATTTCTTACCAGCAGATCGTTTGCTGGATTCAGGCTGCAATACGGTTGTATTGTCGTCAGTGACAACAATATCCATAGCACTTCCTGGAATTTCGTCTATCAAAATAAAAATTCATTATTAAATACCATAAAATCATGTTCTCCAAATTTTTCCGAATTTAATCTACAATGAAAAACATTTGTAAACCTCTAAACGGAACATTGCACCCACCTGTCTCTCATAACTCCAACTTCACTTGCCAATCTCAAAACGAATCAAAATACCCTAAAATACTGAATGATACGGAACGTTACACCCACCTGTTTTTTCAAAATATTTACCAGCTTTAGTAAAATAAAAATCCCTAAATACAACAACCTTCACATCATACGGATCGTTACACCCACATGATTCTTCAAAATATCTTTTTCCCACACACATAATCATTCATCCATAACTATATTTACTCCATAATATACCCAGATTCAAACCATAAAACCAGTCAACTTTACAGTACATTATACGCACCATATACTATACAATAAACCATACGGAACACTACATCCACCTGTTTCTTCATTTTGATTTTATCAATTACAATATCTACACAACATAACTCCATAATGCCAAATAAATTTCCTATAATGCCACCTAATCTTTCTATATTTTACCACAATATCCTTTTCCATATTTTCCGTAATATATTTTCTATTTTCCTTCATATATTCCATATTTTCCTTTTCTTACATAATATCTTTCATCATTGATTAACATAAATATTATTTCTACCACTCTATTAATCAACTCACTATACCTTAAGATAATTTTCATTTTAACTTCCGCCTATCCAAATCACTCATTTACAACTTTTTTTGACATTCTAAAACTAAATGATGATATAACATTTAAAGCAAATCTTTCGTAGAATCAAATCAATTTTCATTCTTAAATCGTAGCGAAAGTCCTCTAAGTTCAGCGCCAATGCAAAAATGTATCTGTGTTCGTTACGAAAGGTTGTTACCAAAGGTCATTACGAAAATGTTCCTGGCTCGTTATATTCTTAGGTTAAATTATTGATAATGTTAAATACTAAAAGTGCTACTGGTAGCACGTTAAAAATTATTTATCTTTCACACAAGCGAAAAGCTGCTACGCTCCGGTCTGCCAATGCACACCTAGTTTTCCTACTTTATAAACGTACTCTCAACAGCATCTACACACCAAACATCCGAATATACAGATATACTGTATAAAATTGCAAGAAAAAATTAACTAGCCTCCTTAAAACTAACCTTCTTAATACTAATCTCCTTAAAACTCTCCTTTTAAACCACACTGCCATAAAGTCAAACGCCAACAAATACTCTATTTATTCCTTAATATCTCTTAATCTATTTTACTTAAGAAACCAAATACATTAAAAAATTAACAATAATTAAAAAAAATTCACTAAAAACAAATATTCCTTACTTGTCACAAATCTGCCAAAATCCCTTCAAACACCTCTTCCCAGGCACTCCAAATCACTCTCCACCTTACTACAACAAGCTTTACAATTCAAACTATCAAATAAGATCTTACAACACAATCCATACAACAAACTTCTCACAACTTCCCTTAACCAACTAAATTTCCACCGCACTCCGATTTCCTTTTATATACCCACAGGGCCACAGCACACTATGCTTCACAAAACCACCAATCACCAGGAAATACCTACCTCCCCCATCCGATAACTTCCAATCCAAAATCATTTCGTCAGAGAACTTTAAAAGCGGCCTCATTTATATCGAAACACCCAACCCGAAAATCGTCCTTGACAGGACACATATGGCTAAACTACTGCTTCTACAAAAAAGACTACCCTTACAAATTCTACACAACAGAGCCATATGGTCTCGGGTGCTAAACACCCTCTGTCGCAGTGGCAACCCCACCGCCTGCCGGAAAATGGCGCTTACCATAGCATGTTCTCAAACGCTTCCGGCTCTACATCCTTCACAAGAATCTCAAATCCACGGGGGACCGGTGCTGCCGCGTTTAACATGCGTTTGAAGGCTGGGCTATTTTGGCTCCTGGTAAGTAGAATTGCCCTATAAAGCAGTATTATGTGAGTTAATATCCTCCAGAGGTAGGTTCTTAATAGGTTGCTCTTTCCGGTGCTTCCGAACAATGTTCCGCTTACTTGTGGGCCGGAAATGTCCGTACGATTTCGTTTCCGTGGCGTGGAACAAGTTTAAACAGGATGTCACTAAGGTGACCGGTGTCCAGCAGCTGCCCATAGCACTCCGCAAGGCCGGCTGTGTGGCCGGAACCGGTAGACGATGTAGCGGCTATTTGCGACATTTTTTTATTTTTAGAACAAAAGGATTAATCCGGACAAAATTTGAGCAGCTGTTAGATAATATCCCTGTTAGACTTGGAAAAAAGTAAAATGAAGCTGTACCGCACACTTGCAGCAAAGCAGCCGATCGAAGGATAAGTGATAAGATGAGCGGCTAATTTTTAACGTCTGAATGGCTTGATGTATCATATCTGGACAGTCTGGTGTCCAGCGGGCCCACATGACCACGCCCACGTCTCAACATGTCGGCTTTGCCACGAGACTCTGATAAGACAACGGGGTTGTCATACGGGCACGGCTTCACCAATCACCATAAGCCGTGCCTTCGCTAGCGTGGGAAGCGAAATCTGTTGAGCGTAACCGACAGACAAGCAGCCTATTTATTTCGTCGTGCCGCTGAAGTTTGGGTATCTAGCGAACATAAGCATCTTTTTTCAGGCTGATAGGCGGCCAGTGCGGCGCCGGCGCGGTATCGTTGTTGGGATATGATTTTGCACAGAAAAGCAGGCCAGGGTCAAAAAGAGGGAGGAATTTTGTGAGGGAGGAATTTCACTGTGGTCAAAAAGAGGGAGGAATTTTTAGAGGGAGGAATTTTACTGTGGTCAAAAAAAGGGAGGAATTTTCGAAGTCGAACTGAAGTACTCGGGGACCTCGAACCCGGGTCCCTGAGGTCGCCAATAAGATTTTCACTGTATATATGCAGTCAGTGACGTGCTGAGTCGAACTGAAGTACCCGAGGACCTCGAACCCGGGTCCCCGAGGTCGGCAATGAAATTTTCACTGTGTATATGTAGTTTTGACGTGATGAGTCGAACTGAAATACATGGGGACCTCGCACCCGGTTCCCCGAGGTCGCCCATGAGATTTTCACTGTATATTTACCGTTTGACGCGCGAAGTCGAACTGAAGTGCTCGAAAATTCCTTAACCGGGTTCATGAGGATGACATCAGAGTTTGTTGACATTGACGCTGAAGGTATTGAAATTATCTAAAGTCACCGTTTTTTTCCTAATGCTATCTCCGAGTCATTTTGAAATTTTAAATTCGATTTTTAAAGTACTTTCGAGTAGGTTTTGCAATCCTTAGTTCCTGAAGTCAGCAGACTCATTTTCATTTGTCAAACTGATTTCTAAATTTGTTTGTGGAATTGTGTTTCTAAAGCTGTTTTAAATTTTCTTGATTTTCGTGATAGATTTCGGCTGTTTCGCAGTCTTATCCGAAACTAATCTTCGCTTAACGGGAAGTGGCTAGCAACTCAATCCTTCTGCGAAAACGGGCATACCGTCGACGCGTTTCACTTTTAGACAAAAACGTAGCATATGACACATAAAGAAATGATTTTTGTACTTTAAAATGAGTACAGTAATGGTAACGCATTTGTTGTTGCTGAGAAATTAGCTTTAAAGTGAAAAATTTGAAGTCGATTTTTACAGGATACAGATGTGAAAAAAAATATTCTGAAACGGCCATTTTATAGAGTGAAGTATTAGAAGCTTGTTATACGGACAGAATTTTGGTTGATAAAAAAAAGAACAAAAAAAAATCGCGCGTCGGATCACCTCGGCCGCGTTACATTTCGGCCGCATGCGATCACTTCGGCCAACGTCATTTCGGCCGAGGTTCACTTCGGCCCGCACTCATTTCGGCCACCGCTCATTTCGGCAGCAGGACATTTGGCCATCTTAAGTTCCTAAGGTTTCCTAGTTTTTACTATGTTGCTTCGGTTTTCTCAGGTTTCTTAGGTTTTCATAAGTTATCCATACGCTTCTTAGGTTATTGACGTTATGATCTTATGTTTCTTAGGTTTTCGTGTGGTTTCTTGGATTTTCTTTTGGTTTCTTGGGTTTTCTTGGGTTATTCTTAGGCTATTCTTAAGTTATTCTTAGGTTTTTCTTAGGTTATTCGAAAGGTTATGATACCATCGAAACGTAGTTACACCGAAAGTAACGTTTTCTTGCCCAAATTAGACCAAAAAAATCGTCGGCCGAAATGAGCTACGGCCGAAGTGAGTGGCGGCAGAAGTGAGTGGCGGCCGAAAAACTTGGCCGAAATGAAAGCGGCCGCAGTGATCGGTTGCCGAGTCGAACGGGGATCACCTTTGGGTAGAAAAGGTGTGACGTTCATAGCTAAATATGCTCCTTATACAAATTGCACAGCATTTTCGTTAATTTTGTAATCTGAAAGCTCTAACAATAAGGCAAGTGGCAACTCAACTGCTTCAACCGGCTATTCATTATGACGAAGGCGACGAGCACCTTACCAGTTTCCGCAACAGTCTGCTCGCAAAAAAATTTGAAATCCCGTTGTTCCCGGCATCATAATAAACTGCCAGACAAATTCAGCATTCTTTTGTGTGAGGAAATATACTTGCTGCTACCGGACATCACTTGTCGGTGCATGATAGTAATGTTGATCTTGTTTAGCATGGTCAGGAACATGGGTCGGAAGTTCCCAGTACTTCAGTTCGACTTAGCATGTCAAACTGTATATATACAGTGAAAATCTTATTGGCGACCTCAGGGACCCGGGTTCGAGGTCCCCGAGTACTTCAGTTCGACTTCGAAAATTCCTCCCTTTTTTTGACCACAGTAAAATTCCTCCCTCTAAAAATTCCTCCCTCTTTTTGACCACAGTGAAATTCCTCCCTCACAGAATTCCTCCCTCTTTTTGACCCTGGCCGAAAAGCACGGGCTTTTAAAAACGCTGAGCTGTGCAGCGCGATATCTAGGTAGTTTGATACATATCGTATGTTTGCTGGAAGCAAAAAAACCGATCAGGCGTCGGAAAAAACGCAAGTGTTCGTTTGGTGTTATAAGATCACCAGCTCAGCGCTAATATTATTCTGCATCGTTCAAAGTTTCACAAAAAAAGATTCGCCGTATTTTGTAATGTATCAGGAGTCAATGAATAAGCGGCTGTAACTTATGCTTTTGAAGGGAAAATCAATTTTACGAGAAGGCCCATTACGCTCTGACTGTTTACTTTTTCGTTTAAGGTATGTTCCTTTTCCGTTTTTCTTGAATTTTAGGATATTCAAATTAATTTCCTTTATCGCCGTTGCCGTTGTTTGTTTTTTAGCAATACGGTATTTTTAAACAAACGAATTTGTTGTGTACTGTGTAGTGTGTACAACAAGCAGCAATAAAAATTTTATGCGAGCACTAAACGCCGATTGGGTGCATTACATATGTAGCAATCATAATTACATGTCGATATCATGTTTAAAAGCTCTGAGGCCCGTTACAGAGATATTGCTGCTTGGAATATGTTGCTACTCGTATGTTTGCAGACTGTACTTCACTCATTAGGCGAAATTAATGGCGTGCAACGTAATGTTATAGTGATGCATGGAACAGTTGTGTATTTACCCTTAGATATCACGTATCTAAACTGTAATACAGTGCTGGTTGATGGAATTCCTATAACCAGTAGAATGCATGTCCCAGGCAGTTTTTTTATAATTTTCCCGCTATACGACGTCGTTTGTAAAGTTTGCTTCTTAGTGTTCGAAAACTTAAGAATGCACTTTCCTATACATTACTCGAAAATTGTGCGCCCATTAATATTTAACGGTGACCTTTAATTCACGTTCTTGTTGGTTGCTTGGAATTTTGCTTGGGCGTGAATGAGCGGTAAAACGTCGTAAAAAGTTTGTAATTTTGCCAAAACCAATTTTAGCAATAAGTATGCAACGTACGATTTGTATAACGCTCGTACGTGGATCCAGTAAAAAAAGTACGACCTTTAATTTATTGTCGTCCCTATTCGTATTTCACATCAGACTGGGTTGGGTTTCTACCTACAGCAGGAGTGGACAGGCCGATTTTTTTTAGCGAGAAGTATAGAATACTTCATATGATTTTTTTTATCTACGTCTCCGCTCGTTTTTTACTGATAATAAGAAAAAGTCTCCCCGGCTAACCAAAGGCCACGCACGCTACCTATCTGCTGTTGAATACATAGTTATAACATTTACTGTCTTACTGATAATTAAGGTTAGATTTTAAGAATTTTTAATCAGCAGAAAGTTATACTTTATTGCCGACTAGCTTTACATTCAATTTTGTCCATCCGGCATATTGTGGTTTGAAAACTTCAGGTGCAGCGTCAGGACGTTCCTGTTACGACTGCCAGGGCAGCGCCACGGATGCTGGCAAATCCGGTTTCCGTTCGAAAGTGGTCAGTGCATTGTACATCAAAATTGTTTTCGGATCACACACTAATGCGCTGACCACTTTCCGTAAGCATTTATCAAAATTTATGACAAACGTATGAGTATCTACATAACAATAATTATGGCATCAAGTTTCCCTTTCCACTCCCTCTGTATGAGAGCGGCGCTCGACAAAAATTTGCAAGTGAACAATCAACCAACCGCAATGCACAAAGCGGTCAATTCACACCGCGGCAAGCCCATTTAAGGCCTTACGAGAGAAAATATATTAGCGATGAACTGGCAGCATTTTGCAGCTGGAAGCAAATAAATCTGGCCGCGCAGCAATTAAAAGATGCCCGCCTCGATCGGATAAAGGAGGTGCCGCTCGTTCCCAATTAATCTCCGGTACAAAGGGAATTCAATGAGGCGATAAATAACTCTCGCAAAATGCATGTTAATTACTTGCGCACAGCGCCGGCGGCAATGATTACAGTACTTAGTACTGCAAAGCTGCAGACACTGTAGTACATGAGAATATTTCATTTTCGTTCTAATTATTTTTGTAAATACTTCGGTAATATGCATTTATTTGGCTCAAAACTGCACAGATACAGAGTAATAACCATTTATTAAATGTAATTGACAAGTTGTTTTTGGCGTAATTGTAAATTAACTGAAAACTTTCCGTTGAATTTGCGATAACGTACGGTCTTTGTCAATAAATTTGTTAACTAATAAGAATGCTTTAAGCTTCAAGAGATTAATGTAGCAACATTTTTAAAATCGAGTGCAGTTAATTCTGAATCAATGGTTAACTTTTGTATGTTTAATTCTGATCTATGAGCTATTTATTACCCTTGAGCAAAGTGGACAGAGTCATAAAAACAGTATCAGCAAATCTAATAAAAAAGTGATCGAAGATTCGAGCGTAATTCTCTTACTAATTAATGCGCTGGCTGCTTATAATAGTTGCGATTAATTCACGTAGCGCCAGTAGCGGCAACATAACGAAATATAAGTCACAAAAATACATGTGTACAGCGAATTCGTTCCAGGAAATATGAAAAAACGCTAGTCTAAATATGTGGCAGCCGCAGTGTCGATCCCTATTTCGTAAAGCGGGGTTTTCACGCTGCAGTCATTGCTGGTGCGGGTGTGCTCTTTGACTACACTCATTCCCTTCCCCATGTGCGCTTTTTTAAACTGCGCCAATCGCTGGAAGTGTTGCTTGGTGGCGTAGTCAGCGGCATGCCAGCGGCGCGCCATTTCTTTCGGAGCGCAATTTCCCTTAGGATCCGCCGCTCGGATACGCTTACGTTCCTTCGCGCAGAACAAATCGTACGCAGACGCTTTCTTGCGATGCTGTTTGGCAAAAATCACCGAAGGCTGGCGCTCAGCGCGTTCGCCGTTGTCTGGATGGTGGCGTTGTGGCTGTACGGGCGTCGGCAGAGAGGCAGGTTTCCGGGTGCCGGTAAACTGCTTCGATGGTTGGGCGCCATCAGCGGCATATTTACTGGCGCAGATCTGTCCCACTTCGCGACCCTTCAACCAACCCGCCTGCAAATATGAAAGATTTCATTATCGAATTGATAGACAGGCTCGCTAAACAGACGACAGTGTTACCACTTACTAGATATGCGTCAAGGATTTCCGCGTAAGCCATCAACGGAAACTGGACGAGGAAAAACACTGACCCCAACATTTCTCGGCAGTTTTTCTCCGACGCTTCCACATTGGCGACGGCACATGCATGCTTCGCCCACCTACAGTATAATTAAATATAAAGGTAGATAGATACTATGAAATGCGGATACAATTTCGAAATTAAATATGTACCCAATTAATTTATCTAATTAAAATTCTGTAGTGCGTTAAATCAAATTTAGCACCATACATACTTCTAGGGAATGCATACCATTTAGTTTTAAAAAAGTGGAAACCGGCCAGCCGGTTAGCAGTTAAAATTTTGTTAATGGAAACCAGCAGAGTGTATGAAACAGCTAAGAGGAATACATCCAGTGCGCGCTTAAATCGCAAGCACTTAGTTCCATGAAAAAGACGCTTGTTTGCATAATATACAGAATAAAACGGAGTTCCAACTTTGTAGTCCTATAGTGTGACAATCGTTTGACTCGAATTAGACTTAGAAACATCGAGGTTTACCTTTTCACCGCCTCGAAAATATCCTTTTCATTGACTGTCAGCGAGTCCCGCTTGAGAATCATTTCCAGGATGGTCCGCGTTATAGTCCGAAAACCATCGGACAATAATACTTCAGCGCCGCACGTGTCGATCAGTTCCAGACATTTTTTCACAACCTCCGGCGCGCTCATCTCTTCCGCCTGAAAAGAGAACAGTCAAGATTATTAACAGGCGCTTCACAGTATAAAAATACAATGCGGTTGTCGCAATTTTTTTGATTTATTTTCGAAACATTTTTAAATAAAGGCGCAACTTACTTTCTGAATGATCATCAGGCAATTGTCTTTGTTCACGTTGGAGGTAATAAATTTCCAGCACAATTCACACAGCAACGGAAGTCCATACTTGTCACCGCACGAAATAGTGGTAAACGCGGTGTCCAAGGTGAGATTTTCAACAGTGTCTGTATACAGAAACCTACAACCACAAAACACCATTATGAAGATAGAGCGTTTAGAATTACGAGAATATCCCCATTGTGAACAAATGTGACCATACCTAATATTCTTGATACCCAAATATTAATTGTTAGTAAAGCCCGGCTAGCTTTAATTCACATATTATGAACGCCCATTTTTCATCCTGTTTCCTACATTACACATACAACAATTTTTATAAATTAATAGTACGAAATATTATGCGAACCTAGTGTTTTTACATATTTCTGTATTAATTATATCAACAGCTGGAAGAGTTTTTTTATTTGTTCTAGGCTTCTAGCTATCGAAAATTTGAGTTTTAAGTTTAAACGGCATTTGCTTGTGCAAGGTTGGAATAAATCATTGGCACATCGAAAAACAATTATATCAAGTTGCTTGTTTTCTCTGGTCGTAAAACAGAAAAGCCAAGGATAATTCGGGGTTATTATTTTTTTATTGACATGCTTTATAATTGTGGCACAACGCACATTCTAATATTGGATACTGAGCGATAACTTTCAACACAAAGTTGTACTCGTATTTGTGTATGGTAATCAAATTAGCGCTTACCACAGCATATTCAGAAACGCCTCCGGTGCCACATCCGCCACCTGGAAAACCGATTCATACGGGACGCCAGTTTCTCCATCCAGCATGCGCTGGAAAACCGCGCTTCCGCTGCCCAGCAGAATTCGCCTAAACAGCATTCCCATCCGTTGTTATAGTGTTAGATGCATGCTGCTTCGTCCTTGTACGAGTAACACTGACAATGTAATGGCTGGCTTACTTGTGGGCTCGATAGGTCTGTACGCCGCTTCCATGGTGGTTACCCACAATAAAGGTCACATCGCTGTGTTGTCCGGTCAGCAGTAGATCCCTTTTGCGATTCCCTACGCTGGGTGACGCGGTAGAATCTGACTGCGACATTTTTGAAATAAATAGAACAGATTATCGGCTATCGATCTGTAGAGTTGAAGCACCGTTTGGGAACGACTTAACACCGTATCGCGGATAAAAATAACTGTAATGCTGTCGGCGCGCAAGAAAGACTTGAAAATATTGTAAACTTGCAGAATGTCGGCCCAGTGAGTGAGTGGTGAAAACTGAAAAAGGCAGGTCACTCTAGCGTCTGATATCTGGCTGTTCGGCTTGGCTAAATGACCATGTCCATATTTTGTCCGCGTTCATAGCAAAACTGGTAAGACGTGAAATAAACCTGTTGACTAACTGATTGTCTGGCTTTTCTTTATCTTTTTGCGTTAACCAGGATATCTGCGGATTGCCATCCTGCCCCTCTTCCTAGTATTGTCTGCCTGTCCCTTTAATCTTTAAAAAGATGGCCCTTACTATTCAAAGAGTGCGCGCAGTTCGCGAAAACATCTCATACGTAATACTGCTTATTTTTACGGTAACTTTGGGCAGTTAACCTCGAATCCGGCCAGGAAAACACTCTAACACGGGATTGATTGGTAATACTGTAATAGTATCCTTGTTTTTATCCGGATTTTTTTCCGTTTCGAACGTTTCGAACCTTCACTGAAAGAAATTATTAATTTTTTTTTGTACGACACAGATTTTCTTCCTTTCCCACTTTCCTGTCTCCTCAAACTTCCGATTCTTTTCATAAATTAAAAAATGTATTTCTGGATGACTCCAGTGCACCGTAGTCCAGAGCTAAATTTTCGCCAGGCTGGGGATGACAAATTTTTTCCACGAATCATTCACATTTTAGCCTTTCTACCAGGTTTCGGCATCTGGTCGAGACCAGTTTTAATTTTTTCAAAAACCATTAGAGGTTCACTTTTTCCCTTCTTAATTTGTGATGCAAGAGAAAAGAATTTCAAACATAAAATCGGTTTGAAGTTCTCGAAATACGATCGGGGAGATTGACAACAACACAATGCTGCGAGAAGACCACAGGAGAGGCTATCAAAAACTGTACAACAGACTTTTCGGTGAATTTCCTCAACCTTATCGAATAGAACTTAAATTAAAATTTTTAATGGCTAGCTAATAAATCGTATTAGTGAAATATATGGAAGAGAAACGTGGTATTCAACAAAAAACAACCTAACTTTTTACACAGTTATCAAAGTAGAGCTTAACATATAATGTTTTCCCAAAACAAGACGAAATGTTTAGCGGTAACATAATGTCGAAAAAGATGACACAAAAACGCATGTTTACAGTGAACCGGCTTCAGGAAATGCAAAAATATGCTAGTCTAAATACGTAACAGCCGCAAATTTCTGTCAGATTTTCGCAAAACTGGGATTTTGCGCAGCAATCAACACTTGTACCATTTGGCAGTACTCTTGCTCTTCACCATATGCGCCTTTTTCAACTCTGCCAGTCGTTGAAACTCCTGTTTGGTGGCGTAGTCAGCGGCATGCCAGCGACGCGCAATTTCTTTCGGGGCGCAACTTCCCTTAGGATTCGCCGCTCGGTTACGCTTGCGTTCCTCCGCGCAGAACAAATCGTATGCCGACACTTTCTTGCGATAATGTTTAGTAAAAGTCGCCGAAGGCTGGGACTCCGCGCGATCACCCTGATCGTCTGGATGGTGGCGTTGTGGCTGCACTGGCGCCGGAAGTAAGGCAGGTTTCCGGGTGCCGGCAAACTGCTTCGATGGTTGGACGCCATCGGCGGCGTATTTACTGGCGCAGATCTGTCCAACTTCGCGACCTTTCAACCAACCCGACTGAAAATTAAGGCAATTTCACTATTAAAACTGACAGTAAGTGGCGTCAGATGGTTGTGTTACCAGATATGCGTCAAGAATTTCCGCGTATGCCATCAACGGAAACTGGATAAGAAAGAACGCTGATCCCAACAATTCCCGGCAGGTTTTCGCCGATACTTCCAGACCGGCAGCGGCACATGCATGTTTCGCCCACCTATAATGCAATATTGTATAAAGGCAGATACGGTGTAATTAATTAATTTAAATAATAATAATTAATTACATTATTAACAATACATGACAAAATTTCAAAGTTAAATTTGTATTTCATTATTTACATTTTTGTTATACTACTACGTAGATATAACGGAAGACATAACATCGTACGTAGATACGTTACATCGTACGTAGATATAACGGAAGACAAAATGTAAGTTAATTTTTAAAATAAATGTAATTACCGTAATTATCGAATTATCGAATATAATTACGGTAAATGATGTAAATAATTGTAATTTTGCAGCATTTTAAAGCAGATTTAGCACCACGCATAGAGTACTCTGTATGTAGCGAATGCGTACAAGATTAAACTAAAAAAGTGAAACCGGTCAGTGGTTAAAACGTTTATTAATACACCAACAGACCGCGAGAAACAGCTAACAGGAATACTTCCACCGCGCGTAAATCATCAGCATTGAGTTCAATGTTCGAATAGAAAAATGCTATTTGCGTAATACGTATACGGCAAAACGGAACATCTAACGTTTTAATTCTAGAGTAGTAGAGTGTAACAATCACTTAACTCGAATTAATTTTAGAAATCTCACCTTTTTACGGCTTCAAAAACATCCTTTTCATTGACTGTCAGCGTGTCCCGCTTGAGAATCATTTCCAGGGTGGTCCGCTTTACAGTCCAAAAACCATCGGACAGTAGAATTTCCGCTCCGCATGTGTCGATCAATTCCAGACATTTCTTCACAACCGCCGGCGCGTTCATTTCTTCCGCCTGGAAAAAGGATCATATTGCATTTAATGTTGTTGACAGGCGCTTCATAAGCATGCATGCAACTTTTTATATTGTTTTCGAAATACTGGGAAAACGAGGTGTAACTTACTTTTTGAATGATCAGCAGACAGTTGTCTTTGTTCACGTTGCCGATAATAAATTCCCAGCACAAATCGTGCAGTAGCGGAAGTTCATACTTGTCACCGCATAACATAGTGCTGAATGCGGTGTCAGAGTTCAGATTTTCAACGCCGTCCGTGTACAGAAACCTATAGGAGAATAAAAAACCGATTGTGAAGGCTTTTGCATCCTACTTATCACGGACACCCATTTTAATAAGGTAACACGAGTATAAAATTAATATTGTATGATCGTAACATTTTTCTATATTAATTCTACGAGTTTTAATATTTACGGTAATATTATGAAATATTGCATGATCAAAATATTTTTGCAATTTTTTCTGTAATAATTATCCCAGTATTAATTTGCATGTTTCCTGTGATTGTAAAAATAATAAAAAAACCAGTGATACTTCCCGCAAGCAACGATGAGTCATTCGCCATCATTTGCGGTACTTGTGCAGTTGTACTTGTACTTATATTATTATTTACCGCCGCTTCCAGCGCTGAATTGGTCATCATTTGATGGCCGATTTAGCCATCCGAAAACGAGCGAAGCTGGGAAGATAAAGCGGGGGGGAGGGGGGCGGGGGGAATCAACGTTTAAGCCGGAGATTGAAGTTCTCTTCCGACCATGCAGTCAGTGAAAACGAAGCGGAGTCAGCCGACCATAGGATGGCCCCGCTCTAACGGCGGTGTGAGAAAAAACTTCCTGCAACTTCTCCAACGTAGCGAAAAACCAAGGAGACACAACAAATACGGATCGGCGCCAGCCACGCCTCAAGCTAAATAATTATCCATTCACTCCAGTTGGTGCCACCGGTCGGCACTGCAGACATGTACTCGTACATGTAAGTAGCAGTGCCGATTAAAATGAAAAAAAGGTGATTAATCTTGGTGAAACGCCTTAGAACTGGAACATTGCCGTATGTAATTCTGACGCGCCTCAAGTATTATAATCTTACTCTGATGAAACAATTGCCCTTAACTCTGTGCTATTATTTAAATTAATAAAAGATGTCAATAATACTCGTCAAAGGAAAAAGGACATGCGTGCGCGTGATATACGGGATGGGAAAGAATTTCTGTAATAATTATTAACTTATAATAGCACAATCAATATTAATTTATAATTTCCTGTTATCGTTGAAATGCAGTGCAGTTGCATTGCATTTTGCATTTATATTCTTTTATGTTAAATTAATTTTATTCACGTAGTTAGCAAAGGTGCTATGCGTCCGAAAATTTTGTGCATATGCAGTTAATAAAGCATCTGCTTGCCCTAAAAATTCCAGTAAAACCAGTTTCATCCTGCTTTTTAGCTTTTTTTCGGTGTTTTATGGTTAGATAATAGCATACAACCCGAGTTGTAAGTAGTAGTACTCGATTGTATGGACTTCAATCAAATTGGCACTTACCACAGCATGTTCAGAAACGCCTCCGGTGCCACATCCGTCACCTCGAAAACCAAATTATGGACGCCGGTTTCCCCGTTCAGCATGCGCTGAAAAACCGCGCTTCCGCTACCCAGCAAAACCCCCCTAAGCAACATTATATTTGCATCCTGTGTTGGATCCTTACTGATTGTTGATTATAACATCATGAGGAATCTGACAATTTAACGAGCATTTTACTTGTGGGCTCGGTAGGTCTGCACGCCGCTTCCATGCTGGCTACCCACAATAAAGGTCACATCACTACTGTCCTGCCCAGTCAGCAGTAGTTCCCTTTTCCGATTCCCATCGCTCGCTGTCTGACCAGAAGGTGGCGCGCCAGCAACTATTTTCGACATTTTTGGAATTAAAAGGAATAATCCAAGCAAAATCTAAGCAAACATTTGGAAGGGATTTACCACCGTAGTGCGGAAGGAAACATTAAGAAAATACTCCACAACCACTGTGTAACAGCACTCGGAAGTTGTCGGCGCGACAAAAAACAAGAAAGAAATTGTAAACTTGCAGACAACCAGTCGAGTAAATGATGAGAAGGGGAACTCGTTAACGTCTGATATCTGACTGTTCGGCTTGGCTATACGCCTATAACCGCGTACATGCTTTCTCTGGGTTTAGCGCGACACTGCTACAGACGCTCTGTACTGATAAGACGACGCCAGTGCGCAGTGCTCGAAATCGCAGATACGTATGCTGAAAAAACCATTCGCATCGTCGAATGTGTGAAATCCGTCAAGCGAAACGGGCAGACGGAATCTCTAGCAGCAAGTTAGCGCTCCATTACTACTAACTTCACTTAAACATAACGCGAGAACGCCGAGGAAGCTGATTCTACACCGAAATTGGAACGTTGAAAAACAGCGCCCTTGACCGGCTGCGGTTCGCTGTCTCTTGTCTCGCGCCGAATGTGAAATCAACCTGTTGATCACCGAACCTGCCTTTTCTTTGTTTCTGCGCGGTCTGCAGTAGGTTACTATGCCATCTGCGGATTACCATCCTGCCCCTCTTCCTAATGTTTTCTGCTGTCCTTAGCAGAACGATGACTTGTGTGTTGTCAGTTGTATACAGAGCGCATTTCGCGAAAACATGTCATACATACGACGATGTTCATTGTTAAACTTTAACTCTCACTTATTGTCAAAATTTTTACCAAATAGAAGACAGAGATTTAGGTTGTTTAAATTTCAACCATCAGGCATTGTACCGGCGTTTGCAATCATTGTTATAGAACAATAATTAATGGAAACCTGACTGGACGGGATGAAAAAAACAACAGAAACCGTAAGGCAAAGCAACGGTAAGTAAAAATCAAAACCAGTCAATTAAGAAAATTAACAATTTAACATATACAAAGCGTTCTGTGAGGAACCTAACGATCAAAATTTCAAGCGTTTTTCTCAAGATGCTTTAGCCGACTCATGGCTTTATTCAACATCCAGAGTCCAGATTAGTGTGGATTTGACTGATTTGCCCCTCTGGGCGTCGGCTTTTGCTTTGATGAGAGCGCAGTAGCTGTTCCATAGATGGTATTTATATACGTAGGCTGGTATTTTATATACGTAGGCCGGAAAAACATACGTAGGCTGGTATTTTATTCTGTTCCTGGATACAGATTTTATATTTTAAACGCATTAGATGTTGGGGGCGTTAATAATTGAAGCTCTTGCTTTAAAGTTATATGCCTCCAACACAAACATCGTTCGTAGGGGATGTTTGTGTTGGAGTGTAAATTCAAACTTGGGCCTTTGTTGCCGGAATTTGGGTATAGTACACAAGACATCCACGCCTCTGTACGAAATTACGTACACTCAGGTGGCAACATTTTGATTCGATTTGAAACTTCGGTAAATCTGCACATGAATTGGTAGGCCGACAGAAGCGTCCAGACGCGAAATATTTCCCTTGTTTTGTGTTTCGCAATGGAAAACGTAAAAAAAACAGAATGTGCTTGCTCCGGTTTGTCCAGGCCCGCGCGAACTGGGATAGAGCTTTAGCTAACCATTAGACTGCGCTCTGCTAGCGATAGCTGTCATTACCTAAGCGGATTATCTGCGTCAGTTTGCGAGCGGACGCTTTTGGTACTCTATAGTCTGCATGTGTCCCAGTAGAAGCCGCATTTCTCTAGATCGCGTCATGCACACGCAGCACAGCGTTTTACAACAAGTAACCGCGCAAGAAAATCTACCCTTTGGGTACGCTTTTGCAAGTATTACACAACAAAAGCCTTTCACTTACTGTGCATTACATTCCAACAAGAAAAACTGGTTTATCATGTTTGTCCAGTATTTTTGTAGGGTATGAACCATGAGCCCTTTACATTTAAGGCATTTCAGGAAGTTTTTGTGAGCTTGTTCGAGTTTACATGTATTGTAGGTACTCATTTACGAGAAATAAGGCCCTAAGTAAATTGGGCACCATGAGGTCCTCTTTTCTGTGCCTCATTTTCCTGTACCACGCAATTTGCGACCTGCCTAAAACTATCGTAGCGAGCCAGTTACCACGAAGTAATGATTTCCTTTATTATAGTATATGATGTATAACTGAAGTTGCCGCTTGTATAACTACTATTTTGGTGCAATCTTTTTAAACAGATTGGAGAGATTTTATCGATCCTGAGATTTTGGCAAACAGCAATGATGAATTCACCCGATATGACAGCGACTTGCCCGAAGGAGACATTCTCGGTTTGCAGACATTTGAGGTATTCTTTTATCATTCGTAAACCGCGTTAAAAAAAACGGGGCATTTAAAGGTGCAGTACAACTAACCTCCAGAAAAGTTTTCTTCTTAGCTATCATTCGTAAACCGCGTTAAAAAAAACGGGGCATTTAAAGGTGCAGTACAACTAACCTCCAGAAAAGTTTTCTTCTTAGCTTCCCAATGAAGCGAAGAATGCCATTAACGATGCCGACTCCTTCTGGCCAAACAACACGATACCGTATGAATTCTCAAAAACGCAGTACGCATTAATGAGTAAGAAACGACATCTTTTCAAACGCTCCATTTACCAGCAATGACTAATGGCTACCGCAGCGATAATATATCTCACGGAACGGCTTTTTTGATCGATAAAAATATATAATGTTGGCAGGAGCAAATGAAGTACGAATAATATTGGAATCTATGCAAATCATCAGTCACCTTTCCGCAAACTGCGTCAACTTCGTGAAGCGGACCAATGAGGAGGACTACATTAGCATTCAGAGAGGACTAAGGCACGTTATCGCGAGTTCGTTCTTGCATCTCTTGTCGATGTTTCCCCCTCCTTGCAGGTGTGCGTCTAATATCGGCCGCATTAGAGGCAAACAAGAGACTCTGGCAACTGGCAAACGATAAAAGGTGGCAGATGCCGCATAAAATATGGCACCACGTGTAAGCGGGTTCGGAGAGTTTGGTGAACTGTATTTCCTCGATACTCTTACCAGAACACAGTCAATTTTCCTGGAGAGTGTTAACCGCAGGCGCCGTGCACTTAATGCGTAGGTGTGCGATGGTATGTTACAAAATTTCAAAAGGTCAACTTTGCACCTTGCTGTTCGCAAAGTACCGCAATAAAAAGACTGAAAAGCCGCGATAGAAACACAATCGCGACACGTCCTGAAGGCGCTACACTGGAAAGAGCATGCCTGCTTTAATAAAGTTACAATAGAAGCATTTTAACGTGGTGCTTTGAACCGTTAATTACCTATTGCCTATTGGTACTGTAAGTGCGGTAGAGTAATAAGTACAGTAGGTACCAGCACGATATACGATGCGTCAGACGGGCCACTTACGCCAGGGCTGGTCAGGCAGGGTGTGACCGGTTATTTCTACCCTGTACAAATGGTTTCTTCAGTTATTTCTACACAGGTTAGAAATCACTGAAGAAACCATGTGCACAGAGTTCTACAAGTAGGTATAACTGCATGACGTTTATCGGTGCCGCTGTGACAATAGTAGCAAAAATTAAGCTGTTATTGGCTTTGAACTTCCAAGTTTCCAACGTAACTTTCCCGGCGGACTTTGTAACAGTGTTTGGTATTCGGTGCAAAACTTTCAGACTACAAAAATATATATTATGAACTAAGCATCCAACTCTCGCTGCTCATTGTCAGAACGCTGTTTTTATACGCACATGATTGTTATATTCTTCATACGTCCAACATACTTACGTGTTTTTACTGTGTTCCCTCGTTTTGACTTTAAACTTACTTATTGTTAATATAAAATTAATAACGTGCACCAGCTGCATACAATAGCAGCATGACGTTGACGTTTACAGTGTACAAGTAATATCGCGCTCGCGGTCTGAATTTGCAAGCATATCTGTACGAAATTTATTGGTAGTTTTAAAATAACCAACCATTAAAATTTTATGTTATATTTGCGGTGTAATACGCACATTCAAAGTACACAGTGTGTTTTAGTGTGTTCAGACTCATTAGAAGCTTTATGGTAAAAACCTGCCAATGTCAAAAATAATTAAAGCAAGAAGAGGTAAAACAAATTAAGCTACTTACTACTTACCCAAATTGACTTCATAGTCGAATACTCGAATACCGAGAACGCAGATACAGAATAATACGAAGTTATTTCTATGTCGCGCGTCACTATGATCCTGTGATTCCTAGTTGATTTAAAAGAGTCCACATTCATGAACGTGAAAGTAACGGCAGGTGTCGGTACTGTTAGAAACTCTAAAAATAGCGCCATAATCAGAATCACAAGCAAACTCTTCAGCTCTAAACGCAACTGATTTTAACGCACGCCGCACTATTTACACGAACGCTCGGGTTCATCTGCTTGTGTCACACGCTTATTTTTGCCGCTATATGCAACGGACAGAATATAATCATTTAGAAAAAACAAGAAGATAACGCTAACTGTTTGTGGAGATACCCTGTGAATGTAAAGTGCGCATACACATGGCGCCGGTTTTTTTGGAATAACAGCGAAGTTTACGTGCAAGTATACCAAACAGATGGGCGATGCGATACTGCAGTACTGTACACTAGATTAAAAATTAAAACATGGCACTACTGTTTAGTGTTTGCCACCTTGCGGGCACTTGCCTGTAGTCTGTAGTCGAAACACTTACAAAAGCGCGGCTTTACTCAAGTAACTCAACTGTCTTTTCTCTGCAGACATATTATCGTTTTGTAAATACAAGCTATTACAGCACTATATTTTCTTTTCCAGTCCGAAACTGTTTGTCGTTTATAATACTGAGGGCCTGCCGTAGAGGGTTACTGGGTACGTTTAATTAGCATTATATTAATATAATTAGCGGTTTGCATTATGAATATTTCAATTAAGTGACTGTAAAAGTATGTATAAGTGCCATTACCCTTAAATGTTGTTTTAATAATAATTTATAGTGTTTCTGTTTGTACGTAAGCATGCACTACTGGTAACGATCGTCACAAAGTAAGCTACCAAAGGGTGGTGCGGACAAACTGAGCTACGATGCTAATGCTGACAGTGAGAATTGTCGATAAGCTGCACTTGATCAATCGAATAAAACGCCATGCTCAACCGCAAAGGCATACGTATTCCCGAAGGTGCGCGTTCCAGATCTGGAAGTGCCGCGATTGCATTTTAAATGCGCTTTTTTGTCCTTTTGTAATGTACGAGTATTTGTGATATTTTTCGGCAAACGGCAGAATGCAATGGGACTTGTTGCAATTTTACATGCCGGAGCTTACTTACGAACTTTGTGCATGGCCAATAATTGCTTAAACTTTAAAGGAAAAATTGGAATATTCACTGGAGAGAGTTTTAAAAATATGCGGTTGACAAAACTCTCCGAACCCGCTTACACGTGGTGCCGTATTTTATGCGGCATCTGCCACCTTTTATCGTTTGCCAGTTGCCAGAGTCTCCAGGTTTTATCGCTCGCCATGCCATTGGCAGTGCCATTGTCAGGTGCCACTGCCACGTTTTACCCCCTGCCTTTCTGTAAACACAGCAAAGCGAAAGAATGTGACCAAAAACTTTTTCTAAAAGTGATCTTCGATAACATAAATGCATTGACATTTGGGCCAGTGCGCTCGTGACTTCGTGTTACAAGTTTGTAACAGACCAGTGTTGCCATTTTTAAAGAAATGCTGCTTTTGTTATGGGAATAATCATGGACGGACTGTATCTGTACTACCGCTTGCCACTAAGCGTCATGGGTTGCAGCATCAACCTTGCCACGCAGTGAGAATGGTCGGAAGCCGTTCACTGGCTGATCTACAACCTGGCCGAGATTATCGTCATCTTCGGATACCCCGTCATCTGCTTCTACCGCATTCGATCCCGCAAGAAGGTTAAACAGGTCGCTACTACCGGCAACAACCCCACCCCGGCTAACGTCAACGCCACCGCTGTTTCCAATACCTCTGATAAGCCTTTGGAGCTTTCTGGGGAAAAAAAGAGCGCTCCTACGCGTTTATTGTGCTGACACTGACGACCTCCAGTGTGGCAGTATTCTGGACGCCCGTTATGGTATTCTACGGAATTGCACCGTACGGATACTTCAATTTCACGTTCTTTTTTTTTTTTGTTTAATGGTTTAACGTCCACACACAATCTGGGCTAAGGCCCAATCCGAGGCAGTAGACACGTCATAAAAAACGGAAGACAAGAAACAGTAAATGATCATAATTAAAAAAAATTTTCAATATTTACATTTTCAGTAACAACACGTGCTCAGCGTGGTAAAACTTCTTCAAAGACACTACAGAATTCCAATCGACACAATTTAAAGCGGCAGTAAATCTGCCAAGACTCTGGTACGATTCCGCAGGAATCCGCAAGTCATTCCAGATCCTCGCCATCCGATAAGCAAACGATCGGTCCGATGTTGGGAGCATGTGACCACCAAACGTTGATCCAGTAGGGGAAATCGGGCACGGATGTCCAGCCATCATCTGCTGATGACGCGTAGCACCTGCAACACCAGAGCGCACCGCAGTATCCTTACAAAATAACTTGTCGCCATAAGGGACTAGGTTGTATACAAACTTGTACGTAAGCTGAAGACTGCGCTTCAGATTGCGCCGTACAATGGGCTCCCACTGTAGCTCCTTTAATCTGCCAATATAGTCTATCCGGTCAGTTTTAAGGTGAAGTGATTGAATGAATCTTTTTTGAACGTTCTCCACAATATCGATTAGTCCTTTTTGAGTTGAAAAGGTGACAGACGCACAGTAATCAGAGATGGACAGAACGAGGCTCGTATACAGCATACAACGTGCTGACAAGTCTCGGGAACGAAATAACGTGTTAAGGTAACGCAAACGCTTTAACATTCGACTCGAAATATTTTCAGACTGCAATTTCCATTTGCAACTGCGCTCTACGTAAATTCCCAAATACTTAGCCGAATCAGCTATGGGGACACTTTCTCCGTTTACTTTATAGGGCTGAGATATTTTCTTTCTGAACGAGAACTGAATACAGGCCGACTTTTTCGCATTGAAAATCAAGTTATGCTTGCGCGCCCATTCAGTGACGGCATCCAGATCTTTTTGGAAATCTAGCGCATCCACATCTGATTCGATTATTTTGTACATCATTACGTCATCAGCAAACAGCAACATTTCACTGCCATGGACACAAACAGCAGGAAAATCACTAAGGAGACAGTTAAACAATTTGGGACCGACAAGCGACCCTTGAGGGACTCCGCTTGTAGCCGGTAAAAACACCGATTTCTTGCCATTTACAATAACCGACTGCACTCGATTTGATAGGTAGCTACTGATAAGGTTTACAACTTTACACGAAACATTCATTTTCGATAATTTTGCAAGTAAAATAGAGTGATCAACCTTATCGAAAGCCTTGCTGCAATCCAACAGAATAATGTCGACACGTTTACCACGACCTTTAGCATCTGCTAATTTTTGACAGAACAAAGTTAACAAAAGTTCGGTAGAATGCTTTTCACGGTAAGCAAATTGTTTATCTGTAAAATTACCAATTTGCAATTTCAAAATTTTACAAATAAATTTTTCAAATAATTTCGACAGAGGATGTAACATTGCCACTGGGCGCCAGTTTGCAGGGTTGGTCTGATCAGCGGCTTGTTTGACGACCGGAGTTACGAAAAAGGTTTTCCATGACATGGGAAATACGCTTTTCTTTAAACAATTATTGAACAAAATTTTCAGGGGATGGATCAGTGAAGCGCCACAAGTTTTAAGAAGGTTTGAAGATAGATCATACGGTCCGCTAGATTTATTACAATTAATTGCTTGCAGAACGTCCCAAATGTCGCTATCACTAGCAAATAAGCTTTCTTCTGTTACATCTTCAGTGACATGAGCAGCAGCCATACAATGCACTGGACACTGGCCAAACACACTCGCGTATTGTTCATTTAAACACTCAGCCTTTTCTTCATCGTCCACAGCATGAAGACCATTCGGTCGTTTCAGTGGAGGCATATTTGGACGATCTACCGCAGCTTTTACGAAGCGCCAGAATTTTTTGCTATCATGCCGAGATACAGCCGCAATCTTCATTGTTTGCATACGGTAATATGCATTAGCCTGCCTCTCTGCTAACCGAGACTTTTTCAACCATTCATGTCGCAATCTTTCTTTTCGCAAAGTATTCAGCTCACGCTTAAAACGGTCAAATGCAGAGTTCCGGCTACGTATCGCATTACGCAAGCTTGCAGGATACTCGAATTCAGCCATCCTGTACCTGACCTCTTTTAGCTGAAAGAATGCCTTAGCTACTTCAAGAACCGTGTTTTCAATAAAAACCGCTTGCTCATCCGGACTAAGGTTTAGTAGCAGTGCATTCCAATCAATTTCATACAAATGGTTACGAAACTGTAAACTAGCTTCATCCGTAATTACCCAACGCTTTTTTAGTACTTTAGTATCTTTTCGTTTCTGCCTAGGAAATTCAATGAAAACCCCATTGTGATCGTTTGTTGTTGACGGAGGGCAAACACTTTCAGGGACACTTGCTGACCACACCGTAGGAATAATGCAAAAGTCAAGAATATTGTTTTTACGCGTAGGGCAAAAAATTATTTGTTTTAGATTAAACTCTTTCAAACACCTTAAAAATTCACGACTTTGTTTGCTACTCGCACAATTCTTAGTCCAATCAATATCGGGAAGATTGAAATCACCAACAAGTAGCAGTTTTGAAAAATTTGCATGCGGGATATTTCTCAGATGTTCGATCAAAATTGGAAGATCTATAGATACTCGAGAAGGCGCCGAATAAAATGCCGCAGCTAAAATATTAATTTTTGTTATTTCTATAAACAACAACTCAAGATCATTATTTTCCAGGTCAGTCCGTCTTACAGCGTCTAAATTTTTTCGAACGGCAAAGCACACGCCACCATGGGGATCAGTACTTCTAGGTCGCCTGAAAACGTTGAAGCTTCTCAAATCAGCGAATAACGAATCTGGGTATTCAGATCTATCCCAAGTTTCTGTAAATCCGACTATGTCAGAACCACTACAAAACTGTTTTACGGAAGAAGACTTGGAAAGTATACCGTTAATATTACAAAGTTTGAATTTAACATTTGTGAACGCCGACAGCTTAGATTTTACTGCAGGTTTGACCAATCTAAATTTCTCACATCTTAGCGAGTCTTTCAACGCTGGTTGCGATGAAAAACCCGCGATTTCCCGTTTCCCGCCTGCGGAGCAGGTGGTTTATATTCCCAGCGCCTCAGCGATACATTCGTAGGCCATATATCTGCTGACATCAGGGCATCTTCACAATCGGCGAAAGTACCAATACGCGCGCAAGTAGTACTACGCTTGTCACCTTCTTTACGCTCAAAGACTTTAACAAAGCGTACATTCACACCCAAATCCCCCAGTGATGTCTTAAAATCGTTCGCATATTCTTCTGTAGATTCGAATCCCGCATTATTATGTAGCGGAATACCCATTACGCATACGTCTAAATGAGCTTTACGTTGCAAACTTAGCTTTTTGGCCAGGTTGTGTCGTGGGTTAGCATCGTCAATTCCTCCAGTTCGATGATTTCCTTTGATGATCTTTCGACGAGTTACAGTAGCCCAATCAGTCTTGACTTCGACGATTTCAGGATCATTAGATGGGTTGGTTGTTGAACGCACAGGCTTGTTTGCTTTAGGCATTGTTGGCTGGTGATGTGCTGCAGGCTGATCCGGTTCGGCACGGTTCTCCGCCATCTTGGATTCGGTCTCAAGAACTCGGTTCTCCAGCGCCGGCAGTTCTTCTTCCACAATTCGCTGCATGGTAGTCCCAAGTGTTGTGACATCATCTCTCAGTTGACCCACACTCCGACGTAGCTGCTGCCCTTCGAGCGCTTCGACTTTTTTACGCAGCTGTTGATTCTCATCGATGAGTTTGTACAGTATGGGCGCGATGAGTTTCGTCCCCTTCGTAGCTTTCGTGTCAGTCTCCAGCTCCGCTACGAGCTTCCGTATTCCTCCATCTCATCCACGACCAAAAATTACTCGCGAGTATCTTATACAGTTAACGCACAGTATTTATACGACTTCGAATCGATGCGAAAATGAATAATAGGTGTGTAAAGTGGTTCAGGTTTCAGCGTATCGGATGACTACCCGGGACAAATAACGCACGGAAACACACGTTATAGTGTACTAACGTTGGTAAACAAGTGTTAACATAAATAAACGTCCATAATGTCGGCTGCGTGTACTGATCAAACAGGTTTAGACACGAAGCAGATTGCATAATACAAAAAAAATAAGACACAAAATCTGATAAGAGGACCGCATCGTACGTGCCGAATTAACCCTGTGCCTTATTTCTCGTAAACGAATACATGCAATAAACGAACAATTGTGCTATAATTTCTTGAAGCGACGAATTCCAGTCATTCTGTCATTATTCTTTAGTACGAGTACCGTTACAGCTGTTTTTAGCTTAAAATGTAAAAGCTCACGATTGGTATCCATAGAAATGCTCTACAAACGTGTTAAACCAGTTTTTCTAAAAGATACCCAAAGGGTAGAATTTCCTTGCGCGGTTTGTGCACAGGTTTGTTGTAATACGTTGTGCATGATGCGATCCATAAACCGTAAAACGTAAAGTGCTGCGGTTTCTGGTGGGGATCAGCGCCTACCAATGTACCAGAAGTCTCCACCCCCCAAAATTATTGTTATAAACCCGCTATTTGTCAATGGGCAGCCACAGGCTCACAGCTAACAGAGCACTATGTAACAGTAAGTTAAAAATGTATCCCAGTTCGCGAGGAGTGAGACAAATCGAGAAGCGTCCAGTTTTCTTAAGTTTCGGAAGCGAAAAAGAAGACAGGGTGAGATTTCGTGTCTGGAAATTTCTGCCGAACTATGAATTTGTCTGCAGGCTTTTTGAATTTTCAGAACTTTGAATTCCAGTCCAAGAGTCTCCACTTGAGTGTAATGTCGTGTAGGAGTACGGATGCTTGTAAACTAACATAAATTCCAACAGAGAGGCCGGTATCTAAATTCACACTCAAGCATTGACATCCACTTCACCGGAACCGGCCGGGGCAAAAACCGAAAGTTGTCCTCTATTTCTTGTTCAAAGGCTCAAATGAGTGGAAAAAATCTGATGCGGCCTTTTTCATGGTTTCTTGTCATTTTGAACGATTAGAAGGGCAACTTCCGGAGGACATGATTTCCGTCTGGACGTTTTGGACGGTTAAAGTTGCTGGCTGCCATTGGCTTTCGAATCAGTTTCCGCTCTGGCTTTCAAAGCGGGACGGGTTTAGATGAAAGGGATACTATTTGGCCGGATTTTCGACTACGGGCTTTTAGAATATAAATTGGGTTTGGTCGGCCTTCTCGTGATGGTGGCTTTAGCCGTCTGGTGTAACCGTGTAACCCATTCGTTGCAATATAGCTCTGAATCTGGATGAGGGTAATTGAAAGGAAATCAACGACGAACAATCGAACATCACAAAACGCGACGAAAATTAAAGTAGAAAACAACTGAAATCAAAGGCAGAATACGGGACATTGCAGAACAGAGACAAAAGGTCAAGAAGGACGAAGAATTTGCCAGTCTCATCTCGTAACCGCAATAAATATATTGCTTGCGCTGTATTCACAGCACCTTGGCAAACAATACGGAAAACGTCTCTGCACTTTGAGCACTCCATCACGAAATACATCGGTAATGGAAACTTCTCATTAATATAATTATCTAAATTCACCAGAAATTCGGTCGTTTACCGTGTTTATTGGTGCGGTGGTGTTCACGGTGTTTCGCATGCATGGTGTCGACCGGATTAAAATGAAATTTACTGAGTAGAAAAAGCCGAAGCGTTGTGGAAACAGCTAGTCGAATACATAATGTCTATTATCGCAATCGCAAAGTGCGAGCTCTACGGTTGCTTTTTGTTATCGGCATCGTAATTTAATTAGTACGCAACAAGAGCAGTTAAAATCATCAGAGGCTTTTACTCTGTTCGAAGTAGGTACATAAGACGGAAGGTTGAATAACACAAAACGTTCACGTTTGGGCGCACGCGCACCGTTACAGACTGCTCGTTAGCCGTCACGGTATTTAATAAAATTTAATTGTGGATTGTTTGGGTGTGCCTTTTTTCAAGTTCAGTGTAACCATGAAGGACCAGGATTTTTCGTTACTTGGAGGATAACCCTACGAACAAACCTCAGGAATCAATAGTTCGAAATAAGGAATAGTTCGTGCACGGGCAGATCTCCTTTCGTGAGTTTCGGGCACGCTTACCACCACCGAAAGTGAATGTAAAATCCCCAAGATGTGCATCGGCGACAGTCTGCTCGAAGGCCTTAGAGACAGCGGCAGTGTTGAAAGACAATGCAGTGTTTCCGGTCAGCCGATACCACACCTTGTTAATACGTGCGCCACCGAAATCAAAAACATTTGTCATTTTGACAATGCTGATCTTCAGACCGGTAACTTCGTAATCGTCTGCAGAAAGATTTAGCACAGAACATAATGTCTTTGTTTCCTCATACGGCTATTTCAATGAAAACGCTTACTTAAAATATTTTTCCAAATAACAAGCAATCGGTAGAGAAGCTTTTCTGTCTGAGCCATAGAGAGGTAGGACACGTACCCAATCATGATCACATCAAAATTTCCGGGCTCTGAAGCGATGATAATGATAAAATTAGGCAACTGAATCAATTTACCAATGGGACGTGTACGTCACTTACTGATAGACTTTCCAATCTGCTGATTTTCGCTGACGACGGGTTCACTATTTGTTTCCATACCACTATTTGTTTCCGTAGTAGATTCCGTAGCCGTGTTCGTGTTACCATCGTTGACTGTCAGAGAAACGCGGAAAATCTCACCAGTTATCGAATACGGATCAACCTTTTTTGTTTAACGCAAACCAATTACAGATTCAGAATCCGCGGATTTTTCTGATCTAGAAAGCACTTTTCAAATTTTGAAAAGGTCGAAACAAAATTCTGACTGCCGGCTTCAGCCAATAACCATCCCAAAATTACCTTCAAAACTTCAAAAACAAAACATTTTGTTTCTGCTTATTTTCTTGGTGAATTGATAACGCTTATTTGGAACATGCTGTCACATGCTTTCCTTGGAATAAATATCAAAACCCATTCTGGAATCAGTATTTAGCTCAGTCCAGCTATTTGGTAATAACCACCAAACACAAAATTTCCTTAGGAAAAAGAAACTTATCTGCCTCGGTAACCCTTTCCTCCCTCTTCTTGCTCTTCACTCCAGGGAAGCGTATAGTAGCAAGAAGCTTCAAATTTAGAAAGTTCAGTACTCGTATTCCAATTGTATTTAACCATAGGTAAGGGGCGTAGGGCCATACAGTACTTACCGATAAAACTGCCTGGATCAGGCACACCACAGCGGAATCTTCGATTGATCCTGACCACGTCCATCGGACTAAGGTTTTTGTTCTGCCCGATCTTTGAATTTCTGACAGTCGGCAGAATAGTCGGAAAAGAACTGTTTTTTGCGAAAGCGTTATGTTTGTAGTGCATAACTGATTCGTAGTCGTATGGCAATCCATACGTGTTCCCTTCTTCATGCTTGGCAAACTGATCGACATCACCTTGCAGAAACGAAGATATGACAATCATATCAGCGGTTGCAGCAAATCACTTGTTTCACTTTTCAGAAATATCGGTAACCCTTACTTTTTGCAATGTTGTCCCAGATAATTGTTACATAGTTATCACGGTCGGAGCGCGAATGCTCGTGAACGAATCCCATGACATGCATCAGTTCATGCTGCACCTCGCCGTGGTATTTAAGGCATTCGGGAGAATAAGTGACCGTCAGGTTTTATTGCTCGCCATGCCATTGGCAGTGCCACTGGCAGGTGCCACTGCCACGTTTTACGCCCTGCCTTAAAGAAATCGGTTTATTTGCACGCGGTAGCAGCTGTAGTTGCTGGAGTGGTGGTTGTTGTGCCAGAGTTCTGTGAAGGGGAATCCGTATTAGGTTGATAGGGCTTATCGTTTTTTCCGTTGCATTTGGTGGTGCCGCACACTAAGACATCCACTTCCACCCGAAAACGTGAACGCTGTCGCGCATCTATCCAGACACGGCTGAAGTACCCTGGAGCACAATATCTTGCATAATATGGTGCGTCTGAAGTAAAACATTGTGCAACAAAAATGGAACGTTTTCTGCACGATTTGGACTGTCAAAATGTCAAACGAATGTGTTAGTACCCCTTGCCCATTTCTAATAGTTTTGTGGCGAGCTTGTGTGGCGGATTGAAATGCACGTCGTTGTTGATGGCGGACAAGATACCAGCAGGTGCTCTTGCGCGTTTGTGCAGTCATCGCCACCAGAGCACTTGTACCATTCGAAGCCCAACGTTGCATCTAAAAACACACCAAACACGCCGACTGCTATCGTGTTTAACGTACTTATTCTTCTGGTAGTTTAAGAAGCTATCGATGGTAATTTAGATAGAAACGTACACCTGTTTGATGCATTATGCATCACAATTTAACACAGTTGCATACTATACCTGGGAACTCAACGATCAACATTATAAAATAATAAGACAGAGCCTTTATAGGCAATCATCAGGTTTAGAGCGGCAGTTAAATGCTAAATTAGCGATCTGTTCCGCAAATGTAGCGGCAATGGTACTACAAGCAATCATTTTTTTTTAAATTTGAAGAATACCACATCATCGAAGTGCGCTCCATGTTTTGGTATAAGACGCAAATTTTTTCGGAAAAGCCAGCTATGGTTTTAAGTTTCACTCCATTAATGTTGACGGGGTTTTCACAAGTATTAGTCGAGTTACCGTACTTATATAATTATACGTATATAGGTACGTACCTTACGTATATACGTACCTTATGTATATACGTATACATACGTTCTTATATACAAGCTTGTCCGGTAATTTCCTACGCAAAGGTACAGCTAGCGCGAAATTTGCGCTTAAAACGATGGCCACGTCACTACGCTTATCTGATCTGCCTAAATCCGCTCCGCAGTTAGATTGTCCATTACCACACCGACCGTTTTTAGCCACCTTTCGCCAGGCAGTTACTGTTATTCTCATTGAATTATATGGCATGTACCAAGCCAACAGCCAGCCAAATGCCAAGCCAACAGCCAGCCAAATGCAAGTTACGTGTTTGAACAGTGTGGCGTGGCGCGCCGTAGTGTGAATTTAGGCGTAACACGCAAATCTGTGTAGTTCGCTGTATTGATTCGTCAGAAATTACCGGACAAGCTTGTACATACATAATATAAGGGGGAAAAATGTGTCTAGCCGAACCAGTCCCTTGTACTTCTGATGTAAGCCAGCTGGTGGTTTACGTTGTGGCAGCACAGCGTTTTATGTAAAGCGCTGCTATTAAGGCTGTGCGGCATTGACGGTACATGTGGTATTAGCTGCACCAGGCAGGTCTGGGCTATAACACAGTTTTAGCCTGTTTACCTGCAGTTGTACGAGTGCTGCTTACCTGTTATCAGTACCTGCAATCTTAATGGCAGCGCTTTACATAAAACACTGTCAAGCTACAACGTAAACCACCAGCTGGCTTACATCAGAAGTACAAGGGATTGGTTCGGCTAGACACATTTTTCCCCCTATATAAGAATATATATTATATACATACGTTCTTGTTCTTGTTACATACGTTACATGTCAAGTCATACATAAATATTTATTGGGCAATAGCCGCCAAGATAACAATGATTGCAAGCGCCGGTACACTACGTGAAAGTTAAAATTTAAACATTAAAAAACAACCAAAATCTCTATCTTCTCATACATACGTTACATACAGTCATACATACGTTACATACATACGTTACGTTACATACATACGTACGTTACATACGTTACGTTACGTTACATACGTTACGTTTCATACGTTACGTTACGTTACATACGTTACATACGTTACGTTACGTTTCTTGTTCTTGTTACATACGTTCTTGTTCGTTCTTGTTCTTATATACATACGCTCTTATATACATACGTTCTTATATGTATATATACGTTCTTATACCTTACGTATATACGTACCTTGTTAATTATACTTATTATACGTATATACGTACTTATATAATTATACGTACTTATATAATTATACGTATATAATTATATATTATTATACGAGTTACCGTACTTATATTCTGTATTATGTGTACACTTTACTGATGGGAAAGCGGTCGTTGCTAAGCCCGCAGCTGCCCGCTTAAAGGAGTACAGTATTTTACTAAATTCTATTAGCGCAGTAACTACTGTATTCTGGGTTTTCTATGTTGGTTTCTTGCCGTCGGCCCGTAGCTGTACTTAAGTTTTGCACGCTATTCAGCCGTTAAAGTAGCAGAAACTGGCTTTTTTTGTGTTTGGATATAGTGATAACACATAAACCTTGACTGCCTATCGACTGTAGAGTGAATATTATATACCTGGCGTTAATGTTAGGTTTTCTATAACACCCATGGGCAAAAATCACCATTTTAATAATTATTTAATCATTGAATAGCAGTTGGAGCATATTCTTACCTGCGATGGTGAATGTGATCCTCCTATTGGTCGTTGTAGAATACGTCTTGACCAGATTTCCTGAAGCTACTTCCGCGTTGTCATGTTATTTTTGTAAAGAAGGAAGTTACGAGTCAGGGTTAGAATACGCTTGCGGGGCCTGGTTTGAAAAAATGAATTCGTCATATTTTTATAAGCTGATCTGTCCTGGAAACTGTATGGAGGTTGCTCATGACCCTGACTACCCTGACAGACCGAAGATGGATAGAAGCTTTATACGGGGAAAAGGATGTCAAGGTGAAGGACCACCAGGACCCAGCCAGAAATTCAAAGGACTGGGCCGCCCAGAATATTCAGTAGGATGCCATCAAGCAGGAAACGGATATCAATATTGCGTCTGCAACACAGATTTATGTAACACAAGAAATTCTACGGAGATAACGCTAGCGTCCAGTAATGTCCGCCCTTGGCTGCCATTTTATTTTGCTTTGATCGTTGTTCTGTTTCTGACCTCGCCTCAAAATCTTGCGTTTCCTTCCATTTAGAGATGTTTCTAATAATCGAGCAAGCCGTTGAAAGGCGGAAAAGAAGTTGTTTCTTATATGTACTTAGTCGGCTGTTACGACTTGAACAGTATTATATGCTGACATACGCGAAAAGACTTTCACATAAAACTAATACTACCAGCAGCTTTTTCGATGACCAGTTGAGTGGATACGTGTGCCACGAAATGTGGTACTTGTAGTAAAGTTTTGTCCTCGGAAAAAACCCAATACTTTCTTTGTTCTTTTCCTTCCTGAAATACTTAGTTTGTTCGGCTCAGCATTTACGAGTGACCAGAGAAGAAACGGGCCGTGCGCAAATGCGCTCATACTCCATGTTGTTTTCGAAGCAGGAAGCAGCAGTCGAAGCAGTCTGCCCTTTACTGTGGAAAAACTTTACTGCGGATCAAGAAAAAAAAACACCTAAAACAATTAGTTTAACCTGGCCTTTCATAGAAACTGCTTTGATCTGTGCCCGCTAACCAAACAAATTTGCATAAAATTAATAAAATCAAATCACTACTAATAAAACAGTTTTTTCTGGTTTCGCTCCGGTCTGCCAATGCACGAAAACGTGAACGTTTTAGTATTACAAAAAAATACATAACATTAATTTTGAGCTAGCCATTGCATCTCAAGAAATTTTCAAAAATGTGAATCCTGTAAATTGTCATATGATGCTGCCAACTATCGAAAATCGAAGCTGCAGATACTGCACATATAAACAAATTCACAAAATACTCTGTAAAAAAGGTTATTTTTTGGGAATCATTCAACTACAATAAACAGCTGCAACTGTATTTAATTACTGTTCGGTCTTCGCCCTTGGGCATTTGTTCTTCTATTTGTAATTAGTATTAGTTTTGGTTTCACTTGGTAGAATAAGTATATGGACTTATCACCACATTCCCACGCACACGAGTTTCTTGGTGTGATAATGCATATACGAAAACGGGAAACAAATCGCCCAAATCCGATTCGTCGTAATCAGAATATGCGAGACCATAATTCCCCCACCGATGGCATAAGTCGCGTATAAATACACCGTACAGGCCTTTTGACCGGGATACCAGCTGTCAGCGTAACTCGTGACGATGTCCAGCGGATTCTGCAGGATTGCCATAACGATGTTGGCGCACAGCAATTCATCAGGTACATGGCGAAGGGAGTGCGCAACTGCTTGTCCTTGATGAAGAACACGAGAACGCCAGTGCTGAGAAAGATGACCAAGAGGAAGGTGACCACGGTAAACACGGGAATGAATGACCATGATGGCGGCGGCGGAGCGTAAGCACCGGGCGATGTGGCATTACTAACGTTTGTCGCCGCCGTTGACATTATTTTGCCGCAACCAGACAATTACGCTTCAATAAAGAAATTTCGCTTGCGGCACAACCTCAGCTACGGCGCAGAAATTGGTAAATTAAAGCAGAATTATACGAGAATCGCTAACTGTTCTATCACCTTAAAAAAATCCAATATAAAGTACTTTAAAGTATATACAGTATGGGTATGACTAGCTCCTAGCTTGCACCCACCTACATTAATAAATATGCGAAAATATCAGCTGGATTGGCAAACACGGAATTTGCCCGAAAAGATTTTGACAGATCCTTTTTCTGTAGTAAAGATATAATATGACGAGATAAAATTATATAAAAAGGAAGTCCGAAATGATATCACCGCAAATTTTCCATCAATATTTCATAACAATTGGTAACTCAGTACGCCGTGTAATGGTAAACCTTGAAAGTTTTGCGGCTTCAGGTATGTCATATTAACGTCATGAACGTACATAGCAAAGAGTCAAATTTTCGCTGACACGGAGGGTACGAGTATTATAGATCATGTCATTCATGTGTCTTGTACTTCATTACAAAAATATAATTCAACGCTTAACTTTCGATGTTATTTCTGAATAGACTCGTCGTTCTCTCGCAGTTCTGACTTTCTAAAACGCAGAGCTGCGGTCTGGTTTGTCAGTAAATAGATTGATGCATTATAGCCGGCATGCGCAACTGGCGTGCGTAAATGTTTTTGTAATTACGAGTATCAGCGTTTTGATAAATGCGTTCTTCACAATGACAGACGACGTCCGTATTTAAGAACGAAAACGCTGGATGATTTAATCCTGACGAGCGGTGCAATCTTGAACTGCACAGTGACAGCGGCAACGAAGAAAGTGAACTCAAATTTAGTAGTTATCATTTACACAGTTTTTAGTCCATAAACAGACTTTATCGGGAAGTAAATACTAGTAAACAAAACATTTCGGGTCTGCCAATGCAGCAGGCCGGGCGAATAACATTCGCGATCAGAAAATTGAAATTCCAGCTATGCAAAAAAAATACAAGTTGTTAAAAATACAAGTTGTTGTTGTTAAAAAAATACAAGTTGTTAAAAAAATACAAGTTGTCATTGTTGTTAAACTGCGTCTAATAATAATTATACTGCAGAAAAAAAAAACACAAGACAATTTTCTGACACATTGAAGTTAATCAAGTAATGAAAAAATGCTAACCCAGTAACGACAAACATAATTTTGATTTTGTTGGCACGTTTCGGTTTTGGATGAATCGAATTGCGACATTCAGACGGAATTGTGCGACAATCCAATATCAGTGCGGCTAGATCCATATAACCGATGCTTTACTATCTCCATTCCAAGAATACTTCTCCGTTGATAGAATCATAGAAACATGTTGAGTATAATGCGAGTATTTTGCCGAGCGACTGAAATTTGTAATTTATGAGAATATATTCCATTTGCAGCAGCGGGTTAGTAACAGTAAGAAAAGATCTGTTTGGGATTCAATAAAACGTAGCAGTGGATGTGAAGTGAGAACGTGGTGATGGGAAACAGCGCCGAGCAGTGAGAAGTTTGAGTAAACGCAGTTCAGCAGTTAACGGTAAATATGTATGTTCGTATGCTTGCAATATGTATGTTCGTATGATTTTACATTGGCATTTGAATCGTATGCATCGTTGGAGTATGTACTCTGTAGTTCTGAGCGGATGTTGCGGTTTTTACCAACCAGTCATCCGTCGCGCGGACTTCCAGATATCCTTCATGGCGACGGCAAAAAGAATCGGGTCAAGAACACACTCCCACGAATACACCGCTCGAGCCACCTGGTAGAAAGTGTAATTAAAGTAGCCGTACGGCGCAAGCCCATAGAAGACCATGATGGGCGTCCAGAACACCGCCACACTGCAGGTCATCAGCGTCAGCACCATGAACGCATAGGAGCGCTCTTTCTTCTTCTCCCCGGCAAACTGCGAAGGTTTATTAGAGATGTTGGAGGCCTCGGCGCTGTTGGTGTCGGCTGGATTGGAGTTAGCCGGGACGGAGTTACCGGTGGTGACCTTTACTATCTTGCGGGACCGAATACGGTAGAAGCAGATGACGGGGTACGCGAAGACGACGATAATCTCGGCCAGGTTGTAGATCAGCCAGTGGACAGCTTCCGACCATTCTTTTTGCGTTCCGAGATTGATGCTGCACCCCATGATGTCCAGTGGCGGGCGGTAGTACAGTCCATCCATGATTAGCCCTATAATAAAAATCACACTCCGGTATTCTGGCTGAAATGTAATCATTGTAATGTAATGTAACTGTAATCTGTTGACTATGATGGTGAGCAACCAATGGGGCAAGTTATTAGTGTCGTTTCCACACTTTTGCTGAAACTGTCTCTGCAACTGTTTTTCATTTGACATCTTTAGGTTGCTTGACCCAGTAAATGGATTTGAGGAGGAAAGGCTGGGATTAAATCGTAGTGAGGCATTTAAATGTACCGCTTTTAACAGCGGTGTCAAATCTAATTTTAAAATTCATGAATTGTAAAAGATTATGATCATAATCTTTTTCCGGTAAAAATTCAGGGTATGACGTGTGCCTGTCCTTGAGTTTCTATGAATACACTAGGTGGCCTGTCCGAACAATGAACTGGTGTATTGTGCGTGAATCACATTGGTTTAAGGGTTATTTTATCTGATGAATCGCCATCATGACCCGTGTACGGTTGTCGGCCTAATAATTGCGGATGGACAAATGCCGCTCGGATTATTCTCCCGTTACAATAAAGTTAAATAATTGTACTAGCATTATTTGGCTTTCAATGAAGCTCATGAATTCTTCATTGCACTGTAAAGCGTAAAGGTCAGACTGTCTCGGAGAATTGATCTTAAGCAGTTTATTCATTTCTAAATGACGAAATTAATAAAATCAAAACGACGACAGATGACTGTACAAACCGGCCGTAACGATGCGCCAAGAAAGCGTCACATAAAGCAGATTTCGATCATGCTGGGAGAGTAGTAAGCATAAACATGTAATACAACGATTTGTTCCCAGTGGAGATGGCAGGATCCATAGGACATGCCAAAGGAAACTCAGCTTAGCCGCTGAACACACCTCACACTCAGCTTAGTCGCTGAATATTTACGCTTTTTGCGCAAGATTTATTAGATACCGCGTGTGCTTTTTGCATTGTTTCTCGATTATGAATAGAAATGTAGAGCATTTGTACTAGGAAAGCAGACCGCATTTTGAACAACAACACCATCATAAAATAAATATTTAATCTTTAATTTGCTGAATCATGGGCCGCCAATAATATAACGGTTTCCGTGTTTATAAAATTATTACGCTGAGAAGCGGTTCTGGCCGTGATTCAAAATCATAGTACAAAGTAATAGATTATTATCACAGTAATAGAGTGATTGTAAATATAATTATAAATAATAAAAATAATACGCTAATACAGTAATTATTACTATGTTTAAATCATAAAGGTTTCTGTAAAATAATTCTTCTTAATCAAAATTTGATTAAGTTGGTCAACAGAGGGGCGCAGCTTCGCAAATAAAACACGGAACTTTTTTTAATATTATTGTTGGCTACAATAAATAATTATGCACTTGACGTACTGTCACGTACAGATACTATGTATAACTAACGTTGTGCAACAATTTTGCAAAGAAACCAATATTTGAGTTGCTGTAACCAACCATATTGGCTCTCGAATTCTACCCTAATATATATTTATGTACTAGCACAATGCCAACCATAGGCCTAATTAAATAATGGTTTCCGTTTTACCTGGCAAGATGAGAATGTGGACATAACACCACATTCCCACGCATACTCCCATAGCGAGTTTCTTGGTGTGAAAATGCTTATACGAAAACGGGAAACAAATTGCCCAGATCCGATTCGTCGTAATCAGAACATGCGAGATCATAATCCCGCCGCTGATGGCATAACTCGCGTATAAATACACCGTACAGGCCTTTTGACCGGGATACCAGATGTTAGCGTAGCTCGTGACAATGTCCAGCGGATTCTGTAGGATGGCGATAACGATGTTGGCGCACAGCAGATTCATCAGATACATGGCGAAGGGAGTGCGCAACTGCTTGTCCCTGATGAAGACCACGAGAACGCCGGAGTTGAGGAAGATGACCAGAAGGAACGTGACGAGGTTAAAGACGGGAAAGAATGACCATGATGGTGGCGGCGGAATATAGCCGCCGGACGAGGTAGCGTTGCTAGCGTTTGGAGCCGCCGTTGACATGATAATGTTGTAACTGCACAATTCAGTTTATGCTTTAAGGAGAAACCTTTGGACAGCTATGACACAGTGAGAAATGCAAGACTGCGTATTATGTAGTTAAGGTAAGACTGACATTATATATACATGTAGCAGGATCAGTTTAAACCGAACGAACTCGGAACGTTCAGTTTTAAGGATGATGCAAGGTCATTGCAATAGAAGCTTTGAGAACAACTGTGCTATTCATCATCGCGCTGGAAGAAAATGGCCACGTATTAAACTACGTAAGAGGTTTTGCATTCATTCGTTAAAAATAATTCAAGCTTCGGCTACATTTTGAATAGTCGTCTAGCATTCACGTTCTTCAATGGATCTTAGCGAGCTCTATATATCATGTATCGATCCGAACGTAAATCATTTAAAAGACGTTTATCACGCTATTCTTGCTTAATCGTCCATAACCAGGGTCGGGGTTGACCTTTACTGTTACTGTATGCTACAGCATACCGGTACCGCGATGACGCTTACGCCTACTCGTTTATGCAGTTTTCTGCTCCGTTAAACGGAAAAGATCGAAATATAAGGAAGCAAAATCTTATCAATGCAAGCAAACGATGTTCTAATTGCACAAACAAGGGACAGATAATTACCCACAATGGACAATCGTACTGATCGAATAAACTGAAGACATGATGCCGAACAGTATTAATTTAATAAGTGGTTGCTTTCTGCGGCTTAACAATGGTAACGTCGGTTGAAAAAGATCGAATTATGGAACAGTTGACGTAATAATAAAAACTTCATGAATTACGTACGGCACAGTATCTGTATTTCATGTATCCGACAGCCTGCAATTTTGAAATTCGCGATAGCAACGTATCCGTTTTTTTGTATTTATTTAAAAATTCATTTTCTCCAATTTATCAAGCATCCGAACAGCTATCAGATGCAGGTGCATCGCGCCGAGCTGCAAGGATTCTGTGGCGAGAAGTTAAAGAACCCATCGCTTGGCGGGAAAGTTGGATAAGCCAGCCCGGCACCTTGCAAGCCAACAAAGGGGTATGTCGTCAACGTGCATCCCGACCAAACCCTGGCTGACCGCACCAGTCCCGCATCAGCCGGTTCCAGGTTTCCATTGTGTCCGCTCATTAGTATCACGTTCGTTCCCAAGAAGTTTGGATTATGAAACAAGGTGGCACATGATTTGCCAGAGGGATTAATGGTGGTGGTTGTGGCTCCATACATGGCTCGGATTTCCTGGATATCAATCTGGCTAAGGCCGTTGCGTTGTCCGAAGGTTTGGGTTGAAGTTATGGCTGTTATTGTGAAATTCGTGGGACATGGGTCCACAGCGGAATCACACGGACCAGAGTGCATGATGGAGCCAAAGTCGTACGCGGTACCGTAGGTATGGGCGTAGGCACGCACTTCGAAATCGGGGCGTTTGTCTGGTAAAAAAACAAGTTTAGCAAAAAGTGCATTCTGTTCACACGAAGAAAAGATCACTGAAAACCGAAAATCCGTGCCGTCAGTATCAATACAAACGATGCAAATAAAATAAAATTAAATAAAACAAATTAGGCATAGGTTACATTACTGTACTGTTACCCTGCATTTGCCGATAGTTTCAGTGGCTCAACCAGGCGTACGTAGTACGAGCGCGCTCAGTCTCCGTTCATGATTCACATACTCGGTCTGCAGCAGCGTGTAGGCAGCTGGCTGCTAGTTGAACATGAACGGCTTAACTTTCACATGGCTACAGTACCGCACCGCTCGTACTGTACAAAATTTCGGCAAGTGCAGGGTAACAGTACAGTACTGTATCTGTATTTCTACGTATCTCTACTCTATTCTACTGTAGCTACATTCTAGTGGCATAATTCTAGCTGATGATTGTTCATTTTAGGGCAGAGAAATTCGCTTACTTTCGGGAATATTACTCCAGTTGATTTCTACGTAGGCATCACGGTCAAATCGGGACTGTTCATGCCAGAATCCAATGGCGTGCATCAGTTCATGGATTATGGCTCCTTTAACCGCTATGCAGGCGTCCGTCAACGACAGCTTCTGCGCACCACCTATCTTCCCCACTTCACTCGAGCATCTGCAAATCAAAGGGTTTTTATTCATCCAACATCACCCGTCTAGAAAAATCAAAAGCTTACTCGGCTTCCTTCACAATATTGACGTAATCAGTTTCATAATAGCGCTCTTGGAAGCGAATGACATTGGTGGTCTTTGTCGTGATCTCCGTCATTGCTTCTCTAACGGCATTCCGATCGCTTTGACTGAACTGCCCGGTGAACTGGTAGTGGATGACGCCGTTGGGCCACCGCAGGTTGGGCGCTACTCCGGCTTTATGCAGGTTGTCGAGTTTAGTCCGCTACAACATTTACCAAGCTATAAAGCTGACTAAATTATTTTAAAAGTGACCTTGTGCAGCTTACTAAATCAGCAGCGGTTTCTCCTGGTTGAATAACACCAGCGATGTCTCCTTCAAATAAGGTCTTGCCGGTGACCTTTAAGTCGAACTGCGCGTTTTCGCTCAGATCGAAGGGTGCCGCACAAACAGCACAAATAAATGACATTAGAAAGAACACGTTTTTATCCATTTTATACGACGAAAAGGCGAATTGAAAATTATGAACAGTTGGTAAAAAATTATTAATGTTAGTTGTTCTTTACGATAGACAAAGTTCCGAACAATGCACGGGAGACCGGTATTTATGTGGGTTCCTCTTCACGCATCAAACGGATACGCTTATCACATGCGGAAACGTGTTGCCGTAATAAGAAAGCGTTTGACGTCGTAAAGAAAACGTTTTCTTTATACACCGCTGACGGATATTGTGACTTATCTTTTCGGCGCCTTTACACAGCCATTGATGTACACCGCTGTGTTTGTTTTGCATTGTAAGGTGTAACAGCTTATATCATCGCCATGCGTTGGTCTGTTATCGCTAGTTTTTGTTCGAAATTATGATTGTTTACTGAGTACGGCCATCGTAAAGTCCAGCACCAGTAATCGCCGTCGCCGGTACCTACACTGTAGTAAAGGTAGGTCCAGGCATCATTTCCGTGGCGGCTGCCATGAGCAGCGGTGGGTCGAGGCGGCATGCATGCCGAACGCTAAGAAATAACAAGAATTTCAAAATTTACGGTTGTCTGTCGTAAGGCAGCTTCCCAATGGCATGTGAATTATTGTTCTAATACTGTGACCCTCTTTCTGACAAAAGTATCATCGCAAATACAATACATAAGTCGAATCACTAATACAGTAGTAGCATCGTGGGAGATCGACAAGAGGCTGCCATGATATTTTGTAGTTTTTACAGTGTTCGCTATTTTAGAATTACAAGTAAAAAAATTTATCAAGTCACTCAAGTCGCTGTTTTTGGTAAACCTAATAACCAATCGATAAATCAACTGGAAATTCTACGCAGTGTTTAAACCAAGTGGAAGATTTGTAAAAAGGTTCTGCAAACATGGTAAATTTGCTTGAACTTTGAATACACCCTAAACCATATTCAGCGCTGCGTTACACGGAAATGCGTGCCGGCGCTCGGATGGAAATGGTGGCTTATGAAAAAACATAAGTTAATTAATGTTAGCTTCTTTCAAGGTTAATGTTGGCTTTCGTGCTTCTGTTACTGATTACTTGAATGTAATTACAGTAACTTGTCTTGCTGTTCAAATTGCAAGTCCTTCGTGTATTGTATTTTATTTTTATAAAATATGAAATGTATAAAACAAAAATATATTAGTAAGTAATTTTATTTTAGTATAAAATGTGTGTAATTTGCCAGACACTTCATAGCATCAAGTCTTTAGCAGCACCAGGTACTGACTAATTTTTCATCATTGCCATTGAGCCGATCAAATCAACCAGTCGCGAACAGTGAAAGCATACAGCAGAGAAATCGGAAAAAGAAACACTCGTAATTTTAATGTAAAAAATTGACATCCACCAAAAAAAGTGTTGTGACGCAACATCTCCGCGTCCGATGCAGTAGATAAAGATGACGCAATTCCAAGTGAACATTGATTCAAAAGGCACGCGACCACGTGCATATCGGTCAAGGTAGGCTTATCGCTCATGTTACACATTTGGGTCTTATCAATGCAGGATTTTCTTAAGAACCGATTAGAACATAAAATGATGCCGATAATTGCAGATATAAATGTCCGCAAGATGACTGATAACTGTTGGTACTCACTACGAAAAACAAACACCGCGGTATTTACAAAGTTCTCCAAGGACACACCACAAGAAGACACCGACGCATCTTCTGCCGCACATGAAAAAATTGTAGCATAATGATGACTGCATTTTCTTTTGCGACGTCAGATGTCTGCTGAAAGTTCCTGGTGATAAGCACATCCCGTCGCTATGTGAGAACCGAAAGAAAAAAGCTATAAAAAGCTGCAGTAATAATGGCATCAGCATAATCACCACAAAACAGTCTCCTCTGTCTTTAGAACTGATATATTTACCTTTGTGTTGACAGACTATTTCATAAGTTTCTTATTTGTTGTATAACAGTTTTGGTATTTTCACTATTAAACTCTACGAAATGCAGCTACTTCAAAAGGGTATTGTTTTATTGTCTTTGATCTGTGCAGCGATGACGGCGCCGCTCAGTTCCGGCACAGGTGAAGTTGGCTGTACAAGGCCCACCAAAGCTGAAGAATCCCGGCTGTTTGAAGGAGACATTGCTGGCATAATCGAACCTGGGGATACTGATGCCGATATTGTAAGCTACAAAGGTCATTAAAGTACTCAGCGGATTTTAACCGTATTTCGTTTGCACGTAGAAAGCCAAAATAACCAGCATCAGCAAAGCCGGAGTGTTCGCGAAACGTTGGCCAAATGGAATAGTTTACTACCAGATTGCCTCCAATTTCGACTCCGTCGTGCGGCAGAATATTTTGAATGCCATGTCCGACATCTCGGTCAAGACATCCAATGCTGTACGCTTCCAGCAACGTGTCTTCGAAACTAATTACGTTGATATTGTGTCAGAACCCGGGTAAGTCGAATACCACGGTCTTCCTTAATTTTAAAACTGTTGCTTTAACCGGTTTTATAATTTGCAGGTGCTCTAGTTATATTGGTATGGTGGGAGGCTCTCAGAAACTGACATTGGGTAGTGGATGCTATGGACACGGAACAATTGTGCATGAACTGATGCATGCCATTGGATTCTATCATGAACAATCCAGGACTGACCGGGATACGTACGTCGAGATCAATTGGAGCAACATTCCAGCATGTAAGACAATGTTATACATGCATCTCGATTTCTAGTCGAATTCATCCAAAATAATTTTTTGAATACGTAAGCAGACAAAATCTGGATTACGATAGAAGACGCATAAAGAAAACTTTTTTTCAGTAACATCGCAAAATACTAATCAATGTACGGTACCTTCTTTGAAGCTTAATCATAGACTAATGAACAATTCAAAAGCGGGATAGCTGTGAGTTTTTCTTACTTTTAGTATGGCACAACAATTTCCTGACCTATAACGATGGTTCGACATTCGGCACAACTTACGATTTCGGGTCTATAATGCATTACCATCAGTACGAGTTCGCTGCCAACCCCGGTATTTACACCATTCGCCCGAAAGCGCCTTGGCAGGGCACGGCAATTGGACAGCGCGACGGACTGAGCGCTACCGACATCCAGGAGATTCGAGCCATGTACCCAGACACCCCGATCACCCCCACTCAACCGACAATCGTTACTCCTGGTGGCAAACGGTGTGCACGGTTGTTCCCTTCCCAGTGGTTTATAGGAGCGAGTGTCGACCTGGTCAACGGACACAACGGCAATTTGCAGGCGGCTGATATGGGCAGAATGCAGTCGACCATAGTTGACCCGGGATGTACGCTGACCACTTTTTCCTCCGGTGGCTTACAAGGCGCGCACATGATATATCCGGCGTTAAACGGGGCTGAAGGTTTTTTCAATTTTTTACCGCAGTACACTTGTAGTTCCGCAAGATGTACCTGTGTGTGACGGCACGCCTAACGACTTAGCTTAGTTTATTTAGCTAGCCAGCTAAATAACGGCTTAGTACTTATTTAGACTTACGTACCTGCAATGCAGGAAGTGGTTTGCTTATTTTACTCCTTTTTTGATTTATTTATTTGGAAACATGCACGGCATTGAGTTTCGATCCTTTGTGGGAATTTGCCATGATATCAAGCTAGCAGCAGAAGGAATAAAGAAATCGGTGGAACTATTTCGCTGGCTGTTTATTTTGGTTGTTTTCGAATTATAGTATATGTAACGCATAGTACGAGTTCACTGCGCAAAGGTTCTCTACATGGCTGAATTGCAAACTTTTTCCTTCCAAGCTTACTCGCGGACAGGTAACCGCATAAAGCAGCAATCAGTCAAAAACCTTACCGATTAGAATTGCTTATTCTGAACTGAACAAATTTTGAGTAAATTGGTGGACAACTTGAACAGAACAGGTTGCACCTTATAACGCATTAAGCACTGTTAGGAAGATGCGTCTCTCGATTTACAGTCCTAAATTCATTGCATAAACTCTTTAATTTTATCATCGAAAAGCAGCAACAAAACTGGGGTTAATGCAGCTTTGGTGCAAAAGAAAGAATAAATGAATCTCATTAACTGAAGCCGAAACAACGAACTGGTAATCTTTTTCGCTGGACTCTTTTCGCCAATATCTTTGAGAGTTCCAACTTCCAACCAGCAAGTTAGGATTAGTTGGCCAGCGAATCTTTGCTTCGATCGCCATGTTCATCTGTAAGGATAGGACGATCCGTTGTGTGGTTTGGCTTATGTGTATGAAATTGCTCAGAACTTTACACTATTATCAGCAGAAAACTGACCTTTTCACGCTTTTGTTACTTCAGTGTTGGCTATGCATATCAACAGGGCTTTCAAAATTATACGAAAGACTTTATATAAATGTCTGTGCCGGAGAGTGCAGGGATGGAGTTCAGGGAAACGAACGAATTCAGCAGAAATTCAATTACCGCTGAATTCGTTCGTTTTGTTCGTTCAGCGGTAATTTAATTTCCGCTAAATCTTAACTGGTTTCGTAGCTTGTGCGCGACGCATCTTGCTGCTCAACTCTCATACCGGTTTTTCACCTGTTACGAGCTCACAAATTTTCGCTAACCGACCGCCCACCCGCCCTGCTTCAGCGGCTGCGGTACATGTCATCTAGCTTCATGCTATGTATTTGTCCAATAAAGGGTGGCGAAGAAATCGGGCACAGGCGGAGGGTGCCGGCAGTGAGCAGTCTGTACCGACAGGTGAGACTCTCAGCTGGAATGCGCACCTCCGGCCATGCCGATGACTTTCATCTCCACAAACCGCACGTCGAGCAGACTCACAGGCCAGAACGCTATTCAGAATTCGCGGATATATTACTTTAGTCGTGTCTTGCGTTAGCGAAAAGGCATTTTTTTAACAGGGGTGTTTTATTCGAAGTGCTTTTATTCAACAACGATAGTACCCAGGTGGTGTTGCATAATCCTCTAACACACGATCCCTGCTGAGTGTTGATAGCGAAATCAAGTGATCACGAAATGCAGCGAAAGCATGACGATTCATCTATACGAGTCACAGTCAGCAATACAAAAGCCAAAAGTTGTCCACAAACGTGGAAAAAATTGTTAGGCGACAACGTCTCTGCGGTGACTCTTTACCCAGACTGAAAGATTGGTAAGATTTACCCTTTAATACGAAATATGCTGAGCTGCGGAAAAAAGTGTTTGTCAATGTTCGACGCCCAACGCTGTTTTGTTTGCTCGAGACACAGCATTAACTGATTCAAATTTCATTCAGGACATTGCGTTATTCCGTCTTGGTGCTGGGCGTCCGTTAATTTGTCAAAAGAGATTGACAAAAGGTACGTTCGCAGTTCGAACAGAGAAGGCCGCTCTATTTGTTTACTTTTTCAGCATTAAAGGTTTGAGATTCAAAGTGGGAATGCCCACAGTGTGTTGGGGAATTTTTTATTTAGATTATGTTTTAATGCAAAGCCATTTATAGTTACTGAATAAAGACACTTGTCAATTTCAGTATCTTTGTAACTGCTCGTACTTTTACAGCACATCTAGCCTTTTGCAGCAAAGCCCGAAAGTTAACTCCGGTTTCTATGGTCGTCGAAAACGCTTCGCAGTACCACAACAAAGAATTTTTAATCTGATCATCAACATTAATACTAGCAACAAAAAGCCCTCCGTCAGTAAAAATTTGATGTACCAACCAAAAATAACAAATATCAGCAAATCTAAAAACCGAAGACTCTAGTTAGCGGACTCTTTCCAGTTAATCGATTCATTGTTTCCCAAATCTTTTCATCCAAATTACGGTAGGCTCGATGGGGCCTTGTGTGGCTGTAAAAAATGAACATTGTGCAAGCAGAACATAAAAAATGTTGTTGTAAAGGTACGGAGTATTGTTGAAATCGTTTACTGTTTATACCTCCTGGAATCGGGGTTCCCACAATCACGCCGGGATAAGTACCTGCAACAATTACACAAGCAGTTTAAGCGGGACGTTACATTATCTCTAACGGTTAATGGTCGGGCATGGTAGTCAACGTACAGGATGGATAAGGATAGTTGTAATACTGTCCATTGCAGAGGTACAGCACCGAGTTCCTGTTTGAATCAGCGCTGCGGTTGGGATAAGCATCTGCAAGCATGATGCGTTTGTTAATCTGCAATACTGTGTGCGGAAGAAAAGGTCATGGTCTGAAAACTAGTAGAGTATACATTCTTATCGTTAATCAAATAAATAGCCGTGATGGCATGGTTTTGAGCCGTTAAGCGGCACAAAGGGCATTAAACGAACGTAAGTCAACACATATGCTTTCTCACGCAGAAAGTTTTGACTAGTCACTGCTTGTTGCCCTATGCAAACCATCGCACATAGGATAAGGGAGAAGTAAGTCTTAATGAGATGCATTTCATTTAATTTTAAACGTGGGTGCATATATATACGCATTGCCAAAAGCGGTTGCAAAGATAACACAAAAAGCGAAACGTAGGTAGAAAACTTACCAGAAAACGCCGTCATAAGAAGAACACAAAATAATATAAGATGCATTCTTCGAATTCGGTAGTACGTACTACTACAGAGGATTTAAAGCGTTAAGAGGAAGGTTCGCTAATAGAAACAAATAAATTTCTGTCAACGACTTTTAAGATCGAGTCTGCTGCTGCTTTCAGTAAAAACGGATGACTTCGATTTAATAAAAGACAGTTATAAAATTCTTGGCGTTAGCGACTGTTTTATATAAGAAGTCTACACGGAAAATTTCTATCTATCGAGAAAACCAACAACTAATCGTAGCCGGTAAATAAGCAACAACGGTCAGCTTTCCGGTGTTCAGCGATAATAATCCAGGTTTATGTTACGCAGATCAAACCACATGACGCAATATATATCTTTTATCCTACTACCATGTAGAAGAAATCAATAAGATGCCTCTTAAGCTGATTTTCTTCGTAAAGTAAACTGGAATATCACGCATATGTATTTGAGTGGTGACTAAATAACTACCAGATAGCGGCCTAATTTGAGCTCTCTTTACAGTAAGTGTTCCGCAATTGTGGCCGCTGATAAGAAGAACAAATACTTCAGCAACTAGAAAGCGGAACCGCTTTATTATCTTCATTATCTGCATCCAGGATATGTCCTCGTTATTGTTCAGGTTTTGTTATGCAACAAGAAGCCATTCAAAATTTCACGTGACGTTTTCAGTACAGTCAGCCGGGGCAGATCAAGGGAAACGGCTTCTGTTGACCATGGCCGGTGCCGTAAAACTACCAAACAACGACCGCAGCTAAAGAATCTCGGCCAATAATTGTACCTCAGAGGCACTTCCACTGACCGCATAACGTATCTGTACAAAGTGACCGCCGGAACGTATGAAAGCTCCTGCGGTATTTTAGTGTGGCAGTCTCAGGATATAAATTAATGTCAAATTGGTCTACTAATTTTATTGGAAGCAGCTCCAAATGCCTTCGCCTTAAGTTAATAAAGGTCTTCTTTTGGAGCATTTCAACTTCAAGCATCGTATGCTGTTTTGTAAACTTCTTCAAGTAATGTAAACCTGCTTAAGTGGGTAGTGCTGTCCAGTGTCCACACTGGCTGCTAATTTATCTGCGTTATTATTATAGTTCAATGTCCAATATTTTATTGATCTTTCGTGGAATCATATTGAAATTGGTTAGACAAATTGTTTTAGACCCCGCGTGCCACCGCTAATATTGCCATTATTGTTCACCGAAATTCTGAACAAGACAATGCCCGCGTGCCATTAACCAGTAGGGCTTCCTGTTCGGCGCCCCAGAATTCCAAATTCTTGAACATTTCAGACCGGGGAGTTACTCGCCCGATCACGGAAATGGCCAGGAGATACGGCAGGAAGCCGGCGAGGCACGAGCAACGAAATACAGTATCTACAGATTCTACACCAAAACATCAGCATAGAAATCCGGCGTAGGAAGGCGGCATTCATTCAGAGATAGGCTTGGCTCCACCGGTAGTCGGGAGCTTATGTCAGTTGTTCGCTGTTCTTAAGCCGCCTCCGACTGTTGAGATTGTGATTTTGATTGGTTTTGTATAGTGCGCTGTAGTACTCTGTAGTCTGTACGTAAAAATATGGTTTGGATCTTCAAGGATATTCCAAAGAAACTACATGACAATTAACGAGTTAATTGATGTTAATGTTAGCTGGAGGACATGCGCTCCCGCTCTGTCTCCTTTCGCCGTGTGTTGCGAGTTACGTGAGTCTGTTGGTGGCGCTGCGCGTCGCCGTGGCGCTTAGATCAAAGCGGCCGCCATCATGCACGGGCATGCTGTTTGCACTTGGTTCTGTTCGTGTGCTCGCATTGCATGGTTCTGCAGTTTTCACTGCTGTCTGTCTTTGCTCCTACGAAAACTACGGCAGCACCCTTCTCGAACGGAAGGGCAAGCCAACAATTATGCCCGCACCAACCCTTGCAAACAGTAAGCCACCAAGGATGGCTTCACCACTTCTGACGGCAGAACTGGCTTGTTCCAGCTACGGCTTTCTCTCCCACCGGCGGCATGAAAGCCAACATGACGGTTGCACCACCTCGGACGGCAGGGCAGGCTTTAACTAAGGCCGCACCCAGCTCCGACGGCAAGGCAAGCCAACAGCGACGGCTACGCCTACCGCGGACGGCAAGGCAGGTGTTGAACCACGGCCACATCCTCCTCCGACGGCCAGACATTACCTGCAACTCCGCCCGGCACAGCGGGCACACTAAGCCACCAACTTTGGCTGCGCCTACCTCCGACGGCAAAGGGACCCCCAGCGGCGGTTGCACTTCCCTCGGACGGCATGCAAGGCCATCACCTTCGGTGCGCCTACCTTCGACGGCAAGCAGACCCCCAGCAGCGGTTGCACCTTTCTCGGACGGCATACCAAGCCGTCACCTCCGGTGCGGTGATCTTTGGCGGCAAGCAGACCCCGAAGGGCGGTAGCACCTTGCATGGTAAAACCTGACTGGATCCTGACATACCACGGATCCTGCCACACCACGCCGGGATCATCACACCGCACCGCTCCTTATCGGCAACGTAACGACGTCAGCCCTGGCCACATAAAGATAGCCGGATATTACCTGCTCTCAATGGAACTCCGAATCTTCACCAAATACATCCGCAGAACCGTGCCAACGGCTCATCAATTCTTGTATTGAGTTGTTTGAGGTTTTGTTTGGGGCCTTCGGTTGCGCAGGGCACTGGTCGCTCTCTTCCGCCGACCCCCGGTCGGCCGGCTTCTCGCTGACCCACGGTCACCGCACACAGCCGATCACAGAGAGCACCAGCCTCCCAGCAGCCGGGGCTCCAGTGCCCCCAGTGGAGTCCGGAAGCGGTAACATTAAATGACAATTAACGAGTTAATTGATGTTAATGTTAGCTGGAGGACATGCGCTCCCGCTCTGTCTCCTTTCGCCGTGTGTTGCGAGTTACGTGAGTCTGTTGGTGGCGCTGCGCGTCGCCGTGGCGCTTAGACCAAAGCGGCCGCCGTCATGCACGGGGATGCTGTTTGCACTTGGTTCTGTTCGTGTGCTCGCATTGCATGGTTCTGCAGTTCTCACTGCTGTCTGTCTTTGCTCCTACGATATCGTGTGCGCGCGAGTGATCTCTGTTCTTTTACCACCCGCCACACCCTGCTGTTTCTTCTGTTATTTCGCACTTGCTCAATAAAGGGGCCTTCGGTTGCGCAGGGCACTGGCCGCTCTCTTCCGCCGACCCCCGGTCGGCCGGCTTCTCGCTGACCCACGGTCACCGCACACAGCCGATCACAGAGAGCACCAGCCTCCCAGCAGCCGGGGCTCCAGTGCCCCCAGTGGAGTCCGGAAGCGGTAACATTAATTAAGCAACGTTTGGAACGCCGTTTGTCAGAAATTTTTATTTCCATTCGCAACAAGGAAATGTTCGAGCAAAACCTGTGTGCTGAGTTTATTAAATATACTGAAAAGTAATATCCAAGTGCGGAAACATTCAGACAGCTTTTATAAAGTACGGTATGTCAAAAACAGGACGTGAAACAACAGGCCAATGTTTTAAAAATTGTAGTTGCCGGAACAGGACAACATGGAAATCGAAAAGGTTGTTGATTACTTCGTGAATGCAGAACTTCTTTGATGTTTCTCGGAAGTCGGAAAGTGTATAGTATAAGCAGACGCACCATATCCATATTAGCCTTGGACGGGGGTGCCGATAACGACGCCTGGTGAACCAGTGGCTGTAACGACCAAAGAAAACAGTCTTATAGCATCGAGACAGCTTAAACACAACAAAGTTCCGCAAAGACAATTATACACTTCGCTATTTCCATTGATTCGAAACTAGGGTGATGTAAACTTACTGCCTCCAGTGGGGATACAGATTAACACGCTGGACGAAGGGCCTGCAAAAGTCAAAGTTTTATTACGACTATTCTGACAGAAGATGTCTGATTCTTACATGGCGAATGGCACTGTGTGCCCGTGGTGCCGGTAAAAACGTTGTTCACCGGTGGCGTCAGGTAGTGACACGCCGGACTCGGTAAGAAGGACGTCACACCGTTACACACAAACGTGGGAGGCGTCCAGATTTGGGTAACGCCGGCTTGCGAAGTACCGTAAAAGACATTGTTGACGGCTTGGTAAGGATAGGTGCATAATGAATTGTACGTGTTTGTTGTTTGTCCGTTGCACACAAAGGAATATGTTGGGTAGACATTCCCGATTGTACCGACTAGGATATTGTTTGACGGCGCAGTGTTATACGTGCATTCCGGATTATACGTTGCGGACGTTGTTCCGCCGCACTGGTACTGCACTCCCGCGGTAAGGAAGCCTTGGTACGCGATGCCCATCGGTGTCGTCTGGTAAATGCAGGCCGGGTTGGGTGTTGATTGGGTGACTCCGTTGCACGTGAAGGTCGCCCCTGGAGCGTTAGTCGTTGGAGTTCCGGTGGATAGTCCGTTGACCGCCGGAGTGAGGAAGTAGCATGCTGGGTTAGGAGTGGTGGAGAACACGTTGTTACATACGTAAGCCGTGGTAAAGGAAACAGCTCCGGCGATAATTGTTCCTCCACTGGAACGTGGAGCGGCGTCTGCAATAATCTGGCTACCTAAAGAATTAATTACTGTAAGCGTTTGCTTACTTTTAATGGATATCGTAATTCTACCATACAGAAAGAAACGTCTGCGGGAAAAAGGAGAAATTAAGGATATATCGCATTTTTTCCGGGTATGCCTTGTACTTACCGCAGAGTGCCGCAAAAGCGAGAGCATAAATGACAAACAGCCGCATTTCTTTACGCGATCTAACTCAAAAACACCGGAGAATTATTTAACCCCGCGATTACGTAGAAGCTGTTGCTACTGTTATGGAAATCTTTCAGACGGTCGATCAGCTTTGATGCTCGAGTACGGGTATATTGCACATTTGCCGCGTTGGTTTATATTGGGCGATCGACTCACTCTGGATGCTTTCAAATATCAGTTGGCAGCAAATCCAACCGGAAATTTGCTTTCATGTTGAAGAATGCCGTCATCACTTGTGTTATCTGTTTAATAATTATCTGGCTGCAACCCAAAAGCAAACATAAGACAATGGCGTCCTTCTTAACCTGTTAGTTAAGACGCGTGCCGCTTGTTTACATTACGTATTGCGTGAAGCACATCAGATCCGGTTGAACTAAATTGTAAGATTTCTGGAGATGAAAGCTGCAACCGAATATCTTGCAGAAGACTGGAATGAAGCGGCAGTAAATTTCAAAGCACCCGTCAATTACAGCATTTTAGCCCATTTTGAAGTCCGCTTATGACTTTTCATCGGTTATCATGAGTCCATGACTATCGCGAATCATAATGAAACAATGGGTCAGTTGGTTCAACAAAAGGTTCAGTATTTCGCCACCACTTCATGCTAATTGCTGTTAGTGAGCGTTAGAAATACGAGTACATTTTAAAAGATTTTGACATAATGCACTGTTTTGGCAATAACATGTTGTATAAAACACTTATTTTTGAGCTGCAAAAGCTTTATTTTTTGTGCTGTTTTTCTAGACACCGTTCAAACTGTCAGTTGTTCAACATCTAGTTTTTCCGCTGAAATTTTATGACGGAAGGCCGATACAACTTTCCATATCCAACATTCTGTCATTAAAATTGTCGAAATAATATTTCCTTGTCAGAACTGCGTAAAAACACTTCTGCGTGTTGATTAAATAGATTCACAGCCAGACAATTTTGTTCAAAGTAAATGTGCATCTGAACTTTTGCCCAGTTCAGTATACTGGAAACAACTCGATTTCCAGAGCGTGAGAATCGTGCAGCGCCATTAATTTTATTTCATAACATTCATTTATATTTTATTCCTTTTCGTTGCAGTTTTGTTAAGAAACAGTGTACATTTTTCCCACACTCAGTACAACACATTATTTTATGGACAAGTGCACTTAAGTGATCGCGCATCGTTGTCATAAGTCTGTCCCTGGAAATTATAGTACACATATCCTTCCTGCGTCGGCTTGAACACGGTGGCGGTTCCCTGGGAATTCACCTGGCTGTAGATGGTCAGGGTGCAGCCCAAGGTCACTTTAGCCGAGCTGATCTTATCCTGCGCATCCGCATGCAGGTTCGCCACCAGTCCGCTGACGTAGCGCATTTCGCCTCCGCTGTAGTTGGACTCGTACCAGGTGGTCGCGCACAGCTTGTAAATGGAGTTAATCTCCTGGATATCGGTGGCGCTCAGCCCGTTGTTCTGGCCCAGCTGGGTATTCTGCCAGGGAGATTTCGGGCGGATCGTCCAGACATTTGAACTAATGGCGAAGGCGTTCTTCTCGTAGTGCATGATAGAGCCGAAGTCGTAACCGGTGCCGGATGTCGTGATGGAGCTGGCGGCGTATTTGTTGAAGTTGTGCTGGTTTGCTGCAAATAAAATTGTGATTTTTACGCTGTTCTTATAAGCTTCGTAATCTGTGCGACCCAGTTTACGGTTGCATAGAGAGCGGTAATATTTATTAAAGGCTAACATTGCGCAATGTTATTCCAGTTGATTTCTACGTAGCTGTCGCGGTCGCTGCGGGATTGTTCATGCCAGAAGCCGATGGCGTGGTTCAGCTCGTGAACGATGGTTCCGAAATAAACGCAACCGTTTCCCAAGGATAACGTCTGGGCGCCTCCTTGTTTGCCAACCATACTGTGACATCTGCAAATGAAATTATGAATATTTGAGTTGGAAAGAAACTTACGGAGTTAAAGAGTGGCTCAGTTTCAGCAAACTGCCATGAACCAATGTTACGCATTACGTGCAAGAAACCACATTCACCTAACCGTTGATGGTTCTACGAAGTTTCTTTAACAATTTTTCTAACCGGTACCTTACTATTTATTCGTACACATTTTAAACAGAGACAAAAGAAATCAAAAGGTTTATGCTGTTATGAAATTAAAATGATAATGTCAAAAATTGACTTACCCATTGCCTTTAACGATGTTGATATAGTCATTGGAACTGCCGCGCGGAAAGAATCGCACTGCATCGGTTTTCGTCTCAAACTCCTTCATCGCTCGTTTGATGAGATCCTGTTCCGATGCGCTGAAGGAGGATGATATTTGGTAGTACATGTAAGCACCAAACCAGCGCTTATTTGACAAAATGGCAGCCTTCTCTGGATTATTTAATTTGGCATCCTAAACGGTTAAAACCCGTTACTTGCTTGAGACTGTTTTAAACAGTTCCAGCATGATTATTACCAGATCGGCGATGGTGTCTCCGGCTTCCAGAATACCGGCAATATCTCCTTCAAACAGCAGCGGCTCCTTCTCTTCAACCGCCTCAACGGTATCGCTGACGATGACCTTTCCGCATTTCAGCGGATCCGACGAAATCACCGGTGAGAAAGAGCATTCGGGATCGATCAGTGGTTTTCCGTTTTTCGTGGCCGGAGCAGCAAAGCTTCCGCACACTGCGACGAACAACACGAAAAACTGGATGGAAGCCATGTTACTGCTTAAAAGGAAATATGCGTATGCTAACCTGTTATTCTTTACGCCTCCTTTTATAATATTGTCTACATGTCGGATAAGGATGTCTAATAACGCTAATACGTATCATGTGACAGAAATCTTATCGCCGGTGACAGTACAAACAATGAACTGTGGCTGACTGTCAATGTCATTGTCATACAAAGACAAATGCAAAGTAGTGTCTCTTCAATCTGACACGAAACGCATCTGCGAAGAATAATTAAATTATTGTTTTTGACCGATATGAAGCGGAGTGGCCCAAAATCCAAATCTAATCTGAACTAATGAATTAATCTTACGGGTTTAGATGGTTAAGAAAATTGCAAATTAAGAGTGTTTTTTGACAATATTTCGAATGGCTCTGAAAGAACCAAATTCATGTTACAGTTATTTTGTTCTACAAGTTTCTATATTTCTCAGATTTTCTTTGCAGCATATTGTATTATTTTACGAACTAAAGCGCGCTAAATCGATACTGTCAAATTTTTACGATGAACCTTTTCTTCTCGTTATTAAGTAATCTGGATTTCAAAAACGGCACATGAAAACGGGAAAAGTCGTTTATTTACATCCCGGCATTTTAATGGTTTCGATGAAACGTGGCTTGGAACTGTCGTGAGTGGATGAGCAAGCTGATACGCTTATAGCCCACAAAATGTCAGATTACCTTAGTAAAACTACAAGAAGACTTGATTGGCCGCTAGTTCAACGTCTGGGATATCCAGACCTGTGATAAGATAATGCCGGTGAGTAACGTTATTTCCCAGCAGTACTACCGCATGTGTAAACGCAACCTGCGTTCGTTTCTAGTAAAAGCATGCAGGCATTAAAATTATATTGCTTTTTCATTCACATCCGTATAGATAACGGTACACTTAACGGCGAACGTATAAAGACATCAGGTTTGTAGCTGTATTTCCGAATCAGTTTCCTGCTTTTGAAGTTTTACTAGTTTACATCTTCTAACTGCATCCAACGTTTCGCAATGGCAGCGCGAATTTTTATTGCTGTTTGCGTTGTATTTTGTTATACCAGCGCAGCCCCCGCCAACTTTCAGTTTCCCACCTGGAAACCATTCACTTTCCCCACATTTCCAAGCTTCCCAACCCAGCCTTCCGTACATCCCGTAATCGAGGCTGATGTTTGTGCCATACTGTATCATCAGTCAAATTTCGCGGGGCAAAGCGTCGCCATCAAGAAGAACCACGATGGACACTTCAGTTCGGCCGATCAGGGCAGGCTCAAGTCAGCTGTAGTGGTGCCTGGATGCACGCTGGCCATGTATACCAGGGATAATAGTGGACAACAGTCGTGCTCGGCATCCTTCGCCGCCGCCGGCACGAATTTGGGGTACTTCACATTCTCTGTCAACTGTCAGTCGGTCAAATGTTCATGTGCATAACGAAGCTTGATTGTTTTCGTTTGAACGATGGCGGAATCAGCAGAGATGATTGTTGAAGAAATAAATAAATACACTGTGGTCATACTAGCATATAAAGCACCCTAACCGAGTACCTGAAAAAATTGGAAATTTAATTTAAATTACAACGTAGGCATCGAATGTATGGTACGCATCCAGAAAAAGTTGCCAACATGAATTGCTATACGAGAAAATGCAGCAGCAGAACATGCTTCGGCGACCGCATTACAGTAAAAACATGTTTTACAAAGCAGATTTTGTTACAGCCATCGAACAAGTACCATTCAACAATGGATGCGAATGTCTGACAAAATTTGAGCAAGCAGCATAGCAATTCACTAACATGATACTGAGATCTCCGTTGTCCGAAGAGACCAGCAAACGTTGGCAGATTGCAAGCACCCAAAATTATATAATAACCCCAAGCCCAAACACCAGCGTTGATATTCACACAATTTAATGTTGCATGGCATCGGCAGATTAGAAACAAGCCGTGCTAATGTTGTACAGCTTGTACTAACTGCACTGGACAAACGTCCATTATCAGCAGCTAGGTTCATTCAATGAATATTCAATCTGTGCAAAATTAATGGACCGTGGTCCAGGCGGAAAAGGTTTTGCAGAACAATCAACTGGCACATAAACGTCGCCTGGCTGGAACTCGGAGCTTCGGTAGCTGGCTTGAAACCAAAATATTTTTCCTCTCTCAGCCATTCGAAGTAATTGCTTGTTGCTTCTTCGCCATATGCGGAATTGGAAAAACTCGCAGCTGCAGTGAAGTCGAAACAAATAATCTTTCGTGTCCGCGCTAAAGGTTTTCACCTTTCTGATCCCGAGTTCCAATGACAGTATGCGCAGTGCTGGTAGCTGAGAGAAAGTATCGCTTTCGATAGTACGGATTGTAGAATTTCCAAAAGCAATCATTCGCAATTTCTGAGAAGAATCAAAATCCTCTCTTTTTACATGTAAGTCGAAACATGTGTTCAAATTGTAACTTAAAAGATTGGGCATGGACAGCTTGCGGAGTTTTCCTGTTGTTCTTGGGCCGGTGCAGTTGAAAAGGCTGTAAATTATAATCTGCTTGCCCACCTCACCAAGATCAGTCGATGAGAGTTCTGAATTGTCGTATGAAACAAAGGCAACAGCACGCAAGGGTGCCTTCTTGATAGCTGAGAGCATGCCCTTGATTTCTTCTGAGTTGGCTTCTTCGTTGCAGCTGATCCGCACCGACTGAGTCTCCATGCATTCGCTTTTTGTATAAAGAGGCGCACAGTTGTCCGTGAACTGAGCATCGCACTCCTCGGCAGTCATCGGATCGGTGGAAAAAGCAACAAATGCATCTTTGGAGGTCCCTAGTTTATCCGAACAATGTGATTTGCCAATATCGATACCTGAAACTGGAAGTAAAATTTTTGTACGAGTTTAGGAAATTCATCACGCAAGCCAGTAGTTATTAGTACTACTGTACATGGATTACGGCAAAAGCCAACACCGATGCTTGCTGACCCCCAAAACCTTTACCTAATTTTTTGAAACGACAGATCGCTGATCGACAGCTTTCTAGAAGACCATCACCTAGGGTGAACATCGACGATTTGCTTGACCATAGTATTTTATGGACTGACCAAAGAATTTCCCGTAACAACCTTCCCCTTTTCTGACTGACCACAAAGGGCAAACAAACCACTACATAAAAAATATCTAGACAGTGTTCAAGACACACGCGCCTCGTGAAACAAAAATAATCTAAATGGATGGATAGGTTCAAATTCCGAGTAATCAGCTTAGTTTGTAACCCGGGGGTACGCTGCTTTCTTGAGAATTCGTGCAATTGCTTCCTAACGCTATGCATTGAAATTTGCAAATGAGCCACAAATTAACAAACCAATGCAATGCGATAATATTTCGAGTGACCAGTGGCCAGTAAAGGCAAGCCGCTGCTTTTTAAAAAATTATGATGATAAAAAACCCAGGATTTCGCATGTAAGCGAATTGTCGAACATCAATTTGTCGTAGTGAGAATCGGCAATATCTTGGTCAGCAAACTGTCGGAAAACAAAGGTCAGGGGAACTCGCGTGTCATAAATGACAAAATGTTAGTGCACCATTACTGTTTTTGTTTCACCAGTCTCAATAAAGTTTATATTATTTTTGTATTGCCAATAAAAGTTTGTAAAAAAATTCATAATTTTCTTAAAACAAACATGTTATATTGTGAGATTAGTCTTTTGTCGTACTTACAGTCCGGTACGTTGATTGAGAACCTGTATTGCTTGTGATCGATGAAAGATGGGGCGGAAGGAAATGGATTTACTGAGCAGTCGATAGGCAAATAAATGTCCTCTTTTCTAAAAGCTGAGCTCCTGAATGAATCTGGAATAAAGTACACCTCGCCTGAACCGGCTTTTCGCAGCAACTGCCGATTCGTGTCCCACCATTCACGGAACCACTGAAATTCGCAGCCACAGTGAAGCCTTTTTAAGAAATTACGAATGGCTCTCCTAAAAACATCCATGGTTTGCATGCCGAGCTCTAGGGTTAGCAGGCGTAGATACGGCAAATCGGTAAATGTGCCTTTATCCAGTATCTGAATAGTAGTATTTGTGAAAGTAATCACTTTGAGCTTCGTCGTTTGGCTGAAGTCAGTTTTCATGATCTCCAATCCGTAGCAATCTTTCATCTCGAATTCTAACAAACTGGAGAAGCGGAGTACGGCCAGCTTTTGGACGGTGCGACTGGAAATGCAGTTTTTGATTTGGAAATACGCCACCAGGTGCCGGACTGTTTCAAAATTTTTGAAGATTATTTGATCACCATCATACAGCGCAATCCCGACTGCCCTTAGTGGGGCTGTAGATATTCCGGCGCTGATTTGTCGAATTTCTGCAGAACTGGCGAATGTGCTACAATTGATGGTAAGTCCTTGAGTAACGGTGCAATTATCAGGTGTAAATTTCGGAATGTTGCAGTTGGTCGTAAACTGGTGCCCACACTGTTCTACGGTCATTGGTTCATGAGAATACTGCGGGAAAGTGTCCGACGCAAGAACTGTCTCTTTATTTTCGCCATCCTCTGCAAACCATATTCATAGTACTTAATACAGTTGTACTTACGCTAATTTTCGACAGCATATTGGAGGTTTCGGTAAGCGTTAGCAAATTCGAAATTGAATCACCCATTGCATTAAGACGTTTAAGAGTTATTCTAGCCTGCCGCGCGGTCACAACGAACAGCGGGGTCGATAGTACTTGATGCACAAATTAAAATACCAATTTTAACCAGCCAGCGTCGCGCCGCTCAGAATATTCGGTGCAGAAATTATTAATAGGTTTACTTCTAAGTTCTAACGAATTACGGCGCATTCCACAGGCAAAGTCGCTTTTGTGGCACCACCTAGTAACGTACCTAAGCTGCATTCGCATTCGCACTGATCATTGTTCATTGGCTCAGTAACCGGACAATTATTCGGTTTTTCGTTTTTATTGTCGCTACCTATAAACACAAAGCACAGGAAGGAAAAGATATGTTCAAGGTGTCCAACCTAAAGTTTGTTGGGTAAAACCGTAAAGGATACGCGTACTTACCTGCAAAGGTTTTTGGGTCTGCAATCGCACATCGAAATCGCCGGTGTATTCTGACAACATCCAAAGGACTCAGATCTTTATTTTGTCCAATCTTGGCTTTTCTGGTTGTGGGAAGAATAGTCGGAATACTGCTGTCTTTGGCAAAGGCGTTGTGCTTGTAATGCATGACCGATTCGTAGTCATATGGCAATCCGTAAGTGTTTCCGTCCTCGTGCTTGGCAAACTGATCCTTGTCGCCTAAAGAAGGTAACGAAAATCACATAGAGACTCAGGGCTTTAATCAACCTTACTTTTGGCAATGTTATCCCAGATGATCTTAACATAGTCGTCTCTGTCGGCTCGTGAATGTTCGTGAAAGAAACCCATCACATGCATCAGTTCGTGTTGGACATCGCCGTGCTGTTTCAGACAAGCCGGCTATACCACCGCCTGTTTTCCTCCAACGCGACCGATATTCGACATGCATCTACCAGCAACTAGTAAATTATATTCTTGATAACGATTGACACATATCCGAAAACCGGTGAAATCGAATTACTGACTGCAATCCTTTTTGGAAGCTGATATAATCTTCTTCGCTAGTGCGCTCCACAAATCTGACGCAGTTGCCGGAAAGAAAACTTATTATTCGCATCGACTCCAAAATAATTTGCATTTCCTTGGGCGCTACAGTACAAACGACTGAATGAATGCCTGCTCGGCAAAAACAATGCTGCAGACTACTCGCACTACGACATCTTCTTCTTATAACAACGCCAGAAATTGGTTGTGTTCCTCACTCATTTAATATTAGACATTTTTCGCAACTGCTCCACTTAACCATAGCACTACACTTAACCATACGCTATGGTTAAGTGCGAGCGTATGGTAAGTGCGGATACCATACAAATTCGTTGTATGGTAGCTGACTTCCAAAGGCTCCTCTTAGTTCCCATACACTTTAACTTCGTTAGAGCTAAGCTTTTCTAGCACAGAAAACATCGGAGAACTTGAATTTTGATGTTCCAAACGATGCCATACCGTGTAGCACGAGAAAAAAAATAAATACGAAGACCTCTAGAAAACAACTGCGCTGGTTTTAAGGTATCCTGTACACTGTCACTCCGATGGCGGTGTCTAGCTACACGATAAGGTATGGTTAAGGTATGGTTATGGTGTCTTTTGCGAAAAGCCTCTAATATTAACGCGTTTTGCTTTTTGGAGAATTCATAGGGAATTGTGTTGTTGGGCCAGAAAGAATTGGCATCGTTGGCAGCGTTTGCTGCTCCATGTTCAAGCTGCAAAAGGTTATATGATGTATGCACGCGAAATATGCTGTTGGTAGTTTTTTGAAAACTTCGTTCGAACTTCGAACCGAGTTTTGTAACTTGCATTGTTTGACAAACGTGTGTTAAATTTTACAGAAACCGACAACATGCGCAGAATGTGCTACGAATAATTATCTGGCTTACTTGCAGCGTTTGCAGTCCCAGAATGTCCCCTTCCGGAAGATCGCTGTCATAGCGGGTAAATTCTTAATCATCACTGTTTGCCAAAATCTCCGGATCAATGAAGTCTCTCCAGTCTGCACGATGAAAACAATGCAAGCTAAGAACGTTCAATTGTAAATACATATGTCAATGTATTTTAAAGAGCAATATTGCAGCCATGCCGACCGCAGTAACATTTCTGAAATGCACTGTGATTGCGTATAAATGCATACTCTCTGATTAGGTTAGTATGATTTTACATACTTTCTGGTAGATTACGGATTGTTTTCGTTGAGGCAGGAGTGCAGAGTGCAATGTACACAATAAACGTACAGAAATCACAGCGGAACATGGCGATGCTTATTTTACATGCTAAAAAGCTCACAGTTACCTAAATCAGTTTATTTTAGCAGGCTTAGTAAATTGATAGCGCCAACTTGTGCTCCTTGTGCTCCTACTGGTAAAGCCGTTTGCTTTATCCCCTAAGGCAAACATTTATCATCGTTAAAAACCGGCTTGGAAAATATAAGTAATCATCGCAGTTTTTTGCGGCAACGTTATTTCTCCGCATGGTAAAACAGCCAATCTAGACAAAAATTGTAATTCTTATAATAATTTCGGAACTACAGTGTAGTTTTTGTAATATACAAATTTATGTAGACATTGAAATACAATTTTCCTACACTCGTGTAGGTCAATCCGTGAAAATTCGTTAATATTTTAGCGTGTCTGATGTGCTCGTACTGTTTGGAAATTTTAGCAGTAAAGCTTAGAGACTGCACACGCGGCTAAACTTTGCACCTAGAGGCCAGCTAAAAAGGTTTAGTCTTCCGTGGCATGGATGATGACAAAATACATTTGGACGCTGACAATGTATTTCACGGCTTTCTGAAAACCACAAGTTCCAACAGATTCCGAGATTTACTCCTCAGTCTCCAAAAATGTAATAATTATAAATAAACTATCCAGGTTTGGTTGATTTTCTTTAGGATTTCGCTAAACGTTGGCCGGTCTGCTGGATTAAATTCCCAACAGCTGGAAACCAATGTGTTCCTGTAAAAAAAAGATTCAGGGTCCGTGTTGTTTGCCAAAGATTGCAAAATGCAGGTGGTATTTACATCCAGTGTGGGCAGACACCAGGAAGTACTAGTCGTTCACCCCTCGCAAGGAATTCCAGAAGAACATCCAACTGAAGTCCTTGTGGAAACTGTTGCTCATACGGAGACCGGCCGAATGTAAAACACTCCCACAAAAGTACGGCAAAAGACCAGATATCGCTTTTCTCACAGTAACGGCCTTCCATTGGCACCAGTGCCTCCGGAGCCATCCAACCAAGCGGAAGAAGCACCTGGATTACAGAAAAAAGGGTTAACTCGGCTTCTGTGACACTTACGTGCCATTTCATGCATAATACTCTCGAATTTTTCTCAAACAAAACTCTGTAGTTTTCGTACATTCTGCCGCTGCAAGATGTATTCACTGTCATTTCTGGCCAAACCAAAATCGCCTATCTTAGCCGTAAGACTGGAGTCCAGAAGTACGTTGCGTGCGGCGAGATCGCGGTGGAGAAAGCCGCGACTACATAGGAACTCCATTCCGGCTGCAACTTGGTATACGATCGAAAGCAAACTTTGCAGCTCGTCTCGAGAAGAAACATTGTGCAAATCTGTCTTTTGGATCGTATGAACGGATCCAACCATTTTCAGGCCAACATAATTGTTTTTCTTTTGCAAATGCTCAAGTAAGGATCCATTAGCACAGTGTTCCATAACAATCATCGGACGGCCTGCAAAACATATTGATGCTAACCACAAGCAACAGGGATTATATAACTTGATGTCTGCCTCCAGATGTGATCGTATTTTATGATTAGTATCTTCGCTCTTGGTGTGAATGCGGATACCTTTAAGAATCACCCCAATTAAACTGACGATATTCTTGTGCCTGCCCACCATCATGAAGGCTGCCATTTCCGCTAGAAAGTACCGCTCCTCTTCTTGAGAGCATTTATCCAACAAAAATTTGACGACAACGGTTGTGTTCTCAAGAACGAAGTGTTTCGTGTGCAGTTTTGTTATTCGTGCCAGTCCCACTTGACAGAAGTGGCTCCTTCTTAATTCCTTGTTCACTAAAGGTCAAACATATAACTTATATGTTAAGCATGTAACTTATATGTTATTTCCCAGCACTAACAAAGAGTTATCGAGCTGCTCGGGATTTCCAGTTCTTCGAATAAGAATGGATGTACTTCACAGTTATACAATCGTTTGCAGTAATCCCGCTGGAATGAACAGTAAATCCATTACTAGTTTACTTTCTGGTGATGTGTATTTCTTTTCTGTTAACCCATTTTTCGCAGCATTTTCTAACCATTCCTCAACTCCCTTTTATATTTAACAGGCTTACTTGCCACTGTAACACTATTAAATTATAATTGTACGAGATTACTTACTTGAGCACGATAATACCGAAAAAGCAGGAGACCCGCTATAATGGTCAGGATGCTAAGGCCTCCCAATATATTGCCAGAAAGCGTAATGAAACCATAATCTACGCAAGCAGGATATGCACGCATACAGTTTCTGACGTGTAAATTTCATAACATTTAAATAAATCTAGTCGATCCAGTCTTACCCGATTTAGCCGTCCCGTTCCCTGCCATAAAGCAGTATTGTAAATTAAATGAATTAGCGGAAAGCCCTGTTGCCTGCGTCAAAGACTGCTAGTGCTCACCGTTGTCTCCAAAGAAGTTGAAGTTTCTGACTTGAACGTTGGATGCGTCCTCAAAGAAAGTGGTAGACAAAACCAGCCAGAATGTTCCTGGTGCACTGCTCAAGTTCACGGTAACTCTGGTGTATAACGGAAATTCGTTCGGTCCGCTTCCCCATGCTAAATGCGCTGACGATGTCTTGTTTGAGGCCATCCACAGCTGCACTTCTACTACCGAACCCTGGGAAGATCGGTATTCAAACTGCAGAACGAAAATCCTGCTCAATCGCGTTATTCCTATTGTACAGAAACGTAGAGTACTCCGGAGATATTTGCTTTCTCAGTTCTCAACCACCTACCTCGAAAAAACAGAAGGCCCACTGACTGCACGTTGCTTTTGGGCTAATGAGGTAAGCCGTAGCCGTGGTCAGTAGCCCTGGTAGTCGGGAGCAAAACACTGCGGCTGCTGTCTCGTTCTTGTTGCCGGACGGCACAATGCTCCAAGCTAAACTTTCGTTATCGATGCCGTACCATCCGCAAAAGTCCAGCTCGTGGAACATGCAGTGCAAAGTGCCTGCTGGTGCCGGTGCTGTCAAAGCGACTAAAGCACAAAAGGACCATGCGACTACAGCACAAAAGAACCGAAATTTGCTTAGTAATTTAGAAAATTAATGCGGTCAACTTACAAAACGCTGGTTTGGTTATTGCGCTGGTTAAAATCGATTGTGGAGGAGAGAAAGGTTTCAGATTTTTGCAATCAACGTCGTGCTTCAGCGTTGTGCACTCGTTATCTAGCTGAATGTCATCAAGTGCCGCTATGTATGGCGCTTTGCTGGTTGAAATTTTGAATACAAGCTGTAAAGTTAAAGTACAAGGATAACTTACCAAAAGATAACTTACCAAAGTGGACTGAAATTTAAATACCGTTTTAGTCGTGGCTCTTAAACATTTTCAGTTTGCGTAAAGCTTTTTAAATAGTCTAACTTAACTGACCTTAAAAGGAAACTTGATGCAGAGTTCCAGGTTTACAGTTTGCCATTGCCTTGCCGACGGTCTCGTAGTGGTATTTTCCGTGGAATTCCACAGCAAATAATACGTGGACATACTTTCCGCATGCAAGCTCAAATATCGTAAACCGGCTCCAAACATGTACACCTTGAAGGAAAATCTCGTTTGAACAGGACCAATGTAACTGCTCTCTAATGTGCCGATAGAATGCTGTGATCCAGTGTAAATAAGACGTCTGTTCATTTTCCGTAAATCCTGATCAGGAAACACGAACGGAAACGTGCCATACGGCTGGTCTGTTGCTAGCCAGGCGGTGTGGTTGATATTACGGAACCACACGCACGAATCAGATTTTTCAAAGGTACAAGACACATTTTGGTAGCTGGTATCTTTGCAGGTTTCTGTGGAAAACGAAAATGAAATTTTAATGAACAACAAACACCGAACTACTTGAAAAGCTTTACCATATTTTGGTAGTCTGTCAATTTGAACTTCCGGCTTGTAACCTAAACGTTAATAAAATTTTTATTACTTAACTATCTACATACTGGTGAATGCATGAAACTCGCTCGCCTTCTTCTTGAGGAAACCATATGTGTCTGACGGCAAAATCTGGATTGGAATTGCCTGGACGCGCAGCTGTAGAGTTGGACTCTGGAGGTAGTGATCGAACTCTGATAGTAATCTGCGACAGCGATTCAATCACCATCAGTGTTAGGTGGAAAAATTCTTTGCTCTCTTTCTCTAATCGAAAACAAATAGCATCTCAGAACAAATTGTATACTTACCTTGGTTGGTCCAGTTAGAGAGCCTAGAGAAATGACCTTTTTAAATCCTTGCTGGTTGTTATCCTGTGCATCGTCGTGTGTCGCTTCGTAGAGCGTTAAGCTCTCTTCGGCACTTGTGGCCATTATTCGAATAAATGCTGGTCGCCGACGGACGGAATACCATAAATGCAGCACGTCATTCGGTCTGACGTGGAACTCCGGACTGACCAGATCGAAGCTGACGGCATTAGGATGGGTGTTGCTGATCACTCTATAGCATAGCGCCAGAGCGTTATACTCGTAGGCATGGAAATAAAAACCATACGCAAGTGGTTCTATGGCTGCCAGCGCATTGCCATCACTATCGACTTGCCACCCACAGAATTTACGAGAAATGGATGTAGTTATCATGGAATTGTCGCAGGTTATTGAGATTAGCGGTTTACTGAAAGCGCTGGTGCTACATAGGTCTGGAATCAAGTTAACTGCAATTTCTTCTGGTTGCAGAGTTAGGTTGTCTACCCAAAATCCTGTTATGTCATCCTCATATTTCCTGAAAGTGATTACAGTAAACATTTTCAATATTTTGTGTTCGTAAATTTGACAATGCTCGGGAAATCTACTTTCATTTGCTCGTATCTGTACAATTGCGAAATCTGGGTACTTGTGATGATGAGCAAACTTACGCAAAGTGTGCAGTCAGTTCCAAGGTATAATTGCCAACGAAGCAATACGATGCTCTAACCGTCTGCCACACATTTACGTGATGCAGTTCGTCCAGAACACTGGTGTACCATGCTAAGAGCGGTTTGGACCCATCGTGGGGCCTAACAATGATACTGGCCCATTGGACATGGTAATCCATTCGGTAAGTAAAAAATAGCTGTGTCCTTCCGCTGCCCATAATGGTTCGCGACACCAGCGGTCCAAAACGTGGTTCACTGTCTGCACTGATCATGAGAGCCGCAGCGGCTCCCGCGCCCTGAAACGCAACCACGTCGCCATAGCCTGGATATACAAAGAACTTCTGCTGGGAATCTGAGTTTGTCCAACCGCACAAATTCCTATCGAACGTGCAGCTGACAGACAGTATGTGTGGCTGCTCTGTTATTAGAGGTGGCATCGGAAATTCCGGACAAAGGTCGGAAAGCTTGGCCACGACGCTTTCTTTGCGCAAAGTGATTCGTGGGAGCCGGACGAAGCCTGTGGGAAAGGGATGCTCGATGACTATGCGGACGGCCTGCACTGGTGGCAGTGCGACGCTGGTGCGGGAAATCAAAATGCCATGGAACTGCAGCGAATGGTTGGCGTGGAACAACTTCACCACGACCTTGTTTCCTTCCATCTGACTCGCACCATTCCAATAAGCATCGCTGAGCGTGCTTGATGTTTCCAGGTCCACACAAGGGCTAACTAGACGCGCAACAGGCACAACACCGTTAGCTGTGCCGGTTGCTACAAAATCGGTTATGCCGGGTTTAGAATAGTCCATACTATCGGCAACGCTGGTCTGCTTCCATCTGCATCAAAAGAAAAATGTGTTACATCAGGTTAATTGTATGCGTTTCAGGATTTGGAATTTGGATACAATGCAATTTAAAAAAAAACAGTTTAAAAAAAACAGTTTAAAAAATGCAATCTTATGTCAATGCAATCCATAGTTTCATCGGTTTCTGTTAAAATATAATTTTTTGTAACCGTAGCTCCGTTATACGGATGTTACTGGCAAAAAAAGTTTTAAGGGAAGTGTGTCAGTACTTACATGGTACCAAATTCAGGTACATATGCGCCCTCCCAAAAACTTTTCTGCATTGTTTTATGACATTCCCTAGCCAAATGATTGATTTGTATACATTGGCTTGGATACGGTTTGTGCGCGCAAATTCCGGTTGGTGAGTTTGGAGTAAAATAAGTTCAAGAAGTTTAAACGCACTGAGGTGTTCGAAAAGTCTCCATATCAATGACCCTCTTTAAATGTTGTACAAAAGCAGACATTAGCATAAAGATCGTTTTTGCGCCAAATCAGATTTCCCCCTACTTTTTAAAAAATTTAGAATAACGTTTAAAATTCATGTAGCGGCACACTTCCTTTACAGTGAGTCAGTGACTAATATATAAAAATTGAGAAAAAACACCTGCTTCAGATCCAAAAATTATCAGTTACTTGAAGTTTAAATGCCCACTCCTTAGTCCTCACCTGCCAGCTGTTTATCCAGTACCCTAATCAGTGGAAACCTTTAATTACCTTGCCACCACGCTGTGATCAGCCCAACCACACGTACAGTAGATTGGTCAAAACTGCACGTTATTCGATGGCATTCTTTAGCAGAAGTCAAGTTTTGGCTGTAATCCGTGCGCAACAAAAAATCATCAAACTTCACTGCGGAATCAGCCACTGTTGTGGTAACCAAAAAACGCAACGACGCGCCTGCAGGCATGCACAGTGTGAGTGTCACTGTTGTCCACATCCCAACGAGTCCATCGCCCGACCCGGGTTTGATCTCCCAGACCACCATGCTGTCATACCATTCACTGACGAATAGCCGCAACAGCTGCACTTTGCGATCGCTGACAAAGTATTTGAAACTAAAAACCTTGCTTAGTGAAGTGGGCGAAACCACAGGGAGACTTCCCAGGATCAGCTCCCGATTGTTGTAGATTGGATGAAGCAGGCTTCCGTTATGCTTCCCTGTGAGAGACGTCGAGCTTTCTGATGGATCCAAGCGGAAATCGCTATCAAAGTGGTTCATCCAGCCGCACAAATCGATTTCGAAACCACAAGATATTCTTCGGGTTGCACTCACGTGACTCACCAGTAGGTTAATAGGAAGCCGATCTACTGAGGAAGAAACGAAATCATTACGTTGCATTATGTTTCTGCTGTACATTTCGCGGTTTTTATATTAAGTCTCCGTCAGCAACTCCTTTGGTATGGAAAAGCACGTTTTCATTTTTATACACTTCGAGTCTTTCAGTTAATTTCAGTTAAAGCTGCATTACAAACATTATACATAATTATATTCGCTGCTACGATTTAAAACGGAGTATCTCCTGCCTCACGCAGATTCTTACGGTAACGGATAAAGTAATTAATTTACTGTCATTATCATAAAAAAGCAAAAGCATGAACGTGCTCTAATTTAATATAAACATTACCGTCTTTGGTTGTTACAACATTATCCAAGGCAAACGAGTCAATAATGCGGCCGTGCACGACCCGAAATACAATCCAGCCGCTTTGGCTAATGAGGAGCGGTGCTTGTCCATAATACCACTTCATGCTTTGGTCCGGATAACTGTGATGAATTCTGTCTCTTATCATCCAGTGAATACTGTCATTTCCATAAACAGCGTTGGTATCTCTGAAGCTCAACATTAGCGTCCCGTAACCTTTTGGGACAAAATACCAGAAACTGACAACGATGTTGTATGGAGGACTTCCAACCGGTAAAGATAAATAATCGCTGATAATTTCAGCCCAGACATCTTCATCAGTTTGCCGTACTGTCCTCGGTGTATAAATAAAATGCGTCCCTAAAAAATTTATGTTCAAAACAGCATAAAGCATTGAAAAATAACTGCCCTTGTGTGCATGACACTCTTGGGTTGTAGTGTTGTACTAATTTTTTTTACATACTACAATGGAAGCCTTAAGATGGGCTCCCGTTTACTGTGGGTTGGCTATTCGCCGCGCCACGACGCTTTACAGACCGATGTTGGTGGTCTAATTACGATGTACAGTAACCAGAAAAGATCTTACTGTGTTCTCTGGATAAAAAGGATGTGCGGATGAGAAACGAGAGGTCAGAACGTACGATCGATCGAGAGGATGTCCATGGACTAATTTATTCAAATTTAGGAAGTTATTCCATCACCGACTGACTACCGTCCAATTTAAAAAAAACCCGAACAACTCGCCAGTCGTGGCTCATCGGCTTCGTTCACACAGACCAATCAAATAAAGTTTTAATTATTTAAATTTAACCACAGTCGCTATGATACTAGCTAATACTTACCATCGAAAGATAGCAGACTCTGGTGTCTGTGATCAATCTGATCGTGAGCAGTTGTTGATGTCCAGTTCCTGGATGAACTTGCAGTGCTAGTAGCAGTTTGCCAACCGGGACACAACCCGCTATCAAAATTGCAGGTGAACTGGGCTATGCTCTCCGCCTTAATCGTAATCACTTGCCGCAACGCAATGAAAGCACAAAGATACATACATGTAGTGTATTTTGACAGAACACAGCAACTCATTGTTTGAGTTCTTGTGCTGCGTCGATTGACTCAGAAGAATCGTCTACGGTTTAGGTTTTCATGACTACAAAGGCTGTTATAGTATGCACTGAGCCTTGGAAAAAGGTCTGCCTGTTTTTCGTCATAAAACATTACCGAGTATCCGAAGCAGCTTATTATGCTCTTTTCTGCAACCTATCTCTGGTGCTAATTCTTTCTGGCGCTAAACTAACAAATATTACGGAATCTCTCAGACGGGTTTACCGAGAAGCGCTTTGTCAGCACCGTCAAGACAAGAGATAAACAGGAACAATAGTGTTTGTGTAGATAATTGCCGGTGATTTGAACAACCTGCATTAATCACAGTTACTATCGATAAGAAGTTCCGCATTGGCAGTCCAACTCAAACACTGGGTGACGTTGTTACTGTCTTTTACTAAGCCGCTATCAACTGCGTTTCCATTTTCCCGAATTGTTTTGGTTGGAGCAATTATTTGTTTGCCTTTTCTTTGTTATCATCAAATTTCACATACGCACGAAGTCACAGAACTTGCCGCTTCTACAATACGCAACACCTTTGTTAATAGGGCTGTGCTTTTAGTAGCGAAATAATGATGAAGCAAGCAATCAACGTACTGTGAACACTATCTATAATTGTTACTTGTGTAGTACCCGATGTAATTCAATTAAAAAAAACTTTAGCTCAGAAAAAAAATCTGTAATTAAGACTCGTTAAGTAACTGCACGTTCATCGCCACAAGCAACGTATTCGTCTTTGACTTCCGTTGGCAAGGCATCGGCGAACACGACCACCAATTCTCGGAAGTTCGGTCGTTCTTCCGGCGATATATTCCAACAACTGCCGACTTTCCCTGATCTGTGGAAAAAAAACAATGTTATCGCCAGCGTCGCCCCCGTAATCAAGCGCAGTCAAAATGCAATACAGAGCTTCTGGCAGCAGGCGAGGCGCTGGCAACCTGTGACCAGTTTGAAGATACTGCAGCAGCGCTGCACACGTCAAGTCCTGGGTGTTGACGATATCGTCGTAAGGTTTGGCTCCCAGTGTAAAAATTTCCCATACTAAGACTCCAAAAGACCAGACATCGCTTCGACATTGACAAGGGCCAAATCCTGATGTCAGAATTTCGGGAGCCATCCACCGCGCCGGGAGGGGATTCTGTCTCAAAGAAGCTTCTCAAATAAAACAAAGAAATTTATCCTTAGTCCTTGTTGTACGTAATAATTATTGCAAGTACGGCTGTACGAGCATGAGGACGTATGAAGATTACAACCGCAAATGTCTATTATGTGCCGAAAAACTGACAATAATTCAACTGAGAAATGCTGGCTGTTTTTGTTTTTCGTATTCTTGTTTTCATCGTATCGTAATTTGCATAAATGTTTGTGGCAGGCGCTGTTCGCTTTGAAACGACTTAAACATAAGCGAATACGCTGCGCGGAAAGCATATATATAATAATTTTATATATATATATATAAATATGCGCTGAAAGTTAACGAATACCTACGTACATCTTCGTTCTCGGCGACCATTTCCAAGTCTCCTTCGAACCGAGCACGTCCAAAGTTTGCGATTTTTGCCCTTAATTTGGCATCCAGTAGTATGTTGCGTGCGGCAAGGTCGCCATGCATAATATGCCGATTTGCTAAGAAATCCATTCCACGAGCTACATCGTAAGGGAAGACCAGAAGTCGAGTGGCTTCTCTGGACATGTCTCTGTCATCACAATATTCTTCATGCAAAAAAGCGTTACAGGAAGGAAAATTATCTTCCTTTTTGACAAATTCCAGCAAGCATCCACCGACACAGTTTTCCATGACGATGGTTAAATCTGCAGCCAAAGCAACGCGTCGTTTTCTTTGTTACATGCGTTGCTCTTAAAGTCATTGTTTGTTTCCTAACAACCTTGAGTCGTGACTCCAATCAGCTCCACGATGTTCTTATGCTTCCCGATTTTCATGAACAGTGCCATCTCGGCCAGAAAGCGATCTCTGTCGCGAATCGAGTGATGGGGATGCAAACCCTTAACGGCAACGGCTTGGGATATTTTTTGCTTTTGCGATATCCAGGCTACCTGCACGCAGCCGAAACGACCTTTTCCCAAATCTTGATTCGCTGGAAGACGTGAGGGCTTTTTATTCATAAAACTGTGCTTAACCTGATTTCAGGAACTTTCCTACATACCAAACTTTAACCACCAGTACGGTAGCTCGTATTGCTCCAGTAGTGGTAGCGGTACATGTCCAAGCAATAGCTGTCGGTTTAAATCCGAAACCTAAATAAGGCATATATGTACGTAGTTTAGTAAGCATTACAGCTTATAAATACAGGCAGATGCAGCAATATAGTCTCAATAAACTGTACTACGGTTGTGTGCCTTACCTTTGTATTTTTCCGCGTTAGGAAAAAACAGCCCGTGTACAGAACGGCAACGAAAAGGACAGACAAAAATACTGTAAGCACCATTTTGTCGTTAGCGTATAGGCAGAATCAGACTGATCAAGAAAAAAAAATCGGTCAATTCGTCTTACTCTTCCAACCTTTCCCTTGATCTACAAATTCGAACCAAGCTTAGAGAAACCTACGCTTACCTCTAGGCTCTAAGTAGTAAACAAAAAAATTTACCGGTGATAAGGTTCAGCCGAATGTCGTCTAGCAAAACAAAGCCCCGTGTATCAACCACAGTGGCAACAAAAACGAATTGAGAAGATTCCGCAGTGTCCACTTCCGGCAATACCAGCCGGACAACGCTTGATGTTCGATTAGTAGAACATATCGAATTCGAACTCCACAATATGCTTTCTGGTTTGAGACTGCCGCTGTGGGCTATATAGAGCTCCACATGAACGGTCTGATGATTGCTGATGGAGATGTTGAACTATAAGGTGAAATTTCAAGCTTGAACAAGCAAGGAAAACCAAACGTGAGCGAATACTGAGACACGCCGACAATCAATCACGTACCTGAAATTCAAGCTGATCACAGACCTTGTTCGGGATCACGTGTGCCGGCATTTGCGAGCCAACAAGGTATGCAAAAGAAGGCAACATTATTGCCGAACTATCCCACTCTAGCTTTGCGACAAAGTTGTTCGAAGCATCGGGGTCTTCTGCAGAGTGCCATTGGAGTTGCGTATCATCGTTATTGTGCCATCCACACATGTGGTCGTTGTCAAATGCGCAGCTTAGCTCTCCGTTTAACTGCTGCTCTGATTAGCGAAATGAAAAAAGCTGGTTTTTTGAGCCGATAAATTCTTTTATGCGTTATACTAACTAATTTCAGTTTCCACAGGTATTCTGCCCACTGGCAATGTCAAAATATCCAGCTGCCTGCAATTTGCATTGTATTCCAGAGGTTGACATTCATCTTGCAACACGATGTCATCCAGCATTATCGCAGTGTCTCCGTAAGCAACTGCCACTTGGAAAACAAGCTACTAAACAGTACGATCACGGCAACAGGAGTAAGCTGTGTTGGAAAGCAGTTCGTACCTGGAACGGAAACTTCACACACACATCGATTAGAACAGTGTTCCACTGACCAAGTCCCTCCTGTGTATGCGTCGTCAACGGAACATGCCACAACCTGAAATAATTTTCCTTTGTCCGAATTAGCAGACCCAGCAGGGCGTGACCACGTCCATCAACGCGGTATGCGAATTGTAGCTGGCTTTTTATAGGCAAATGATAACTAGTGTGCAATTCCTGTATGCTCTTATCCGCTACTGGAAATGTTTTTCTCAGTTGCACAGTTTCCGACGCCCACATCCAACCGCTAATGGAACTGTTGTTGCGGAGAGGTAAACCACTCGTCTGCCAATCACATACTTCGTGCTCAAAATTGCAGGTAACATTTTCGTAGCCGGAACTGTCACATGACGCTGTGAAACGATAGAGTTAAAGATATCACGAAAACGAGTTGCCTGCCATTTTCCAAAATCTTTGCCAAACCCAGGTAAAATCTTCGCAAACTAACATTTTATTCGATAACTATCTGTTGTCTAAACAACCTACCTGCTACCGGCAGCCGGTCGATCTGCTCGTTCATACCGAAACCTAAGAAAAAACTAGTTTCGGTTTATTATAAATAATACATGTTGCACAATAATTTAGCAACGTCTGACCTTTCTCTGCAGTATACCACATACTGCGAATAGCAAAGTATACCGGAGGAAGAGGTGGATCTCTTTTGATGATCGAGAACGTTATCGTTATTCGCACCTTTCAAAAACACGAGAAAAAAGCGTTAAAGCGTTAAACCAAAAGCCAAAGCGTTAAACTAGCTACACATGGAAAATTTATATGGTATACAGTGTACAGACAGTTAGAGCAGAGAAACGTGATCATTTATCAGCAGAGAAACCGCTACAGCTACAGTACATAAGTACCTCAACAATGCGATGGTCTAGATGTGGAGGAAAAGATATGTAATGACCTAGCCATTGAGTGACATCTTCGGTAAAACTGGTTTCATTCACGGTTAACCAAAAGCGGTCCTCATGAGTGGGTGTATCAGTGTTTCTGACTGCAACAACAATCCGAAAAGGCGTTCCAACTGCTACATAGGAAATGTACAGCTGCGAGTCCGTTGACACCAGAAAGGCTTCACTAATTACGGACGCTTTCTTCTTTTTCTCAAGCGTAACTCCACTTGCATCAAATTTGAGCGCTGAAACGACCTGGTAATCTTCACCAGCTCCCACACTCGCCACGCTGCAGCGCAGATCTGAACTACTGGCTGGAGCGCTCTGACACTGCCATCCACAGAACACAACTTCACCATCGCTCCTCACAGGTGCATCACAGCTAATGGACTTTTCCGGCAAAAGATTTGTTACGGAGCAATTCAGTATTGCGGAAGCGTCCTCGGAGGTCATAAAACTCCCGTTCTCGTTGTCGACCGTTAGCTCATCCAGCCAGAAAGACATTTTTGGATATCTGCTCCAGCCATAACCGTTATTAAATATTCGAAAATTTGAGAAATGTAACGTACTCATAATTCACAGCGAAGGCCAACCGAAATCGACCGGGAAGACAGAGAGGAATGCGAACAGGCATCCAGGACTCGCCCTTCTCAAATACCCAGTCGACGTCGCTTCTTCGCTTATGACTCCATAAGAGGACACTACTGCTATTGGTATACTCCGCTTTAAGCGTGATCCGAGTTATATAACCATGTGCGCGATAGTAGAAAAAGAGGACGGTTGGCTGTAGTTGCACCAGCCGCGGCGAGTAAAATGGCCCGACACGCCACGGATAACCATTGAACGGTGGAACCGCACTGGGCCGGAGGACGACGGCACCATTTCCCACTTTCGGCACACGCACGAAAGCCCCCTCGTCGTCGTCATACAGTTCTCGGGCTATTGCCACGTGACCGGCATAAATTTCAGACGGTAGGCGTCAACCACAAAAGTTGCGATCGAAACTGCAGGAAAGCGTCGATTCCTGGGGGTATTCGGTTAACAAAGGTTCTGCAGGGAATTCAGTACAGGCGTCACCGGCGATAATACGCTGGCCTGCATTTTGCATCGATATATTATACAGCTGCAAAAACTTTCCGGGATGGAGAACGATTTGAAGGAGCACGCGGGCACTGCTACCCGGTTGCAAAACGTTATCTCTTACGATCGAACTCCTGCCATTGGCCCATCGTATAATCTTCAGATCTGTGTCGTACTTGGAGTTTGAGGTCGTGTAATTTAAAAAGATTTGCGTGCTTTTTAAGATAGTTATGCAAGGACTTAAAAGGCGAGCCACCGTCATATGCACACATGAAGTACTGTTGGCCAGTAAATGCGGATGAACACCAGTCAAGCCATGGTCGGGAGTAAATGTCGGCACCACTCGCCGGAACCTGCAACATACGCGCAGGAAATATTTCTGCAGTAATAGGTTTGGTTGTAAATTGAAACTAAACAACGTTTTGCTCACGTCGCGGACGCACTGCGCTGGTTTGACCACAAGCACAGATCCTTGTCGAAGCCGCAAGAAAGATCTAAATTCTGGACTGCGTTTTCGGGGGAATTGTCAACAAAAGAGGGGGAATTCTTGATCAAGCGGAGACCTTTGAACTGAGTTACCACTCCATTTAAATGCTGGAAATCTGTTAAAATAATAGCAGAAACGGTTATTTTTAAAACATCCATTAGATTACAGGCATCCTTACAAAACATGAAGTACACTGCAAATACAGTCATTGCTAGGTTGCGATGGTCAAATTGTTGTCTAAGAAACTGATTTAGCCGGCATCATTAAAGTAATAAGCATTTCGAGTAAAGGCAGCCGTCACAGAAAATAATAATACACTGCGGTATTGTTGCTTTGAAGCAGGGTAAAGGACTGTTGTGCAGATATCCAATGTTTATCCAGTGTCGGTTACTAAACAAACAGGCTTATCTCAGACTGTCTCAGACCCTCGGTAAAGCTTAACAAAGTTACCGACTCTTTACTGTTGTGTTGGTGCAATGACATCAAATGGGGTTATAGCCGTCGAAGTCGGCCGCATATTCGCCAAACAAAAATAGAAATGTACCCGGATTTCCGGCCTCGAATGAGCGCATCCTTCAGTTAAACAGTGCAGTTGATAAGCGTACCGAGGAAAAGATTTTCGTGGCAGGTATAACCATTTTCTGAACTATGTCAGCAATTCTGAGCTTATCACTACGTATTGAAAATACGTATCGCGCAAGTTTGCATGATGAGTACAGAAATGCGGTCATGAAATGAAAGTTCCGGCATTTTAATGCGGTGTATGGACGTCTAGATTTTTAGGTTAACTGGATAAACAAATTCACATTATAGTAAGGGCCACAGCACCGCTATGATCTAAGCAGTTCAGAAATTAAAGCTATGGACATATAGCATAGCATTCGTACAGATAATGTTATGTAGTTTGCTGTAAGAAAACGTTTTACTAGAAGAATGTTGGTTATCCGCTTGTTTCGTAGTAAATGGTGCAAGTTTTCAAAAACACTGGCAGGCAGATGCTTCATGCTTTTTGCCTTTGCTGCGTTTGGTCTTTGCAGATCACCGCCACTTGCATCGGGCGCTGAAAATCCCACAATTACTGAATACACCTGCAGTTTCGATAGTGGTCTTTGTGCGGGCTGGAACATTACCTCCAATGTCCCCACTGCTTCATGGACGTCGACAACAACGCATGGTTTACAGGATCACATACACCAGAATCTGTTCTCGTTTGACGGTTAGTTCTTTGAACCCATGGCACGAAAATAATCAAACGCTTAATTGTAATACTGGATCGTCGTGATATTAAGGAACACGGAAAAAAGTTGTTTTTTTTTTTTGTTTTTCATGACAAGTCTGCATTCGCATGCTTGATATATTAAAAATTAAAATCAACGAATATTTCGCCAATTAAGCTTTTTCTGCTGGTAGGAACGCATTTCATGTATACTTCGAACGCTGCCCGGACGTGCAATCGGGAAATCTGGACGGAACTCCACAGCCGGCATTTGCCGCAGAAGCTTCATAACACCATTTTAAAGCTGTTGGTTAGTTTTTGGTACTTTGTACCCAAGGGATACGGAACACTCATGCTGAGCTTTCGGCATATCGATGCCACTAAGCGAGATATTCTGCACTGGATGCTGCGGGGTGAGATTTTTCAGGGTGTGTCGGACAATGACATGCGGTGGTACTCCGCACAAGTGCCAATTGTTCTGGAAGAGAACGGATGGCTCGTATTTCGTTTCGTCTATGGCCGAATCATGGATGCTTTTGCTATAGACAATGTGATAACTTCTGCCTACGGTAAGTAAATGGCTTATTGTAAGGTACTTAGATAAAAGGCAAAACTAGGCGTCTTCCACCGTTGTCCTGTGCTGCTGCCGTCACCCGCCTGGAGTGAAACGTTACGGCAGTACATATAGTTAAATCTGGCGTGGTAGGTAAGCGCCATGTTCAGCCACAAAGTCACACCCCAGTTTGATGACGGCAGCAGTACAGGGGAACGGTGGAAGATGCCTGGTTTTGCCCCCTATGTAGATTTTGAAAAGTCAGTATCGCATAAAACGTATAACAGCCGCTTTCGGGCCAGCCAAGTTTACCTTTGCCTTTGCCTGCTCACTTTGCCTTTCTCAACATTACCTTTATCCTTGCCGCCGCGAAAACTTACCGTCCTAATTAGCCTTCTCAAAGAGCCGTTTGAAATAACCTTTACCGTCGATTATAACCATTGCATGATGGACTCCCGTCAAGCACTTTACCGTATCTGGACTTTATTGACGCTAGTGTGTCATCGCTGTAAGCCGGTAAAAGTTATTTCAAACAGTAAAGGTTATTTCAAACGGCTTTTTCGGAAGGCTGATTAGGACGGTACGGTTTTCGCGGCGGCAAAAGTAAGTTACAATTAACGACGTTAATTGGTTTTAATGTTAGCTGGAGGTTGTGTACTCCCGCTCTTTCTTTTCGCCTTCTGTAGTCTGTTACCTGAATCGGTGGTGGCGCTGCGCCGCTACGGCCGCGTAGATCTAAGCGGCCGCCGCCTTACACGCGCCGACGACGGCCGTTTGCACTCGGCACTGTTCCTGTGCCCGCACTTGGTTCTGCTTTTGGTTCGGCATTTGCATTTGCTCTGTCACTGCATTTCTGTTCGTGTGCGCGCGCGTGATTTTGTTCTTTACCACCCACCATACCCTGCTGTTCTTTGTTGTTATTTCGCGTTGCTCAATAAAGGGGCCTTCGGTTGCGCAGGGCATTGGTCGCTCTCTTCCGCCGACCCCCGGTCGGCCGGCTTCTCGCTGACCCACGGTCACCGCACACAGCCGCTCACGAGGGTACCAGTCGCCCAGCAGCCGGGGTTCCAGCGCCCACAGTGGTCACCGGAAGCGGTAACATTAAAGGTATTGTTAAAAAAGGCGCAGAGAAAAAAGGCAACGAAAAAGCAAAGGTGAACTTGGCCCGTACTTACCGAAAGTCTGAATGTCTTGGCCCGTACTTACCGAAAGTCTGAATGTTTTTTTCTGTAGTTTATTTGTCGTTTTTGCATTAGTTTTAATAAGCGGTTGCTGTGCCGCATACGATCTGACATTCTGCTTCTACAGAGTCACTTCCGAGTCCGAACTATTTTAGCAGTGAACCCAAGTCAATATCTTGCGGCTTCGATACCCATTTGTGCGGATGGACAAAATATTTTGACTCCGGTTTTAAACTGGAGACATCCGAGCAATCCACTTATCTAGTGGGCCGGCATAATGCGAACCTAATCCATCCATTATTCAGAAATTACGAAATGGTAATAGGAAGCGTTCCTGTACCCTTTCAAGTGACAACGAACGTCGTGTTCAGTTTCCGGTACTATCTTGGTGGAAATGGCGTTCAGCAACTGCGCCTGTTTGTTAGCGAAGCTTATGATAGCATGGTTGTGTGGGAAAGGAAACTGCCGAACAGCATCGGCGATGCCGATTTAAGGAAATGGATATCGGTTGAGCTCAGGCTCTGCATGTCTGTCGGCTCGTCACTGCGTTTTTTAGTAACAACCAAATTCCGAGGTGCAGAAGTGAGGTTTGATGATTTTGTTTACCGGGAAATGGTGGACGAAAATGCGTTGTCTCGTACTCCCTGTGGCAGTGTGACCTGCAGTTTCGACCAGTCGCTTTGTGGCTGGAGCGATCGCGGCGTTTCGTCAAAGTGAGTACTATGGTCGCAAAAAACGTATTCAAAAACTGCATGTCTTCTAACCGTAATAACACATTTGTCTGCTGCATTTACTAGTGCTGCTGTTAACACGTTGCTGAATGTTTTAGATGGAAGCCGCAAAACGTTGCGGATGCTACGAACTACGCCAAGCCTGGTACAGTTGATCTTGTGGCGAGCGAATCACGCACTGACGTGCTCGTCCCGATTGCTCGCTTGGTCAGTTCTTGCTTCGATCTTGAAGTAGCGACCAACCTTACCGATGCTTATTGGACTGGAGCCACTCAGATGGAGGGCAATAGGTTAATCGTGAAGATTCTTCATGCTAATCGTTCAGAAGAGTTTGTTGGTTTCCTTGCGCGCAACAGGGCCGTCATTCTGCAGCCCCTGCGTGCCGCTCGATTAATCGTCGAGCACGCCTATCCGACGGGCTCGGCTAGACTGCCACGCATAAGCTTGCTTAATGAAAGTGTTTATGCCAAACCATCCAGTCAGTGCGCAGAATATTTGCCACCGCTGATAACCAACCTGCCGCATATTCCCACTGCCAGTTGTACATTTGACAGAAACTTGTGCGGTTGGAATCAACTGAACAGCGATCAGAAGTTTTACATTTATTCGAGTTATGCAGCGGTAACACCGTATCAAGGAACCGGTGCCGTTGCTGCTCTTATGTTGAAAAAGCCGGAAAGCGCTGGCAAATACCTGTTCGGTCTGGTGTCGCCCAAAATTCGGGGCAAGGGAAGGGCGCGATTATTTTTTGCTTACCGAGCTGACCAATATATCGAGTATGCAAGTGTGCTAGCAAAACGTGAGGACGGGTCAACAGCGGCGTTTTTATGGGGCATCCGTAAACAGGACGAGCCGAGCCGTTCGGAAGTTTGGGAATTTGTTCGTGCTACCTACTGCATTAACGGAGAATACACACTGGAGCTAAGTGCACGGTTCCAGTGAGTCTCATAGAGTCGAACTGCTTCTTTCAAATTACCAATAACGTTTGGTTGATGGTACTATTAAGTAAACAGTTATCTGGATAAAACAGTTGTTAAGAAAATGAAATGACTGCAAATTTACGAGAAAAGATTTTACTGGTAATACAGATAACTATGGGTGGGCAAGGTGGATAGGGTAAACCCGGGGAGGAAAGAAGCTGAAATCTACAGTATAAAAATTCAGTACTTTTCGGCATGTTTTCGTCAAAGGCATCAAGTTGTAATTAAGAGCAAAAACGTGTGGCACGACCTACAGCCGCTTGGAATTTTTCAAAACGGATTGCACATTCTCTTGTTAGTTGTTTATGCTCTCCATACTCGTTATCGGTTTAATACGAAATTATGATTTTCGCATAAATCGAATCATGAATATGAGTGTGCCTTATATAACTCATAACAGCAGTCGCGGTGAATGCGGTTGTAGGGCGCAGTCGCGCAGACAGGCTGTCGCTAGCGCGCTTCCTGCCTGGCCTCTATATATACAGAGTACATGCCCGATTCAAACCACATTTATGCTACTTTACTCGACTCAGATGTTTTTGAGAACCTTAAAAACACAAATTGCAGATTCAGAATCAGATTCAAATTTTGCTATGGCTTTCTGTCTGTAAATGTTTGTAGCTCATATGGATCGTCCGAAAATCACTGCCACACGTTTACAACTTGATGGCCGTTTTGGCCATTGTATTTCTTATGTCTTTCGAAAAACGTTAACGAGCTGTGACGGCAAAAAAGCACTGAATTTTTCGCCAACGGGTTTCATCACCAGGTTACCCTATCCACGTTTCTGTGGTTATCGATGATGCACCGCCAGAAACACGTCACAAGTAAATGATTGGAAAGTAATGCGGACACTTCAACCAGGGTACCGCACTGAATATCGGCAATTTTTAGGAGATACGTTGAGAATACAACCGGCTTCTGGTTTGACGAGCTTATTTTTAACGAGGAAAATGGAGTGGATTTTCCGACGCCGAGCCCGTGTGATGACTATTTCACTGTTCCATCGCCTCCTTCTATAAGCTGCGACAGTACACTGCTAACCAAAGCTTTGCCCCCGAATTTTTGTGGGTGGCAGATTAGTCACGAAACGGATGCGACATCTGCAGTAGAATCTTTGAGTTATAAGTTGGTCAACGATAATCTCTACAATGCACTGGCACTGAGTTTTCGCGCAGACAACGCTACTGGTCCCAACAATGTTAGCTTTCAGCTAAGTAGTCCACCATTTGAAGTAAAAGTGGGAGATACTCTGCATCTTTGGTATTCAGTTCGCCGACGACCTTTGTTGTTGGAGATTTTAGCGGCGTCAGCTTCACATGAAACTTTACTGCACAGTGTGCGGTATAGTATCACGGAAGACAATCAACGACGCGGGTACAAAGAAGTTATTGCATTGGATCGTAAAAAGGGGAACATTAAGGTCATTAACGATGTTCGCTTTCATACCAGATACAAACTGAGATAGTCCTTTATATTGTTCGGTAAAACAGTACATGTGGTTTGATTTGGACGCTGGTGTGCAGATTGTCATCCGGCTCACCTCTTTCCCGCCGACACCTGGCTCGGATGCCGAACGTGAAAACAATTTCCATCCCGACTTTGCTATTCGAGACGTCTGATATCCCGGAGAAGCAGGTAGAACTACAGATAAAAAACTCGAGTAATATCGATGGAAAATAATGGTAATTATTATAAGTTTACCGCTGTGTTATTATATCGTATTATCGAAGCCACCTTACTTATTAGGGTCTGGACCAGATGCTCAAACCGATCAGTTGCCTTCTTATGGTAGGTTTATCCTTAACTGTTGTAAGAGTAACAAATTCCGAAAACTAGCGCTTTTCTTGTGCAGACTTATGTAACTCTCGACAGAGTCTCGATCATATTAAGCTGTTTGCAAACTTTCTGCTCGTTGTACATAGAGACATGTTCCAGTGCCACCTATCGCCACATTACGTGCGGTTTCGAGCAGACGGAGTTTTGCAGCTGGCACCAGAGCGGCAACGCTTCTGGTTGGTTAATAACAGAAACTCTTCCGTTCCCTCTTCCTAATAATTACCCACAGGACTCGAACAAAAGATTAGTTTACAATGGAACTAGCCCCTCTGTCAGCATAGTGGAGAGTGACTACATTGGTCCAGTTGAGGCGAAACTGCATTTCAAAGTGTACATTTTTGGGCCAGGTTTACAATTTTTGCGGTTATATGCGGCCAGTATGCAAACCTACTTTCTGCTGTGGAACTCTACCGATTCCAACACAACTCGATCATCGGGACGAATGTGGCAAGACGTCCAGCTTGACCTTTGTATAAAATTTCCGTTTAAGGTCAGTACAAGTGCACTACCTACCAGTATTTGACTAAATACGCTGAATACGAGTAATGACCAATGCAATCTAAAACTGACTGCTGCCTAAAAATGTTCCAGCTTGTATTTGAAGTCGCCGTGAGCAGCAAAGAATACATTGCAGCCATGGATGACATTCGTCTGGAAGATGAGTGTATGACCCTAGAACATGGCGCCGATTGTGCGGATATGCATCAGTTCATACCACTAGAGAATATCCCAGTGAAAAAGGAAACTGGACCATTACTAGGTAGGCCATTTCTGTATACCTGGTATTTGCACAGTAATTTCAAAACGGTGTATGCTGGTACCGTTTTTCTTTCTTTTGGACCAGCTCCAGCTCCATCGGGAAGTGTCAGCTGCCAGTTTGAATTGCCAAACTTTTGCGGTTGGTCCAATTCCCATGCAGACCATACAGTATGGAATAGTTCGGCTTCGCCATCCGGAAAGAATGCTGTAATAGCCCGTTGTGATAGAGTGCAGCATGTACAAATCACATCCTACTTGAGTAGTCCCAGAACAAGCTGTGATCAATCAAAATTGTGTTATTTTGAGGTGCGTTCCTTCCCGGGTTTCAGTAGTCAGTTGACATTTTAAAAGCCGCGAAATTACAAACCATTATTTAAATTCGCAGTAAACATTTGACACAAAGCAGTCATTTTAAAGCCATTTTTATCGCCACTGTCTATAAACATATTATTACTAACAGCCTTGTCTAGACATAAAATTGTAATAAAGGGTGAGGGCGCCGTTACAGACACCTGTGTTTTGTTCGTAGTTCGGTTACAGATCATCCGAAGGGAAAGTAGTGAAGCTGCAGCTTTGGATGGCCTTCAATGAGACGTTCCCAGCACACTTGTTGTGGGACAGCGGAGTCAACATCATTCCAGACTTTGTGTCAGTGGCTGTAAATTTGACCAACAGTCCCGCTATATTCTGGTTAAGTGTGGCGATAACATTCTTCGAAGACGCAACCACCGTCGAATTAACAAGTCTCCAATTTTACAGAAATGATAGTAAGGTTTGACATCTTTACTGCCCTTTTAAATCAGACCGGTAGTAACCTTTACTTTAAAATAGGTCTTGTGGACGATAAACCGGGTAAGCGAACCTTCAGAAACCTTCAGTTAAACACGATGCTTTATTAACACACGCTAACGATTATAATGATGACTTTTTGCACGCAGATTACCTAATTATTACTATTTGTGGAAATTTGGTTGGAATACTCTGCATAATTGCTATACTGGGTGCTATTTTCGTTTATCGACGTTCCCGAGCAAAGGTAACACTGACGTAACGCTCACGGAGTAAAGGTGATTGGCAACTGGAAATTGTTACGTGCCGGTTAAATAAGCTCTTTGATTTTAAATCTGCTGTCTTTTTCAGTTGGAATACTCCAAACGGGTTTCTTTATGTGGGGTACCCTTTCCACTGCTAGAAGAATTTGAGTTACCAACTAATTCAGTAACTTTAGGTAAAGAACTACTCTGTAGTAATACGTACCGGTACTAGTACTTTTTTACTTTAGGTAAAGAACTACCCTAGTACTTTAGGTAATCTGGGCAGAAAAGGTAAACCTAAAAATTTCTACGGTAGCGTGTCTCGTTTTCAGAAAACAAGCAACTACGGCCCAGCCATTTTTGCCACGTTGGATTTGCACGAATAACAAAGCCCCATGACAAGCATTTTGGCAGTGCGACTACTCTGGCTATTGTGAAATTCCTTTCAGACAGATACACTCCAGAGGAAGAGAGATATTTTCTAGCGGAAATGGGAGCTTTCATGTTAATCGGCCGGCACATAAATATCGTCAGCTTGATAGGAGTGATACTGAAAGGTACTGCATTTGTAAGAACTCCACAAGAAACATGCAGTTTCAGTGGAGGTTTTATCAGTTCTAAGCATTCAGAGGGCAACACAACTCGCACTGCTATCAATAATAATTTGTGCCGAATTGGCTCTAGCAAAACGTAACGTAAACTTTCGTAGATCGTCCGATGATTGTAATGGAATACTGCGCTAACGGATCCTTGCTGCAGTATCTGCACAATGACAGCAACTACGTTTATCTGAAAAGGCGGGCTTCGAATCAACTCATCCAGACTGAAGCACATCGCTTATTTGTACAAAGCGAACTACAAAGTCTGCTTTCGATCATACATCAAATGGCATCCGGGATGGAATTCTTGTCCAGTCGCGGTTTTCTTCACAGAGATCTTGCCGCACGAAACGTGCTACTGGACTCCGGTCTAATAGCTAAGATCGGCGATTTCGGTCTGGCCAGAAACGATAGCGAATACATCTTGCAGCGGCAGAATGTACGGAAATCAGCAATTTTTACTAAGAAAGAGTAGAGCGTTCACTAGTCAGTCCGCACCAGAAAAAGTTATTGAAACTAAAAAACTAGCGATTCTTGCTTAAATAAAGCAATCAAAGCTTGTTTTGAACACATTAAGCGATATTTACGAAAGGGGGAGGGCTTTATTTTAGCACTTGATCTATGCAGAACAGCTCCAAGTAATAGGCCGTTGTGCTTTTTTTACGCATTTTGAATTAAAAAAATACGCTTTCTGCTTCTGAAGAACGAAGAGATCAACAAATGCTTGCGGCGACAGCATTTGATTGTTCCGTAGGTCAAGTTGCCACTTGGTTGGATGGCTCCGGAGACGCTGGTGCCAATGGAAGGCCGCTATAGCGAGAAAAGCGATATCTGGTCATTTGGAGTTGTTGTGTGGGAGTGTTTCACGTTTGGCAAGTCCCCATTTGAGCAGGAGTTTCCACGGGGAATTCAGTGGAATATCTTACTGGACTTCATAGCGCGCGGCGAACGGTTGCTGCTTCCTGATATCTGTCCACAGTGGATGTAAATATTCTGTATAAATACCTTAACTAGAAGATTTTTTTTTTACGATTAATGAAAACCGCTGATGAAAAATCCGTTTTACAGGGCAGCTTTGGTTTCGTCCTGTTGGAGCATTCAACCGGAAGATCGTCCAGAATTTCGCGAGATCCTCCTGAAAATTGTCAAAAATTCAAATTGTTTGTGAGATGTACACTGTATATGTGTTGGCTGGAGCAACCAGTAGCTCTGTACGGTCATAATGTTCTGCATCGCTGAGAAAAGTCTGATCAGCAAATTACCGAGCGAAAATTATTAAAGTAACGAGTAAGGTTATAATAAGGGTACAGTAAAGTTCAGTGATCAAATTCCACCCTCCTTTTCGCTCAAAATCCTAAATGAAAATGCTTTTCAATGCAAATGTTCATGCTTTTCGGAGCATTTTTTTTTCATTAAGGCAGAATGGTGTTTTGCTTTTGATGAAAAATCGACGCACCAGTTAACTGCTGCCGGAAGTCAAAAACCTGTACATGCTTAACCAGTTACACATGTTGCCGGCTTTCAGCACAAGCCGACTCAACGCTGTTAATTTAATATACTTTGTCTTATATAAAAAAACTCTTCAGTAAATATAGCCTGAGATTATATTGGACTGGGGGTCTTCCTCTTCAATAAAATACTGATTTTAGCGATCAGCCAATATTGGCGCACCAGATGCTGTTGTACCGCTTAGAGTGGAGAATGACGCGTCAGTTCTTCAGTAATTCTTAGTGGTCAGTTTCATCTACGATGATATTTGTAAGAACAGCCAAATCAGTTAAAAGCCGAGCAAAATTTCAGTGCATTAGTTGTTAAAATGGAATGGGCTTCATATAGCAGAAAAACAAATTTGATAATAACAGCATTCGGTACAAACCAGATCAGAAACCAGTCCAGACCGTGAAAATTAGTAGGCGCCACTAGCTACCTAACAGCGCTAAAGCTAGGTGGTTTTAGTATTAATTTATTGCTTTAGTGCCGCCGCAATTGCAATCTTTCCGCGGGCATTCTCATAATAATGGATGATACGAGGTTCATTAAAAAAACGGTGCATTAAGTCAGAAGCTTGCTGCAGTTTGAGCAACTTAACTCTCAGGTGGCTGACGAAATTAACCGGTTCAATCCGTCAGTTTCGCTCAGTGGGGTATTCATAAATCGTAATTATACTAACGGTAATATATCAGCATCAGAGGCCATTAACTTCCGTTTGCTTTATGTGGTAAACTGATACTGGTTAAATGCCGGAGGCCAAAACTGTGTCCACGGTTTTTATTATCGCCAGTTTACAAGCGGCGGCTTTAAGTCACTGAATTTATTATACAGAAAACTGTAGTCTGTATTACTTGGAGACAGAACGCTCCAAATTTGTACGTATCGAAAAGTCCAGTTTACACTGAACAAAACAACATCTTTACTCTTTAGGTACATATGTAAAAACAATATCGTTACAACAAACAGCATGTCTCCAAATAAAAAAGCTGCGCTCTTGTCCCCGATTCATATCGGCGCAGTATTTTTATGCGCCACAGTCTTTGTTGGAGTAACAGCAAAAAGGATTCGGAATCTACCAAAAAGTATGTGGATATGCTTGCCAACTGGCTTTAAATTTATAACCAAACATAAGAGCTACCCTGCCAAGCTTTTCGTTGACTGGTTGCAGTTTTTGACAACTGTAACTGCAACGTTCGAGCGACGATTGCTTCTGTCGTTCTGTTTTCTGTTTCCGATTAGTATCGACTCTTTTTTTTAGCCGCTCCCTTAAAATGACACATTTAACGGGGAAAACGTGAACTAAAGTTTCACTAGTTTAAGTGGAAACTTTAGTTGTTATTGACAGTTGTTTTTACTACTCATAGATTGGCGAGAATTTATCGATCCGGAGATTTTAGCTGAGAGCGACGAAGAATCAACGCGTTATGACAGCGATTACCTGGAGGGCGACATCCTTGGACTGCAGACTCTAGAGGTAAGCAAAACCTGAGTGAAACACATCCCAGTAACCGCGCCAATGCTGATTTTTACAAAAGAAATAAAGGGCTTCGAAATCGTGATAACGTATTCAATGACCACAGCGCAACTTTATGACCTTTAACAGCTCGTCCAAGGAGCAGCAAACGCCGCTAATGACGCTAGCCTGTTTTGGCCGAACCACACCCTTCCGTATGAGTTTTCAAAGAAGCAAAACGCCCAAATGAGTAAGTAATCGCCATTATTTCCCGAGCATATCGAAAATGAGCGCTAAAGTACTGTCTAGCGGAATAATAGTTGACTGTTTCTTACTCGTCATAGTTTGTACTCGTATCATGATACCTATTAAAGTGGAATCAGTTGACTGCTTATCTTTTATGCGATGCTGTTGACAGCTGCAAAGGAAATGCAGATTATTCTGGACTCAATGCGCATAATAAGCCTTCTTTCCGGCAACTGCATCAAATTTGTCGTGCGGACCACTGAGGAGGACTACATCAGCTTCCAGAAAGGAATACAGTTAGACGAAAACCAAACGAATTACGCACAGTCAACTAAGGGGACTTTTTTAAATTTTAGATGTATGTCCAATATCGGTCGCACTGGTGGAAAGCAGGCAGTAATCTACTCTACGGGTTGCCTGAAGCACCACGGCGATGTCCAGCACGAGCTGATGCATGCGATGGGTTTCTTCCACGAACACTCCCGATCGGATCGTGACGAGCATATCAAAATCATTTGGGGCAATATTGCTAAAGGTAAGATTGCGGCTCAGGAAGCTGAACTATGCTGTTTATTTTCCGGAACACCAACTTCCGCTTAAGGTGACCGTGATCAGTTTGCCAAACACGAGGACGGTAACACGTACGGATTGCCCTATGATTACGAGTCCGTCATGCACTATAAATACAATGCCTTTGCCAAGGACAGCAGTAATCCGACAATTCTTCCCAAAAAACTAAGATCAAAGATTGGACAAAATAAAAACCTGAGTCCTTTGGATATTGCACGGATACATAGAAGATTTCACTGTGCGATTGCTGATCCGATTAATTTTGCAGGTAAATATTCTGCTTCAATGTAAACAGGTTAAGAAAAGGTCATTTGGATTTGCTGTGCACTGATACTCCTGCATTTTCGCTATTTTTTGGTTTTACAGGTGCCAGCAGCCGCGACGAAGAACCCCTAAACTGCCCACGTCCTCAGCCAAGTGACGAAGAGCAAACCGAATGTAGGCAAGCTCTAAGCGGCGCTTATTGCCCGTATGCACAAAGTGCCAAATTCAGCAACTCGGTTATTTCCCTTAGAGTGCATCGTTATCGGAATACGTAATGTAAGACTTTTGTCGGCTGGTAGAATTCAGAAACCTGTCAACCAGAAACCAGAAACCAGAAACTTGGTTCAGAAACCTGTCAACCATCGATTTGCTTCTTCGGCAAATTGTCGCTTAGCCGAAGATATGGTCCACTTTTTATACTAATAATACAAGTAGTTAAAAAAATATCGAAATTTTTAGGTGACGACGGTAATAAACAAGAGTCTACAATAGATTCATTCCCCCAGTTCTCTGGGGAACCAATGAGCCGGGACCAATGTGCGCTACAGTACACGGACCAGTGCGAACCTCCGTTGTATACCATTGACCACTGTACAAAGGCGTACGCGCTTTTTCTGTCCTGTGATAACCGGATAAGTGTAGACGACCTGAAGAAAATCACCACTGCGATGTCCAAACCTCCGTTGCGACCGATTTTTCTTGCCTTGTACGACAGTGAAAAGGTTACGTTGAGCAATCTTCAAGCAGTCCAGCGGCAGACTGTTGCTTTGTCTATCTCATACTGCATCTCTAATCGTCCTACCCAAAAGCTTACCCAACTAAGATTTACTAATTTGCTGCAATTCCAATTGCTCCACTGCTACGGGATGGAGATCAAGAAAAACGATTTCAGCCAGTCGAGCAAGATCAAAATAATCGCTTTTACCAACACAACCATCCTGTCTTTAGAACAAGACACTTTTACCGACCTGCCAGCATTAAAACTGTTGTCTCTTGAGTACGGCCTGAACCAAATGGATACTTTCACGAAATCCCTGCGTGACTACTTAAAAAAGCTTCATTGTAGCTGTGAATTCCAGTGGTTTCGCGATTGGTGGAGTAGTAACCAAGACCTGCTACGAGAGGCCAAAAAGGATGAAATTTTCAACATTCTTGGTCAATTTGGAAGTCCGCCCGTTAGCAAAGCTGAAACCTATTTACCCATTGACTGCGCAGTAGATTCACATTCTATCGGGCCGGCTTCCATTGATCACAAACAGTACAGGTTTTCGATCAACGAACCAGACGGTAAGTGGACAGCAGTCCAATGTCTGTCCCGTTTGGTTGGTTTTTCAAGTAGTACTCTGTAGTTAAAATTCAGAATTTACGCCATCGATTTACAATCATAGCTTTCGTCACATTTGTGAAGTACACTAAGTGTGACCATTGCAGGTTACTAGGTTTGGCTTGGCGACTATGCATGATGTTATTGTTTGAACAGATTGTCCGGCCAAGCTTGAGAATGCTAAAGACACATTTCCTACCTTTTCCATCTCCCCGATGACCGCCGCAGAATGCAGCGCTCAGTTCACCGCCAACTGTCAACCATGGGATCATACTAAATGGGACTGTCCGTTTAATAAGCGCTTCGAGGTGAACTGCAACCGAAAGGTCAGAATCAACGAGGTCACCGGGATGGTCGAAGCCATTGTTAAATCGCCTGTACGTCCTGTTGGCTTGTTTGTATACGACGGTTCTGCGTTCTCGTTAACCAGCATCGCTCCAGTAAGAAAGCAGGTTGTCCGTTACCAGCTTGTGTACTGCACAAGTTCGCGATCTTCCGAAAAACTGCGCGAAGTGCGCTTACCCAACCTGCTAGCGTTCACCCTCATGCACTGTTACGATTTAGTTGCCCAAAAAGCGGACTTCGAGTATTCTCAGAAAATCAGGGTGGCCGTCTTTAGAAATTCCACATTTCTCAGTCTGGAAAGCGATACGTTTTCTCAGCTACTGGGGCTGCGCATTCTGTCCCTGGAGTATGACCTGAATACCGCCCCTACTTTCAGCCCCGAAGCCAGCAATTACCTCCAGCATTTACACTGTTGGTGCGATTTTGCATCGTTTCGCGCTTGGCGGAAGTGCCAGGTTCAGTTGCTTCGCACTGCGGAGGAAGGAGTGGTTTATCATATTCCTGATGGTTACTCGAATTCTCGTTACAATGAAGGCAACATCTACCTGCCAATCGACTGCAACGCTTATCCTTTTCCAGGCAGGATTGACCTCCGCCAGACCGAATTCTCGTTGAATGAACCCGACTGCTTTTCGGATTCGATTCCTACCGGTTTTGGCGGAAGTCTCGATACCGGTTTTGGCGGCAGTCTTGATACTGGTTTTGGTGGCGGTCGTTAGAGTAAATGCTGCTGCTGACTGGGAACACATCAATGAATACGCAGCCTTGAGTAGGGTTTTTCTCTTTCGGCTGTTTACTGATGTCTGATGGCTGAATGGTTTTAATTACGGTATAACGTTTACCAGGCTTTTTGTTATATGGACGGGCTCAAATCGGAAGTACAAGTTGTCAAGTATCGACTACAAAATGATTTGGCTATGATTTCTGCTTAATAAATTAGCTACCTAATAATTATTATCAATGCTGTTCTGCTCGCACAGTTAGTCACTTTTTTTAAACGAACGTTGACACCAGTGCTTCGACACTTGGAAACAAAATGCTTCAACACTTGGAAATGCGATCCGTAATTGGCTTTTTTTATCTCTGTCTTTTCTCGTTTGTTGCTCGTGGTATGTATCCCTCTGCGTGCCTAAGGCACATTTCTGTTAGTTTAGTGGTTCAGAACTAACGAAAATAATTTCAACAGCATTTTTGCGGTGCGCGTAAAATAAAGCAGCGTAATTTTAAGCGCGTAATTTTATAATGATAAAATCGAGTTTTAATCGGCCGAAGCAGGACGCCTAAAACAATATTTACACGCGAATTTACCATTTGAAAACTACCAACATTGACGATAGCTCAGTGACTGTATCGGCATTCGTCGGTTATTTCATCAGTGAGTTCATACAGAAGCGCGCCGCCATGTCGCAGTTGCATTTCTTTACTTTGTTAGTATCTTTGTATGCCTCACTGCTTATTAAAGCCTCCACAAAAATGTTCCGCGATTTACCAGAAAGTAAGTAAACAAAAAACGAATACAAATTCTTATATATTGCATAGAAGTTGAACAAGTCATTTGCACTCTGAAAATAAAAAATACAGGATTGAATTTTTGGTCGGGATTTATAGTCAACACAAAAATTTACTAGTTAGCAGATATTCGCTAACCATAATAATAATGCAACAGTATGTTATTACACTTGAAGACCCCTCCAAGTTATTACACTTGGAGGGAGAGGTTGTTCTGCTGTTTATCTTTAGCCTCATAATCCGCCCGAGGATAAACATATACAAGAATTTTGGATGTTCATCAGTGCTTTCAAATTTGTAATAACAAATCCATATTGTAACGAACGAATACACTTTTTTTATTTTATTGCGGTACTACCTAATAAAGCATTCTAAAATTCTCATTGCACAGATTGGAGAGATTTAATTGATCCGGAGTCGTTGGCTAATAGCGATAACGAATTTACACGTTACGACAGCGATTTACCGGAAGGCGACATTCTCAACCTGCAGACACTCCATGTAAGCGAGCCCAACGGCAACACTGATCAAATGTGTATCGTCCCTCTGGAAAAAGCCTACAGATTCAACACGGTTTCTTCAGCTGGAGACGTTAGGGTTTAATCACTGCCCCATGGTTATTAATTTACTCATAACAGTGCGCTATACACATAAAATGTGATCTTTCCCAGCTTGCCCATGGAGCAGCAAACGCCATCGACGACGCCAGCTTTTTATGGCCTAACAACACAATTCCATACGAATTTCCCACAACGAAAAACGCATTAATGAATGAGTGCAGCACGCCGTAGTAGGAAATTCGGGAAAACACTTAATCAACGTGCCTGTGTAGCGACCCGGGAAACGCAGCTTATTCTGGAGTCAATGCGGGTGATAAGTCTCCTTACCGGCGACTGCATCAAATTCATTGCGCGGACCAAAGAGGAAGATTATATCAGCTTCAAAAAAGGGATACAGTCAGTAATTTCTTCTGTTGTCAGACAGCGTATGTCTTATACATAACTGCAGCCAACTCTTTGCTGTAGATGTATGTCAAATATTGGTCGCACTGGCGGCAAACAAGAAATAGTCTACTCGCCCGCCTGTCTGAAGCAGCACGGAGATGTCCAGCACGAACTGATGCATGCCATGGGTTTTTATCACGAACATTCGCGAGCCGACCGAGACCAATACATCAAAATCATCTGGGACAATATTGCTACCAGTATGTGCTGTAATTGCAGCCCGGGTTGGGTAATTTTGCGTAAATCCTTTTTCAGGAAACGAGATCAGTTTGCCCAGCACGAACAAGGAAACACGTATGGATTACCGTACGATTACGAATCCATCATGCATTACAAATTTAACGCTTTCGCAAAGGATGCCAATTTTCCCACTATTCTTCCGCTTGTGGGAAGGCCAAAGATTGGTCAGAACGAAAACCTGAGTCCTCTGGATGTGGTTCGGATTCATAGACGATTTCGCTGTCCGATAGTCAAAGCGAGTCAGTTGCTGGGTCAGTGCTCGAGGAATTATTGTGCAAATCTGTTTTATTTCACGCGCGAGAAACTGAGGGTACCGACTTCTGTGCGTAGATTGCAGTATCTCACGGTTAGCCAAGAACCCAAGATGCTTATTGAAGCAGAATTTTTTTGTTTAAATAGCACCTTGGTTTTTCCATTGCAGATGCAGAACCAGACCCTCAGAAAGCTATTGGGCAACACTTTGACGTAACGTCACTACCGCCTATGCCTGAATTTTCGTCAGATCCGATGACCCCTGAACAGTGCTCCCTGCAGTTCACTGCTAACTGTGCTCCGCCGGGGTACACAACGGAAACATGCACCGAGGCGCAGTCTCTCGACATCAACTGCATGAAAACGCCAACTGCAGCCGAACTGCAACAAATGAGCACCGCCATGTCCAAGTCACCACTGAGAGCGATCGAGCTAAGTATTGTGGACGGGCATCATGTGGCTTTTGCAAGCTTTGAGCACATCCGCCAGCAGATCGTCATTTTCAACCTACACCGATTACAATCCCAGCGCGCTGCTGCAAAACTGTCGGAATTGCGCTTGTCAAATTTACTACAATTCTGGATGATCAACGGTTACGAGCTGGACGTCGAGAAAGCGTATTTTAGCCAGTCACCGAAACTCAGGATGATTGTGTTTTGGAATGTCACGATTCGGACGCTGGAAGAGAACACCTTTAGTGATCTTCCCGATTTGCGGGTGCTGTCGTTAGAATATGGATTCAGTGAGATGGACACTTTCAGCGAAGCGTATAAGGCGTATTTGCAAAGCCTGCACTGCGGTTGTGAATTTCAGTGGATGCGTCGTTGGTGGAACGGCAATGCACAACTCATGCAGAAAGCCGATCGTGGAGAAGTTTTTCAGATTCCAGACTCATGGAAAAGTATGCCTGTTAGAAAGGACCAGATCTATCTTCCAATTGATTGTACCGGAAATGCATTTCCGTCTGGAGCGAACGCAATTGCTTTCACTGAAAACAAGATTTTATGGCATGCCAGCAAATGCCACTGACTAATTGTAATAGGTACCGATGTTTCGGGTTAGAATCGTGAGGGGGTGAATACATGTATTATGTACAGTAGGGGTTCCCTGTCTTTGTTAATTAATCTACGCTATCAAGTATGTCGTTTAGTCAATCTTTAATTCTTTATGACAATTTTCAATAAGTGTAACAAATTCTTTATGACAATTTTCACGGGCAAGTCTGGTCTGTAAATTTACAAACATTGATTGCTCATGCATTACGACCTGCGAGTTTACAACTCATAACGCGCCTGTATCACAAGATTTCGTTCCCTGCATATTTTATATTAGTTACTTACAGGAAAACAAAAAATTATAATTTAGTATCCGAGTATTAAAGATAATAAAGAAGTAAATCTTGAGAAGCCGCACATCACGCCGGCTAATAAATTTCTACTGTACGATACTTCTACCGGAAGTTCCGCAACTTCACTTCGATCAGACGCTGAATTTGACTACACGTCGTGATGAAGCCAATAATTAAGTATAACTTGCAACATTAACAAATGTTGCTCTTTACCGCGTGCTTCAATTTACACGAAAACCAGTAATAATTTACTTAAAAGTTGAATATGACAATATAAGTTTATAACCACAATATCAATAAGTGTTTTACAAATTCAGCCAGTGACAGTGACTATCGTTGTGGTGCCGTTTTGGCAAACCCCTTGCGGATGGCACTTAGTGATGTCTATAGCTCAAGAAGGCAAACTGCAAAGAAAAGCGTGACGCATTTCTTTCTTGCCTTTATGACTTATTAAATTTTTACAAAATTTAATAATATTTTTTATCATCTCCTGTGTCAGTCATCACTTTCTGGCTTTCTAATTTCTTGTTGCGATTTTGATAATGCAGCTTTTTCGAGTTTAAACATTTCGCCATTGCGAAAATCTGTTTCTTGCAGGAGAAGTTTTTTTCGGACGTCCGAATTATCGTGCATTACGTGAGTGGGCCTCGTATGGTAACACTGGCGTTCGATCGCAAATTCGAATCGCAGCCCTCCCAGCTGGCTAGCTTCCCTTGCTCCTGGCGATTGGTGTTGTTTGGATACTGTCAATTTCAGTTTTCTCTTGCAGTCCCCGGATCGCCCAGCATGATCCCCCACTAACTGCCTCCTCCCCTTCGCACTCCACCCCACCATGATGGGGACGGCCAAACCCGAGCGCCCCCTCAGCCCCGAGATCCCCATGCAGCCGCCCCTCTTCCGCACCCCCAAACCCCCCAACCTCCCCCGCCACCCCCTGCATCTCCGTCTGCGCACCAAACCCCTCCCACCCCCACCGGCCCCCGCGGACGCCAACGTCTCCATCCTGCGCAGCTCCACCCCGGGGCCCCGTTACCAGACGCCCTCTGTCGCCCCCTCGCCCGCGCCCCCGGCGGTCCCCATCCACCCCGCGACGCCGTGGAGTTGTCGCCGTTTGGCGGGGCATACGCGCGGGGTATCGGCCGTGCGCTTCCACCCCAGGGGCGGGTGGTGGCCAGTGCGGGAGCGGATCGGAATCTGATTGTGTGGGAAGTGGAGACGGGGCGGAATGTCAAGCAGGTGATCGGGCACGGGTTGGGGATTAATGATCTCAAGTTCTGTGCGGATGGACGGTACTTCCTGACGGTGGCGGATGATCAGAAGGGGAAGGTGTGGGATGCGGGCAGTGTCAGGCGGGTTGGGACGCTCAAGGGACACACCATGTGTGTCTTCAGTTGCGGCTGGAATGTACAGGTACTGCACAATTTTCCTGGGATTTTTTACAAATTAACAAAGCAGTTTTTTCAGATGAACTGGATTAATTATCTTTAAATACAATATGTTTTTAATTTTGATTCTTACTTATATCAGTCTTTTCTTGTAGAATTTTTTGTGCAGTTTGGATGAATTAAAATTTTAATTTTTCCGCTTTTCTGACGGAAAGAAAGTCCCTGTCATTTTAGTTTTCTTGTATACCCTTTTTTTGCCTCGTTTTCAGACATCTGTTTAATTTTCTTGAGTCTGTGACTCTCCGAAATATTTTCTATTCCGTTAATTTTTATTCAGTATTTTTGCGCAGTGTGCAGGTTTAGCAGTTACTATTTTTGCATCGAGATTCAAGAATTCTTTCTAGAGTTTTGATTTTTTAAAGGTTACTTACTTTTTAAAACTCGTAAAAGATGTTTTTTGCAATAATTATTTAATGTTTTATACAATTTGTCCTTAGTTGTTTCGTAATTAGTTTGGACAAGGTGGAAAATTCCACAAAAAAATCTATAAACTCGTCGCTGCAAGGAACGATCGAAGGAGAAAATTTTGAAAATGTGTATTCACAGCATTCTGGCTTACATTCGAAAACGAAAATGGGTGTCTGATGCGCACAAATTACTGCGTGCATAATTCAGTTCGGAGAAAAATGGAAATTATCATAAAAGATAAATTAAATATATTACATAGAAACAACTTTAAAAATTTAGGAAATTGTGTAAAATGTAGCAGGATGTCTTTCGAATATTTTTTAGGGAAATATGGTTGCTACGGGCGGCGAGGACGGATCTCTGGTAATGTGGGATGTGCGAACGTTCAAAAGTGTCCGGAGTATTGCGACGGCGCATTTCTCGCCGGTGTCGTCGGTGGAATTCCACAGCGACAGCAGTGTGGTGCTGACGGCCAGCACCGATGGACTGTGCCGGATGTGGGACGTCTCCACGGGCAATCTGCTCAAAACGCTGGTGGAACAGAAGAATCCTCCCGTGGGATGCGCGACATTCTCGCCCAACGGCCGCTATATTCTGGCATCGCACATGAATGGTATTGATACAAATAATTTCGCTTCTGCCAATGGGAAATCATTTTGGAAGAACGTTATCCAAATTCTTGGAATCTGCGATTAATTATTTTTCATAATGTGGATAATTTCTTTTTATATAATCCAGCCTGCGAATTACATATAATTAATTACCTGTATATTTAATATATTACTGCAAGTCTGAACTGCATAATTCTACCTGGAAATATTTTGTATAATTTAACTATTAAGTTGATCGGCTGCATCCGTTAATAATTGGTTACTGTGCTAATTGATATTTCTATTTGGGCGATTTAAAGTGTCCAGAATTTATTTATAATATTTTTTAATTCTTTGGATTTGTTTTGTTGATTTTATAGCGGATTTTTCGGATGTTAAAGTGCTTTCCCTGTTTCTTTATTTATTGGCAGCAGGAAACTTCGCTGTAATACTCATTGGCTGATTAATTTTATTTTCATAATTATGAACGCGCTTTTTCTGTACGTCGCAGTTAGTTGATTCTCGTACTGTAATACAGCATTAAATGTACCTTTTTCATGAGTACATACGTGCTCTGAAATATTAATAGGAACCATAAAGATGACTGATTATTTGCGGAACAAAGCCAAGAAGATTTTCCAAGGCCACGTGAACGACACATTCTGCATTTCGTCCAGTTTTCTCACCGTGAAAACGGCTGGTAGTGGTGCTGCCAGCGCGTGGATTGTATCCGGATCGGAAGACCATAAGGTACGTACCACATGCATCTTGTGTGCTCGATTGATTGAGCCGCACGTTGAATAATTTAGATAGGAAATCACTCCGGAACAGTATATAAAAATTTAGGTGACCACTCCGTACACACCCTTTCACACCCTTTCACTCCGTACACAACCTTTTGCACTCCCTTTCATTCCGTGCACAACCTTTTTGCGCTACCTTTCATTCCGTGCACAACCTTTTAATTTATTTAATTTTTCACAGCAGAGTTATTTCTGGAATAAAGAAAACGCACAATCTCGACCGTTTTTTTTTTATTTTGAACAGCAACGTTTTTCAGCAACCAGGACGTCTTCGTCGGAACGGTCCCATGATATTGCAAAAAAGTAGTAATATTTTTTTTGTAGTTTTGCTTTTCTGTAGTAATATAGATTACAAGTATTTAAGTATAATATATATAAATATGTTATATATATAAAAGTTTGGTAGTGCACCGAGTGAATGGTAGTGCGCAAAAAGGTTGTGCACGGAATGAAAGGGAGTGCAAAAGGTTGTGTACGGAGTGAAAGGGTGTGTACGGAGTGGTCACCAAAAATTTAACATTTTTCCACATATGTTGTGTGTATCTGTCAGAAAAGCTACCGGTGTACATTTGCAGTTTCTTTTACAAAATATGATGAATCCCCAAACTTTTAAGATTTGGTACAGTTTTTTCACGCTAAAATTATTTCGTAGCCCTGTGGTTGATTTTTTACAGTTGACGCAAGCTATATGTCACTTTAATTTATATTTAACAGTCGCACTCTTTTGATTCATGCAATATTTTCCGCGTATATGCTTTGTGATATGTTTTTTTGTTGCTATTTGTGGATTTGAATGAACTAAGTGCTTACTAGTTTTATATTTATTTCAGTATATTAGTTTGTGTATTTGTTATAAATTGTACCACTTAAGTCTTCGTTTGAAAACTTGAGGCATACGGCCGCATGTACTGTATTTGCGTTGAAAGTGGTCGAAGTGGATGTATCGTAGTGTGGTGGCACTTACTTATGTGATGCGCAGAGTTGTAATAAAATGGCTTGGGCTAAATGATTTTGATACTGTATAGAGAAATGCGTTGTAATCTTCGATTTTTAGTTCTCGCGTAGATCATCTAACAAATATTTGAAAAATCTGTTTTGCAGGCAGATTTTTTCTGGAAGTTATTCTGCCTGCGTATCTGTAATAGCGCAGAAAAGAAACCGCTCAAAAAATTAGCATAAGAAAAAAGTTGCCTCCGTTAAAATTTGACAGGACGAGAGATTTCTGTTCTGTTCTAGCTAGCATGTTGCGCTAAGGTGTAAATACTATTTTTAACACTCGCATTGCATTCGCTTTCTAAGAGTTTTAATTTCAAACACACATAAATTTTGCGAGACATTTTGCAGATTTACGTCTGGGATGTTAACTCGGCGCGTATCCTGCATCGGCTGGAAGCTCACTCGGATACTGGTACGACTCTTCACAACAAATAATTGTAGAATATCAGTGACCACCGATTCCTGACGTACATTAATAGGAGTATTAGCAATGTAAATGTTAAAAATACGCAAATATTTCCCGTTAATTACACATTATTAATTATTGTATAATGTTGTACACAGAGTGTAACATGTAAATGTGTAAACTGTTCCGGTTAATAATCGGTATTAATGCATAAATATGCACAAACAGAGTACATATTTATGTACACATAAGTGTGTACATTTTTGCCATAATAAATGTTTATTTATCGTATACATTATTGTACCCGGTGTTGCAGTGTTGTCGACGGCGTGTCATCCCTTTTTGCCGTGTATCGCGTCGGGCGGACTGGAAAAGGACCGCAACGTCTGCCTGTGGACACCGGACTCCACGGAACCATCGATCTAGACAAATGCGGCAGCTGAAATGATCTTTACAGGCACTTGACTTACGGTAGCTGCGATAGTGATCTGGCTGGTACAGACGAATCAAACCTTCTGTTGATACTGTGTAATACGTTACTGTTGTTGATTATTTTTTGTTGTTTGTGACTATGAGATGTCTGTGATAAGGTTTTCTATGGACGGCACTGCTATTGGATACTGTATTCAGGAATTTTGTTGTGTCTTTTGTTGCCAAAATTGAAAAAGGGAATTTTTTTGTTGTCAGTTAGCAATTTGCAATGAGTTGTATGTTTTTTTTGGAAGTGTATAAAACCGAAAAGTGTTGTCCTTGTTTGCTGTTATGTGGCACGCACGTGTACAGATACGGTTTGATAAAAATTCTAATCATTATTCTATCACAAATTAAGGGACAAAAAAAGGGATTTTTACATTATAAATGCCGGATTGATTAATCCAGCTCAATAATGCACACGTATTCCGCACTTTATACGCATTTATATGAAGCTTTATGAACCAACAAACGAAAGCAGCAACATGCGATTTATATCTCGCAAAGCGGGTCTTTTGATACCGATCATGTGCTGAGCAGTGCTTTTGCGGCAAAAGTCGTCAGGATACACCGATACATCGTCAAGTTGTAACGAGCCTGTCTGATGTAGCTAAAGATTGTCAAACTGATTTCTTTGCAAATGGTGACATCCACCGGAAACCTTATCTCGTGCAACGTACATACGAAAATTTAACATGTTGTTGTTTAACTTCGTGAAAGATAATTTTGGAATTTTATTCCATAATACCTGTATTTTCCGAATGCAGCAAAGTGTGGACGTAACGTTGCAGGCTCAGTAAAGTTATCATACATATTTTATGTTGGTTAGACTCAGCAATGCGTGTCCCTGTTTATTCCTGCCTGGATGCAGCTGCTTGGGTTACACTGGCTTGGATCTGTGCAGTGGTTGCCTCCCAAATACCTGAAGGTGAAGCCGATTTTAAGTAACGCCAAGGACGTGGAAAACATTTAGTTACAGAGTACTGCAAAGTTAATAATTATCAAAGGAACTACTCTGAAACGTTTATTTCTAAACTCTCCAGTATTTCGCTAACCACATTACTGCAGACTGGAAATCATACATTTCACCGGAAATTCTTGTTACGCACAATGGACGAGATTCCGTAACCTTGTTGTACAATACGAAGTTACTCGAAGGCGATATTGAAGGCATCGACCGGGACGCAGATGTGCTAAACGTTGGTGCCGTATCTTTAGCAATGTTGATTTTTCTATAAAATGCAAGTGCCATCGTTTAAGTCGTCTTTATATTATGATTGGTAATTATCGTCGCTGTATTGCAGCTGTTAAATGTCACCAGAGCTGACTGCACGAAATATGAAACATTCAGACTGCTATCGTTAATTCTGGTTATTTATGGCTAATACATAATTAAGCGCGCATGCTGCATTAAGGTCACCGGTGTACTGGCTAACTTTCTGGATACGTCCTTTTCAAGATGGCCTAACGGACTCATACCGTTCCAAATCAGCGAAACATTTAGTGAGTTTTTTCAGCAAAACGTGCTACAAAGGGGAATATTAAAGTTGTTCAGGTACTTATTTTGGTTTCCTTGGCTTTGTTTTTGTTAGCTGGCGAGCAACAGGTTACTATTAAAAATGCTTTGCAAAAGATGTCGGGAGCAACTAATAACTGTAACCGATTCGTCCAGCGCGTGGACCATCCTAATTATCTCAAATTTATCGGCAGTACAGGGTTAGCAATCGAAAAGTAGAACAGTGTGACGAAGTCAATTGTCATTTGCAATAATTGTCGTCTGCAAGTACCGGACCGGTGAAAAGGCGACACCTGTTGCTTGTGCTATTCGCCTTTCGTATTCTGAACTGACACTCTCTATTATCCAGATGCTCTTCTTATATTGGACGCATTACGGAAGGCGAACAGATTATCCGCCTTGCACCTGCATGCCTGCAACAACTGGGTGATGTGCAGCACGAAGTCATGCACGCTCTGGGCTTCTACCATGAAATGAGCCGGGCCGACCGAGACGATTATGTTCGAATCAATTACGAAACCCTTCAGCATGGTACGTATTAGCTCTCTGCAAAACTGCACAATTTTTTCCTGCAAAATCTGAAAGTTTTGCTCTTGTTCAGTTCAGATAAGGACCGGAAGACCTGTTGCACAGTGTGCAACTGCCCTTTCCGCCGTTATTATAGATCCTAGACAATCACAGCAAACCATACGCCGTACGCGTGCTGTAAAACATTAATTATACTGTAACGATAGAAAATCTTAGTACCGCCAGTTGGGATTGTTTATTGCTTTTCTACATCAGTTATTGGTTCATTCATTGCTTGTCTTCCTCATTAAGATCATGTGAATCAGCATCTCATTGTCTTACCGCTTTACCGCTACAATCTCGATGCTCTTAACTTTTACTTTGGCGCACTAGAATCATTTCTTGGATTTGCTCCTTGCCAGCTAGCTAACCTTGCTTTTTGCCTTCTTGCCCTGTGTACTTGCTAATAAGAATCTTGCCGTGACTGCCGTGTCTTGCGTTTGTTGTTTGTAAACACTTCGAGATGAATCATCTCATCTCCCACACAGTAGTTGTGTAATTGCCACCTTACTTCCGGTCAGCATCGCTGCTGATCGTGCCAGCCTTTTGATTGTCAGTTAGCCTTAACAGCCGCTACATCGTGGTACGGTGGATTAACCATCCCACTAGAACAGCAGTTTAACCGGCTGCTGTTGCATGGCGCTCCTGGACTTCGGACCAGTTTAATTCTATCCGGCGCCGACTCGCTTGCCAAAATCTTACGCCCCACATTACCTAGACGGCTTTCCAAGGAAGTCAAGCGCCTCACCTGCACATCGCGCGCTTCCACCCACCACCAGAAAGTCTTCCTTGCCATTCATAAGGGACCGGAAATACCGGATTTCCTTAAAGATTACCGCATACCGCGATTATCAATGGGTAAGTTACTACCATGTTGCAGTTGGTGAAAACATAATTTCAATTTTGTCGGATTTGATTACTTATATTTCCACCTAAGCCGGCTAAAGTTATCGAAGCCGACGATCTTGTCGTTTTGCAGTCGCTAACTCAATTGTTGTTTTAACTTTCTCACATTACTGATATTAAAATTATACACACATTACATAAGTTTTCAGGATAAATATTATTTCTTTTGTAAATTACATACTTTCTCACGTGGCACACCCAATCTTGTTTTGTGCGTATCACAGTATAAGTACTGTATATGTTAGAGAATGAGCAGCTTACATTAGCCTGGCGCCAGTCAAATGGTTCTTTTCCCACATTACCGAACATAAGGAAGAGAGAAATGTAGATTCCTTTCCCAAACATTAAAAGAATCGCTCCAGTAGATCCATGGCATCCGAGCCAGAATCTTTGACAGACCAGCTGAGCTATCTAACGAAAGCTCAACTGCTCGCAGTCAGCAAGCGTCTTGACCAAAACATTGCCCAGTCTAAGAAGAAAGGCCACTTCGTGAAAACATTAGCCGAATACATGACAACACATAAAATCCCTTTCTCCACAGTAGATCCTTCACCTCTACCACACCTTGTCAGACAGACAGATTCTCCCTCCCGCAGCTCATACGCGACAGCGCGCTCAGATTCACAGTTTCACGCGCAGCGTTCAACCGCGCAACCAGAGCTGGCCGTCGGTCAGCCCAGAGAGGCCACAGAGCCAGAGAAGAACCCGCCGTCAGCGTTCAGATGGGCTGAGCCGGGGTACAGTACAGAGAGAATTCCCCGCTCACAGTCTCCGCTCCCGTATACTCTTCCAGAGAGTATACAGGACAAGTTCCAGTCACACCCAGCCGCAGCGAGGATGAGAGAAATATGCCACGCTCTCGACACGTGCTACACGTCTGAGCAGAGGCAGGCCGGCAGGGCAAATACAGACGAATTATTAAACTTATCGCTGATCGTAGCAGCTGAATGCATTCAGAGTGCAGCGCAGACCAAACCGGCTGCAGAGACAGTCCAATCTCCCAACGTGTGCATTGACCACAGGGCAGACATTAAACACGAACCGGCAACAAACACAGAGAATAGGACGCAGATTAACAGTACACACCGAAATACGAGTACTTATACATTAAATGCGCCTGTACATAATAGTATTCCCGAACCGGCAAAATCACCAGCTGATCTGACAGATTTGTTGCGCACATTAACGATGAATAACAACAGTGCCAGACTACAGGCTAAGGACTTTAAAATTGAAATCTTTAACAACAAGCCCGATTATATTATCACAGATTTTTTCCAGCAGTTTGAGCGTGCCGCTGCAGCACTTAATTGGGACGCAGGTAGAAAATTACAGATGCTACCGAACTACTTAGGCGATATGCCTAGACGTTTGTTTGAGTCGTTATGGCAGAAAAACTCCCATTTACCATACGATGAATGGAAAGCACAGTTTACTAAGCGATTTTTACCTGAAGATTATGAGTTGACTAAGAGAATGGAACTGTCAAAAAAGGTGTATAAGAAAGGTGCCGATATTAATGCGTTTCTTGATGAAATGGAACTGTTATTTCAGCAGATAGATCCGCTAATGCCTGAAACATACAAAGTAGCTGAAATTCAGCGTGCAATAGCTGACTTGCCAGAGTACAAAAGATTTTTGGCAACATCAAAAACACATACAGTTAGTGAGTTCCGCTCGATTTTGACCAGATTAACAATTGCGGATCGTCCGGCCGCAGGTACGGAGACAAACCCCATTGAGGTAAACTATATTACCGAAAATAAATTTCGCCCGTCGCGTGACCGCTCAAATAGCTACCAGCGCACAGATAGATCACGCAGCCGTGATGAGTACCGTCAAAACCGATATTATCAAGATCGATCTCGCAGCCGCAATCGGTATACTGGTGCAGACTACCGCGATAAACCACAGTCTGGCGAATTCCGTAGGCAGGCCAAGCCAGATCGGTACCGGTCGCCGGCGCCGCGCGCGCAAGAACGCAGCGGCCGCTTCAGCTCGACTGATCGCAGTGACCGCTTCCGGTCAAAAGATCGCTCAGACCGCAGCCGTTCACGAGATGATAGTAAACGTAGCTCAGGTCAGGATTACAAACGGATAGATAGAAAGTACATAGACTTCGACAGCTACCGGCTTCAGAATGGGAAATTATTTTGTCCACGTTGTGAGGATTTTACCCATTCTTACAAAGAGTGTGAGGATTCGCATCCTGATGATCGGTATAAAGTCGCACGAGTGTGCCCAGCAGACATTAAAGCACGAGTACAAGAGAATTACGACGATTACATAAAGTACAATCTTGCGAAAAAGGTAACGCGTACTGGCGTACTGACGAGGAAAAGAATGAGACCTTACGGTAAAGGAGGTCCGTATGGTCGCCAATATGATCCTCCGTTTGTACTTAAGGAATCCGAAATTAATACATACAATGTCCAAATGCATAAAGATTCAATAAAGATATTACCTAGTCAGTCAAGCCCTTATGCGAACTTCAGCATGCCACAGACAGTAAGCCCCGTCTACGTCGAACTAAACATTAATAATAAAAAATTACCTGTTCTAATAGACACAGGTGCAGGTTGCAGCATAATATCGGAAGTTTTAGCAGTGCAGCTCAATTTAGATTTTCGGCCTTTTCATAACGATGCTCCTAAATTACGATTTGCTACCATTTCTGAAAAGTTCCAAGCTAAGAACACGTACTTCAGTGAAATTACTATTACATTCGAACATCGTACACTACAACATTATATATTCATAGTTTGTGACTTGCCATACGAGAACATTATTCTCGGTAACGATTTCCTTAAAGAGCACAATCTGTGGATAAACAGTTACACTGGAAAATTATACTTCGGAGTTGACAGTACAAAACAAAAGTCAACAAATTGCTCAGTCGAGAACGTGTACTTTCCGATGTACAGGACATGATGTTCGCTGACACTTTCATACCGCGCACAAACTTTGTACAGCAATATCACTATCATCTAAAGAAAGCACATCGTCATCGTTTGCACGTTGAGCCCATAGCAGAAAAGGATGCCGAAGGTAGTAGCATCAGTTCGGACGTACATACAGTACCTCGTGAAGTAAGTGTTTCGAACATTATTACCGCAACCAATACATCATCACCGTTATTTGCGGGTGAACATAACGACAATACGAGTACAGTACACAGTACAGACTCTCCCACACCGTCACCGGCGCACGTCGCTTCCCCATTGCCACTGGCACTTACTCCTGTCGTGCCACCGGCGCACATCATGCCCCCAGTGCAACCAGACTCTCCTTCAAGCCCGTCGGCTGAGAAGGCGGTTTGCACCACTCAGTTCGCGCAGTCGCATGCAGCTCCGCTGCAATCTACTGCGACGGACTCGCACACCGGCGCACACGAAAGGTCAGATTCAGCGGCACTGCCTCGCGTGCCACCATGGCCGCCACCGCTGGACACGGAAATGTCTTGCTCACCAGAACCAGTAAATGACATCACATGGGATCGAGCCGGCATAAAACTAGCATCTACCACAGTGTTGCCAGCAAAGCACGGCACGATATTGACACTTTCAGCGCCTGACATTTACAACGGAGACGTACTCGTATTGGGAAACAAATTACTATTACATAGTCATCTTGTAGCAGTTCCAAATAGTGTAGTACGCTCAGAGAACGGAAAAATTAACATACTAATAACTAACTTTTCTGATAAAGATATTAAACTCAAACGAGGTGTACTTATTGGTCATATGGAACCCGTAGATGCAGTAGCAGAAGTGCCGATAACAAAACTAGAATCGTCAGATATTGCCGCCATAGATAAAGATGAGCTGATGCAACACATTAAAACAATGAAGTTTCATTCAGGATTATCTACGGAAGAGCGAAATATATTAGTCAGATTATTTGTGAAATATCAAAAAGTGTTTCCTAGTAAGGACAGGCCGCTCGGTGATTGTGGCAACATTATGCACGAGATCGACACAGGAAGAAATCAGCCAGTGAAAAAACTTCCTTACCGCGTGTCCTATGCACAAAGAATACAAATCAATTCGCAAGTACAGGAAATGTTAGATCAAAACGTCATTCGCCCATCCACATCTCCTTGGGCATGCCCAGTGTTACTTGTAAAACGTAAAGGGTCGACGAAGCCGCCCAGATTCTGTTGTGACTTGCGAGGTTTAAATGCTGTGACTAGCAGACCTTTATGGCCCCTTCCAAGAATTGATGACGCAATATCATGTTTTGGAAATTCTAAATATTTTTCAAGTCTTGATTTTAATGCGGGTTTTGGCAAATCAGAATGGCTCCGAAAGACATACCGAAAACATCTTTTGTGACCATGGACGGTCAATTTGAGTTTTAAGAATGCCCTTTGGATTGTGCGGTGGTCCCGCCACATTCCAAAGAGCTATGGACTCCATATTAAGCCATTTAAAATGGCACGGAGTCATCTGTTACATAGATGATGTTTTAGTAGGCGGAGCAACTTTTACCGAACATTGCAAGTTGTTAGAAAAGTATTAGACGCTGTAAGCACAGCAGGTTTCACAATCTCCCTACAAAATGTGAGATCGGTTTCCCACAGATTAAGTTCTTAGGGCATATTATCAGTAGCACCGGCATACAACCGGATCCAGCTAAAATCAGCGCTATTTCCGCATTTCAAACACCAAAAACACCGAAAGAGATTAAATCGTTTATAGGTGCACTGAGTTACTATCGTCAATTCATTGACAATTTCTCTACATTATCCGCACCGCTTCTACATCTTACACGGAAAAATGTTTCTTTCATATGGACACCAAAAGAACAACAAGCTTTTGACCAGTTAAAAGAATGTTTGAGCCGTGCTCCAGTTTTGAAGCCGTTCGACCACAAATTAAATACACAAATCAAAACGGACGCCTCCGGCGTCGGAGTCGGTGCTATATTAGAACAGGAACATCCAGACGGTTGGCACACCGTCGCCTATGCGTCTAAAATGCTAGATAAACATCAAGCAAATTATCCAGTTTCTGAAAAAGAATTATATGCCATTGTTTTTGCCATTAAAAAATTCAAACATTATTTAGCAGGCAAACACTTCGTAGTAATATCAGACCATTCAGCTCTACAGTACTTGCTTAACCTAAAAGAACCTCAAGGAAGGTTAAATAGATGGTCACTACTTCTACAAGAATATGATTTTAAGATACAGTATCGTAAAGGACGTCTCCACCAAGACGCCGACCTGCTTAGCCGCAATCCCCACGAACCAGCAGATGATACCGACGATTGTGACATTCCATTGTACAGTACATGGTCAGAACCGGCGCACGCTCGATTAGTGTCAGAACAATCAGCCGACGATTTTATCTCAAAAATTAAAACATTACTTTCAGATACTACAGAGTACAGTCAAGCTCCGAAGCGTATGCAGAAATTAGCTGACAGCTTCCGCATAGTACACGGTGCGTTGCACAAGCTCAGATACCGCAAGGGACGACCACATTTTTTGATTTGTATCCCTAACAATATGCGTGCAGAGATACTGTATGAGTGCCATGACTCCCCGGTTTCCGCACATGTAGGGTTTTCACGCACATGGAACACAGTGTCATCCCGCTTTTACTGGCCTCGTATGTTGCACTACGTGAAAAATTATTGTGATGCGTGCACATCGTGCCAGCAGCGACACAGCATAAACATTCCACCTAGTGGTTATTTGCAGCAAATTAAGCAGTTCGGACTTTTAGAGTCTTGGTCGTTCGACCACGTAGGTCCGTTCCATGCATCGCCCGAAGGTCACAAGTACATAATAGTTGCAGTGGAAAATGTATCACGTTTCGTAGTCACAAAAACCGTACAGTCAACCGGTAAAGACGAAACTGCCCAATTTTTAGTTAATAACATCATATTACCTTATGGACCACCGCTGCATATTACTTCAGATCGAGGAGTCGCATACACAAGTCATATTATTCAAAAAAATTAACGAAATTATGCAGATTGACCACCAGTACACTACTGCATTTCATCCGCAGTCCAATACATTAGCTGAGCGTTTTATGAGATTCTTAGCAGAAAAACTAACTATGTATATTAATGCCGAACAGAACAATTGGGCACATTATCTACCGTATATTACCTATGCGTACAACAATACTAAACATTCAACTACGCAGCAAACTTGTTTACAAACGTTTGTTGTTTGTAAACACTTCGAGATGAATCATCTCATCTCCCACACAGTAGTTGTGTAATTGCCACCTTACTTCCGGTCAGCATCGCTGCTGATCGTGCCAGCCTTTTGATTGTCAGTTAGCCTTAACAGCCGCTACATCGTGGTACGGTGGATTAACCATCCCACTAGAACAGCAGTTTAACCGGCTGCTGTTGCAATACCAAGTGATGTTTGCTGGCTTTAGCGAGCATTAACATTGCTAGAGCACCGATATTTACTGGCTCTAGCGAATACTAACGATAACCATGCACAGTAATGCTACAGAATGTTTCAGCAAAGGATTGTTGCTTCTTTTGCATTGTATTTATTTCGTAGATGCCAAATATAATTTTGATATTTTCCTGAGGAACACTCGCACGTTCGGCCTTCCTTATGATTACGCATCGATTATGCATTATCCGGCGTTTGCTTTCGCAAAAGATCCGTGGAAACCATGCATTATTCCAACCACAAAGTTTCCACACTGTATCGGACAAAGAGATAATCTGAGCTTTCTGGATTCCATCAAAATCCAAATTGCGTACGGCTGCATAAACGAATCGCAGATCAAAGCAATGAACTGGCTACAATACAGCAGAAATAACACGATGTGCTCCAAAGGTCAGCACTAGCACTGATAACGCACCGAGCTAAACAAGACTGTGCTTACTGCACGTTGTAGTTGCGCTGCGGCCAAACGAAGAAGCAGAAATGGAAAAGAGTTATTACTCAAGGACGTTCAGATGGACGTCCATCAAGGACGTTCAGATGGACCTTTCAGTCTGATAACAATCTCGTCGTGTACCGCGAGTGCGACCGGCAAATTGCATTCTCTACCCATACCAACTTACGATTTTCCAGAGCGATACTAGGCGGTGACGGAAATCTAGTCTTAAAAAATTTCAAAGATGGTTATACGTTGAACCTGCACAACACGGCAATAGTCGTAATTATTATAAATATTATACGATCTTTATTGCATGGTTTCCTTTGTGTTCAACAACAATGATTATACTGCGGTACCACGGACTAGCCTGCCAAAAAGGTGTTGGTAGGAGGGAACGGCATAACGGCATTAACGATATTATTTTGCGAACTTTGTGCAATGCCGGCATTGAATCATATCCTGAGCCTGTGGGATTTTTGCGTGAAAACGGAAAGCGGCCGGATGGGGCTACACGATGGAAGTGGTACCGTGGACAACCGCTAGTCTGGGATGTGACATGCAGAGACACGATGGCGGATTCCTATACTGACGCAACCTCGAAGTGTGCGGGCGCCGCCGCCGAACTGGCATTCACTGTCAAGATGGGGAAGTACAAGTCGCTTACTGATCGTTGTCATTTTGTTCCCATTACATGTGAGACATTTGGCACTTACTGTAATGGTACAATTGTTTTGTTGAAAGAGATCGGTAAGAAACTGTTTATGCGAACAGGCGAGAGTCGTTCCACTTGCTTTTTGTTTCAACGTTTAAGTTTGGAGATTATGCGGGGTAACGCTATGAGCATATTATGCACAGTCCCTTCTCATGTTAATTGGGATAAATTCTTCATTTGATTGTATTCGACTGAGTGGTGTTCGTTGCTGTACATATTGAAAAATAAAGACAATACTGCGGTTATACATTCCAGAAACAAGTAAATATTATAAAAAATATTTTATATTATTAAAAACTTATATTATATATTATTAAAACAAGTAAATTCCATAAATATTATAGACTACACAGCTGGGGCTACAATTAATCCCCTTAACGGCACAGCACAGCGCTGCCATGGCCACCTGCAGACTTTCAAAGTATGTACACATTGTACAGACAACATTTGCCCTACCGGTTGACACAGAGTCTGTTCTGGATTGTCAGAGACAAACGTAAACGACACACTAGTTTGAGCCACGAGCGGAGCCGGCCGGACCGGTGCCGGTATCTCGGTGCTCCTGAAAGCTGTGCCCTCGCTTCCCAAACTCGCCGCAGACATGACTGAATGCGCACGCGGTAGCTGAGCGGGGACATTTGCCTTCCTGGAAGGCATGGCAACAGGCGAATTTAAAGCGGCTCGAGTGTGAGCCGCAGTTTCCACTAAAAAGATGCTTGTTACTGCTGGTGCTTGTTACGAAAAAGATGCTTGTTACGAAAAAGATGCTTGTTACTGCGATTACCGGCATGAAAGTATTTCGCGCCGATACTATTACGCTCATTAAAGTCAGTCAGGGAAAACTTCAAAACTCTTCTTCTTCCGCCTGATGACGGAATTCAATATCAAACGCCAAACAACGTCATCTCTAAAACTACATTTTATTGAGGCCATTCGCTGATCGATGTATTGCATTTTCCTCACAGTCAGCTGTTTTGCCCGTTGTGCTCAGCCAGCGAGCGGAAGTACTGAAGAGATATGGAATTGGAGAGGTTGGATGGCGGTCGATGGATCTACCGCGTTTCTACGGCGGCGTTTACGCTTGGCTGCAGTTAGGTACATGGTACCAAATTCGTGTACCTGCACGAAATCTTTCATTTTCGCGCACTCTCAAGCGCAATTTTTTGGTTTGTTTTAAGACATTCTGTAGCCAGATGATCTGTATACCAGACCTGGGCAGTTATAACTTAACTCTATAACTTAACGCGAGCTATTTGCGAGTTATCGACTTTTAACGTAACTCTGAAGCGTAACTCGCTATCCCAAAAACGTAACTCTAACGTAACTTGCTCAAAATCTGTATGTATTGTCTATGGTAGCGTAACTCGTGGTATAACTCGAAACTCGGTTTTACTTTCATGAGTAGCGTAACTCGTAGCGTAACTCGCACGCTCCCTGTAACTGGTAACTCTAACGGTGGTTGCATTTTCCATAACTGCCCAGGTCTGCTGTATACATTGGCGTGAAACAGTTTGTGCGCGCAACATCCGGTTCGGGAGTTATGGCTGTTGAAAAATTCCAAAAAGTTTAAATGCTTTCAGGTGCACCAAAAGTCGCATTATGGAGGAACATTATGCTAAAAAAGGCGCTGAAGAGACTAAGAAGCCAAACAGAAATGACGGAAAAAGTAAGAGAAACCACAGTGTAGAAAACGATTCCCGTAAGCTCGTCTCATTAAACAGGTATACGGTACTGGTATTGATGTGTGATACCGATAGCGAGCGAAACAGGAATTCGATAGCAAATATCTTATTGATAAGCCCAGATGCCAGCGCTGATCGCCATCCATTGATCTGAGGCCGGATATTTCGATGCTGGTATTCCGGGTCAGATAGTTTGGGGCCGTGAGTTGAGCCCTGGCCATGAAATAATAATCAAAACATTCTCCCCATTCCGAACGAGACCATAATTATAGTGTGGGCCGCATGGCAATGATGCAATCCCAAGCTTCACACTCGGAACAGCTCGTTGATCCCGTAAATAGCCATTGTGCTCCAGCCGGATACATCCTCGCAGCGCAGATCGACCTCGTTCCACGCTTTCGCTTGTCCGTCCGACTCGAACCCGCTGAACCTGCACAACACGGCAATATTCGTAACATAGATATTGTTCGTAAGATAGATACCTAATACACCAGTAAAGACCGTACCAATGGTGCATTCAATTGCACCATTGGTGCATGCATGTGCACTTTTGCTGCATGTACCATTGTTTGTGTACTTACTTAGGTGCTAATAAATCATACAATTTTCTCGTCGCCGACTTGTAGTACTATGGTCAAGTACCAATTGCTTTGTTTATCGACGTACCGTGTAATGCACTGTTGACTGATCGCTGCCGTCGCACCGTCCGTATTGGTGCAATATTAATTATTTATGGCAGTGCTGTAATTGTTACCCTATTGTTTATAATTCCCCATCTCGCCGTGCGCCCTGGTGCAGTTCACTGGTACTTTCTCATCGTGCGGTCGATATTGGGTATTGATTGCACAAGCGTGAAATACCCAAGCCCCTGGGTAACAGCAGTGGACAGTGATCAGGAATGCAGGTACCATTGACAGCGATTGACACGTCATTGACAGCAAAATTTAATGTTGCAAAACTTGCAGTTATTGTGTAGAGGTCGTCGTTCTTAACGCTAAGTACTATACTGGCATTTACACACCAAATTTTGTACGTCACATACTGTGTCGTGCAAATACTATCTAATTAAATATACACTCCCATTAGTAATTTTGCAATATGTTAACCTTTGCAGAGCGCTAACGTAGGCACTGTACTATAGTAGTTACTGTACTGTTAAGTACTTCTATATTAATTTAGTTGTTGTTGTCTATAAGGTACAGCTTGTTAATCGAAGTGCTTTACATATTGCTTTGCTTACTGTGTTGCCTGGAGACAGTACTGCTGGCTTTCTGTTCAGCAATACTTCTAAAGTGCACCCGTTCTTTCAAAGTACTGCTGCGCCAAGTGACCTTTCCGGACAACGCCGAACAAGCCGAAACGGACGATCAAGTGCTGAGGCATTTTAAAAGTATTGCAGCACTTTGAAAGTACAGCAATACTTTTAAAGTATTCCTGTACTTTTAAATTATTGCAATACTTTGAAACTACAGCAATACTTTTAAAGTATTCCTGTACTTTTAAAGTATTGCAATACTTTGAAACTACAGCAATACTTTTAAAGTATTCCTGCACTTTTAAAGTATTGCAGTAGTTTGAAAGTGCAGCAATACTTTTAAAGTATTGCAGCACTTTGGAACTACAGCCATACCTTTAAAGTACAACAGTACTTTCAAAGTATTGCTGTGCCAAAGTGACCTTCCCGAACAACGCCGAACAAGCCGAAACAGACGATCTAGCGCTGGGGCATTTTAAAGTATTGCAGTACTTTGAAAGTACAGCAATACTCTGAAAGTTATCCTGTACTTTTAAAGTATTGCAATACTTTTAAAGTACAACAATACTTTTAAAGTATAGCAGTACTTAAAAACCCCTCAGCGCTTGATCGTCTTTTCGGCTTGTTCGGCGTTGTTCGGGAAGGTCACATTGTTACAGCAGCACTTTAAAGTTACTGTTGCACTTTGACAAGCCGAAACAAACGATAAAGCCTTGAGGCATTTTAAATTATTGCAGTACTTGGAAAGTACAGCAATACTTCTAAAGTACAACTTTCAAAGTATTATACTGCTGTGCCAAGTGACCTTCCCGAACAACGCCGAACAAGCCGAAACAGAAGATCAAGCGCTGAGGCGTTTTTAAGTACTGCAATGCTATAAAAATAATACTTTAAAAGTATTGCTGTAATTTAAAAGTACTGCAATACTTTAAAAGTACAGGAATACTTTTAAACTGACGACTAAGTGCTAGGGCATTTGAACGTATGGCAGTACTTCGAAAGTAATGCAATACTTTGAAAGTATTGTATTACTTTCAGTAAGAAGGTCACCTTCCCGAACATCCCCGAACAGGCCGAAACTGACGATTAAGTGCTGGGGCATTTGAAAGTATGGCAGTACTTCGAAAGTAAAGCAATACTTTTAAAGTACTGCATTACTTTCAGTACCAAGGTGACCTTCCCGAACATCCCCGAACAGGCCGAAACTGACGATTAAGTGCTGGGGCATTTGAAAGTACGGCAGTACTTCGAAAGTAGAGCAATACTTTTAAAGTACTGCATTACTTTCAGTACCAAGGTGACCTTCCCGAACATCCCCGAACAGGCCGAAACTGACGATTAAGTGCTGGGGCATTTGAAATTACGGCAGTACGTCGAAAGTAATGCAATACTTTAAAAGTACTGCATTACTTTCAGCACCAATGTGACCTTCCCGAACATCCCCGAACACGCCGAAACTGACGATTAATTGGTGAGGCATTCGAAAGTACGGCAGTACTTCGAAAGTAGAGCAATACTTTTAAAGTACTGCATTACTTTCAGTACCAAGGTGACCTTCCCGAACATCCCCGAACAGGCCGAAACTGACGATTAAGTGCTGGGGCATTTGAAATTACGGCAGTACGTCGAAAGTAATGCAATACTTTAAAAGTACTGCATTACTTTCAGCACCAATGTGACCTTCCCGAACATCCCCGAACACGCCGAAACTGACGATTAATTGGTGAGGCATTCGAAAGTACGGCAGTACTTCGAAAGTAGAGCAATACTTTTAAAGTACTGCATTACTTTCAGTACCAAGGTGACCTTCCCGAACATCCCCGAACACGCCGAAACTGACGATTAATTGCTGAGGCATTTGGAAGTATGGCAGTACTTCGAAAGTAATGCAATACTTTGAAAGTATTGTATTACTTTCAGTAACAAGGTCACCTTCCCGAACATCCCCGAACAGGCCGAAACTGACGATTAAGTGCTGGGGCATTTGAAAGTATAGCAGTACATTTTTTCATTCACATTTTGACCTGCAAAGTATTGCATTAATTTGTAGATAAAGCAGTACTTTAAAAAGCAGTACTTTGTACTTTAAAGCAGTACTTTATCTTTTGCAGTTTAAATGTATGGTATACGTATACATAACCCGAAAGAGTATGTTTTACGTTGTCAAATAGCTTCGATTATATTGTCTTTAGTCATATGATGAGAATGGATCAGACTTTGAAATGCTTGATGCATGCCATCATACCGTCAAGTAATTCATCTCATGGCCGCTTACCAATGAATTCAGCAAATGCACCACCACCAGAACGATTTGCAGGGCCACACCCAACCCACGCTTTCACCCCGCTGATTAATTACTTGCCGGTATCGAATGGGCAATCCATACAAATCGCTCCAAGTAGTGAGCGCAAAGACCACTACCGACCCGTCGAACCAATTCGTGTCCAGAATATTTCTCCAGTCGCAGTCGCCGATCCCAAAGAGCCTATGGGTATACCGGCACCGGACTTTCAGCTTCCAGTTCCTTCCACACTATGAGATCGCTCCCGCTTCATATTGACAACATAGTTCCCGAGTCGACACCATCCAGTGGCCGATCAAACCACACCACAGTGCTGGTTGCCAATGCAGCAGCAGCCCTTCCTGGTGAAATAGTATGGGTGCCGCAACATAGTGTCCGTACAAGCAGCAATCCTGCTGTTAATCTGGGTGCCCAAACCTAACCCTCCCAGAACCCCAACCCCCTGACGCGGCACCGGCTAGGTAATCGGTGTTAGTGGACTGATCTTAGCATAACAAAGGACTAATTAGTGGAGATTTCTCATTTTTACATTTTTTTAAAAATGCATTGCATTATGGTAAACATGCGACGACGACAGCTTTTCAATTCTTGTCTGCTTTGCAGATCTGCACCGTACTGATACAAAAACGGTTGCGTCATGGTAAAGTACGGTGCATTATAATGCACAGTGTCACTAGAGATACTGAAGATTGCAGTACTAATGAAAACATAGTTTGCACTGTGGTGCAAAGAATTATTAACCGTATTGCATTTAAATAACAAATCTACACAATACAGGTGGTGGGCGTGTGATACAGTAGCAACAGTTGGAAAATAATACAGGCACGTTTTCATCGTGGTGCATTATAGTGCAGCGACGACGACAACTCATTATATCTATATAAGCCGCAGATTGATACTGTACCGGTACACACACGATTGTATCGTGGTGTCTTACTGTGTATTATTGACAGCAAGTACAGTATCTAGTATGCAATGTAATATCCAGCCAGCTGGATAGTATAGTATCTAGCATGCAATACTAGATACAGCTTCACATTGCAATCCCAGCTGGTGCAAGCAACTGACTTGTCGTCGTCGCTATTAGTATTGTCATCTGCACTGTACTGGTACGGTTCTTTACCTTTACCAATTTATTAAAATACTACACTTTTTATAACTTATCCTTCTAGTGATATAAGTCTTATATTTTGGTCAATATGCGCTGATTCGAACTTTACTGGATAGATGACAGCCACCGGAACCGCTGTAGAATATTACCGTACTGTGTCGGCTATGTAAGCGGTATCCACCGTGGCATACCGTATCTGCAAGACTGCTACTCGATCCATGGTAGCCACGAATCACGAACATCTGCTCGTACCCGTATTACGCTCTACGTACGTACATTCTATTAGTACGCGTACATACATTAATTATTATAGATATACAAGCCCGTCCGGAGTTAGAGCACGATAGAGAACAGCGAACAATGTAAATTCATGGGTTACGCCAAACAACATACTACGCCACGACACGCCACACTCTTTAAACACGTAACATGCTTTTGGCTGGCTTGTGGCCTGGTGCACGCCATATATGTTAATGAGTATAATCGTAATTGCCTGGCGGAAGGTGGCTCGAAAACAGTCGGTGCAATAAGGGACAATCTACAGTAACTGCGGAGCGCATTTACGCATTGTGGTAGACGTAGTGTAGTGGCCAGCGTGCTAAGCGCTAACATCGCGCTTAATATGCGCTAGCTGTTCTCTATCGTGCTCTAACTCCGGACGGGCTTGTAGACTGGTTCCTAGAGTAGCTAAACTGGTTCGAGTAAAGCCTACAAACATGACTCACAGACGAAGATAATTGCGGATGGCGTGCCAATCGTCGGGATAGTGCAGGGTGCGGCGCCAGCGCGCGTGGACGGCCATGACCTTTGCCAGCATGTCCGGCGTGACCGGCGGGAAGTGGTCGTTCAGTGCGCACATGAAGCGACTGGTCATGTGCATTTCGTCGTCGTTCCAGGGCAGAAGCAGCTTGGGAATGGTGATTTGCAGCTGGTCTATGAGCAGTTCATGCGACTCCTTCGCGAGGGGCACCATGCAGTCCCGCTCGTGCGCTGGCAGTAGATGAGAGGCCATGCCGTAAGGCTGAGCAAAGTAACCACCTTCTTCAAACACGTGGTACAGGTGTCGACCAAACAGACTGCCAACTGTCCAGCGGTGGAGCAGAATGTAGTCGCAAGTCTCCTTGAAGTCCGCCATAATAGACCCCGCGCCGTGCTTTAAAAGGGAATGGTCATGCTCGAAAGCTACTGCCGGTTGGATGTGAATGTGGTCTTCCAGCACAAGTACGGGCAAACTGATTTTCATGGCAATTAACATATAACGCAAATATACAAAGTAGTGGTGTGGCGGTAGGACGCGCAAGAGGGTGAGACTGATGGTGGCTGGGCTGATGGAGCGGCTGAGGAGAGAGGCCGTTTTGAAGCAGTTGTCGGTGTCGGCCTGCAGGTGCCAGCAGCTTTCGAAGGAGATGCTGACGTGCTCCTTCATCCGGGGATGGCTCAACAGCAACTGCCACAAGACGCACACCCTACAGTAGCACACACACTTTGTCAATACCAACAAAAGCTGCAGCAACCACCTTCCAGACAATAACCGGCTCAAAAGGTCACAATGTAAAGGCGAGCGCTAATGCCATTACATTTCACTACAGAACGCCCGCAAGGTCACATCCTGCCGCTTTGACTTCTCCCGCTCTCCCAAAGACACCGTTGACCAGGCCATTCCACACTAGTCCATGTATGGCTGGACAAAGGCGTGATAAAGGGTGCCTTCCCAACACGGAAACATTGCGGTGCCATTTTCCATATTTAAGGACAACGGAATTATTTTCAAGCCACGCCGACACGCATGCCCTTCCATTGTTTAGATGTTCTGCTGCGGCTGCTCTAGTTTTTCCGTATGCGTACAAGATGGGGCACACCGACAGTTTGCTGACCACCATCCTGCTGACCGAAGACGTTTTGTTGACCGACACCATGTTAACCTGAGGCACTGCCCTACTCAAGGGGCTTCACTGTATTGTATACAGTGAGTCTGTATTGTATGAAATACAATACAGCCCCTAGAGAACCGACGGTTTGTTGAAACGACAAATTGCTTAACGACAAGTCGGTGAACAACCGTCTGCTGAACACCGACAATTTGCTGCCGGCTTTTTGCAGACTTGAAAAACCCAAAAAACCTAAGAATCCTAAGAAACATAAGAATCTTAAGAAACCTAAGAAAAAGCTCTAATAACTTGAGGAAACTCGACGATCAGCGTATCGAACAGAACAGCAAGTTGTCGGTCAACAAAGCTGTTTCGGCAAAAAGTCGTTCGGCCTTTTCGGTGAAAAGCGAAATGTCGCGCAACAACTTATAGGTCAGCGAGCTGTGCCATTCAGCAAGATATCGGTCAGCAAATTGTAGGTCGATGAAATGACGTGCTACCACAAGATGGTGTCATCTACGAACATTTCCATTAAAAAAAATGATGAAGTGGGGAACCTTACAGCTTTTGAATATTTTCGAAATTCGAAAAGGCGACTGTAACATCATGGAGAATTTCGGCGAGTATGCGACTGCATGTCGGATCGGATATGATTCAGACACTGATTCCCCAGTACAGCGAGCGATGAAGGTCATGTTTCCGGCGACGAAGAATACTGTATACATCGGATACCTAAGCAGGCGGTATAGTATCCGGCCATGACGGCGACGTAGTGCCAGCAAAGGCCGCTCTCAATAAAACATGCTGAAGTTTTGCAGGTTATCTAATGGAAGACATGATTATTTAGTCCCACTTCCACGGGTCGGCGGGAAAATGTCAAACGCATTGGCGCCCACCATACTGACTTTTCCACTACGACCTGAATCACTGCTGTAAGTATCGTTAGCTTTCTGTAGTGTGTTTCTCGCAGGTGAAATGACTTGTCGCAGTATCGATAGCGAAGTGTAGTGAAAATATTCGACTCAATTCTAGTGCCGTCAGTTTTTTCTGTAGGTTATTCTTAGGACAGGGATGACATGAGCGTTATGTGGTGGGCGAACAAAGAGTCTCATTCGCTTGCGCCAGGTCGGGTATGGGTTTATGTAGGGAGATGCTTTTCCTCGGAATACTTCTATAACAGTTGTGCAGTAATTTCGGCTGGCCGAAGGGATAATCGTTTTTCAACATCACGGTAAAATAGCCGTGCCATGAGGCATTAACGCACTTGTGGTCTGATGATGACCTTTACAGTGTTCGACGGACACTCACAGAGCTAGTTCGGGTAGCTAGCTGTCTGTCCTAATGTTTAAAACTGCACTTGCGAAAAACCGCTCGTTTCGCCTGATCACTGAAAGCCAGTGGCCCAATGTCACTGTCCTCAGTATGCAAAGAAAAACTATGCGACCGCGTCAATGCTCAGATACAACACTCCGTACCGTTTGGCTCTCATTTGTGAATGCAGGTCCAAATGTGACAATATGTCGCTTAGCAGCCAAGGCGTCAAATCACTCAGCAACACTGCACCAACATCCAACTCGATACCTAAGGAAATGACAGTTTTTGATTACAGCAGCGAATACACTTCAACAAAATAAAGGGGAGTCTAGTTAGTAGTTGCTGGTACATGTTGGGTCTGGTAGTGTAACTGGTAGTAATGCTGCTAGTGGTCAGCGTAATGGGACTCTTTGTAGTACTGTACAAGCCAGATTCATGATTCCTTTCAAATCGGCAATAGCCAGCCAAATAACAGTAACTGCAAGCGCTGGTGCACTACAATAGTTCAAAATTAAACATAAAAAAACATAATTAGTTGCGTAAAAATACAGGTAGGAACCGTAGGGCAATACTGCGCTCAAAACAGTAGACTGAGTAGAGTAGCGGCTCTGTAGCCACTGCACCCTTTGACAGAGCTATAGTACAGGGTATATCATAATTATTATTAGCCTGCGTCATAATTACTCGTATGTTGAGTATGCGCCTGTTGTGCTAACTACTCGTATCTCGAAAAGAGCTTCGTGTGCAAGCCATACTATAGTGAGCTACAACTGCCAGCACGACAAGACATTTGTCGGCAAGCCGTTTCTAGTATTTGTTGGTACGTTAAATCTACGTATAACATAATATTATTCTAATAATTATGTGTACTAAGAATTAATGTACTCGATGTAGTTCTTAATCGTTAGCAGTGATTGGACGGAAGTACTCTGTAGTGAAGGGGCGTTCGAAAAGGCTGAGACAAACACTTCCTGTGCCAGTACTCCGGAACTGTATCGGAAGTTGGGTATTCCTCCCATATTCGACCGATGGCGTCAGGGCGCGCGATGCGGTGTGGCTGTTCAGGTTCTGGAACAAAGATCAGTTTCCGCTTCCGGCCTACTCCTGGACATGATTCAAGTAAAAGATAACACCACGCGCTATAATTTACGGAAGCCGGCCCGGATCGATGTTACGCGGGCAAAGAAAGCCATCTTAGGGTGGACTAAGGAAATGCGGCTGAAGCGTCTTCTTGATAAAATTCTTTAAAATTCTCGAAGTACCTTCTTTCAAATTTCTACTCAGATCTGTTAATCTCTCCTAAATGTTTTCATTAGCAGAAAATTGTTTTTGTTCGACCAGACTTGAAGTCCCTTCGGGGTTGTCTGCTCTTGTGTAGTAGTAGTAGTAGTATTAGTAGTAGTAATAGTAATAATAATAATAATAACTTGACAACTTGCTGCCGTCATCCGGCTGGAGTTTTAGGTAAAGCTGAACCTAGTGCTTGATTGCTTATAAACCGCGCGCGATTATTTTAGCAGATGTACTGCCGTGACGTCGTATTCCAGCCGGGTGATGGCAGCAAGTACACCTCAGTTTTTTATATAGGTCATAATAACTCTATACACTGTATCGTCGAGTCAACTTGACACTTTTTCGTACAGTGAGTCGTATCCGATTAGTACAAGTATGTAAAGAAATGAAAAGACCGGCTAAAAGCTACGTAACATTAACGTCAGCTTGCTAACCGGTTTGGAAATGGAAATCTTCGTTTTCACTGGCGCACAATGTTCGCTGATGGACAGGCGGAAAATGGGCGCGACTGGCCACGTGGGTCTGCAGGATGGTCGACAAGGTGCCGGACATCCGCTGCATCTCTTGCGTGTCCGTTGCGCACCTGAGGATGACGAACATACAGCCCCCATTTTCAGGTTCGACGCGCAGATGGAATCGGCATGTGAAGTCCAGTGGGTGTAGGAGAAAGTGAAGAATGTGCTTAATAATGCGAGATTTATCGGCCGGCTCGCTGAGAACGATGTTCGTTTGGGCAAAGGGGATGAAGTGCTTGGTGTAGCGCAGACCGCTGCGGCGCTCCAGCAAGGATGGACCGGTGGGTGGCCAGTCAAAGGCCACTTGGTTTTCGTGAACCACCTCAACACCAAATCTGTGTGCAGGCACGGTGTACAGGTCGGAAACGTCAGTTGTGATGCAAAACGTATAACAACGCTCGCTACAACCCACAAGTATGTTGAGCAGAAGGACTGGTCGGAAACGAAACGGTCCGTTGTCTTCGTCTCGTAGCGCCGCATATATCCAAACGTTCTCGGAATTCGTGCCCCGCGAAGGGAAACTGTAGGAGGGGAGTGGCCAGACGTCTTGCATGTGCATCCAGCGCGCAGCGACGGATGTGGAATCGAAGTGGATGAAGGCGTGCTCGCCGTCCGTGTCGATATCCTGAATATATCCCAACCACCAGACGTACTCGTCAGTGTCGTCCGTGTCATCATTACATCTACCGGCGCCAGTGCGACTGTGCGTGCGGACGGCGACCGTGTTGCGGAAGCTCATTTGACCGACTTCCGCCAGCAGCGGCTGATATATACACCGCGGCACCGCCTTCATTCCCAGCCTGCAGGCGTCCGGAGGGGGCTGAAGGAAACTAACATCTCTCAATCACAAATGATTCAATAAATCAGGATCTTGCGCCAACAAGAAATCTAAGTTTGACTGCACGATGTATCACTACGCAGCAAATACTCACTTTTTTTACTCCTCGTTTCCTTTTTAGCACTACCTTTTAATCCGAGAGAAGATATACTGTTTGTTTTTATAATGTTTAAAGTTTAACTTTGAAGTATCTGTAGTCGACCGGAGCTTAGCGAAGGTTCTCTATATTCAAGACTTATGCTTTCACTGATTTCTGTCCGTTACGGAAGGTCGTTACGAAGATGTTGCTGGCTGGTATTGTTGCTAGTTAACATAGTTGAATAATTACTAATAAGTAATAATAGGTACTTATGTTAATAATAGTAATTATTAGTACGAGGAGGATTACAGTTGAGTCGGTAGCGCATAGCTGCTGCGAGTAAATTGAACACCATTTCCGTAAGCTACTGACGTAACAGTCAACCGTGGATGGTTGCATTTCCAACAACTGGGCAACAGTCAGCCGTGGGGGGATGCATTGCTTACTTACCAACCGCAGCTGTTGGCTTGTGCAACCATCCACGGTTGGCAACTACGTCAAAAACTTACGGACACAGTGTTCAGCAGCTATGCGCTACCGACTCAACTATAATCCTCCTCGTAATGTTACAGTAAGTGTTAAGAGTGCTACTGGTAGGACGTTTAAAATTAATTACTTATCGCTCGCATGAGCGAAAAGCTGCTACGCTCCGGTCTGCCAACGTGCGTTTTTCCTAGTATACGAGCGCTTTCAAATATTGTTACTGTACTTACTTTGATGGCCATTAAAGGTAAAAAATATTGTGGGTTGTAGCGAGCGTTGTTATACGTTTTGCATCACAACTGACGTTTCCGACCTGTACACCGTGCCTGCACACAGTACTTACTTTGATTGCCTATTAAAGGTAAAAATATTATTATAAAAATTAATAACACTATTGGACCAGAGTCGTACAGACGGTACAGTGTGTCCCTACCGTACAACACTGTAATTTTCTGGCCAAATTTGACCGTTGAGAATGTTGTTTTGTTTAACCGTAACTAGATCTTGATATTGTTATCACGCTATTGAATTAAAGATCCATTAAATTTGAGTCGACAGTGCAGTAACCAAAAACTATACAAGTGTCATTCGCTGAAGAATCTTCCAGTTTTGCATTGAGTAATCACCGCTGATTTATATTAATACCTTATACCGCGCAAATTACACAATCCGCTAGTTGGATAAAGTTATTACTAACGCATGACATTGATGACAATACGAGCCGAAATTCCATCGGATCAGCGCAATATGAACGAAGTTCAACAGCAACAAAATTCATCAAAATTGAACAAAGTCCGCAGCCAAGTCAAGAACTCACCGTGTTCGCGCCACAGTAGTTTGCCCTGTTGTCCATGGTAAAAAGAGATTAAAATTAGCAAAGCCAGATGTTTAGATACAGTGTCATATACTTGTAAAATACTATACTTTATAATTTGTATAATAATTATACAATGAAGTACAGATACTTCCGTTTGAAAACAAAAAGGAAAAATCCTTCGATTCATTCGCCCGTTGCAGAGTAAAAGAGCCGCGGATTCCCTCCTTTCCAGGTGCATAGTTATCGGTATCATCAACGACGCTTGCGCGTTCTGCTGCACATGACAGTAGTGTCACTAGTGTGGTGTGGTTCAAAAACTACAGCCAGCACTGCAGGCAGGCTGCACTAGTGAGGTAAGTACGTGCCAGTGGAGTCCCCATTCGACGCCAGTGGAATAGATTGATTTCACAGTGGCGTAGTGCCCACCCCTGTGACGTAGATGGTTGAGTTGTACCGCGAATTTACATGCGCCGATCAGGTTTTACAGATCTTTATCAGTCACTGTCGGCTTACACGAGTTGGCACCACCCGTTTAAGCTCCATTATTTATACGGGCCACGGGGAGGACGGGCAATCCGACACAGAACCTGAATTGAACAGAACTTATCCTCAACCGCTCAAATTTTGCTGGCAGTTTGATTGGTTTAAGTCGCCCAATCAATACGATGGAGGCAGATTGCCCACTGGTGACGACCACGCACCGCGGAACACGTGCTCGTTTTTGGCATGTTGCGAGCCCGTGCATAAAAATATTTAACAAAAAGTTCGTCTTTCGTAATTATTGAAGTTCGTTTTTCGTCACAATATTTTGTTTACAAAATCAAACATTTGGCAGCAAAATTAATTAAACGGTTTCTGGTAGCCAAACTTGAACCGCAGCTGCGTGCGGTAGCAAGCGTATTGTTAACGACGCGTTAGCTCGCACGCGTGGCTCTTTACTTGAGGCGGTTGTGGGCTACCTGCTAAAAGTGGTATTTAAAACTGCCAAAGTCGGTTTCTTAGAAGGGCGGACAGGAGAACACTGCTGATTTTATAAATGGAATTTAAATATGAATTTCTGCTTTTACCGAAAATACTGAAGAAACAAAAATCTGTCGATGATGGGACTCGAACCCGTGCCAGCTGCGTCTGTAGCCGTCCGTCTTACCAGTGTATGTACCACAGATCTACACCGGCGTGCATTATTATTTCTTTTTAGATTTTAGCGCACTGTGCGATCGACTGCCGATCAGGTTGGTAGAGAAGAGTTCATCAAGACATGCCGGTGGCCGTGCTGATATCTATACTGACTTACCAGCCACCGTGGAAGGTTGCAGCAGCTCCGCGAAGCTCCGCCAGGGCGGGCGCACTTCCGTTCCGTGGAAATGCCGCGGAAAGGCTCGCTCGGCGACCATGTCAACGCGGGAGGCGGCCAGGTCGTGCTGGCGATTGCATGGTTAAAGCGTGGGAAAAAGGGGGCCGATCTGAAGGGGAAAGATGCAGGCGTGTTAACACGCCTGCCCCTGGGGAGTCGGTCCACTGGGGCGTGTTAAATAATCGTAGGTCCGTTAAAGGCAAGATGGGCAGGTGTTGCAGCAGGCCCGGCACCGACCAGGATCGCAGGATAATTCCGTGTGGTTCAAATGCATTTGCTGATGGAAGGAAGACGCCTTCGCCTCCATATCCCAGTAATCCCACACACGCCCATGGTAATCACTGTTAGTGCTGTTCTGTTGAAACCTATATTCACCAGTAATATAGTACAATATTATTATGTTGTGGCAAGAATTAAACAGTTTCGGCTTCGCCGCCGCGTTTCTTAATTGTGGTCTATGCCCTAGGTCTATGGTCGCTTTCCAGATCACTTAAACTGCGAGTACGATACGCTAAGCTGCTTGCCGGGTAGCTACTCTACACCAATAAAAGAAGATGGTAATAAATAAACTAGGTAATCGTAAGCGGACGGTGGGAGGAGATGCACGGCGAGCGGAGCCGGCAGTGTACTCCTTCCACGTCCGCGATCGGATGCGATTATTCGGCAGCCGCGTCGACCGGGCAGTGAATTAAATGGCTAATTAACTGGTATACTGTACATTGTGTACAAGTTGTGCGTTAATTTCACTCGTAATATTTTAGTTCCAGTGGCTTCCGCTTTCGCTGTGAATGGTGAATTATTCCCAACATGCAACACTGGATGCAAAAGGGGAATAGATTACTATAATAATGTTAATTATTGTACTTGTATAATATTTGCAGTACTTGCTACTCGTAAAGACACTTAAGTGGGCCACTATGATAAGTGAATGGGCGACATACACTTAAGTGGGCCAGCTTAGATTATTTTTTTCCCAAGCCGTATGGCTGTCGGCTTTTTGTTTTAGCAGATTCAGAAAAGTTTGCTCTTTTCAGAGTACTTGGAATTTTTAAAATCGGATCGCACGTTTTTGAGTTATTTGCGTTGTAAAAATCCGATGACGAAAGCACTTAAGCCACGCCACGCGAGCCATTGCACTACAGCAATATGATTTTGTAACCGCCACTCATGTGCGGCTGCAGCACTTCTTTATCGCAGGACGCCTCTGCACTATGGAATTCCGAATGGCCGCGAGTTTTGTTGATTTTAAACTTTGATTTCAAATTCTTTGTCTTAAAATCAACGATTACAAATCGATGATTTTCAAACACCATGATCTGAAATCAATGATTTTTACATCAATGATTGCGAATCACTGATTTCCAAGTCATGATTTTTCGACTCCGTGATTTCTAACCATTGATTTAAGTTCAGTGATTTTCATTCAACGATTTTCAGTAGTGTGAACTGACATCAATGATTTTCTATCATTGATTTAGAATCAATGATTATCAATCGTTGATTTTGTACCACTGATTTTGCTTCATCAAAGATTGCGCTTTACTGATTTTCAATCACTTGATTTAAGTTCAGTGTTTAAAAATCAACGATCGACAATCAATGATTTCCAATATGTAACCGCCGCACCGTGCACCGGAAGAGCGACTAAAGGCAACGGTCTTGCGTTCAACACGTTCGACTCACGACAATGATAACTCAGCGGTTTTCACGATAATCTGTCAATATTCACTGGCCAGATTTATTCAGTGTTGCCAGTTTTACAGTACTGTACTTGCGAATATGCGTCCACCTTGTAAAAACTCGGTTCTGTCCGTTCTTCCCGTTCCTTAGGTTTCCTAGGAATTTTTTTATTGCAGTGGCAGTTATTTGATTTTTCATTTGGAAAATGGAAGTCCATGGAGAAGTTCTGGAGAACCCTGACATCCGCCAGCACGCCACTAAAGAGCATTTTCAGCAGTTTCAGATCGATATTATGTTGGCTTATTATAATGCTGGGCTGAAAATTCCTCATTCCGTGGCCCGCACGCATATCGCTGAAAAGATCGGTCAACCTGGAAGCCACAGGGCACGGGCAAAAACGAGTTGGGACTTGGTTCAAAAATCGCCGAGAGAAAAGAGAAGAAACTCACACAACTGGCAGAAAAGAAGGAACAGGCTGGTGTGGGTACCGTTGATGTTATGTCTCTACCACAGGATGTCACTTTGCAGCCTGCAGATGTATAAAACCCGGTGTTTATCGGAAAATGCTAATGTGGACAATAAGATCAATTAATTGCACTTGTGCGATTCTTTATGGTTTAATAACTGGATAGATGCAGATCCTAACGCAGCTGGTTTAAATCCGCAGTAAAGGTCAGGAGACGAGTAAAGAAGAATGAGCAGCAATTTACTGTAGCCGCCCGCACAAGTTGCCCCACAGAGTGAGGTATACGGATATTTGGCCTCACATTGCTCGCTGTTCAGCGCAGTGTGTGCAGGGAGAAGGCAGCGGCCGGATCTGCCACTGGAGCAACTTGTGCGGGCGGCTACAGTACATAAATAGGAAATTTTGCGTGATTGCACAAAGACAGCCACTCACTAAATACAATGTAAGAAAATTAAACTTTATTCCAGCCACAAATTATTCTGTATTGAGGAAGCAGAAAAGTAGTTTAGTCAAGTTTAATTTTTTGTATAAAACTTTCAGAGTACAGTACGTAAAAGTGCAGTTATAGAATTAATGCTTGGACAACACTGATTTTATAACAAATTATGAAGACAGCACGATACATTATACTACGCATTTGGTTTTGGATGATGATGCCAGGCATTCCGAATATTAGGCAATCCCTGCCGCATTGAATTCTCTCATCGAGAGGTTCTGGCCGCGATTCTCAGAAATATTGTGCCTTAAATCTGTAAATGTGTACGTTGTAATCGTAAGGCCTGCGTAATAAAAAAGCGCTTAGATGTAAGTATTGTAACCGCCCAATAACTACACCTCATGCCGCCACATATGGCAACCTACGTTGACCTTTTACTGCTGACCAGGGCTACGCGACAGGTCGTCGCGGGACATTTGGTTGTACGGACATTTCGTCTAAGGACAACCCGTTTTTGTGGCAAATAGTCATATGACTGTTCGTTGTCATAAACCAGTCGATAATTTTTGGCTCCCCAAATGTCGGACGACCAAATATCATCCAACAAAACGGCTGCATAACGAGTTGTCCCAAAACAAATTAGCCGCTGCAACGAAAAACCTGTGGCGATATGTCCCACGACGAAATGTCCCGCGACCACTTGGGCTGTCACGCTGACCAGCACCAGTGTTAATTTACATGTGCATTACTACTGCATTATGCGCTAATTATCGGTTATTTTGCGAAATTGGCGGCAATGCTACCTGCTAGTGACGCGCATGCTCGGAATCAATACTTGAGTATGTGATCTCTCCAGCTGTTTGTTTGCCGGGAATGCGGGGAAGTTTGCGTACAATTTTCTGCACGCGTGAACAATAATCAGTTTCACAGCAGGTTCAATATTACTCAACATTAGTTAAAATTTTATAAACCGGGCAGAATGCATCACACGAAAAAAGTGTATGTTTATGTATCTGCGCTGAGTGCGCTGTACGGAAATTTCAAAATATCATCTGATTTAATAACAAACGGTCTTTTAATTGTCAGAAGCAAAATAAAGCATATACATTAGAGTATTTTTCGGCATTTTGAAAATATTTTCGATTCGGTCGCAACAAACAGAACGAAGTGTGTAAGGATGCTGTACTTTCACATAACTTTACGTCATTAACATATGGATCCGAGACATCTCTCTTGGCACGCAGTTTTCTTTTTTGCGTCGGAAGCCTTATTTTATTTATATAACAGGACTTATTAAATTTTATTATATGTCCTTCCTCGTCAAATCTCTGATCACGTTATGTTATTTGTTGCGCATCCATAGGTTTGTAATCCATACGGGAAAGGGGATTACATGGAGATTAAAGGCGGAAGCAACATCTCTGTCAACAATATGATCACCTTCAAATAGTTATGCGGCGCCAGCGCGGGCGAAGTTAGGCGGACATATATATATGTGTGCGGAGAAAAAAGGGAAAATATTTCCCCTTAAAAGGTCACACGACTATGTACGGTATATAGCAAATTGCTATATACCGTAGCACTTTAATATTGCTATTAGCAATATCAAAAGTGAATGATGTATATTGTTGTAGAAGAGACATTTGGGATTCTGCGGCAGTACACTGGTCCGTTTGCTGTTCAGTGGTGCACACGACAATGTCGTCGTGATAGAAACCGATTCCCTGGATGAAACGGAAGCCGATCAGCCCAACAGCAGAAATAACGTGTGCCGGCTGATATAAAAGATGTGCGCGCGCACTTGACCTTTCGAAACTGTCCTTCAGTGCAGTGCGCAGGAAAAACGGCGAATTTATAATGTGTATGTGGTGTGCAGCTTTGTGCTAGTCAGTCGTGCTGAAATGCGCGACATTTTACCAAAGTTGACATTTTAAATATTTAATAAACCAAATAATATCAGTGTAATACGATAAAGTAAGGGCATATGCTATGCAGTTAACATAAAACAACATCGCTGTGAGTGGTTTGTGCATGGTGTGCACTTTTTATCATGCATTCACATTCCACTTCTTGTATGGTTTTTTCTGGGTGTGTTTGACGATAAATCGAAAATCTACTGTCCGGCATCAAAATCAAAACAAATAGTACGACCGCACACTTCATGCTTACTATACATCTAATTAAGAACGACATAGAAATTCACACCAAGGTTCAATTTATTTGCAAAATAAAGGCGCATTTCGTGTTTTCCACGCACCTTAAGATTCCACAAAATGTCGTTGGTATTACACAATAATTTATGGTACTTTTCCGTTATCCATTAAGATCAAATGTCACAAATTTTGTTATGTACTAACATCAAAGAAAAACACGGCATGCAGACAATAAAAACAACAAAGTATGCATTCACCAATGCACAGTACAGTCAGTGCAGCTAACAAAATCTAATTTTGTGCTAATACGGGTACTAAGGTAGAGAATGGTATAACCAATAAAAAAAAGCCGCACCTAACAAAAATTCACAAAATAACAATAAAACACAGAGCTCATCCGACATTAACCGTAAAAAAGCAAATGACACAAACTGTTCTTCAAGCCCAAGAGAACGAGGTATTTCGCTCTGTTTCCCTCTTTCAAGGCATCACCACCACGTCGTCATTCACCGCCTGTGTCGGGACGATGGAGAGGAAGTGATGCAGCCGGCCGGGGTTGGGCAGGAAGGTGAACATTAACCGCTGGGCACGACCTGCCTTCTTCAGTTCGGCGGTGGTGATGGCTTTGCGGCGTTCTTTCTTCGTATGCGGTGAGAGATGGTAGAAGAAATCCTCCGGTGCATCGGGAAATGGTAGCCGGCCATTGGCGGACCGCACCTTCGGCTTGGCGGGAAAGGCCATCTCACCGCTGTCCAGTTTGACGCGTTTGTAGGGCGGAGAGGAACACGGGATTCTTTCTTTGTCTTTGCCGTTTGTGCGCATGCTAGCAGGTACAGTCAACAGCGCATGTCCTACAAAAAGGCAATTAGTAAGAATTTCGCATCGTTTTTTCGAACCAGTGCTTGTAAAACAAGGCATATGATATTTGTTCAGTCAGATGCTGGTCGACGGAAACGAAATGTTTAGTCAGATATTTAATGTAGTAAGATAAGGCACAAAATGCTGGTAACGGAAGTCTTTTTATTGAGATATATTGAATTTATATTTTCAGAAGACGTAAACCTGTAACGAATATTTTTACAATGGCTGTAGAAAGAAATTAAATTTTAGTAAGTCTTTTTAGCAAAAATGTTTAGAAACCATCCAGGTCAAAGGTGTATCTCAACGAATCAGTTAATTTTAAGGCACTGTTTTCAACACCAAATTCTATAGTCTAGTGTCCAATTTCAAAACAGTTACCTGGCGAATTTCTACTTGTCTCTGAGTAGTCGGTATCAGTTTTTTTGGCTGACGAACGGCGCATTTAATCAAAATCGTTTCAGTTTCACAATTAGTTACTGGAACACTGATAACCAGCACAGCAAAAGGCATTCCATAAATGCACATCATTATTCTGAAGTCAGTCGCTGCCAAGCAAGCAAATCTCAAAAGCTAAAATTAATAAATCGAAGCTTATTATTATATCTTAATGACGTTCTAATTCAAATCGACATAATTGTAGGAGAATGCCGACAAAGCAAAATCACAAAAAGCTAAAAAATCTCAATATTGACATGAACACGACTCATTTCGTTCAGGTATAGCTCATTCCAGCGTCATAGTGATGCCGCTTAATCCGCAATTCCGCAGTTCCGTTTAATCTGCAATTCCAGTTTTCCACAATAAACTGCATACCATGTACCAGTACCTGTGAAAAAACATCACCGTATCAGTACCGCTTGTAAAGCTACATGAATTACGCTGGTAAAGAACTGCAAATGGAGAAAAGTTGTTGCTTACGATTCAGTTAAACTGGAAATGCCCCTGCATTTCATTATCCACTGACGCAATACAGTCCCGCAAACCTTCCAGTAGTTGCTCTTTGCTCATGCATCCGCTCGGAAGAGTCAGCTTGTTAGTACAGGTCGTAGCGGTTGGACGTCGGTTTCCGTCCCGTGCGAATGTGAATGAAACTTCAATCTTTGGCGTTGCAGGTACCATGTACGATCCGGTGATAAATCGTAACAGTTGCTTGCGTTCGTGCTGGCTAAACTCTTCCAAAATTATGTCATCAAGCCATGCCATTGTCTGGATTTCTTCGTCATCCGCAGTATCTTCGTTCAACGTTTTGAACTGCTCCAGCAGATCTTTGCCCTCCATCACAGCGCGGTACAGCTGCGGCTCAAAGCGTTTCCAGTCGGAGCGAAACGCCATCAGTTCCTGTATAAGACTACAGTATTGAAAACTTTTCAAAACCGCAAAAAGTGTCACATTTTACCTTGTACATTTTTCCGGCTACCAGTCCCTCGTAGACATACTTCAAATTCCCGGCACGTTTGTGGACCAGTTCAAATTCCGCAATTAGTCTGCACAGTTGCTCACGTCCGTGTTCCAGAAGGACAGCACACTGCAATACAACTAATCAATCATACCGCTGTTTTAACATGGTTATCTCGTTATCTTACCGGGAATTTCAGATTCAAATCAGCCCACTCCTCAGCGCTTCCTCGTTCTCCAGCACGACAGGTCCCACACCAGACATAATGCCATCGATCATACTGCCGATACCGGGACTGAACGAGAAAATATCATTGACCTCAATGGGAAGATTCAACAAGTAGCGGAACACTGAAGAGTTCAACCAAGTAACGAAGGGCGCTCCATGTAAAACTGAATCTCGCAATAAGTGTCCGAATGCTCGAAGTGCAGAATGTCCCGCTTCGGTGACAATGGCATCCGACGATATTAATACAACTGTTGCACATTGTTCGAACAACGTAATGCCTAAATCCGGGATGCGGTAGTGAAGAAATGCTTGACCAAGCTTCGTCATGACCTCCTTATACGGGCCGTCCAAGTCAGTTGCACTACAGCAAATCATTCACCATAGAGACAAATGCATTTTAACAAACACGGTGTGTACCAGTATAAGCCTTTCTGACAGCAGTTTTAGCGGCTAGCATAATAAATGTCTTGCAGCGCCCTTTTCACTTGCTAAAACATTTGCAAGAATTTCTGAACAGTTTGCTTACTCTTCGATTTGAATACATGGCCTTCCCCCATCAGCCAAATTAGGACCATGCGCATAGTGGAAGTCGATCCAGTTCTGGACGTTATCGTTCCCGGGAATCCATTCAAACACGTAATTCGACTTGAACATGGGTTCTCGTCCGGTGACCTTTACACACAATTGCTTACGCAACTGCTCCACCGATGCTTCCACAGCGTTTTCTTCCTGGTCAGGAAAGTTTCCCACGCGCATTCGCTAGAAAGTTACGACAATATACACCAATTTTGGATCATAGACAATTTATCGAGTTAATCGAAGAAAACAAAAAATATCAAAACTACGAAGAAAAGCGTTTGAATTATTTTTAATTCGCTCACTTTGAACATTCGAATTATTTTAAATTAATTAATTGTAATTAAATTTAAATTTTAAATTAGCTCACTCACTTTAGCAGGCAACTGGTGGTTTGCGATTTCACTGGCGCCACTGTTTTCAAGTGCAACATCTTCCGCATCACTTTCATCTGAAGGAACGTAGATGATAGGCACAGTGGATCGGAGACTTCGATGAATACCACTGACATCTTGGTTTAGCTGGGCCGCAACAGTGCCACGGCGCACTGGTTGAGGCGACGAGGAGGGTGAAACGTCAAATATAGAGTTATTACGAGCAGCCAAATCAGAAGTACGCTGGCTTGACAATCCCGATGTACTGGCGCCGCTTAATCGCGACGTACTGGCGCCGAAGGATCGTAAAATGTTGCGCATCCCACTGTTACCGTTTAATTCATCTAAAAATATAACAAAACTTGTAGCTTTTGACAGCTTCATGTCGAAACCTCCAAGTTGCACACACTCATACTCACCGGTAAAACCACGCAGTCCCAGCTCTTCAACAGTCTTCCCTTCGGACTGGAAAACATATGAACTTAATCAACCGGATACATCTTCATTCCCGAATTCTGTTTACCTCAGCAAATCTCTCGACAAGTTCTCGTGAAATGTTGATGATTCCGCTGTCGGCCGCAATGTACATGCGATTTACAGTTTCGCGATTTGGATTTTCCGAATACCTGCATTTATCGCCAAATTAATTCAAACTAATTTTCTCATCTAATGGCTGTAAATAAATGATACGTTATTCGCTTACATCTGCTGGAACGCCCATGATGGAGACTCTGTCGGCAAATTTGCTGGGAAGATGTGCTTCCCGGAGAGGTAAACGCGATCCGGGTTATTGGGATCCACCACAATACGACTAAGCAGAATCCATTCCCTGCCTTGCAAGAAATTGGCGAACTCTTCGTTGATTTTCATTCGAATGTGCTGTCCACTGAGCTCTTGAAAATTGACGCGTTTAATCAATCCACAAAATCGCATTAATTCCAATTCGGTTTTGCCCTCACTGTATAAAACATGCCGGAAACATTACAGCTTGTGATAACCGTTTAACGCACACGTGTTCTTAAATTGCAAGCCGTATGCGCATAGCTGGTAAACTTACCGCGCTCGTTGTGTTGGAATAGCATTCTTGTCTCGGTAGCGGAACAAATAGACATCCATGGGATATTCGAAAGCGACCTGGGGAACTTCCAAGACATTTCGCTGCGCGGGCGTTGAACTAGCAGGTGAACGGAACATTCCGAGACTTTGGCGTCTTGCTCCACGTCCCCCGCCACGGGCGCCTTGCAACGGAGACTGTCCGAACGATCCGCCTGGTGGATAACCATATGGTGCAGATGGACGCGACCGTGACCCTTGAAGTCCAATACTCTGGCGTCCGCCACTAAATCCAGCATTCTGAGGATTCAGTCCATGCTGTACTCCAGGCTGCTGCATGCGGGCTAGCTGCATTCCCGGCTGCTGAATTCGCGCTACCTGCATACCATTTCCAGTGTTGCCTCGGACTTCTGGAGCGCCAGTTATGCTTTGTCCAAATGATCTACCGTCATGTTGAACTGCTCCACGCGAATGCGGCGTATAGCTGTTGGCGGCTGCGCTGTTATTGATCGTAACAGGGGCTTGCGTGGTATTGACGCCTTCAATCGAACCGCTGGCAGGTGCACTGCGTTGGATGTCCACTTGACGGCCCAGAATGTCCATATAGTTGATCAACCTATGATTCCCCAAATAATGCTTACATGTCTCTTCCTCACATTTGGTGCTTCCTTGGGCTCGGTACGAAAAATCCACTTCTTCTGGAGTAGAGATTATACATCCGCAAGCAGAAGCCATACACTTGTATTTCCACATCGCAGGATCCGCCATGTTTTCGGCTAACTGGAAAAATGTTGCATTGACAATTAAAGGTTCAAATTAACTCATCAGTTAAAAAACTGCAATTAAATTTTTGCCCAAACTTTAGCCGCCTACACTAGCAATCGCAGTAATGATCGCTCCTTCTGCAGGCGTGTTCATTTGGAAGTGTCCAATGAAATCCAGTTCACGCAATGTTAACCAATGGCTACTCGCAAAATTTAGCGGTCTGTTCGTGGGAATGCAGAGAACAGCCCACCGGCGGCAGCTTTGAAACTAACGTGCCGCTAAAATTCATTGTTTCTATTGTATGCCGGTTTCTAGGAGTAATCGCCCACCTGGCCAGATCGGATCGCCCTGCTCCGTGATGCCGGTATTCTGGAAGAGCGGAAAGAACGATTGTAGTGCGTAGCGTAGTGTGCCCGCGGTCCGTGATGAGGCTCGTGGGTCCCGGCACGCCCAGATCGAGTAAGGCATTCCGCACTTTCATTTGCGTGGTGCGGTAGCCGGGTATGCTGTCGGACAGTTCAGCGGTTGGATTGGAGAGTTCACTGCGGAAGAGATTCAGTGTTTGCCGGTAGCAGAAGTCCATATCCGTTATCGAGGCCTGACATAATTATGCACAACATTACCGTTTCATTATGTGCAACATTTATTATGTGCAACGTTCTGAGTCTGACCGGAAAGAAAACATCCCGACCGCACTAGCACGGCAACGCAGACCAAGCCAGAGATCGCCCGCATCATTCCACAATTCCTGCTACAAAAAAATGCGGCACTGTCGCTCAGACACTAAATATTACCTCACACGGTATAAAATGGAAGTGAAGGAACTTAACAACCAGCAACAACCATACTAAACACAACCGTTCTTTTAATAAACGTCTTTAGGAATTACAACCAATTAAGCCACCATAACTGTCAACATCAACTACATGGTATCTCCTCTAGCATTTGTCATTGTGTAAACGACACAGGTGAAAAACACACTAAATCATACAGGAGTACAACACACTGACATTGCGTTAGTTTAAACCTGTACACAGTCTGCTTCGACACATCTAACGATCCACTTCCCCGAAGACGATATCCAGTGCCCCGATGATGGCCACAATGTCGGCCAACATCTGTGCTGCTTGCCGATATGATTGATGGCCGCGAGATGCGTGAAGCCGGGCGCCTTGATTTTACAGCGGCATGGGGCGGCTGGTGCCGTCCGACACCAGGTAGATCCCGAACTCTCCTTTGGGCGCCTCCACGGCGGTGTAGGTGAAGCCGGGCGGGGCTTGGACGCCTTCGGTGTACAACCTTGAAATGATGGATTAAGGCCTCCACCGATTCCTGCAAACAGCAGATTTTTCCAGTGAACCGGGTTATCATGGCATAAGTATTATGCAAAAGTATGAAAATGTGAAAGCCATACTGGCGCTGTTCTGTGAACGTACGTGCGGAATACTTAAACATAGCGAAAATAAGAGAGGAGGCGACGAAAATAGCGACCGTTAAGTAAGCTGCAGTATTCACAGAATTTCACGGAAATTAAAATCGTGAATCGAAAACTTCACATACCATTACACACTCAAACAGTGTGCAGATGTGCTTTCACTGGGTAATACGGACATGCTAATGAGATCACATTCGGTGACCAAGTGAAAGCCTCCTCAAAATGGGATTCTCTTAGCACCGTTTTGACCGAACAAGCTCATGAGAAATAACCTATCGGCTTCGATACGTGCTGTCAGAACATCCACATACTATCGTAATATGCTGCCGAATACTTACATTACCACTAACGTTGCGCATCTAAATAATTGTTTTAATTATATGCCTTTCTACTTCATAAAATTATTTGTGCACTAATTTGACCAATTTACCCATTTTACAAGAAACCACCATGCACCGTACGACACGGTCGTAAGCATACCTTCATTACCTTTCGAGAGGGATGCACCACCTTGTATCGTCCACTTTGATCTCGCCAGGTGGCATTTTATTCAGGCACTGATGGATGATCCGCAGCGACTGGCGCATTTCCTCCACGCGCACCAGGTAGCGATCGTAGCAATCCCAGTGTGAACCGATGGGAACATCAAACTCCACTTGATTGTATGCATCGTACGGCTGCACTTTACGCAAATTTCTTTTGATGCCGGATCCTCGTACATCGCACCACTGTAAGAACGAATTCACAAGTTTTCATGTCAGCATAATTCTTGCGAGTATTTAATTCGGAATGAAACAGTATGATTTCAAGGAATGTGTGCGTACGACTTAAATGTGTATGCACTACGTATGAGTTAAATTAAGGTGCAAAACTATACCAATCTTTCCAACATTGTCAATTCTTCTCGTAGCTCTAAAGAAACTGAAACATGCAATGCCAGCAAAACATCAAAATCAACGAGACACACCTCATCTCATAAGCAAGCGCGTCCTCCGCCGACACCGTTCCAGTGCCGACAGTTCGGGCTTTCCAGATACGATTACCAGTAAGGAAATCTTCCAGTTCATCCAGGCGTTGGTTATACTTAATAGCCCAGTCGTAGATGTCATCCGTCAATCCCAACGGCAAATCGTACTGCACTCCACCGGGACAAGCATAATTCGCGAGCATCCGGGCGCCGGATAATCGTTCAAAAATTCACACAACTAAAAGGGTGCAAACATTTATCAGTGCCATTCTTGCTTTGCTTTTCCACCTGTTACAGTACTCATAAGAAAACTAATTAGATTCATATTAATTACAATAAAATTACAGTACACTGCAGTTCCTCACTTGCTGTTGTTAATAAATCAGCGACGTCGACTTATTGCAGAATAATATGTAAGTACCTTTTCGCATTCCTCAAACAACCAGAAAAAAGGCGTCATTGCTCTGATATTCAGGGCATGCGTATTGTAATTTAAAATACGAGTAAGTTCTCCGAATAAAACTGCAGAAAAACCCAGCACATTTTAACACTTACGGAGAACGGAGTTACAGTAATCAGCAATGTACGTTAAAAGATCTGTTAGAAAGAAGTAACAAAAAAATGCTCTATTCGCTTTTGGAAAGCGAAAGAAATTAACAAAAACCCACCTATAATCCATTCCGCACGGATGGGAATACCGAATACCGATATGGGAATACCGGAATATCGATATTTAATAATTTCTCAATAGCCAGGGAGAAGCACTGCTCATTGCACAACATGGACACGTAATCCAGACGGTCCATGTACGTCAGGGCCTGCATGTAGGTTTTACACTTGATTAACTTCTCCGTGGCGCGATGCAGCAACCCAATATGGGGATCAGCCCGCACCACCGTCTGCAAGAAAAACATCCATACAAATTTTAAAATTCACGCTGTCCAAAATGCTTGCATAGCCAGCAAATCGGGTATTTCCTGTACAGCATGTCTGGACGACAGCAAAAGACATTGTGCTAAGGCAGATACGAAGCATAACGCAAAAGAATTAACCCGCCTTTCCGTCTAACTCCAAAACCAAACGTAATACACCGTGCGCTGCGGGATGTTGCGGGCCCAAATTGCGGGATATTGCGCATTTTCTTCTCCACAGGAACAGTCGCCACTGCAACAGCCCGTTCCATTACTTAATATTCACAACAAAACATCACCACAGGCATAGATGCGCTGCCTATATGGGCTTACTGCTGGTGGACACGATATCATGTTTTCCCAAGGCGAGAGGCTTATCTTCAGGCTAATTTAAAATAAGAATCCCAACAAATCTTGACGGCCACAAGAAAACCGTGTGTGGTTTATCTAAGTTTAGCATCACTTTCCAGTTTCCACTGTGTGGGTCGGGCACTCTACAAAAAAAGCGGAACAATTAGTTCTAACAAGCAGGCTTTTGTATTCGAGGAGAACGGCTTTGGTTGTGCATTTGAAAACCTAAAGAATGAACAAGAAAGAAATGTCTTTAATAAAGCACGCCACCGTGCCACTTTAACCTGTCTCAGATCAACTATCCAGCCTTATTCTACAGAGCAGGTTATGGCAACTCATAAGATACTGCAGCCTATTACGACGGTTGACAAATTAAATTCTCTAATTGTGAATAGAAAATAAATGAGTCAATGCCCAGGCCATCTGACTCTCAAATGAGGATGACGGTATTACACGGCTTTCCTACGCGAAGCCGAAACGTACTGCACCGCACTTACGGAATAGTATCCCGTCCACATGTCCCTCGCCTGACCGAGAGACACAGGCCACAGGTTCCGCAAAATGTCGCGACTCGCGAGAAATATGATTGCCGAATAGCAATATTGGTTGCGGTTGGCAGAGCTGCCTGTCGAAACTCCGTGTTAATGAAACTGAAGAATCTGTAACCGGAGCGCGCAATATAATACAAATGCGTGTTGGGACATCCAATTTACACCGACATAACATGAAACAAAATTTAGAACGAAACTCACAACGATAGGCGCTTTTCTGCCATACAATCGTAGGGCTCAACCCATGATATCGCCTGCGGTTTACACTGCTGGAAAGAAACCTGAAGAAAATAAACATTATCTTTCGGATACTGAGATATGATACGTATAATCTGGTATACCTTCCACACTTTACAGCGCAGGATTACGTAACTAAGCTTTACGATACAAATGTTGTAATTTTTACAAAGCACTTAGTAATCGTAAAAAGTACTAACAGTAAGTGTTCTTTCAAGAATAACCGTCCGCATAGCTGATGACGCACAGAATTAGCTGAGCAGAGATAATTCACTGTTTTAAACTTTTAATGATTATTATTTATTTGTGTACGTTTTCAACACAAGTACACTCACTAGAGTTAACAAGTTTGAGAGAAAACTAAAACGCCAAACATTTAAAATGTTCGTATGGAGTAGGCTACTTGAAAGTCAACAACATTACAAACAAAACTTAAAAGGCCCATGCAGCAAGTCACATTATGCACGAGTTGATGTACTACTTGCCAGTCTACTTACCGACGCGATTTCTTTCAGTGGAAATGTTCTTCTAAAAGTTCTTTCGCTGCTTGAAAAACATTAATTCCATAAAATCCATCACTCGCTCGCACATCCATATTCGCCCTTATGAAATCAGCTTCAGCAGGAAAGCTACGGATGATGTCCATTACCGGAACAGCATCTCTAGAATGAGCCACTTGATTCCTTATAAAGTCCGGAAAATCTTGAGGCGCATCCACATCTGTTTCAGGCAGCTCGTCACCTGCCGTTAATAGTTGCTGCAGCGGAAAACCTTTTAACCCTTTTCATGGCAGCCGAGTATAAAAGTTGTCTTGGAGAACGCTCATGCTCCGTCCGGAGTTTGTGATTATTAAAAACTCAGTAAACTGATTCAGCTGATCTTGAATCCTGTCCAAGTAGACTAAATGCAGAATCATCATGTCCCGAGGATTTGTATAATCCAAAATCCCCATATTTTCCATATGGATGAATACAGACCGAAATAACTTGATAACAACGCGGCCAAGGTCTCTCCACAGCCGTTCTATCCGTTGATTGTGAACCGATGGTCCCATTATAATACTCGCGCGATTTGGTCCCATATAGTGTTCCATCCAGCGTGCAACTCCAAAATTTTCCCTAATTGAAATATATTTTAGAGAGCAGTTATATAACCGGCAAACTTAAAACGTGAAATCGTATTGTACCAAAAAAGCGCTGTAGCAAAACCAAAAGGGTGAAAATTATGACAAAAATCAAAATTTTACTTTAAACGCATTTTCACCTCCGCAATCGCTTCTCACTCTAGAAGGCGCACCCCACGCTTCCGCACCAGACAGGAACGCTTCCAGCACTGTACTAGCTCGATTGTTCGTTGCAACAATGAGAGAAATAATCGTCCTGGAATATCCGTCTATAATTCCATGTATAACGAATCCCCAGCGAACCAACTTGTGATTCCCATCCATGTGCCATAAAGCGTTCGGACCAGGATTAGAATATACTCTTCGGGGAACAAAAGTGAGATATCTGTTAGCAACTCCGTACGGATCAATTCTTCGCAACGATGAAAGTATTCTCCTGCGCTGGATGTACAATCCTCCAGTCTTAAGCTGTCCAAAAATATAACGGTATCCGACATTTGGAAATGATTCCAAAATTCCCGCAATCAATAAATCCAAATCAGCATCACTAATCGTTGAAAACTACAATTAAAACGAAAGATATTACAACCGAGGGCAACTGAAAACAGTTACAGCAGTTCACAATCAAGTAGTTCTTTAATAGCTTGTTCGGCCAGTAAACAGCCTGTCAAACTATGCACCAGTGCAAGCTTACCTTTTTATTTAAACCAGCTTCTGCCAATCGCTGCTTAACTGTCGTAACTCCAACTCCATAAAACCGAGCTATGTCCTTCACTGTAAATCCTTCAGATCGCAAACCAGCCAAATCATCCTCGGGAATAAAAAAGTCTTCCATACGAATTAGTGCACTCAGTTAAGGCAAAACAGATTTCGTCCCATCTTCGTCTTCCTGCAGTCGAAGTCGTAAAGCACTCGAGCAATCAATAAGTGTATCGAACAGCTCCTGAGCCCTCCGCTCCTCCGGTAAATTGTCGCAAATATCACGCGTATATCTGCTAGACGAAACATTCAAGTACAAACAAAAATATTGTGAAACCGTTGCGGCGTTGCTGTTCAGAACTTACCCGAGTAAATAATCAACTTGTGTCAACGCTCCGTCAACACCATCTTGATCGTGGTCCCCATCCTCAGCTGAAAGAAACCGCTGAGCTCGTCTTACGACCGAATCCGCAAAGATATAAAATTGATCCATTTTTGTTCTCTCAAGGTTCACTACGAAAAACCAAATAAATCTTCTAGAAAACAGAAAAGATAAAAGACTGTCAACATTGCTATTTCCAGCCAGACTGAAACTATATTCCAGTAGTTTGGGAAAACTCCAGCAATACAACACAAATTCCATTAAACCACCGCAACTGGTCCGGTGGAAATGGAATTGGAACCGGAAAAAAATTTAAAGTCCGAATAACAGGTTTCCGGTGCACGCGGTGGCGATCAGAGTCACTCCTTTCGGTGCACGGGCGGCGGTTACATATTGGAAATCATTGATTGTCGATCGTTGATTTTTAAACACTGAACTTAAATCAAGTGATTGAAAATCAGTAAAGTGCAGTCTTTGCTGAAGCAAAATCAGTGGTACAAAATCAACGATTGATAATCATTGATTCTAAATCAATGATAGAAAATCATTGATGTCAGTTCACGCTACTGAAAATCGTTGAAAATCATGACTTGGAAATCACTCGAACTCAGTGATTCGCAATCATTGATTTCAAATCATGGTGTTTGAAAATCATCGATTTGTAATCGTTGATTTCAAGACAAAGAATTTGAAATCAAAGTTTAAAATCAACAAAACTCGCGGCCATTCGGAATTCCATACTGCACGCGTATTGCGGTGAATGCAGTGATTTTACCATACTCCATAGGTGTTGAGGCGTGATGCGATAAAGAAGTGCTGCAGCCGCACATGTGTTGCGGTTACAAAAATCATATTGCTGTAGTGCAATGGCTCGCGTGGCGTGGCTTAAGTGCTTTCGTCATCGGTTTTTTACAACGCAAATAACTCAAAAACGTGTGATCCGATTTTAAAAATTCCAAGTACTCTGAAAAGAGCAAACTTTTCTGAATCTGCTTAAACAAAAAGGCGACAGCCATTCGGCTTGGGAAAACAATAATCGAAGCTGGCCCACTTAAGTGGATGTCGCCCATTCACTTATCATAGTGGCCCACTTAAGTGTCTTTACGGGTAGTGCTTTCTGTTTACAATGCTGATTTCTAATTAAAAGTTACATACAGTACAATTACGCAGCAGGAGACCGACAGTACGAGTACAGTATGTATAGACTAACATGGTCATTTATTTTATCCATACGAGTAGAAGTATCAATTTGGATGCACAGAACTTTTAGCCGTCACCACTGACAAATTCACAATTAATTATTGTATTTGTATAATATTTGCAATATTAGTGCTTTACATTTACAATGCTGATTTCTAAATTATTAAGAGTTACATACAGTACAAACCCAGCAGGAGACTGTAACAGGCAAGCGCGAGGAGATCACGAGTGTGCTTTATTGACAAATAAAGGGAACAATGCTGCGTAATAGCAGGGAAAGCAAAACAAAGCACTGATGGCTAAACAAGCAAGTGAATGCTCGAAGAGCTCTTGAGCGTTCGTCAAGGCGTGTCAGAAGCAACTGGCGGCAAGCACGTGCTGTGTGCCATCAGCTGTGTGATGATGCGCAGACTGGACTCAATCCAACGCGAGCGTATGAACGCTGAGTCATACCGCGAGAGAGGGACGAGAGAGCAAGTATGCTCAGTGTGTGCGCCGCGTATATCCGCTTCAGCGGATATGAGTGCAGTGCAGCAGCACACGTACGTACAGCGAGAGAGGCGATAACGGCAAGCATGAGTGCAAGTACGTCCATGGTGGGCCGTACGCACCAGGCGCAGTCGTGGGCCTCTGACATGCCTCTGGGCGGGAATCCGAGCTCCTGCGAAGGATGCTCCGACTCGGTACCGCACCATTACCGCACAGCTCTCCAGTCGGACCCATTGTGGGGTCGCTGGTACGCGTCCTCTGGCAGTGGGAGTCCGGTGTCTGGTCGACCGTCCCTTGTTCACTTCCGGACCCATGAGTGGAAGCCACTCACGGCCAAAAATCCGGAAGCCGCTCGGGCGTTCCGTTGGACCGGTGATGCGTCTGTTGGCTGGCTTCTTGCTTCTGTTGGCTTCGGAGAACAATGTGAAAAGAAAATGTAATGAAAGTTTATGCAGCGCGAAAGAAAGTATGAAATAAAGTTTAATCACAATTCCAGTGAGCAAAAGGGGTTACAAAACAGATCTGTTAAAGAGATCCAACTAGAAAAATACAATTCCGTTTGTTAGGAGAAATGCTAAAAAAAATACAAAAGTCGGTCCGGGGGTCCTATTCCGACTAAGATGACGTCCACGGGGCAGTTGAGTCTCCACGGGGTCTCCTGTCCACTTTCATCCGGTAAATTAGGTCCGGGGCATCGGTTCCCGGGTTACCCGTCGTAACCGGTTACATTCACCGAGGTCGGATAAGCACGGTTAAATACTTACTTCCGACTCGTATCCGTCCGTTCGGGATTGAGAGGCACTGTTGCAGTTGCAAATGCCAAGGCATCCTCTCTGAATGGGGAATGGGACCGAGGTCGGTTTGACCAAGGTCGGCCTACCGGTAAGTCGACTGGCGGCTGAGGGAAATTCGGCTATGTTCCGATTTGCTAAAGTCCAGGTCGGAAAAAGCTGTATGTGAATCATGCGGCCTGTGTGGTCGTCATGTACAGCAGTTCCGTTCAAAAGTGGTCGGTTACAACCGTTCAATCTGCTACCACGAGCCTGGTTTGGGGCTATCCGAGCCGGACTGGCTCGAAGGTCCGCTCGGAATTCATAAGTTTCTTCGGCGGAAGTATCAAGTCGACTTCCCTCCGATTCGTTCCGTTGTTATCCGACCTTCTGTCGAGGTCAGTCGTCCTATCCGCCGGTGGTCGACTAGGGTTAACCTGCAATGACATATGACATGCCCATGTGGGGCTAAACAAGTTCCTTCAAGTCGAATTCGTCCACTGCAGATAGTTGTCGTTCTTCTTCCGTCAAGTTGATGAAGTTGCCGACTTCCGACATGTGGTCGGTTATGGTCGACTTCGGGAGGTCGGATGAACTATGTTTCCATCCGTCCGAAGGTCGGATTTTTGCGTTAGGAGGTCGGTTCTCGACTTCTAAATACCTTTGCCGACTTGTTGTCGTACCATCCCGACTTCTATGCGGTCGCTTCCGACCTTGGTTTGAGGTCGGATATCCGTATCCGAGTTCAGAGGTCGGTTATTTTCCGACTTCCCCAGGTCAGATAGACTTTGTGTCTATCCGCCGGGAAAGTAAGTTCTTGCATTGAGAGGTCGATTTACTACTTCTAGTTGGTTTTCCGAGCTGTTGTCGCTTACTTCCGACCTCCATCTGGCGGTTGTCAACTTCACTTTAGGAGTTCTGTGCGTTCGGCTACAGTTGGCCGGGTCCTTGGTGTCGGAACATCCTACGGTCAGTTCGGACTGGCAGAAGGATGTTCGGCAGCACAACTCCCTTCCTTCTGTGATTTCGGACGTGAACTCCAGGTCGGATCCGAGCTACTGTTGAGGTCGGTCAATCCGAATGACTTGCTTCTGGGTCGCCAAGTCTTGCGAGGTAGAGGTTCCTTCGGCATCTGTTGGCCGGGTGACTGGCGCTTCATCATGCAACTGTGCTGACTTACAACACTAAGGGTCTTTGTGGCCCCGGTTGCGAAGTCGAGCTCTTTTGGTTTAAACTTCATGCACATGCAAGTCCCTGAGGTCGTCAGATCCGATTCTTCCATTTTGTTTTGTCGCGAACCTGTGACGCCTAGCCGCTTCTGTTGGGGGTAGGCGACTCACGTCCGCGGGGAAATTTTTCTTTGCCGCTGACGAAGACCGACTGGCCGGTACTGTTGCGGGCAGGTGGTCATCGTCTTTGGGGTTCGTTGAGGGGGTGCAGGTCGAGTATTCTAACTCGGTCTGCCTAGGATGTTCCATTGGAGACGTGGGGAAGCAGGTCGCGGCGGAGTCGTTGGTACACCAGTATCCAAATCACCGTCGCTGTTCCTCTTCAGGGAATGGCAGCACGTTCAGAGACGCGCGTAGTCGTGGTCACCGGTGAATCGGCTGGTTTACCCGATGTCATCCGGGGGAGACTGCGGTTGATCTCCAGGTACAGAGCCTGTAGGTCTGGATTCAAACGGAGAATCCGGTTGAATTGCCACGTAACTACTGCCGGCTTCCATCCATTCTCCATAGTCGACTTCTGTTGGTCGCTATGGTCGATGTGGCTATCGTTTCCAAAGCCGATTTGTGTAGTCGGCTTGCACAACCGACCTGTGTGGTCGGCTGATGCAGCTATATCCGCAATGTCCCCAAGTTATGGGGGAAGTACAAAGTCGGCCTTTGTGGTCAACTCAAGTACGCCTAGTCAAATCCGAGTATTCCTGCACTGTTGGCGACTCGGCCGAGGGATTTCCGCTGTTTACAATGGTGAAGGCTGCCCGGCTACCCGGTTCCGAAGTTGGCCACGGGTGCTTGGCAAACATGGCGTGGAACGCGCGCAGCGACGTGTTCCGCGCCATGTTAGCGTAATCCTCTCGGTTTCTTCTCCGGAGTCGGTTGGCCGGAGTAATCTTCATGGCCGATCGTGGTTAATGGCGTGATCTATACCATGTAACTGTCGGTCGGCTCCATGTAACGCGGATTGGGGCTTCTGTTGGCTCCGATGGTCGCAGAACGTGGTTGGCGATCTGCTATGTTAGCAGATGTGGTTACGATCTGTTCTTGCCATGCTGGGGAACTGGGGTCGGTTGCCCAGTTCGTTCCAAGGGATTCCTTGGGGGACGTACTGGTACGGTGAGAGAACCGAAATACCCGGGTCTGACCACGCGTTTCCGGGTCCGACCAAAGAATCCGGCCGGCCTGTGTAGTCGGCTTTCTGGCAAAGTCGTCGTTGACGTCCGCCGCGTACATGGTTGATCATTTTCCCAGAAAAGAACTAAAGAAAAGTGTCCATTCCGAAGTCGGTTCTCGACGGCGCTGTTTCTCAGCTAGACTGTTTCTCAGTCGGAAGGTCGGTTCTCGACCGTGCCGTTTCTCGGCAATGCCTCCTTGAAGTTATTCCAATGGGGGATCGAGTTCCACTGTGGGAACTCGATCTTAACTGAGTGGGACTTCGACGAGTTTGTCGCCGCCGAAGTAATCTTCTTCTTCATCGTCGTCCGGGCCAGGTCGGTTATGTGGCCGTATATTCGGGTCCCTTGGTTTGCAAGTCGCCGGGCCACTCCGCTGAGACATCTCGTCGGTCTCATCCGTTTCTTGGCCTGGGCGCTCCGCTCTGCTCTTCCTCGATTCCTTAGCCGCTTGTTTTCGGAGTCGCAACGCATATGGTCGTACGCCAGGTACTATGTCGTCCGACATCCAAGGTTCGTAGGGCGACGAGTTAAATCCGCTAGGCAGAGTCTTCTTTTCACGGTACCAGCTAATAAACCGAGTTGCGTCGTCGCTGGGATCTATGTGATCCTCACGAAAGGCATACTTTGTCGCATACCGTTCGTGGGTATACAGCAAGTCGCGCATCCAGACAGCTAGGATAACACTTCTCATCGGTGTGCCGAGTTGGGCTACGAGGGTCTCCACAGCCGCTGGTATCATCTCGTTCTGGTACAGTCCGTATAATGTGTAATGGCAGTAATAATTGCCAAGTCGAGCTGCGAAGATGAATTGCAAAAATGCCGTGACTCCGTCTTGGGCCATGTTGACTTCTCCTTCTGGAAGATACTGGGTTAAGTCCAGTGCTGCCCGAGCCGCGGTGATTACAAAGGCTGGGTGTGCGTCCGTGATGACAAACTGGGCTATACTCTCCAACTCGTCATGCGAGTATTCCCGAGCTCCTAGTTGGCTCGCGCGTGTTCCGTCCGGGTTGTACAGTGGTACGTTCAGCAAGACCGGGTCGGTCATCGACGGCAACGCGTTCGATCGGGTGTATGGGTGTTCAACATTCGGCGCTGTGTGCGCGTTCATGTTGAAGTCAGATCGCCACTGATGCTGCTCAAACAGCGTCTGATATCCGGATCGAACGAGGAATTGACGAAGGTTTTCTACCATCCGCCAAATTTGTGGTCGGTTCCGTTCCTCGTAATTCATGACGTTCATGATGTGGTTTGTCCGTTCCGTGGGGTGTAGCATAACGACCTCGATTCCTTGTTGTCGGGCGCGGTCGTAACGAGGGTCTTCTCGGATTGGCACTTCCACTTGTGGTAGTTGTGCCATCTGGTCGGCTACATCAACGTCCATTTGCTCTTGTTGAGCTGCTGGTTCAGCTTGGACTTCGGCCGCCGGTTCCACTTGTTAAACTTCCGGCTGCTGTTCGGGTGGGAGAAAATTACGTTTCGACTTATTTGTTAAGTCGACCGTAAGTCCGATTCCCGTTTCTCCGGATCCGGTTCGTTTCCCTGGTGGAGCTCTGGTTGGCTCCTTTCCAGCTTCCCGGATAACGGCTCGTTGCGCTTCGATTCTGTCTCGAAGATCAACTGGGCCGATCCGGTGTCGAAGATCATATCCTGCAAGGTTCTTGCTGGGTCGGCGCTGCTGTTGTTGAGCCGCTGGTTGAGTCCGATTTCCGGGCTGGGGAATCTGTTGGGGAACAGTTGGACGAGCCTGTGTAACTACTGGCGTTGCCCTGTGTGGGATTACCATCAACTGTTCCTGAGTTGCCGGTGTGAAGGTAACTGGCTGTTGAGTTCCGTCCGGCATATTCATCATCATCGTTATAGATGCGCCCGTCATTGGTCGGTGTGGATCTCCGACGAAGACGTCGCGTATAGTGGGGATCAGTTCTCCAGCTGTCGGGGGACCCTGTGTGGGTGTCTGCACCCGAATCTTTATGTCCGGTTCGTAGTCGGTCGGTGGTGGATGGACTCGCATTGTGGCGATTTTCCTATCGACCTCCTTTATCTTCTTCTGGTCCTCAAGTTGACGTTGCAGGTCCAGCATCTGACGGTACTCGAACAGCCTATTTGTTAGGACTGGTGGTCGAGTTTCTTCCCATCTCGGGTCGCGAGCTCGTTGTCGCTGAATTGTGGCCAGATTGTCCTGTTCGTATGACTCCAGCTGATTGATGAGGTATTCTCTGCCGGCTAGATACCGGTATGCGCTTAAGTTGCCAGCGACAACGTTTAGATAGAGCGCCGCCGCTTGGGCTCGGTGTTGCGCTCCGGTGCCGGAAATTCGTTCATTCGTAAAGGATACGATGCACAGTGCGCAGGGCATTCTGTTGTTGTCCCTCGTCGCGTTATCCATGCACTGTTGGCAGTCCACCGTGAAGGCTTCCGTTCGGGGCTCTTCCGCACGATTCTGTCAAAACAAAAGTCAGCAAACCGTTTCTCGGTTGCATCCTACGAGTTACACCCTATAATTACTACGGTCGGGCCAGGTCGGTTCTCGAGCTGGTCCAAGACGCCTTTGTGGTCGTCTAATGAGGTAGGTCGACTTCTGTTGGTCGATGACGCCTGTGTGGTGTCACTGGGAGAAGGTCGGTTATGCCTCCCTCCCAACGCGTTCTGCGTTTCCTCATTCCCGTGTGGGTACTTCTGGCGACTCGAGCCGACTGGCTTCGTGCGAATCGGCCAGCTCGGTCAGTTGTGCCGAGGTGGGTCGTTCCTTTGGCAGATGTCCGTAGCGGTGGGTTGACGGGTTTAAGGCGATAAACCGTTGACCGCCTTGGGTTTTATCGGTATTTGTAGCGAATTTTTGCTGGTGGAGTGCCTTCGATATGACGAATTCTAGTTCGTCGTCCAAAGAGTACTTCTTCCGTCCGGCGATCGTGTCCGGTTTGGCCTTGTATTTGGGATCGACCAGCTGCGGTTCCGCTGATGTCCACTGGAACTCGAACCGCGCTATGAGTGGGTGGAGTATTTCTCCGCGGGTAAGTCCGTCGGGGTGCCAGGACATTTCCATGCACGCTTCAATGGCGTGTATCCATCCTTCATATGTTGAAGGAGCCGGGTCTTTCTTATCCGGTGGGAACTCGTAGTACATCCGCTTTCCGCTGGTATATGTACGTATCAACTTCCCTGCGTGGTATCCTAGGTCGCAGTAGTGTCGCACGTTGTTCTGGCTAAGTTGTCGCCAATCGCCCGTCTCGTCTACCTTCCAGTGTTGGAGGAGTTTGAAGGCGATTCTTGGTGTGGCGAACTTCGGTCCACGTGTAGCCAAGGCCTTCAAAGCGGCGAATGTATACATCCATCCCGCATCATATTCCGAGACACTCGGCTTGGGTTTCGAAGCCGATTTAATGCCGGTATATTTCAACCTAACATTGACCAGTGGGGGAATGTCTTCTGGTAGGACTTCTATCATATCCTCATGAAAGTCCGAGCGAAGTGGCTGGTGGTCGGAGTCGGGCGTCAGTGGTACTCGTTTACCGTACTGACGAGGGACGTATACTCCGCCATCGTCTTCGTTACTCTTGGAGTCGTCGGCCTTGTCGCCGCTATCCTTCTCTTCGGGTTGTTTAGCCGGTATCTCCGGTTCGGCCTGCTGTTGAGGTGCCGAGCTCGACGGTGGTGGAGGTTTACCGTTTCCGTCGTCGTCGTCGTCGTCATCCTTCGGCGATCCATTTCCGGGTGTTCGGAAATCTTCGTCGTCGTCATCGTCATCGTCATCGTCCGTTTCTTCCTCAGATGACGAGACTAGTTCCGATGACTTCGGTTCCTTCTTCTTAGCCGGCTTAGTCGACTTCGTTTTAGTCGACTTCGACTTTCCCTTCTGTTGGGTCGAGTCTTCTGGTTCCGGCGAAATTTCCATAGGCGAGGACGGTGGAAGTGACTGTACGTCCTTCGGTATAAACCGTCCCTTCGCACTCCGAGTTGGTTTAGCTATGCTTGCTCGTCCCGCCGGAGCCGATGCCGTGCCGACATATGTTGTCGGCTCGTGCGGTGCTCGAGGTCGGGTCAAGGCTTGGACTCGTCTTTGTGACGACTGTGCAGCCGTACGAGCTATATGCAGCAATTGGGCTGCATCTTCCGACGGTTGTTCGTTGGAGTCACTGTATTCTTCAGTCGGTTCCGTGTCCGCCGGAGGTTTGTCCGTGTTGACGTAAGACATCCGGAGGTTAAATTCGCGCCGATGTTGTTCCGGTATGAAGTTTGGCACGGTATACCGAACTGGCACATCGCGTTCCGCATTAGTCGTCTGGAGAGTATGTTGCTCGACCAGGAGCGCGATTCGTTCGCCTATCCTATACGTGATAATTTCGTCAATGTTCCCCTTCTTGTCCATGTACATCACGTTGTATACACGGGCAATCTGGACCAGGGTCGATCCGCGGGGATTCCGAATGTATCCGATACACCGTGCAATTCTAGTCGGTGTGTCATCCGCGTTCCTCGCCGCTGCACTTTTAAGTGACTTGATGAGGTCCGGTTGGATAAGTTCGGCCATCCGTCCCCATTGTCGGTGGACGGCGACTGCTAATCCATAGTCGAGGGTCCAGGCGACGATTTGCATCATGAGTTGATGCGTTAACCACTTTCGGGTTTCGCCTTCGACTTGTATGTTATTCGACAAGTCTTGTACCAGGGATTGGTAGATGTCCCTGCCGCTTTTCTTGGCACTCCGAATACTACGGACGACTTCGACGTGTACGCGGACTGTGCGGATTAATGTTTCGACCGGGTCCTCCGGCTGTTCGTCCGGAAGACGCTCGCGTGCGTCGTCTGGAGCTGGCCACTGGGATTCGTCAGTGTCCGCTCCATGGTTAAACATTTCTTTCATGTCGCCTTTAAATCCTTCATAGGGATCCCCATCTCCGTGGTCGGAGATTGAATCCTTATCTTCAATGTCCGAGGCCTGGTCGGATTCTACATCGGACTGTTGCTTGGATGTTGAAGGCTGAGATTGTTCAGGCGGAGTCGGTGGTTTTGGTGGGTTTCGTAGCCGACCTCCTGAAGTCTTAGCCGGCTTTGTGCCGG